CTCTGCCTCTCCCATATTAAAAGAAACAATAGAAATTCTTCATCTACACAACTTCTCGCTTCTTGTAGTATTGAATCATCAGAAAGTTCCTCTATTCACGAAACAACAGCTGCTCTATCCGCGACGGCCATCTTGTTTTCGTTTTTAAATTTAGCGCGCGATTCCGCTGACGCGCCCTACAATTTCGCGCCTGCAGTCATGGTAACTGATCTGATGAACTGAAGCTCCGTTCGTTCAATGCAACGCGATCGGTGTGATCTTGGATATCACAAATCCTAATCCGGATCATCCCAAAGGAACTTACCCTTAGGCTGTATTACATCTCCGCTGAAACACCAACATAACTCACGGACATTAGTGGTCAGATCAAAAACCGCAAAAACATGAACTCATAAGTAACTATAACTTAAAATATACATTTTTCCGCACACTCGACCTAAAACTGAAAAAAAAGACTGTTATTTGATGTTAACTTAATTGGAGGTCACGATTCTTCTTTTCAATTTCGTTCACTGAAAACAAATATGCTTACACAAAGTTGATTTATTTTTATCACTGTTACCAAGCGCAGTTTAGATAAACAAACGATATAGCACAATATCTTTTTTTCTCCAAAGAGTTAAACAATAACCGACCACAAATTTTTCCTGCAAGATCATGTATTTTTTTGAGAATTAAGCGAAGTTGCTTCTAGAAATACTCTATTTTCCTGATATAATGTCAGGAGAAACGAATTCAGGTACAAATAAACGCAAAATGGCAATTTTATTTCGAGTAAGCTAGGAATTTGACGAACAATATCTTGACGCGTAAACAACATTCACTGATATAACGCCAAGGTTGCTCAAACATAACTAAAAGTGCTACTGTACGAGAGCTTGGAAGAATACTCGATTGAATTCTATAAATTTGAAACACTTTCAGGGTTTATTTAAGCTTCAAGGCTGAAACTTTATCCGTTCACCACGGTTCTGTGGCAAAGCTTGCGTTTAGTCGCGTGTCACTGAATATGAATGACGTAAACAAAGAAGTCTAAAGTCACGACAATAGATAAAATTAATTCAATTTACTGTCGATTATTTTTAATTGTTTACTTATCACAATTCTTTCTCATTTTATTAGGCTTGCTCTGACTGTAATTTTCGTGTTGTCTCCGCTAACAGAATTCTTTTTCAGTTTTACTACGTCCAACATTGCGGTCACATGTAGTTACCTTTCGCTTTTTATAGCCTCGAAGAAGGGCAATCAAGTGTCAGATTTACATAGCAATACCAGCCTTGAAAAATATTACGACTTTGCAGTGTTTACAGTAGAAATTGAAACTTTCTCGCCTTTAATTACGCTGATAGATAAAAATCAAACACAAAGTTTTCCTTGTGGTTCCACAAAGCTTAAACCACTGAACCGTTTTTAACCAAAAAAATTCTTACTCATTATAACTTTTTTATTTTCTCCGTAGACTTCAGATTTTTAGCCTTCGGTTTTTTGGCCGCAATGATTGTGAAAGTCTATCTATCAGTCTAGATGTATCGTACCAGAGATCGTAGTGAAAAAAAAGAAACGGGAGAGAACGTAATTCAAACGACTAAAACCCTTCCAGTCGAAACTGTGAAGTGTTACTGTATATTAAACCTTGGTTGAGACGAAACAGCGAGGATAGAATTATAAGCGTTAGCACATATTTACGAAGTTTCGAATCGTGATGCAGCAAGTGTTTCCTGAATGAAACCCTGTGAATAATTAAGATTACAAAGCCGAAATTCTCTACTTGTTAATGAATTGAAAATAATTCAATATAGCAGTTCAATTTCGGCTTGACTTTGCATGTTACGCAATGTGAGAAGTTTGCCTTCACGGCCGATTAACACGTAACATCCGGTACTTTGATCATAATCAACCTAAACATTTCACTGATGTATTTCTCATGCTTACCTAGAGCCAGAGGAAGAAGAAAAACAAATAAAGCTACCCGAATGTGTATCTTCAAATGTAGCTCCGACATGTTGCCGTTGTTGGTTCATCTGAACAACATGGAACTCCGGAATATTGGCCCCACTACTTATGATTTCCGGGTCAGATATGTGACGTTCGTGAAAACGGACAACTTACTGCGCCCTCTGCTGATTCGTGAGTCGGCGTGAGATATCTGATTCAACGATGCTTTGAAAAATCACGCTAACTTTTACTCTAAAGCAAAGTTGGTTCAGGCGGTGTAGCACTTAAATTGCGTTGCATTGTAATAGTGTTGTTTTCAATGTGGCGGTAAAAGGGGCAGAAATCGGCAGACTTTGACAGATTTTTGCGATTATATTCACGTACGTCACTGCCACCAAAGCACAGACGGGCCAAGCTCACGTAGCAAGGAAATGCAAACGATTAATTCATGAAAGCGTCACGCGTTGTGTGACTCGGTGTTAAGTTAGAGAGGAACCGTTGAAAATTTGAACACGTTATGAGGACTCAGCAGCTAGCTGGTAATGGAGCCTGGTTAAATTAAGGAAATTCGAACAAAAGTCCTCTATAGGACTGCAATTTTGCAGTCGCAAAAAGCTATAGCTCTGGAAAGTTTCATCAAAAATCCCTAATCTAACATTTCCATTTGCGAACTAAGACCTGAAAGTTTGGAGATTCTATTGGAATGTTGAATCAATCAGTCACCTGTGGCCTGTAACTTGGTCAACAACTTCGAAGTGGTGTTGATAAAGAAACTCTGGCTATGTTCCGTGCTTAGCCGTACCCTACGTGTAGTCGTAACCGCCCCTACCCCCCCCCCACCTTAGGGGAGGGGGAGGGGGAGGGGGAGGGTACGGCCACACGTAGGCTACCTAGGGGTCCCTGCGATATTTCAATTGATTTGACACGCATTCCTCTGTAGAACATTTGCGTTTAGAGGCTATTCGAGATAAGTGGAGGCGCGCAATTGCGCTTAGATCGAAGTGAAACCGGTCAAATAGATCAAATAGGATAAACCGCAAACCGCGTCGGATATTTAATCCGAAAACCCGTTAGTGTTTTTCGCGAAAACCAAATGCTAAAAAACAGAATATCTGCATACCGCAATGAACGCCAAAACCGCAAAACCGAAAATCGCAATGCCCCTCTCAGATATGGTCGATTTACCACGACAAGTATTTCAAAATATGAACATTTTACACATAAAATCAATAAAACTTACTCACATTCTGCGTGTCCGTTGTAGTTTCTGACGATTTCCGCCGTTTTAAGCTTGCTTTACCATTGTTGTTATTCCTGTCAAAAGACGAAGTCAAGGCTGCACACTTCGATTTCGACCGTTGTCCATGCGGAGGTGGTTTGCGCCCCGAAAATCCTCCCGATCGGCATTTTTCTTAGTCATACTTTACGATTTAAGATCATTGTCTCTGTGGGGATGGGGTAAGTATTGTATATTAATCGATCGAACCACTCGCGGTAGAGAGAAAATTGACCTCGTACCCAAGTCTTCCGCGGCCGTGTCCAGTCTGATTGTTCAAAGCATAGCCTTGGAAATGCACGTAGAAAACGCTCGTTTCCAGCGAAATGCGCGGGAAGTTTTGGAATTGAGACATGTCCCAGGATGTCCCAGCTTTTGAATTTTCAGCTCCACTTATACTTCTCACCTTCAGAGGCCGAAAAAAAACGTTTTTTCTTTTATTTGACCAAACTAACTTCAGACATTTTACCTAACGTTTCCAAGAAAAAAGTCTTAAAACCTCCAAAAGCACCAGAGTTATTAGAAAAACCTAATTTCAAATAAAAGTTAATAAATCAGGAAGGTGTCATAAGAATCCCTGGGAGAATTTTCACGACAACGGCTCATATTGGGGCTCGTTTTTCATGTAATTTGCATATTTTGTTTACATCGCGCGCTTGACAAAATTTTCACTTGGAAGCTCTTTGCTTATGGGAAAATCGAAAGCAGAAGAAAAGTCCAGCTCTGACTTGGTGTAGAAGACACAGTATACGTCACACTATTATTTCATTGTTTTCTCATTTCCGGTGGTGATTAAATTCTGTTGTGACGTATAATGTGTCTTCTCCACCAAGTAAGAGCTGAAAGCCCTTGGTAAAAAAAAACAAAAAAAACCAGACCCTGAGAAGAAAGAAGGAGTACCATTCTGTCTGGATAAGAAAAATGTCTTTGGTGAAAGCGACTGGTACTGGCGGACAAATAAGTCGTGTAAAACAATATTTGTCGTACATTAAGTTAAAAAAGAGGTTTACTGTTATTTATGCAAGTACCAGCCTTGATACAAAAACCGATTTACAATCACCTCGAATCGTAATTTTGAAAGCTGACCGTCGATTCGTTGTCTTGCTTCTCAGCACATTTTCCGGTTTTTCCATTTTGCCGCGGGTTTTTCCTTTGCCTTTGGCAACTTTGCTCGTTATTGTGTCGTCCTCCTCTACGCTCCACTGAGCGAATAAAAAAAAAGGTGTCTGCCATGGGTTACTTTTCCCGAGAATATTGATACATCGTCATTGACGCCATTAAGGCCCTTTGTCCCATTGGTTTGCAGTTTTGGGAGGCGAAAAAATCTCCTGGCGCGGGTTGTTTACGAACCTTTATGAGCTAAAATTAAGAGGAATACATTCGCTCTAGAGCGAATTGATAGGTTTAAGAAAAAACTTTTATGCTTGCATGCTGCGCGATTTCTCATATTTTAAACACCTTTTTGAATTAATCTGGTGCAAGGCGGGTCCTGCACGCGTGGAAGCCTCCATATGTAGATTTACGAATGAACCTTCTTTTTTACAACAGAGCTTACACAGTAAAATACTTACCGACTGTAACAAAATTGGAGCCTAGCAAATATCAAGTAAAGTTAGTCGAGAAGTATAAACTTGTGTAACAAGTATATTCATGCAGAACATTTCAAAAGATCTAAGCAACGAAAGTGTTCATATCACAAATAAGGATCTGGACTATGACGACATACTTTATGGAGGCTGGACAAAATTCTCTATGGAAGAAAACGTCCTCCCTGTCAACATCGTGATATGACTGAACAGACTGACCACAAACATCAGTTAAGATATGTTGTTTGCTGGGCAAGAGGTCCGTTTGGCGAAAAAACCTTTTGCCCACGACGTAATGTACTCAAGACTTCAGGCATAGTTTCCGCCATACGAACCGACTTAGGGCTTGCAGCAAATTGCCTTATAGATATGTTTTCGAACAAACAACTGTGTCTATGAACCAATGGTTAACAATGCCTGGGTGAAAGACTAAACTAGACAACAGAGCATCCTTAAATTGACTTCATCATCAAATTCCTTTATTTTTCTTTCGAATAAAGATATTGTACCCAACTATATCAAGATAACGTTTGTTTCCTAGTTATTGGGACAAATTAGAGAAGTTCACCCACACCACGAACCAATAAGATTGTAGGATCACTTAAATTTGTGTTGGAAAATTTGATGTGATATCTAAACTTTAATTTCAGACGATACCACCTGACTCAACATTTTCATAAACTCTAACATCATCATTCCCTGATTTTTCCCCCACAAATCCTACATTGCTGTAATAATGAGTCGAGTATCTGCTTTGCAATGACTCGTACGTAGGTTCAGGTGACTGCATTTGAGGAGGCCTGAGTTCCATATAGTGACCAGACTCTGACTCTTGCCGTTCAGCAGGTGAGACAGGGATATCATGGTCTGTAACAATGTTTCTACCGGTCCTCACAGCTTGTCTTAACCGCCTTATTAGTGCGCCAATTATGACGAGGAAGACCAAAACAATTCCGGCGAGAGCATAGACAGCATAATGATAGAGTTGTTGTTTTCCTATCAAATGAATGGAATCAGTTTTACTGCCTCCGCAGATCTCGTTCTATATAATTATAGCTGTGTAGCTGCCGTGATCTGCGATCTCCTTTCTGTTAAAGAGATTCAAGTTCTCCAGTTTTAAAACATATATAAATATCATAACAACTTGTGCTCTAATCCTACCATAGTCCTCGGTTGTCATAATGTCAACATCAGCGGGCGTGGTGGTTTCTGCAGTGGTGGATGTTCTGGTAGTGGTATAGGAGATGGTAGTCACTGTAAAATTGACCAATATCAATTTGATTTTCAACTAAATCGATCAATTTCGCCAAAGTATACTAAAAAATGGCAATTAATGAAATAACCCCAGGGTTACCCAGGTCGACTTGAAAGTGTAGTACCAAGTTTTTTCTGTTCCCTAGAATACCTGACACAAACTAAGCCAATGGGAAGGTTACTCCAGTTATCCTCTTCCCTACCTGCTACTAGGATATCCCCAGGGTAAAGGGGTTAAGTTTCTAAAGAAACTGTGGTGCTGCATCGATGGAAGAGTATAACGGGGTAATTTAGTATTATCAACTGAGCTGATAACGCAAATTGGCCACCGTAAAGAGTTTTAAGCAAACGTTTCGAGCGATTGCTCTGTTTCGTTCTGACAAATGGCTAACACTCGAAACGTCAGCTTTGAAACCCTTTACGGTGGCCAATTTACGTTATCAACTCAGTTGATAAAACTAAATTCCCCCATCCTTAGAGTCCATCTCTGCTAGTTTTTCTCTCCCGTGTCAATAAATTTCTAGGCATGGAATATATATATATATAGCTGGGAGAGCTGCAGCGTTCTCCTTTCTGCTTAAGAGATTCCAGACAGGTAGAGTTTTAAAGCAAATGTTTTATGGACATTGGTGCTCTAATCCTACCAGAGTTCTTTGTTGATTTAGTGGTTTCCGCTGTGATAGATTCTGTGGTAGAGGCGGATGCTATTTTAGCAGTAGTAGAAGCAGTTGGTATAGTGGTTTCTGCTGTGGTGGATGTTCTACCAGTTGTATATGAGACGGTAGTCCCTGTGGAATTGATCAATATCAATTTCATTGTCAAATAGGTCGACCACTTTTGCCGAAAAAAAAGGTAATGAATCAAATAACCCTACGTTAAAATTTGTTATATGTGTTGTATTAGATCTCATACCAGGTCCTATTAATGTGACATTTTTTCCCACTTTCACAGAAGCAATTCTTTTTTACAATCTGTTTACTTTTAGTATGGGAATTATACATTTTAGAGCAGAGACCATGATAAGTGTATCTGGGCATAGCCTAAGTCAATGCGGTACGCGGCTCAATTTGCCAAAGTATGAATTTGATGCGAGAATATGCTACAGAGGAAGACCTTCCCTCTAGGTAAATGATTCAATCATTTACAACTAATCATTCATGTTCAATCGATGTTGTTTTTAATTTGGAGTTTCTTTTAAAGTAAACTAGTCACCTTCTTCTAGCTCCATTCCAAAAATCTCTGTGGTCATACACACTTTGCCTTGACCTGCTTTGGGCCAGAATCGCAGATACCTTGCGTTGTGGTTGACTTTAAGCACCGAGCCTGAGTTCCTGAATTTCTTTCAAAATCAAAAGCCCCAATTTATAGAACACATCTCATTCACTGAATAGTACAATGATGAGACCCGAAAATGAATAAATTTACTTAAATGAACCCCCCCCTTACTCCTTATAACTTAGACACCTTGCTTTCCTTAAGCATTTTATTAGCTCACAGATGGCTGCGACTTAGGCTAAGGCATGCACAAAAAACCGAGCATCGGTGTGTACAGATCTCAATTTTAAAAAAAAACTTAAAGTTACTCATTTGATAATAAAAGAACAATGGCAATTTTTCACTTTCATTATAAGCGTTTCAAGGAAACTAAACCAATGTACATAGAGTTATCAATAGATGAAACGTTTAAACGATTGCCTCACGATGGAGAGTCAGGCTATCGAATGTATATAGTTAACATAGAGTTATCACCTCATTTTTGTTGGTTGTCCAATTTGTCCCATCGACGGATAGTTCCATTGCATAGGTCGTCCCACCCTCGTTCGACAAAAAACAATGGCAGATGAAATGACGTGTCTGTAGATCAATCTGTAGATATGAGTTAGTGTTTTCTTTTCCTTCACACCGTGATGAACTCGATGTGTTGCCGGTCACTGGGTCATTCATGCCGCTTGGAATTAATCCACTGTCGTTTTTAAGACTCCTACAGTTAGCTTCAGAGAAAGACAGAATAAAAACAATTTTTGAAAAATTGTACGTACTGAAAGTGAGGTATTCCAGTCAATGAAAATCAGACAGAAGTAGAAATAAAACATTAGATATCAATACTTTCAACTACCGAGAGTACCTTTCTCTCACAGGACATGATTTCTTCATATTTAAATTCGCTAAAAAACCTGATTTCTTAATTTGTAAACGGGATTCCAGATACTTCACTCCAAACGTTGGATTCCAGATACTGGAATTTTGACATCACGAGACATAAGAGTCAAATGCAAAATCTTAATGTCAATCATCGTAAAAGTACTTCAAGTTTGCATACTTGTATAGACGTAAATACAATTACGCTGTCATAGAAAAGATAAAAAAATGAAAACCGAAAAAGGAAAAAGTCAAATAGGAGCTTATTAGCATATAACAACCCTCTGGCTATATACCCACTGCCGAACAATTTTCACAGAATTTTCCCTTAATATTCTTTCATACTTCTTGAGAGTATCTGACGATTCCAAAAATTGAAATCAAAATTTGTATGCTTTTCCATAGACGAATAAATTCGAATTTAGCTTTTTCGCCTTTCTCTTTTGGTATTTTTATCACAACGTAACACTGCAGTTAGTTTTAAATACCAACGTTGGAAAAGATTCATATCAGAGATCAAGATGTTTATGAAATTCCTACCATGGAAAGTGACGGTTGTTAACGGCTTTATATTCCAAGAGTTGGATATTAAACTTAAACTTCTCCTGACCGTTCCATAAAGGCGCCGAAATCGAACTCACTATTGACATTTGACTTAGATGATATATTCACATCAAGTGTTTTTCACTGATTTAGGAGATAAAACGCCTTTCTACAAGTTTGGACAAGCAGTAGGGGTTTTTGAAAACCGTTTAATTGATTGGTATTTATCGTATAACATACACGACACGATCATCACCCACCTTGAAACGAAGAGAATTTGAGCATCTGAATCTTAAGCACGATTTTACAAACGCTATTTGACATGCAACTCAATTGAAATTTGAACACGAAACTGTTATAAGACAGTGTCCGGTCGTTTGATGTTAGCACGCGTAAATTGCTAACTATTTCAAGTTATTCTTTTATTTCTCACCTGATGCCACACTTATAGGAAGAAGAAAAACGAAGAGGGCCAGATGGATATATCGCCTAAAATCTAGAAGTTTCATGCTGGCTTTTACCCATTCATCGGAACAAGAAAGAACCTTGAGTACAAATAACTTCAAAACCACTCCTCAGGTAAAACCCCCTCTTTGAGACAGGAAGTCTTAAATTTATGATTCGTAATCATTTTTACAAGTGACAGTTTGTTTACATCATTAAAGAAAAAATTCAAAGGCATCTAATTAGTCGTCTATATTTAGCCCTTTTTTAAATATCTTTGATGTTATTTACATTTTGTACTTGCGTCCTCTCACAGCGGGATCGCAGCAATTTTTTGTTCCCATCTGTTCCAAACTGCTCTCCAAATCATTTGATCATTTCTACAAGTAAAGTAGCTTACAAAAATAGACAAAGTGTTATTAAGACATCAGACTAACTGAACCATTACCACATCTATTCAATGTGAGACGACCAACCCTAGTTAGATCTTTGAAATTTGTTTCTCCGAAGAATGATACAATCTCTCCTTCTATGATCTTGAATACAGAAAGCTGTTTCTTCGACCCTTGAAACGTCTGCTTGTCAACATTTTACAACGGCTGTTCATCTTTGCGTTACGAGTCCGAAGATATGAATTAAAACCAGTCGACATGCACAGTTGACGGTAAAATACGACAACGAGTTTAGTTATGCACAAATTCGTATATCTTCGTTGAAGTTAAACTCAAATGATAATTTCTCACGTTCACGTCTATGAAAATGCTGGTATGAAATACCTTACGTAACGAGCCGGAAACTGAACATTGCAACACAATAGCAAAATAACAATAAGCACGCACTTAGCGATACCCAAAAGAGAAGCACCTTCAGAACTTAATCACGCAGGACAAAATAAGAATGTTCCAGAAAGACATAGAGTACAATTGGAGTGGAATATTGGACCATTTTTTGAATCATTGTATTTGCTACTCATTGTTAGGGAATGATGGGTAGGTACATTTTAACATCCATGTAATGGGGAAGAAGGTGCTTGTATCAATACATGCTCCTGATTGAAGGAATGTTCACCGCATCCTATAGTTATACTAGTTTTTTTTCCTGCAATTTTCAAAAAGAACTCGACCGGCCGAAAGGATGAATCAGCCTTTCCACCACTTGTGTGGATTGAATAAATCAATGTGTCGGCTATTTGATACAATCATTGCCCCATTAAGCCATAAAATGCAAATATTTTACTTTGAAAAGTTAGCTGTTGTTTTAATAAACTGTGTTGTTTTAAAGGTGTCATCAATGTACGCAGTCAATGAGCTTTATTTTACCATAGGACTCAAACAGTTAAGCCCTGATCGACAGTAACAGATTGAAGCTGTACAGATGTCAGCTAAAATTAAAAGCAATAAGCATGTGTACCAATATTATTCATGCAAAACACTGCAGACGATCTAAGCAGTGAAAATATTCATCATAATAAGAATCTAGTCTAAGAGGATATAATTTATAAGGTTTGACAAAATTCTTTTTGAAAGAAGATTTTCTTTTTGCCAACATAAATTTAGAACGTCAGATAGACCAGCGCGCAGTTCATCGAAGACCTATTAGCGCTTACCCAAGGTTGATTTTTAATCTGGGTTTCTTTATTCCTTAATTCAAAAGCCATCTTCCGATAATTTTCTCTAACCTCTTTAGAGCATGCAACAAAAATTAACTAAACATCTATTAACAAACCTAATGAAACCTAAGTTTCTTTTAAAGCTTTCATAACTGATATCAGATTTCACAATAACCCTGAGTTATTTTAACCCAGCTTTGAACAACATGAACTAGAAAGATTACGATATGATATTTGCTTGGCAGGTAGTCTGTTTTGCAAACAAAGGCTTTGGGCAAGATCTGATGTATTTAAGATAGTTTTCAGCGATACGAATCGACTGAGGGCTTGCGAAAAACTGGAGGATTTTAGATGAGATTTACCTGATCCGCACACAAGGCTCTGAAAGTTCATTAGCAATCAATTATCTATAGTTCTTCCCTTTATATTCTGTTAGTAACAACCGATCCCCTTCCATTCCCCCTGAAAACATACATACATCCTTTATTTGGTAAAGCAGGTTGAATAAATGGCAGCTATTGCTGATGTGGACCTGCTATCTAGTTGACACTATACTTTACAAGCCAGACCACATCACAGTAATCTCGTGAGTGGGTTCTTTAACGTCCCCTGCCTAACCAAATTAGTAATAGATGCGGCAGGAGACGGAAGCTACGGTTTATTCGTCCTTATCCGAGAAGACTAGAATGTCTATCCATTTCTTGATATTATAGAAAGGTGGCACATTCTCCTCAGTTTCCCTCCGCAAAACACCCGATCCCTTCAGATGATTTATAATGACTGTTTCCCTAAAGAGTAAATTTGGAGCGGAAGACGGCCAGAATAGTATTCCCCAGACAAGTTTCCAACTATATGAATATCCATGTAAAAAGCGACATCCTTAAGATTGATATTTCATATCTAAGTAGTAAAAATTTAATGGTTTTTCTAATATTCATCGCTGATATCATTTGTCTAGTCTGATATCGATGATAGGGACTTTAAACAAACCACAACGGCAATGACAACCAGAGTTTTAGTTAGTCTTAAGACGAAAACCCCTTCGGCAGATTAGATAAATTTTAATAACGCCGCATCCTTTTTCTGTACACGAATTAATTCGAATTTAGCTTGTTCGTCTTTCTCTTTTTGTATTTTTATCACAACGTGTCACTGCAGTTAGTTGTAAATACCAATGTTGGAAAAGATTCACATCAGAGATTAAGATGTTTATGAAATTCCTACCAAGGAAAGTTACGGTTGGTAACGGTTTTGTATTCTAAGAGATGGATATTAAGCTAAAACTGCTCCTGACCGTTCCATAAAGGCGCCGAAATCGAACTCACATAACTGAAATTTGACTTAAATGATATATTCACATCAAGTGTTTTTTACTTATTTAGGAGCTATAACGAACTTCTACAAGTTTGGACAAACAGTAGGGGTTTTTGAAAACCGTTGAATTAATTGGTATCTATCGCATAACAGACACGACACGATCATCTTCCACCTTGACACAAAGAGAATTTGAGCGTCTGAAACTTAACTCGTTTTGACATAAAACTCAGTTGAAATTTGAACGCGAAACTGTTATAAGGCAGAGTCCGGTCGTTGGATAATCGCAAGCGCAAATTCTAAACTATTTCAAGTTATTTTTTTAGTTCTCACCTGAGGCCACACTTATGGGAAGAAGAAAAACTAAGAAGGCCAGATGGATATGTCGCCTGAAATCTAGAAGTTTCATGCTGGCTTTTACCCATTAATCTGAACAAGAAAGAACCTTGAGCTCAATTAACTTCAAAACCACCCCTCAGGTAAAACCCCTTCTTTGAGACAGGAAGTCTTAAATTTATGAATTGTAATCATTTTTACAAGTGGCCGTTTGTTTGCATCATTAAAGAAAAAATTCAAAGGCAGTTCATACAAGTTTTAAAATACTAACGACAAACCTGCACCGACAAATGATAACACCTAAACATTCCCACACACTCTAGTGCGGAAACGTTATGGAACCAAAGTTTGGACTGTTAGAAAATGTCAAGGAGCTGAAGCGGAAACTTGGACTGGAAAATGGTGGAAAATTATTTCACGAGAAAACTTTACAAACTTGGAAATATAAGAGTGACAAATAACAATATCAGGGTAGATATTTCATAGAGAACGAAATGATTTTTGTCGGCTTTGTGTTTATCACTGATACTATTTATTGCGTCTAACCTTGATAATTATCATTTCTGACGTCTTCTGTACCTAAATGTCATATCACAGGTCAGTGAATCACAAACAAAGCGAAAAGCCGAAACTGACCGCAGAAAGTTAAAATAAATGAAATCTACATTATTAACTAGTGACATAAGGATTTTTCCGTGATAGTGCAATTTAGAAATAGCATTCCTCTACTTATTAGGAAAACACCTACTGAGCATCATTTTACACAAGCTTTATATCCTTGTTATCTTGCTCAGTGTTTAGTATCATTTTTCCTCTACTAGAATAATTTCTTGTTAAACTTGATCGTTGGGTGCTGCCTTTGTGTTTTGTTTAAATACTCTCGCACGTATTATGTTGAAAGATGGTAAATGCATCTAATTAGTCGTCTATATTTAGCCCTTTTTTAATTATCTTTGATATTAGTTATATTTTGTTCTGCAATGTGATATAGTATAGTGCAGAGAATCAATCCAGTGCACTCTCTGCAGGTGAATTTTGCAAAGACTACAAATTGCCTCCTCTCGCAGCGGTAGTAGCATTGCAGTAATTTTTGGTTCTTATCTCTTCCAAACTGCTCTCCAAATCATTTGATCATTTCTACAAATTAAGTTGCATACAAAAGCAGACAAAGTGAAATAAAGGCATGGGACTGACCGAACCAGTACAACATCTATTCAATGTGGGACGACGTACCTTAGTTTGATCTTTGAAAGCTGTTTCTCCGCAGAATTATACAATCTCTTCTTCCATGATCTTGAATACAGAAAGCTGATACTTCGACGCTTGAAACGTCTGCTTGTCAACATTTTACAACGGCTGTTCATCTTTGTGTTACGAGCTCGAAGATGTGAATTGAAACCGGTCGACATGCAGAGTTGAATGTAAAATACGACAACGAGTTTAGTTATGGACAAATTGGTATATCTTCGTTGAAGTTGAACTCAAATGATAATTTTTTACGTTCACGTCTATGAAAATGCTGGTATTAAATACATTACGTAACGACCATTGCAACACAAAGGTAACGTGACAACAAGCATGCACTTAGCGATATCCAAAAGTATTAATTTAAATCACGCAGGACAAACTAGTAATGTTCCAGAAAGACACAGATTAAAATTGGACGGACTATTGGACCCATGGACTATTGGACCATTTTTTGGACCATTTGTCGGACCACTTTTTGGATCATTGTATTTGCTACTCATTGTTAGGAAGGGATGGGTAGGTACCCTTTTACGACCATGTGGGGGGGAAGAAGGTGCTTGTATCAATAAATGCTCCTAAGGAGTTTTCACCGCATCTTATAGTTAATTTTCAATTTTCAAAAAGAACTCGACCGGCCGAAAGGATGAATCGGCCATTCCACCTCTTGTTTGGATTGAATAAATCAATGTGTCGACTATTTGAAAGAATCATTGCCCTATATTGCCATAAAATACAAACATTTTACTTTGAAAAATTAGCTGGTGTTTTAATAAACTGTGCTGTTTTAAAGGTGTCATCAATGTTCGCAGTCAATGAGCTTTATTTTACCATAGGACTCAAACAGTTAAGTCCTGATCGACAGTAAAAACGAAAACCCCTTCGGCAATTTAGATAAATTATCATTCGGAACTCAACACCTATTTTATACTTCGCGCTTACATGGAGGTGTGTTGCTGTAAGAGACAGTAAACACATGCAACCATTCGCGGAATTCTAAGAAGATAAGTACGTGTTTTAAATTGCGTCTTTCTCGACCTTGCCTTCCTGACTTCTAAAAGTTCCTATTACATCATTTCTGCTGTTTGATGTGACGTCACGGGTTCATTATCAATCCCATATGATGCGAGAAGTTTTATTTGACCTTAAAAAGGTAAAACTACGTAATTTGTATTTAAGTGATGAATAATTTCTCCTGGAAAAATTGTACCCTTTTGCGAGTGAATATTTTGAAAAATATTAATTACGCCCCTTAAGCGAGATCGTGGTAGTTTTTTAGATCTTATCTACCCGATAACGCGCTGCAAATCATTTGACTGCACAATCAAATTAAGTACCGAAGAACCCCACCAATTCGAACTCGGTTGACTCGAATTCCCCACTAACTCCAACAAAATGCCATTTTCCGCGGATTTGACCCAATTTTTTCATTCATTAAGCATTAGCTAACTCTTCTCGAAATAAGTTTACTTTACCTTGGCTCAAACTCTCCTTGATACTTTCAAAGTATCAGAACGTAGCTGATTGACACGTTCCAATCTTTAATGACGATTGATACGAACACGATAACATTCAGGTGAAAACGTAATACATTTAGTTTAACTTCCCAAACTAAACACTATTATCAAAAGGCTCATATAAAAATTCTTTAAAAAATGGCTGTTGATTATGCAAGAATAGTGAAAACATTATGAACAGGATTATTGAGCACCTCATGAAATATTAAAGTAAATTACACTAGGAGAGAAATTAAGTGGGAGAATGCAAAATTAAGCAAGTTCGTTTTAACCACGTTAATGGAAATTAAATGCCATTTTATGTTCTTTGCAGATGGAATACTCAGATTAAAGTCTTCAATTCATATTTGTTACAGATATATGTGATGTAATAATGGATAACGGGAGTCGAACAACAACAGAAGTAGAAATAAATTGGGTTATTCACCAACGATGCCCACCAAGAGGAAGCAAAAGTCGTTCTTGGAATGCCTGGGTGAGAAGAAGGTAAGGCACTTAGGAAAACGATAAATGAATCCCCACTCACTTATAACGCCATCACGTAATTCATAAGAATCCCTGATTCTTGGAGTGAGGACAAGGATGAGAAATTAAGGTAGCAACTTTAAAGAATGGGACATGCGTGAACACTGTTTACGTTGACAGACTAAAATTTCTTCAGTTGTTTTATCTTCTTACCTTTTATGGACCTCGATGTACTACATGGCTCACCTACAATACTGAATAGGATTTCGCGTTTAAAATAGCCTTCGAACGAAAATAGGTTAACTTTGGCTACCCGAGCGCCAGTTTCCCCAGTAAAATTTCTAAGTAAAACAGGAAATTAGCAATGGTCACTCAATTCTCCGGGAAAAGGTTCCAAAGGTTACATATCCACCTTTTGCTCTTTGCCTCTATTCACTCATTCAATAATTTTTCTAAATTTATATCTTGTAGGATAAACGTTTTATTTTGGTGGCATTTCTCAAGCCAACTGCATTCAGTTTTATTCTGAAGTTTACCGCGGTTATCAAGGCTGGTGTGGAATACTTAAAAGTGAAGCGAAACGGATACGAAATGAGTTTCTTGCAAGATTCTTTTCGTTTGAATGAAATAAGTAAAAAGTACTCCTTTATTACAAGATCGACTTTACCTTCACCACTACGATTTCTCACAAAAAGACGTAATAATCTACAAAACATTACATATGGATGGGAAGCTAGGTTATATAAAATATGCGACTATTGAACCTTAAGTTTCGTTTAAGCCAGTATCACAGTGAATCAGCAAGTATAATAACATCCGGATTATGCGTTGTGTATGATACGAAAAACATAGGCCACAACAATACTGCAAGCAACTTTCCATATCAACTGATCAGAAGATACCCTAACATGTCGGAGCTGCATTCCACGATATGTCTCTGTCTAGTTTTCTTCATTTTTCTTCTTCCTTTGGCTTCAGGTAAGCACAAGAAAACATGGGTAAAATGTTTCTAGGTTATATCTGGTAGTTGGATCTAAGGAAGTTTTCAGGCTTCAAAGCTTCATATCGCTTTTATAAAAGAATAAAAAAGAACCAGATATGTCTTTATAATTGTTGCTTCTTGCTACAATACGGCTCATTCCTCTCGAGGACAATCTCAACTGGAATTGTTATGCAGTATCACATTTCTCGTGATAAATACTCGTTCATATATTTCTGTTGAGTTGTTGATATCTATTATGTCTGGTGCGAATTCTACCGAAAGATAAACAGGTACTCAGTCATCTTTACCGCCTGATCGGTTTTACAAATATGTTCCAGCTATTAAACCAAAGTAGTACAGCGTATAGTTATGATTTAAGTTGCTCATCGCACAAGTTATTGAGGTCAATAGACATTCATGTTCTCTTCCAGGCCTATGAATGGCATGTATGTACAAAATTCCGTGTCAACACGGAATGTTGTTTTTCGGGTATAAATATTGCTTTTGCAATGTCGGACGTATTCGAACAGGTAGATATATCATCTGTTTCTCGAATGTTCAAATAACTTGAAGTTTTAATTAATAACGAACAAAGGCAGGTTTTTTCCCTCTGATTAGCTTTGAGGGACTCAGCTCAGCTTTCAGAAGAAAACTTGTTTTTTTGTCACAATTTTATGACAAGAATAGTTCAGAGCTCATGGTCTCTTGGAATCGTATGAAGTCGATGTATACCAAATATTCATTTACAATATATACTGATGTCAGTTGTTTGCCGTTGAGCGAAGTGGGTCATATGGCAATGCTGCACTTAAATTAAAGAAGTTGTTCTCTATTAAAATTCTTATTCTCTGAGGAAAGGAGCAACTTGCAGTGAAACTACCCCTGCTTCTCGGCGAAAAAATCATCGTGCCTCGTGATACAGCTGATTCTTTCGTCAAAAGTTAGCTTTTGGTTTACTTAAAGAGATTCTCTACAGCAACAAAACTCTAGAACACTGACCAAGGGGAACCTTCGCCGCATTTAATGCGAAGGATTAAAATATTATGGTACAAGAAACGAACACAGCCACCTATTCTTTACAAAGATTTCGCCATAGAAAACAAAACACAAACGTAAAAAACTAACATTCAGTAACGAAAGTTTTTTACGCTAATCTTAACCTGAACACCGCGGGCGAGAAACCGTCTTAGTCAGTCTTCGTCGAAATCTTCGTTTAATGCACGCGGTTCTCCTTCGTAAGGTTGAACCCAAAACTCTCGATAGAGTTTGCTGAAGGTAGGTAGACATTGCTATCGAACATTATGTCAAGAATTTACCAACGCCGACTGATACAAAATTAGAAGAGATGTGAGAGATTTGTGAGTGTCAACTGAAAGTTTTAACAGTTTTCGACGTCATCACCCGTTAATTCGTTACCAGTCCACGGACACTTTTAAGACAAAACATGAGCACTTTAGGGCCTGAAAATACCGAGTTTAAGACTTTTTGAAATTTTTCTTCTCTCGGAATTGGTTTGTACGTATGGTAAGCTAAATATTTACCATAAAGTCATGTTGACGGCACTTCAATCAAGTTCCTGTGGTAATATTATGAAGGTGAACAAGTTTTCAGAAGACATCTATTCTTTTCTACTTTTCTTAAAAGTTTCAGACAAACATTTGTTATCACATTGAGTTACATTAACATTTCAGTGTTCTTTTCGTTATTGTTTAAAATAAGCTTGTGTTAGTAGAAATTCACGTTCCAGGTACTAATGTTCACGATATTGGTGTTTCAGCTAAGGTATGTAGATTTAAAAGGTGCCATGGATCTCTGGCGCAAATTAGCGTTTGCGGAGAAACACCCATAATTTTAACGCCATTCAGAGCCAAAGAAAAAGAGGCAGCGCTGATTCATGGCGTTGAGCAAAAGGATCGTGGCCATAAACAAGACGTAGATATGACAAATGTATGGTGTTCTTCATATTTTCGGGCGTTGATCACACGTGTTTTGTCTCACTCGTTTTTCTTCTTCGCTTCTTCGTTGAGAGTCCAATTTTTTCTCGTTCAGATTCAAGATTGTATCATTTTTCCTTCTTGACTTAACTCAGTCAATAGATGAAAAACCAATAGTTTCGCATATAACACCTTATTATATTATATTCGGACTTAAAAATTGTTCTCTATGTAGCGGGAAAATTCAGATATAGCATCTTCAAGCGTAAATAGTTAGCCAACTGGACGAGTGGGCTGTTGCAGCCATATTGCTTCTCGATAATCGAGTTGTTATTCTTTCTTCCTACGGTAGTCCAGGTGTTTTATTTGCCAAAAATCGTAACCGTTGGAAGCTCTGATACTTATTTCCATATTGTTATCAATAGTAATAGTGAAATAATTAGATATATGACAATTACAGAAATAATAATGAAAATAATAATGATTATAATCACTGCCTATGCTATAATAAATGCTCCAAGATTACGCAGTATCTCATGAGCAAAGTACTTAATTTTCTCTGCTTTTAGCTGATTGCATTGATCTGGATCTGGGAATGGAAAATGGAGCGATTCCAGACAATAAAATAGCAGCTACATCTGAACTAAGTGCTGCCAAGAATGGTCGACTAAACTACACATCAGGATCATCATGGTGTGCAAGACCAAGTGACACTAACCCATATCTACAGATTGATCTACAGACACTTTATATCATCTGTGCTGTGTCCACTCAAGGGAATTCTCAAGCAGATCATTGGGTGAAAAACTATACACTTCAATTCTCCAATGATGGGAATACTTGGATGGTCTACAGAGAAGGCGGACAAATTAAAGTACCATGTCAAAGACCATGTCACTTGGCTTTTAATGATATTTCAAGTTGTCTGCAAAATAAAATAAAATTCGATTGCGTGTTTGTTTGACACTTCCTCCGGAGTGAAGATACGTTCAATTAATGGAGAAAATTGTTCAAGTTGTTTTTCTTGGACAAATACAGGGGAAAGTTTTTGTTCGCACGCCACCCTCAAAACTGAATGCCATTAGACTTGCTAAAACCTAATTTAATTGTTTAAAGGAGGGAGGAGGAGCACAAAGATGAGAAAAAAAACCAAGATGCTTGATGCTTAGAGTTATAAGATTGTTATTATTTTTATTTACTTATTTTTTATTTAATTTGTAGCTGATGGTTTTGATTTCAGACCTTTCAGGGAAATAGTGACAGAGCCTCAGAGGTGAAGCATGTTCTTTATGAAAGTGTTGAAGCACAGTACCTGCGAATCTTGCCAAATGCATACCATGGTGCTGTGTGTATGAGAATAGAGGTGTTTGGTGTTAAGCAAAAACCAGGTTATTATAATTTTTGTTAGTTTCCTTCTGCCCAATGAATAGCCAAATTTAAAAAATAATTATTATAATTATGCATAAACAACCCAAAATACGAAATGACACCAATTGAAAACTTACCTTTTGAAAAGAATTATTCATACAAACTCCAGAGCCAAACTAAAATAGGGAGATCATTACATTGTATAAAAAGTCTAGTATAGTATCCAATGACGAATATTGGCTTTCAGATTGGCGCAGGCTATTCACAAATCTGTCGATCTTATTCTCTTTTATCTAATGATTGTGAGAACTTTAGTCCATCTATTTCAATCTGCAAGGGTACGTTTACATTTATGTGTCCTTTCTTGTCTTTCTTGGGTGTAAATTAACTCTAAAATTAGTTTACCTTTAACAGGGTGATATAAATGTTTGCAAAATACACGACATTAACGCTGGAGGTTTATTAACTGAGTTGATATTTATTTCTTTGCTGTCCTTACACAGAGAATTTTGCCCTTGGTAAGGCCACCCTTCAGTCTTCAACATATAACAGTACTCAGTTGGGTGTGTCAGGTGTGTCAGAGAACGCAGTAGATGGTAACTCTAATACTGAATTTAGAAATGGAAGCTGTGCACATACTCAGTCAAGCAATTCAAGCTGGTGGAGAGTTGACCTGGGTTCAGATAAGGTTCCAGTCTCTGACATATTCATAGTAAACAGATTTTCAACAGTTACTCATGTGATGGCCAGAAGCAAAGATTATAAAATTACTTTGGGTGAGCAGTCACTATACTTTTCATGTAATCAATATGAGATAAGCTTAAGATAAATGGGTACATTAAAGTAATAAAACAAAGGCAATTCCAGTATATGAGGTTGGAAAACCATAGTTGCATGCTCAATCTCAACCTATCTATGTAGAAGTTTTACCATGCAAAAGTGTGCAAAATATTATGCGAATATTAAGAAAAATGTTGTAGAGGGAGCTATATGTTGCTTTTTCAGTTTGATGTTTCTGTTGCTGCTGAATTGGGATATTTGAACCCCTCGATATACTTTGTCTATTTTACAAATCACTATGATTTGTTGCTTCAAACGATAATGATGGATATATTTTCTGTTTATTGATATTGGGTTAATAATACAGTTACATTTACGTGAACATACACGTAAACTGTTGTTTCCCTTTGAAATTGTCTCAACGAAACCCAGTTTGATGGGGAAAAACAAGTTTATAACATTAATTAAATACATTTAGACAGTAGTTTGTCACATATGTGCCATGTACAGTACATTGAGATAAACTTTTTTTTATTACATCAGGTAACGACTCAGTAGTAGTAAACAACCCTCAGTGTCAAGGATTCTACAGTTTTGTTAACTTCAAAGCATCAGCTGTTTGTTTTACCAATCCACTGACAACTGGTAGATATGTAGGGATATCAACAGTAAGGGAACAATTTCTACAACTCTGTGAGGTGGAAATCTATTTGCGAGGTACATATCATTAAAAACAGAGATTGGTATGGACTAAAAATCTTTGTAGCAAAGTTTTGAAGTTTTTGTTTAACTTAAGTGACAATGATAGTTCCAAAATCTTCTCTGACCTCACTTTTGATGTGACCAGATGCTGATTAACATAATTGCATGTCTCATTTCAGACAATCTTACATTTGGAAAGCAAACAGATCAAAGTAGTGTAAGCTATGGTGGTGTAAGTAGCAGGGCAGTTGATGGTATCAGTAACACAGACTATTACGCTAACAGCTGTACCCACACTGGCAAAGAACTCAACCCTTGGTGGAGAGTTGACTTGGGACAAGTTGAACCAGTTTCAGAAATGTACCTAGTCAACCAAGAAAACCAGTGGTTTTACAGGCAGAATAATTTTGAGATCAGAGTGGGTAGGTAAGATCATTTTTGAAATTGTAACGCCATACCATAGTGTCAAATATTTCAAGCAATCACATCTCATGATGTAGGTAGTGTCAAGTTGTCTTCACACTTTGGCTGGTGGGTTTCATTCAAGTTTATCTACGCCTATATGCAGAGACATTAAGCAGAAATATTTGTCAAATGCATCATGATAATTCATTATCACAAAGAGTTATCACTTACCTTCTGCTCCACTCGTGGAAGATATGATGGAATTGTGGAGGCTGAACTCTAGATCCAAAGGTCCAGTTTGTAGCCTTGTTTTCCATTGTGCTCCAATGTTTGAGAATTTACTGTCATATTGTCCCTTTAAAGTGAGGAATGCACAATTTAAATGAAAGCTGAACATTAATCACCTGCTATAATGGACTAGTTACTCTTCTGTTATGGCTTCATCGTTTAAACTATGGCCCACTTGTTGGGCGGATAACGCTATTCAACGGATAAATCGCTAACGAGTGGATAAGTGTTAACAAAATGTGCTGCACTATCCACTGGATAGATCAGATTTATCCGGTGGATAGCATTGTCCTACACTCCAGCATCTTATGACCTCCAGTTATGTTAGCCCTCTGGCCTCATGTAATACTCTCATACCACTGGGTAATGATAGTAGAGCTTGGTAAACAAGTTCTTGGTTACTTTTTCTGCCAAAGCATAAATTTTTTCATGATTCTCTATAGGGACAGTATTCAATAGTAGAGGAATTACCAATCCCAGGTGTGGTGACGGCCAGAGTTACAGCCTTCCAAGAGGAAAAGGTGTATCCTTTTTCTGTCGTCCTGTTTTATTTGGAAGATATGTGACAATAAGGAGCTTAAGAACTGACCGTGAACACTTCACACTTTGTGAAGTTGAAGTTTATTCTGAAAGGAGAGGTAACACACTTTATATAAAATACCTGTATATGTTTGAAAACCTCACGCTGATTGAAGTCTTAAGTTATTGCACAGAGGAGTTATGCTAATGTACACTAGTTCTACATTCATGCTTTACCTTACTATAGAACCATCCCATGCCTTTGCTCCGACATATTTAAAAGACATTTCTCTCTACCATGCTTTAACTGTGCCTGCAGGTACAATTTGATTGAATCCCAGTAGGCTCAATCTTACTGCCATTTTCCTCAATTTTTTTTCTTTCCATGCATCTACGATCAGAGTATTGATAATATTGATTCCTTTTAGAGTTAGTTAGAGGAATTTCTGCTCTAGGTTCAAATGCAATTGAAAACTTTTGTGCCAGAAGGTCTCATTACACTTTACCTTACAATAAAACCATTCCTAGCCTTCGCTCTGAATCATTTAATGGACAGTTCTCTCTGCCATGCCTTAACTGTGCCTGCAGGTACAACTTAATTGAATTTTTTTTCAAAACCTTTATGCTAAGTGGAAAACATTAGTACAATATTGAACATAGATTAATGTCAAATATGTATTGAAAGTCTGGTACTATAGACTCCAAAAAATATTTCAAATCAATACAGCTGATTACATAAATGAAAACCATCAGATTATTAGACAGCTCTGATATGATTTATTTCGACTGAACCTTACATAAATGCAAATTAGTTTTGTAGTGGCAGGTTTGCTGTCTACTTCTTTGTGTTACATGTATCTGCTTGTAATTAATCAGTTCATCGTTTTCTTATAACTGATTACAGCTTGCCAAATGCAGGCCATAGGTGTGGCTAGCACTGACACACTTCCTGATGCCAGCTTCTCAGCATCAAGTGAACGTACAAATCTTGAAGCTTTTAAAGGTCGACTGAATGCATTTAGGGGATGGTCACCCAGCAGAAATGATAGGCCTGATGATTATCTACAAATTGATCTGCAGTATGAGTTTCTTATTTGTGCTGTAGCTACTCAAGGGAGGTCAACTTTTGATGACTGGACAACTGAGTACAAGTTACAGCTATCCTTGGATGGTTCCACTTTTGTGACCTACAAGGAAAACAATGTTGACAGGGTCGGTTAAAAAAGGCACAGCTGAGATTAAATACAGAACTGTAAAAGACATTCTTAGAGTTGTACTAAAGGGTGATTTCAAGAGCTACGTGTATGCGGGAGTTTAAGTCTCAAACTCTGAACCCTGGAGAAAGTTTGTGGAATGGTGGTCGTGTTCTTAGACTTAAATAGAAGGTCACAATCTTAAAATGCATTACCCTTCATCATGTGCTGAGATTTAAATAGAAATGAGCATCTATCATGGGTGGACATTCATGCATGTCTCTAAAAGAAAGGAACTTAAACGTATATGTTACAGGTTATAGTAGTATCCTGAGTAAGAACAATATGTATGCAGAATATCAAGTTTTCTGTCATATATGCATAATGTAAATTGAATTAACTGACCTTATAAAGCAGGAAAAAGAGAACACATCTGGATACTTTGGTGCACAGTGGCCGCTAAAGTAGTCTTGAGCACTGACTGGCCGCTAGTAGCTGAGAAATGTAATAATAACATTGTTCCAGAGTCTGCTATGACCAACAACAATAAAATTGATATTCAGTTAAATAATGAGCTCATACTTGAATTAATTGTTTTAGACTTTCAGTGGCAATTCTGGAAGACATGACATTGTCAAACACAATCTCAGAGATGTGAGGGCAAGGTTCATCCGTTTCCAGCCTGTCAAGTTTGTTAGAAACAAAGCTTTGAGAGTAGAGGTGTATGGAGTTCTTGTATCTAGAGGTATATTATGTTTAATTTAATATCATCAAATTTTCACATTCATTAATTATAAGTCTGGTATATTGGTTAAGTTAGTACATAGCCTCTTTGGTCATTGGATGTAGTTTATTTTTGTGAATACTACTTGTAGTTGAACATCATGTACAGGTGTATATGTAGGCAGAATTAATAAGTGCCATTTTCCACAAAAAAGGCCTTAACCTACAGCTGTGTGACTCCCAGTCATGGAGCTGGATATGTACCTATGTTATATTGGTGGTAGTCTGCACGTCTAAAGGAATCTACAGATAGGAAGTAGATTTGTTTAAATCCGTTTTGGGATGCGTTCTTCTCCCATTTACATAATTGATTACATATATTTGTTCCCAACAATTCCTAAGACCCCCTACAAATTAATACTTTTAAAACTGTGCAAGACTTTTCACTAACTGGAAGAGTAAGGCTTGGTTAAATTTGATCTCTTAAATACCACATGAATTGATTTTTATAAGCAAAAAACGAAGAATATTGGTATCAATGTTATTATTATTATTATTATTATTATTATTATTATTATCATGATCATCAATATTATTATTGCCATTATTCAATTATCATTCTGTCTTGATTTCAGTCCCTTCACAAGCACCCAGTGAATTGACTCTATCTGCAACCTCTGCTGCAAGTATTACTGCATACTGGCGGTTACCTCCTGCGTATTCCAGACATGGAATCATTGCAGGGTTTAAATTGTTCTATAAAAAGAAAGGGCTCAGGTCAATACGTGTGGAAACTATCAATGGCGGAACAACCCTTTCTGTGGGAATTAATGGTCTGGATAAGTACACAGAATATGAATTTCAAGTGTTGGCTTTTACATCTCATGGTGATGGACCAAAGAGTTCTGTTGTGGTGGAGAGAACATTGAAAGATGGTAAGAAATTTGATTGTTTGTGGCAGTGGCACTTCCACTCCTATTGGTTTTCAAGAGCCTATCACGTTGTAAAAGTTGGGTTGACATGAATGAAAGTGCAGTAATATGTTTGACTGTGTATATATGTTGACATCCTAGCAAAATATTTATTAAAAAGTTTAATCCCTAGAATCTGATCGTTAAGTTTCCTTGTAACTTAGTCAAGAAAATCTGTTTTTTTTCCACTAGTTAGGTCTTTTTAGGTCTTTAAAGTTAAAACTGTTAAGCAAAATGCTTTTTATCTGTCTTATTTTGAATCAATATCAGCATCCAAGTTCCTGCATACCTAACCCAACATTAACCCTACTTGCTCTCAGTTGACTGTTCTTGAGTAAGGGGAGGGGTAGTTATGCAGTTGCTTAGATGTTGGCATTAATATATTATTTCTGTAAGTTTATCGATTATGCTCACTATGACAAATGAAGATGTAAAATGTAAAATATACTCTAATACATAATACACCAAACTAAGTGCAATTTTAATTTCTACATTTAGAGCACTATTAATTTCTGACTTTTCCTCTAATTATAACTTTTTCTTTAGCACCTGGTCCTCCGGCTTCCCTCAATCATACTCTTAAAACACCGACTGAGTCACATGGACCAATGATAACTTTATCCTGGACAGCCCCTTCACAACCAAATGGAGTTATCAGGAATTACACTGTGTTTTACCACCACAGTGAAGATCCACTTAATACTCTCAATGAGACCTTTGGACCAGATGTCTTTAGTTACACAATTGATGTGTTGGGTGGAGTCACCTATTGGTTTGACGTCAGAGCTGAGATGATAAAACCTGGAGAGAAGGCCTCTTTAATCGTTAATATCTCAGAATATAGTAAGTGTAATGTAGTCAGTCTTACGTATCTCATCGATGTTAACGAGAAGCAAGATCTCCATTACCGGTACATTTAGATTAGTCGCGTAAAGTGAAGTAAAAAAATGAATTCAATTTTAGTTAAACCACAAAACATAAGTTTGGTGGGATAAAAAAAGAAATTATTGGAATAAAATGAGATGCACGAGGGTGACATGAGTTTGAAATGACATGTTAAGACCATAAAAACTTCTTAGGGTATGATGTTTAACTTTTGACTGAATTGTTATCCGCTAGAGCCTAATAGTGGCCCAGCTAAGGTGTTTTCTGCCTATGTGAACAAAACCACCTTAAACATTTCATGGGCACCTCTACCAAGAGAACAGAGTAATGGCGGCATCATTCTGTACAACGTCAAAGAAGAGTTGTTGTCTCGGGGAACACAACAGAAAAGATCACCTCTGAGCGGCAAAACAGTCAATACAACAGACACATTCATTTTATTGAGTGGATTATTGCTTTGTTCGCAATACCAAGTGTATGTTCGAGCTTATACCAAAATAGGTCCTGGCCCATATGGTCCACCTTTAGAACTGCCGAGAACGTCAGGTAAGTAATATATATCAAAATAGCGCCTTAAAATTGATGGAAGTAGAACCAGTGCAAGAGATTACACTTCGGCAAATCAGAACAGAGAAAAACATCGTAGGGAAGCCCAACCTTTAAGTAAAAAGATAAAAATAAGTCGTTTTATCTTATGTCCGTACGGTCCTGTGCACCTTATTGGGAAGCACTGAAAAAAATCTCCGGATGAGGGCCTTGCGCGATAACCCGAGCTGGGCCATGAAAAGCCGTACGCCTTTGTGCGTGACCTTTGGAGATGCTAAAATCAAAAAAGCGAGGAAGAAAGAGAGAGAGTAGCCACATTGAACTGCTCTTCCGACTTCAGTTACATTCAGATTGTGGGAAAGGTTAACAGGCTTGGAACAGACGTTTAGAGATTAGATTTGGAAACTGAAGAATTTAATATCGTGATATAGTCATGTGAAAGCGTGTTTTTACTTCGCTTTCGTTTGAGGAAACTAATTTTTTCTTTAGTACTGAAGTCACGATCATTTTTATCAAAGACCCAGGAACACCTTGGGGTTTGAGTGCCTCAAATGTTGGAACAACGCGAGTGAGTCTGGAATGGAAAGAGCCTGAGCTAACTACGAGAGAAGGCATTAGTTATAGGGTAAGCTAAACGAAAGAGATAAAAATTTCAATTTAAATGGAACATTTAAGTTCACATTCCAAATTTATATTCACTTGAAATGTAATTGTTTCTGATATTGCGGGCGCAAGTGGCTCACAGCAAACGCTTACAATTAAACCTTTGAATTTTGTCTTAAATGGAGCCTTTGGTGCAATTACATAAAATTATATCTGCCCGTGCAGTTGTTAGAGTTCATTTTTCTACATTGATCTCATGGATTTAACAACTATTAGAAGAAAGTAAACCTAAATGGAGTTAATTATTATTTAATTATATCCTTTATTGTCCAAGGTAATAGTTTTTGTTTTTTTGTCGGTGCGGATGAAGGGTTTCTTTGTATTTACATTGATTTTATCTTAACTCCTTATACCCTAACATCAGTTTTCATATTCTCCATGCTGTTCTCTGTAAATTTATTATGGAACTTAACAATCAAGAGCTTCTTTGGTTGGTTATCATTTACTTTATTCTCTTGACCTTAATCTTTGATTCAGGGGTGATGTTGTGAGGAGAAATTAGATGCTAATTAAAAAGGGTTATTAAAAGTAAACTGTTATTATTTACCTTTGATCGTTTGAATCTTCTCAGTAGTTAAGCATTTTTTTTTAATTTCTCATTGTCTCTTAAGGTAAAGTATCTCGGAACAAAGCCTTCCAATGGAAGCTTCAGAGAGGAAGGTGTCCAAGACGTTGGCAGTTCCACCTCTTACACCATGAAAGGTTTAGTTCCAGGCTCTACCTATGAGTTTCAGGTTTTGGTGAGCTCGGTATGTGGATTCGGAGAACCCAGAAGGTTTCCTGATAGGATCAAAACAAAGATGACAGGTATACCTTGATGTAAACGATTATTTTCCTGTTCTAAAGCCATGCAGTTAGAATTTTAGTATCATTTGTTCCATAGATTATCAGGACCTTGTTTAAGTGATAACCTATTTTAGAGTTCCGTAAAAAAAAAAACATACGATATATATGGGAAGTAACTCCTATGAAATGCAAAGATCATCTTTTCAGTGGCTTGCATATTTATAGAGGACGTTTCAGAGTCAGAGTTTACCCGGATCATGCTATCGGAGTGGCTATCTGAGTGTACAGTATCTTGCTTTATATTAGCTTGGCATGCTGGCGCATCTGAACTTAAAGCCGCCTGTTAGTTTACAAACATTTAGAGTCCTTTTCGATGGCATCTTGATAAAATCAGACCACTTGTAAACTCTAAACGTAGACATAAGGATTCCTTTTCATCTTTGGACAAGAAAGGAGAGAAAACAGGAGAGCAAGGGAAAAAGGATTGTAAACATTACAGAACTATTAAAGTGAACATGTCATTTAGCTAAGCGCAAAGGCCGATTCCTCGAATATTAACCATAGGCTAGACATAAAAGAAAGACCGAGGACTTCTATTGATATTCTCCCCGAACTGTTCCAAGTATTGTTACGTGCTTTCACTGGGTATTTTCCAGTCTAAAGCAACATTATGGATGGATGCATTTCCTCTTTCTAGAAAATTGTGATAATTTTACTCACCTAGTACATAATTTTCCTCTGTAGCTCCAATGGCCCCATTTGTACCTCAGTGGACTAATATGGAGATCTCGGAGTTATCGGTCGAAATTAACCTCTGGCCTGTAGAGCAAAGAAATGGTCCAGTAAGGTGCGTGACTGTAGAATGGAATGTGCGGTATTCATTTATTAAGTCCATAATATACATGGAAAAATTACGCGCGTCTGATTGACGGAAAACGAGTCATTTTTTTCATGTAACATAAGTGCAAATTACAAATAGCGCGCACGCGATACGTTTTTCATGTGAATTATTAACAAGTAATAACACGATTATCGTGTTATTTGGTTTAAATAAGCACTTGTAAATTTTCCAAAGACTAAAAATTGCATTTCATAAAAACTTTCTCGTGCTTATTAACAACAAATTGCACTCGAAATCATGTTGTTACCAACAAGTTTCAGGTGAAGTACTAGCATAAGTATTCCACTTATTCTAAAATGATGGATTTTTTATTTACTGTTGGTGTCCTTATTGGTTTTTGCTCGTGATCCCAAAGATGAGACAGACAAAGCATCAGCCTATTTAACCCTTGTTCCCCTAGAAATGATTAATACCTAACTTCTCCCTTAACATCTATACAATATCCAGCAAACAATTAACGAGAATACTCAAACTTATTAGATAGAACTTGTTTTCTCGATCTAACACCAAATTCTCGTTACAAATTTACAAGGAAATGTGTAGCGAGTAGAAGGGAGAATTAATGATCAGATCTTGAGAGTTAAAAGGTCAATAAACAATATACATTACTGTACGTTAATTTTTATTCACTCCACCTTTTATCTCAGGACCCTCAGAAACCTATTTATTTATTCATTATATTTTCAAATGAAAGATTAATGAGTAAACGTTACGACTCTTTTTCATGAAGATGTGAAGGAATTAAACGGAGTATGTGGGCAGAGTCTACTACATGATTCTTAGATCTAAATCTGATGTCTTTAACGTCTATCAGTTTTAAAAAAGGGACGGAACGATGGTTAGAGTTTCATTGATAAGAATTTCGCTCTTATTCATTATTTCAGTGCCTATCAGGTAATTGTTCTTAAAGTCTCTGATTGTGTTCAAGACTTGAATAGAAACAACACGAACTTTTATCCATTTTATGTTGCTGCGGAGTTGAAAAATAACCCTGTCCATGAGAAGTCTTGGAAGTTTACCGTTGGTGATGGGAAATCGTATGGAGCCTTTGTTAACAATGAACTGACAAGAGGAGAAAACTACATTGTATACCAAAGAGCCTTAACCGATTACAACGGTGTAAGTAAATTTTAATTTCCGTGAAATTTCTGCTTAGGGTTACAATTAATGACCCAAACGTTGGATCTGGTAAGTTAACAAAAATCGTATGAAAACCCCACGTTTTTACGGACATGTTGTTCGTGCTAAATTTCTTTTCCTTATATCAAGGAATCAACAGAATTGTCGGTCACTTTTTGACCTTTTTTCCGTTTGACAGCAATTTTTAGAAGGAGATATCAGCAAAATCGCCATGATTTCTATTAAACCAGGTAAGTGATTCAATATTCACTAGATACTCAGAAAGCTCTATTTTCAAAAGTGATTAAAGACCTACGGTTAGTGTAGCGAGTGTTTGAACAATTAAAAATCTCTGCCCTGCTGGCCATGGGTAGGAAAAAATTCCAGCAAATTCGCTTCGATGGTTAATGTTTCATGCAGAATCCAGATTTGCATTTATTCATCGGCTGACCTTGCATATCATACAACACTACTACAGTAACATCCTTGTCATTATTATATGTCATTGACTCGTTTCACTGCGACAAAAACTCTTTTAATTTAATAAAGAGCAAACACGTGATTCGACGAAATTCAGCTTTATGATGAACAAGTGCCGTAGCTTTGGCACGTGGACGTAACTTGTTCTCTTAGTGTTTGGGTTCATGCCCATCAACAATTCAATCATACGCTTTTTCTGCCAATACAATACAATACAATACAGTTTATTTTACGTCGGTAACGTAGGGGGTGGTTACCCAATCCCCCGAGCCTAATGGCTCAAGTTGAAAACGCTCGACATATAAAATACAGATGTGTATATAAATATATGTACAAGTTTAATATATGTATATCTGACGAAAAAATCGCAAAAATATCACCTAGCCCCCTACGCCTAACCCTAATCCTGAACTTCCCCTGAAACCCTACACCTAACTTGTAGCCCTAACCCTGAAGCCTAATTATCAATTCATAACCCAACCCCTACAATTGTATACTAATACACTTATTACACTTACAGCCAAGCGTAGTTATGCGAGATAGGCCAGTCTTAAATTTTGCTAGAGTAGTTACCGATTTAACTGAAGATGGTAGCTGGTTCCAGGAATGAGAGATAATATATGAAAAAGAGCTATGAATATGGCTAGAGGTGTTTACAGGCTAGGAAACATTAAGAGCAGAGGAGCGCAATTTGTAGTGACAGACAAAACTTTACTTTCCAAAACTTTCCTTTCTTTTTAACATGCAGGTATAACTTAGGACACCAAAGGATAAAACTGTAAGTATTATGGAGTTTTGCAAACGCGCTCATTATTGTGCCATTTTGATTTTCAGCTGAAAGCCGAGTACTTTTCGCTACTGTCATCGCACTTTCTGTCATTGTGTTTTTCTCTCTTATTGTGAATGGTATCCTGATATGGCGGTTAAGACGAGCCGAGCCTAACAATAGAACAACCATAGTAAATAGTGGTATCCCTGTCCCATCTGGTGTTCATCAAGCGTCAGAACCTGGTGTTTATATGGAGCTGCAACCCAGGCCTTCTGACGGGCAGTCACGTGAACCACCTGAATACCAGTCACTGGACGACAGACGAGTGACCCAAGATTACTACAATATGGGAGTTTCGGAAGGAAGCTTGGACGAGAGGGGAGTAGTTTATGAAAATTTGGAGTAAAATGTGAGTGTCTTCCACTTGAAAAAAGGTGCGGATCATCGATATAGCCCTTCATATCAACAAGACCCGTGGTTTTGATTAAGTGATATTTTCTTTATCAACTCAGTTGATAACATTTAATTACCCTGATATTACATCTTGTTTGCTGCAGTATTGTATTGTTGTTACATCACTACACGTGTTGATTTTTTTCTCAGTTTGAGATGAAAATGATATCCTTTGATGCCACAAACACAATACTTACTGAATCAGCAGGAGTTATATAATTTTCCTAAAAGTATGTCCTGTTAATGTCATTTGTAATAGAAAGCTGTTCTAGTTGAGGTAAGCCAGAGTAAAATTTTAGCACTTCGTCGCTTCTATGCCGACCAACGCAGATTATATTTTCAAATTTTTATTTAAATGATTATTGCAGGTTTTCAAAGTAATTTTCGGTGGAATTATAAGGTATATTTAAATGTTGTTCGACGCTGGATAAATTATCGTGTTTGTAGCAAGTTATTAAAAACAGCGAATAAAGGCCGCGAGACAGTTACGTGAGGGACGTGCGAGGACAGAAGCAAATGGCTTCGCTCCCTTGCCGCGGGTGTGCGCACGTGTGAATCGCGCACCTTGTTAGCCTGAGAAACGCAAACAATTAAGGATTGATTCATTGCGATTTCAAGCTGTAACTGAGCGATAAACTGGAAAAGGATAGTCTTAAATTAATGGTTGCTCTCAAGAAGGTCAGTTTTTGCATAAGAAGCGAAGGTTTTGTTCAGAAGAGAGGGAAAGCCACGATTCTACGAGGTAGACATGAAATGAGTGAAAGCGGCGAGCCTAAAGTTCAGTTTGGCAACAAAATCTCAGTTCATTGACTTATTTGTATTTTATTTAAACTTACCCTTAGTTTGATTGTCCACCAGGCAGTTTCAAGGGCTTCAAAACCCACAAGAGCGAAAACGAATTTTTCGTCAGAATGATTCATGGCGTGTTCATGCCTCGAGGGACTGTTTGGACTGAATGTTCATAATTAACTTGAATATGTATTAGCATCAGGTAAATGAATATAATAAACCTAAATTTATTAATTTATTTTGTCACATTCCTTACATGCTTTGGAAAGGATTTTTTTTTAAAAAATAGCTTGAAATCGATTAATAAGAAAAAAAAATTATTTACAACCCCGACTGAGATGAGCGTTTAACATTACTACATTTGAAATGTTAACGTGACTGTGGGAATTTTGCAATGAAATTCTTTTTTCACATAAAGGATATGAATCACAAGAACTTTGCCATATTGCAAAGACATATTGCAGCCACAGAAAACGTGTAGCAATATAGAAAAAAGGCTGGTTATATTATCTAATTCTTGTATATGTATTATTACTGTAGTTTTTCATTTACTCACTGAGAATTTGAAAAAAGACCACGCTCATGTCTTAAGCCAAGATATCGCTTGCACTGCGAGAACGCTGATGCTGAGTGAACGTTGGTGGATACGTCCGAACCTTTATGCACGTTTTCTGGCCCAGACCTCCTTCTTTTTGTGACACATTTTCGCGATGTTTTTTGTCCATTTCCTTAGGAATAATTTTATAAGTAACTGTCCCACTTTTTATGATTCCTCATATGGAGGGAACTTGATAAGCGCAAAATCGAAGGGCTAAGGAGGGTATGGTCAAATACAGGTGAAATACATGGTATGTCATGCAGCACATTAGAGCTGCGCTACCTTTCCCCCCTAGAAAATATCAGCTTGACAAAAATAGCCCCCTAACTTTTTCTGAAGGATGATTTTGTCTGTTACGTTCACTTTTCTAAACATTCCAATTTTATTGCCTGTATGGTAATCACCATTTAAGGGAAGTGGCCTATAATATATTGGCCCTAACTCTTAAGGTGGAAAATGCGTTGAATCATGATCACAAAACCAACAATGGTTGTACTTTGATGGCGATTGATACGAACATGATGACATTTAGATGATAACGTACTACGTTTAGCTTAACTTCCCAAACTAAACACTCTTATCAAAAGGCTCATATAAAAATCCTTACGAAAATGGCTGTTAATTATGCAAGAATAGTGAAAACATTATAAACAGGATTATTGAGCACCTCATGAAGTATAAAAGTGAGTTAAACTGGGAGAGAAATTAAGCTGGAGAATGAAAAATTAAGCAAGTTCGTTTTAATCACATTAATGGAATTTGAATGCTATTTTATTTTGTTTACAAATGAAAATACGCAGATTCAAGTCTTCAAATCATATCATTTATAGATATATGTGATGTAATAAGGGATAACGGGAGTCAAACAAGAATAGAAGTAGAAATAAATTGGGTTATATATCAACGATGCCTACCAAGAGGAAGCGAAAGTCGTTCCTGGAGTGCTCGGGTGAGAAGATGATTACGTGCCAAGGAAAACGATAAATAAATCTCCATTCACTTATAACACCATCACGCAACTCATCAGAATCCTTGGTTCTTGGAGTGAGGACAAGGATGAGAAATGAAGGTAGCAACGGTAAAGAATACGAAATGCGTGCACACTGTTTACGTTGACAGACTAAAATCTCTTCAGTTGTCTTATCTTCTTACCTTTTATGGACCTCAATGTTCTACATGGCTAACCTACAATACTAAAGACGATTCTGTGTTTAAAATAGCCTTCAAACGCAAATGGATCAATTTTGGCTACCCGGGCGCCAGTTTCCCGTGTAAAATTTCTAAATAAAAAAGGAAATTAGTGATAGTCATTCAATACTCCGGGAAAAGGTTCCACAGGTTTTATATATTCATTCATGCATTTCTCTATATTTACATTTTGTAGGATAACCGTTCTATTTTGGCGGCATTTCTCGAGCCAACTGCTTTCAGTTTTACTCTGAAATGAAAAGCGAAATGGATACGAACTGAGTTTCTTGCAAGATTCTATTCGCTTTAATGACGGAAATAAAAACTGCACTTGTATTAGAAGATCAACTTTATCTTCACCAATACGATTTCTCACAGAAAGACGTAATAATCCACAAAACATAACATATGCTTGGGAAGCTAGGTTTTATAAAATATTTATTTATGTATTTATTTATTTATTTAAAACAACTTTATTTAAATAATAACATATAATATAAACTATTGTAAACGATACCCCAGATATTTTATACTATGCAATATAAATGTACACACTGAAACATTTTACATACAAGCATATATCTATATAAGTATAAAATCTAAGTAAAGAAGACATATCTAAGATAAAAATTCTGTTGAAACGATGAATAATTAAATGATGTATAATATATAGAGTAATTTAATTTTGTACTCATAGGCCTAGTTAAATAATGTTTATTTTGGAGCTTTCTTAAAAGTATTCATTGAGTCAAGTTCAACTACTGATGACTGTAAACTGTTCCATGTGTCAATATATCTGTGCCAAAAAGAATACTTTAAGGTATCTGTACGGCAAAATGGTTTATAGAGTTTAAACTGATTACTTTTTCTTGATAACCTGTTACTGAAAGATATGTAATCATTAGTGTTTACGGAAGAGTGTCCTTTAATGAACTTAAAAAGCTGAACCAAGCTAAGATACTCTCTGCGTTGAACTAGCGTCGGTAGTTTCAAGGATTTCAGTCGGTCTTCATACGGAATGTCTTTACCAACGATCCATCTTGTAACGTTCCTTTGCACGCATTCAAGTTTTTCAATCAAATGTGCTTGGTGAGGATTCCACGCTTGACAGGCGTACTCGGGTATTGGACGGATCATGGCTTTATAACCAGTAAAAAGAGCCTTAGAGTGAGATCCAAATGTCCGCTTGAGAAAGCCCAATAGTCTGTTCGATCTTGCAACAACAGGCAGTACGTGGGGTTTCCAAAATAAATCATCGGAAAGAATCACTCCAAGATGTTTGTGTGTAAATACTTGGGTAAGTAGCTTGCTATTAATAGTGTAGCTGCACGGAGAGTGAGTTCTAGCCTTGGTGAACTTCGTGGACTCGCATTTGTCAGCATTTGTTCTTAAAAGCCATGAGCCACACCGATCAGTGACTTTATCTAGACTCTCCTGGGCAGTGATGGACGTTTGAGATGGAGGGCAGTAATTATAGATTAACATATCATCAGCAAACATGTCTGCAGGACTTGATAAAAATTCAGGGACGTCATTGACATACAGGATGAATAACAGGGGGGGAAGAGTGTTCCCCTGTGGAACACTAAATATGACAGGCGCCCAGTCAGATTGGCAGCCCTCGATAACGACACGTCGAGATCGACCTAGGAAAAGATTGGATAGCCAGGAAAGTAGAGAGCCGGTAATGCCAAAGCATTCTAGTTTGAGTAGAAGACGGTCGTGAGGAACCGAATCGAAGGCCCTTTCAAAGTCCAGAAATATCACATCGGTGGTAGAGAGTCGTTTATCTAGTGCTTTAGCCCATTCATGGAAAAGGTGTATCAACTGAGAGGTACAAGAGTAGCCAGGACGAAAGTAGATTATTTGATTCAATAAGTCGCTGATGATGTGCGGCTGCCATTGAGCTACAAGGTACCAGTCAACATTCGGTAGATTAAAATCCCCTAGCAAAAGGACATTAGACGATGGTGGAAATTTTTCTAGTGATTGGACCAGTTTAATTAGGGGGCCATATCACTGATAGAGGAGTGGTGGTATACTCCAATAAAGTATGTTGAGCAGGGATTGAAATGGACTTCACTCCAAAGGAATTCACAGTCCGTTTCGAGGTCACAACGTGTATAACAGTAAATGATATCCCCTAGAGCTAAAAAAAACCACCACCTTTTCCTATGCGATCTCTTCGGTAGATATTATAATCAGATGACAGGATTTCTTGATCCATTATATCAGGGTTCAGCCATGCATGTTTCGGTTACAGCGATGATGTCTAATTCCTTTGTAGCGATCATAGCTTGCAGCTCAGTTTTCTTGTTGACAATACTACGGGAATTTAGACTGCATGATTTGAGAGTTGAGTAATTGAGAGGCCCAGGGTTCAGTTGAATGTCGTTAGATATTAGAAGGAAAAGAATGAACAGATATTTTCCGGTAGAATAGCGACGGCGAAGCATCGATTTTCCAGATTTGTCGAACGTTCGGTGACTTATCGTTGGGAATGTAGCGGCCAAGACGAAAGGACCATTTGCGGATGAAGGCCTCTGATAGATAATATTATTTCTTGGGCTTTTCAGCAACACGCGGGCAAAAAATTGCGTCAGGAGAAACGAAATAAGCAGCACCACATGTAGAGCGTCCGCCGTAGCCAATTACCACATAGTAGTCCAAACATGAATAAAGGGGAAATTTTTTAAAGAAACTGTGATGCTGCATCAGTGGGAGAATATAGCAAGTAATTCAGTGTTGATAACTGAGTTGAAAATGTAAATTAGCCTCCGTAAAGAGTTAAAGAGCTGACGTTTCGAGCGTTAGCCTTTCGTCAGAGTGTTGCAGAATTTTCCACTGCGTTAAGGAAAATGTCTGCGGAGCGCTGGTTCGACAATCAATACGAGTATATCTTTCCGATTTCTTGCGTTTTTTTACGATCCATACGATATCCGAACTTTCTACTTTCGATCGATCTCAAATTCTCTGTTACAAGAGAGTGATCCTATTTATATGCTAATACAACGGAAACACACGCCTAAACTACCTAAATCCAAGACTGACATTACTTATTCGTGGTTTACAAAAATCTCAAGCTATTTCCTTTCGACTTTGATTTTAATAGCTGTTTCCCATTACACGCCGAACGACACTTCTGTAATTTACACCCGCGTGCATGCACTATTTGTTGCACGAATTACGTAGGCTACGACAACACTGTTAGCAAACTTCCATAACAATTGACCCGAAGATACCCAAGCATGTCGGAGCCGCATTCCAAGATATGTCTCTGGCTAGTTTTCCTCATTTTTCTTCTTCCTTTGGCTTCCGGTAAGTACAATGGGTAAAATGTTCACGGGATATATCTAGTAGTTTGATATAAGGAATTTTTTTAAGCTTTAAAGCTTCAGAGCTTCATGTCGCGTTAATAAGAGAATCATAAAGAACCAGATGATGCCTTCATAATTGTTGCTTCTTGTTATATTACGGATCATTCCTCTCGAGGATAATTTCAACTGGATTTGTTATGCAGTATCACATTTCCCGTGGTAAATATTCGTCTTTTTACTTTCTTTTGGGTTGTTGATATCTATTATGTCTGATGCGAATTCTACCGAGAGATAAACATGTACTTAGTCATCCTTAACGCCTGATCGGTTTTAAAAATATGGATCAGCTATTAAGCCAAAGTAGTACAGCGTAAAGTTATGATTTAACTTGCACATCGCACATCCTCCTGAGGTAATGTTATGAAAATGAAACAGTTTTCAGAAGACATCCATTCTTTTGTGCTTAAACGTTTCAGACAAACAGTTGTAATCACATTGCGTTACATAAATATTTCGGGATTTCTTTTCTTTGACGAGCTTTGTGTCGGTTAACTCCGACAAACCCTTATTTATACAGGTCATGGTTTTGAACTTTTAAAGTCTAGAAACTGTGTTGATTAGATAATCCAGAGAATAGACATCGCTTAAAATTGGTGGTCTCCACGTTCGGTCTACAAGCTTCGGCGCAATGCAATTATTCTTATAATAACCTTTTATGTGCAAAGGTTACAGTTTGGAACGGCATTTTTAGCTTTTCCGAAGACATCACTCTCACCAAAATCGACTACCCAAGAGGGTATAGGAGATATTAAAAGTAACCCTCAGGTATACACTACCCAAGAGGGTATGCAAGAGATTAAAAATAACCCTCAGGTATACACTACCCAAGAGGGTATGCAAGAGATTAAAAGTAACCCTCTGGTATACATTACCCAAGAAGGTATAATAGGGATTAAGAATAACTCTCAGGTATACACTACCCAAGAGAGTATAGAACAGATTAAAAGCAACCCTCAGGTATACACTACCTAAGAGAGTATAGAAGATATTAAAAATAGCCCTCAGGTATACACTACCCAAGAGGGAATAGGAGACATTAAAAATAACCCTCAGGTATACACTACCCAAGAGGGTATAGGAGAGATTAAGAATAACCCTTGGGTATACACTACTCAAGAGGTATGCAAGAGATTAAAAATAAACCCTAAGTATACACTACACAAGAGGGTATGCAAGAGATTAAAAATAACCATCAAATATACACTACACAAGATGGTATGCAAGAGATTAAAAATGACCCTCAGGTATTCACTACCCAGGAGGGTATGGAGGAGATTAAAAATAACCCTCAGGTATACACTACCCAAGAGGGTATAGTAGAGATTAAAAATAACCCTCAGGTATGCACTACCAAGAGGGTATAGAAGAGATTAAATGTAACCCTCGGGTGTACACTACCCGAGAGTGTATAGAAGATATTAAAAATTAAACCTCGGGTATATACTACTCAAGAGGGCACGAAAAGTTAAAATCACATTAATTTATATCAGGAGACCGCTCTTTGTCTGGACTCTTTCTTTTGACTGAAAGTTGAGGCATCCACCGTCAACTTATATAATTATTATCCTTTACTAGCTCCCGAATGTCGTTGTCGAGCTCGGCTATTCTTGACTGACATCATTGCGATTTCCCATGATTTTTCGACTGGAGGCATTTCCCTCCTAAAGTGTACGGTCGAGAGCGATTTGATTTACCGCATCAACAACATGATTATATTTTGAGACCTCGCGAATCCATCTGGTGGAATTCTCACTGTCTAATTAGTCCAGCACAGAGACCAGTTGAAGGGGAACTATGGGTGCCCCTCTAATATATTTTCTTTCTACTCAGCTGACTGTGTTGATCTGGATCTGGGAATGGAAAGTGGAAAAATTCCAGACAATAAAATAACAGCTACATCTGAACTAAGTGCTGCCAAGAATGGTCGACTGAACTACACATCAGGATCATCATGGTGTGCAAGACCAAGTGACACTAACCCATATCTACAGATTGATCTACAGACACTTTATATCATCTGTGCTGTGTCCACTCAAGGGAATTCTCAAGCAGATCATTGGGTGAAAAACTATACACTTCAATTCTCCAATGATGGGACAACTTGGATGGTCTACAGAGAAGGTGGAAAAATTAAGGTAACATGTCAAAGACCATGTCATTTTACTATTATTGACATTTAGTGTTGTATGCATAATAATATTCAAATTCATCCTCCTGTGAAGACACATTTCCGGTAAGATCTGGCTGGGAACGTTAATTTGTTAATGACTTTAACTGTTCAGAAGACAATCAATGAAGAAAATTGTTGAGGCTGTTTCTCTTGTCACTTAACGTAGAGGAAAAATGGAGGGAAAAAATTTTTTCTCCTAGATTCTTAGGATCTCTTATTGAAAATTAGAAGCGATGTCAAAAGTAAATGCCTCTATGTTTCCAAAAGGCTAAAATGAAAATACTAATTGAGGTGTAATTGTGGAAAGATGAAGGGGGGAACATATTACACGTTTGTCTAGAAATATAAGTACACCTTTTTGTATTAAGGTGTTGCCTTTTAATTGCAGGCCTTTCAGGGGAATAGAGACAGAGCCTCAGAGGTTAAACATGTTCTTTATAAAAGTGTTGAAGCGTACTACCTGCGAATCTTGCCGAATGCATACTATGGTGCTGTGTGCATGAGAATGGAAGTGTTTGGTGTTAAGCGAAAACCAGGTTATTATACACAATGTTATGACACAAGTGGAAAACATACCTTTTGAAAATGATCATTCATACTAACTCTAGAGCCAAACTACGATAGAGAGATCATTACATTGTATGGAAAATATCATAATGGAAAAGTATCCAGTGACGGACATTAGTGCAGGCTGCCTACAAATCTGCTCATCTTATTCTCTTTGATCTAAAAACTGTGAGAACTTCAGTCCTTCTATTTCAGTCTGCAAGGGTACGTTTACATGTATGTGCCTGTTCTTGTCTTTCTTGGGTGTCAAACTTCAAAATTACTTTATATTTAACAGGTTTACATTAATCTTTGCAAAATACATGACATTAACCATATCAACTATGCCGATATCTATTTATTTTCTATCTTTACACAGTGAATTTTGCCCTCGGGAAGGTCACCCTTCAGTCTTCAACATATAACAATACTCGGCTGGATGTGTCAGGTGTGTCAGAAAAAGCAGTGGATGGTAATTCTGATACTGAATTTAGAAATGGTAGCTGTGCACATACTCGGTCAAGCAACTCAAGCTGGTGGAGAGTTGACCTGGGTTCAGATAAGATTCCAGTCTCTGACATTTTCATAGTCAACAGATTTTCAACATTTTATGATGAGATGGCCAGAAGTAAAAATTATATCATTACTTTGGGTGAGCAGTCACTATACTTTTCATGAAATCAATATGAGATAAGCTTAAGATAAATGGGTGCATTAAAAGTAATAAAACAAAGGCATTTCCAATGTGCGAGGTTGGAAAACCGTAGTTATATGCTCAGTCTCAACCTATCTATGTAGAACTTTGCATAGATAGGTTGAGAGGGGTAAATATTGTGTAAATATTAAAAAAAATGTTGTAGAAGGAGTTATTTGTTGCTTTTTCAGTTGTTTTTTTCAATGTTTCTGTTGCTGCTTAATAGAGATATTTTAACCCCTCAACATACTTTTCATATTAAATCATTATAATTATTTTCCTCAAACAGTATTGATGGATATCTATTCTGTTTATTGATATTAAGTTAATTAAACACCTATAGCTACGTGTACATGCATGTAAAATTTTATTTTCTATTAAATTGTCTTCCGAAAACCCAGTTTAGAGGGGAAATAGAAGTTTACATTATTTATGAAATATATTAATACATTAGTTTGTCATATATTTGCCATGTACAGTACATTGAGATAGACTGTTATTTTTTATAACATTAGGTAATAACCCAGTAGTAGTAACCAACACTCAGTGCAGAGGACTCTACAGTTTTGTCAACTTCAAAGCATCAGCTGTTTGTTTTACCAACCCACTGATAGCTGGCAGATATGTCGGGATATCAACAGTAAGGAAACAAGTTCTTAATCTCTGTGAGGTGGAAATCTATTTGCGAGGTACATGTCATTAAACATAGAGATTGGTATTGAGTAGGGATCTTTGTGGCAAAACTTTAGAAGTTTTTGTAAAATTGTAGTGACACTGGTAGTTCCAAATCTTTTTTGACCAAATTCTTAACGTGACCAGATGCTGATTAACATAATTGCATGTTTCATTTCAGACAATATTGCATTTGGAAAGCAAACAGATCAAAGTAGTGTAAGCTTTGGTGGTGTAAGTAGCAGGGCAGTTGATGGTATCAGTAACACAGACTATTACGCTAACAGCTGTACCCTCACTGACAGAGAATACAACCCTTGGTGGAGAGTTGACTTGGGACAAGTTGAACCAGTTTCAGAAATATACCTAGTCAACCAAGAAAACCAGTGGTTTTACAGGCAGAATAATTTTGAGATCAGAGTAGGTAGGGTAAATTATTTTTGAAATTGTAACACCATACCATAGTGTCAAATATTTCAAGCAATCACATCTCATAATGTAAGTAGTGTCAAGTTGTCTTCACTCTTTGACTGGTGGGTTTCATTCAAGTTTATCTACGCCTACACGCAGAGACATAAAGCAGAAATTTTTGTCAAATGCATCATGATAATTCATTATCAAAAAGAATTATCACTTACCATGTGCTCCACTCGTGGAAGATATGGAATTGTGGAGGCTGAACTCTGGATCCAAAGGTCCAGTTTGTAGCCTTGTTTTACACTGTGCTCCAATGTTTGAGACTTTACTCTCATATTGTCTCTTTAAAGTGAGGAATGCACGATTTAAATGAAAGCTGAACATTAATTACCAGCTATATTGGACTAGTTGCTCTTCTGTTATGGCTTCATCGTTTAAACCATGGCCCACTTGTTGGGCGGATAACGCTATTCAACGGATAAATCGCTAACGAGTGGATAACAAAATGTGCTGCACTATCCACTGGATAGATCAGATTTATCCGGTGGATAGCATTGTCCTACACTCCAGCATCTTATTACCTCCAGTTATGTTAGCCCTCTGGCCTCATGTAATACTCTCATACCACTGGGTAATGATAGTAGAGCTTGGTAAACAAGTTCTTGATTACTTTTTCTGCCAAAGCATAAATTTTTTCATGATTCTCTATAGGGACAGTATTCAATAGTAGAGGAATTACCAATCCCAGGTGTGGTGACGGCCAGAGTTACAGCCTTCCAAGAGGAAAAGGTGTATCCTTTTTCTGTCGTCCTGTTTTATTTGGAAGACATGTGACAATAAGGAGCTTAAGAACTGACCGTGAACACTTCACACTTTGTGAAGTTGAAGTTTATTCTGAAAGGAGAGGTAACACACTTTATATAAAATACCTGTATATGTTTGAAAACCTCACACTAATTGAAGCCTTAAGTTATTGCACAGAGGAGTTATGCTAATGTACACTAGTTCTACATTCATGCTTTACCTTACTATAGAACCATCCCATGCCTTTGCTCCGACATATTTAAAAGACATTTCTCTCTACCATGCTTTAACTGTGCCTGCAGGTACAATTTGATTGAATCCCAGTAGGCTCAATCCTACTGCCATTTTCCTCAATTTTTTTCTTTCCATGCACCTACAATCAGAGTATTGATAATATTGATTCCTTTTAGAGTTAGTTAGAGGAATTTCTGCTCTAGGTTCAAATGCAATTGAAAACTTTTGTGCCAGAAGGTCTCATTACACTTTACCTTACAATAAAACAATTCCTAGCCTTCGCTCTGAATCATTTAATGGACAGTTCTCTCTGCCATGCCTTAACTGTGCCTGCAGGTACAATTTAATTGAATTTTTTTTCAAAACGTTTATGCCAAGTGGAAAACATTGGTACAATATTGAACATAGATTAATGTCAAATATGTATTGAAAGTCTGGTACTATAGACTCCAAAAAATATTTCAAATCAATACACCTGATTACATAAATGAAAACCATCAGATTATTAGACAGCTCTGATATGATTTATTTCGACTGAACCTTACATAAATGCAAATTAGTTTTGTAGTGGCAGGTTTGCTGTCTACTTCTTTGTGTTACATGTATCTGCTTGTAATTAATCAGTTCATCGTTTTCTTGTAACTGATTACAGCTTGCCAAATGCAGACCATAGGTGTGGCTAGCACTGACACACTCCCTAATGTCAGCTTCTCAGCATCAAGTGAACGTACAAATCTTGAAGCTTTTAAAGGTCGACTGAATGCATTTAGGGGATGGTCACCCAGCAGAAATGATAGGCCTGATGATTATCTGCAAATTGATCTGCAGTATGAGTTTCTTATTTGTGCTGTAGCTACTCAAGGGAGGTCAACTTCTGATGACTGGACAACTGAGTACAAGTTACAGCTATCCTTTGATGGTTCCACTTTTGTGACCTACAAGGAAAACAATGTTGACAGGGTCGGTTAAAAAAGGCACAGCTGAGATTAAATACAGAACTGTAAAAGATATTCTTAGAGTTGTACTAAAGGGTGATTTCAAGAGCTACGTGTATGTGGGAGTTTAAGTCTCAAACTCTGAACCCTGGAGAAAGTTTGTGGAATGGTGGTTGTGTTCTTAGACTTACATAGAAGGTCACAATCTTAAAATGCATTACCCTTCATCATGTGCTGAGATTTAAATAGAAATGAGCATCTATCATGGGTGGACATTCATGCATGTCTCTAAAAGAAAGGAACTTAAACGTATATGTTATGGGTTATAGTAGTATCCTGAGTAAGAACAATATGTATGCAGAATACCAAGTTTTCTGTCATATGTGCATAATGTAAATCGAATTAACTGACCTTATAAAGCAGGAAAAAAAGAACACATCTGGACTTAAAGTTGTCTAAAGCACTGACTGGCTCAGCTAGTAACTGAGGGATGTAATACCGACAATTGTTCCAGAGTCTGCCATGACCAACAGTGATAAAATTGATCTACAATTAAATCATCAACTCATATTTTAAATGATTTGTTTTAGACTTTCAGTGGCAACTCCGGAAGATATGACATTGTTAAACACAATCTCAGAGATGTGAGGGCAAGGTTCATCCGTTTCCAGCCTGTCAAGTTTGTTAGAAACAAAGCTTTGAGAGTAGAGGTCTATGGAGTTCTTATATCTAGAGGTATATTATGTTTAATTCAATATCATCAAGTTTTCACATTGAGCAATTTTAAAGGCTGGCATAATGGTTAACTTATTATATAGCCTCTTTGGTCATTGGATGTAGTTTATTTTTGTGAACACTCCCTGTAGGCAAACGTCATGTACAAGTGTTTACATGTATGTCGGCCAAATTAGGAAGTGGCATTTTCCACAAAAAATGGTCTTAACCTACAGCTTTCTGGCTCCCAGTCATGGAGCTGGATATGTACCTATGTTAAATGTTGGTGGTTGTCTGCTTGTCTAAAGGGGTCTACAAATGGGAAATTGATCTGTTTAAGCCCATTTTGGGGTAATTTCTTCTCCCATTTACGTAATTAAGTTCATATATGCACTCCCAACAGTTCCTAAGACCCTACAAATTAATATTTTTCAATAAAACTGTGCAAGACTTTTCACTAACTGGAAGAGTAAGGCTGGGTTGAATTTGATCTCTTAAATACCACATGAATTGACTTTTATGTGCAAAAGAATGAAGAATATTGGTAGCGTTGTTATCATTATTATTATCATTATTATTGATATTATAATTAATATTATTATTGCTAGCACAATGGTTAATTTATTAGCCTCTTTGGTCATTGAATGTAGTTTACTTTGGTGAACACTCCCTGTAGGGAAACATCATGTACAGGTGTTACACTGTATGTTGGCCAATTTAGGAAGTGGCATTTTCCACGAAAAAGGTCTTAACCTACAGCTGTATGACTCCCAATCATAAAGCTGGATATGTACCTATGTTAAATGTTGGTGGTTGTCTGCTTGTCTGCTTGTCTGAAGGGGTCTACAAATGGAAAATTGATCTGTTTAAGTCTGTTTTGGGATACATTCTTCTCTCATTTACATAATTAAGCTCATATATGCACTCCCAATAGTTCCTAAGACCCTACAAATTAATATTTTTCAATAACACTGTACGTTTTACTAAGTGAAAGAGTAAGGCTGGGTTGACTTCCATCTCTTAAATACCACATGAATTGATTTTTATGTGCAAAAGAATGGAGAATATTGGTAGCATTGTTATTATTATTATTATTATTATTGTTGTTGATATTGTAATCAATATTATTATTGCTATTATTCAATTATCATTCTGTCTTAATTTCAGTCCCCTCAAAAGCACCCAGTGAATTGGCTTTATCTGCAATCTCTTCTACAAGTATCACTGCATCCTGGCAGTTACCTCCTGCATATTCCAGACATGGACTCATTGCAGGGTTCAAATTGTTCTATAAAAAGAAAGGGTTTATTGGGTCAATACGTGTGAAAACTATCAATGATGGAAGGACCTTTTTAGGAGTAATTAATGGTCTGGATAAGTACACAGAATACGAATTTCAAGTGTTGGCGTTCACGTCTCATGGTGATGGACCAAAGAGTTCAGTTGTGGTGGGGAGAACAATGGAAGATGGTAAGAAACTTTATTGTTTGTAGCAGTTGCACTTCCACTTTTGGTTTGTTTTCAAGAGCCTATCATTGTAAAGTTGGGTTGACATGAATGAAGGTGCAGTAATATGTTTGACTGTGTATATATGTTGAAATCCTAACAAAATATACATTAAAAAGTTTAATCCCAAGAATCTGATCATTAAGTTCCTTGTAACTTAGTCAAGAAAATCTGTTTTCTTTTTCTCTATTTAGGTCTTTAATCTATCTATTCTTGACACCATTTTTTGGATTATGTTTGAAAACTGTTATGCAAAATTCTTTTTAGGTGTCTTATTTGAATCAATATAAGCATCAAAGCAACTGTATATCTAACCAAACATTAACCCTACTTGCAATCAGTTGACTGTTGTTAGGTAAGGAGGAGTAGGTGTGCAGTTGCTTGGATATTGACATTCATGTATTATATTTGTAAGTTTATGGATTATGCTCACTATGGCAACTGAAGATGTAAAATGTAAAACATACTCTAAGAAGGTTATAATGTTAGGAATTCTTACAATGTATGTTTTAATCTGCATTCCTCATCCTAATGATAATAAAATTTTATCTTAATTTTAGTCCCTTCACAACCTCCTAGTGGCTTAGCTGTAGCAGCCAGCTCTTTTACCAGTGTTTTAGCATTTTGGCAGTTACCTCCTGAAGACTCCAGACATGGAATCATCAAGGGATACAAACTCTTTTACAAAGAAACAGGTGGTGATATGAGCTCAACAACCGAAGTACTCATCAACAATGCAGCAATTCGGTCCATATCTGTCACTGGGCTACAATCTGGTACAGATTATGACTTTCAAGTGTTGGCCTTCACATCTAGCGGTGATGGACCAAAAAGCTCTGTGAAAGTCGTGCGAACAGTTGTAGATGGTAAGACACGGACAGAACATTCCATGGGAATTTCTTTATCTTTAAAGTAATTATTATTTTACATAATAAACCGAGCTAAGTGCAATTTTAATTCCTAAAACACTATTAATTTCTGACTTTTGCTCTAATTATAACTTTTTCTTTAGCACCTGGTCCTCCGGCTTCCCTCAATCATACTCTTAAAACACCGACTGAGTCACATGGACCAATGATAACTTTATCCTGGACAGCCCCTTCACAACCGAATGGAGTTATCAGGAATTACACTGTGTTTTACCACCACAGTGAAGATCCACTTAATACTCACAATGAGACCTTTGGACCAGATGTCTTTAGTTACACAGTTGATGTGTTGGGTGGAGTCACCTATTGGTTTGACGTCAGAGCTGAGATAATAAAACCTGGAGAAAACGCCTCTTTAATCGTTAATATCTCAGAATACAGTAAGTGCATTGTAGTCTGTCTTACGTGTCTTATCGATGTTAACAAGAAGCAAGATCTTCATTACCGGCACGTTTAGTTCAGTCGTGTAATGTGGATTGTAAAAAAAATTAATTTCAATTTTAATTAAACCACAAAAATAAGTTTGGTAAGATTAAAAAAACATTATTGGAATAAACTAAGATGAACTAGGGTGATTATGGACGAAGGAAATCGATATGGGTTTGGTGGGATAAAAAAAGAAATTATTGGAATAAAATGAGATGCACGAGGGTGACATGAGTTTGAAATGACATGTTAAGACCATAAAAACTTCTTAGGGTATGATGTTTAACTTTTGACTGAATTGTTATCCCCTAGAGCCTAATAGTGGCCCAGCTAAGGTGTTTTCTGCCTTTGTGAACAAAACCACTTTAAACATTTCATGGGCACCTCTACCAAGAGAACAGAGTAATGGCGGCATCATTCTGTACAACGTCAAAGAAGAGTTGTTGTCTCGGGGAACACGACAGAAAAGATCATCTCTGAGCGGCAAAACAGTCAATACAACAGACACATTCGTTTTATTGAGTGGATTATTGCTTTGTTCGCAATACCAAGTGTCTGTTCGAGCTTATACCAAAATAGGTCCTGGCCCATATGGTCCACCTTTAGAACTGCAGAGAACGTCAGGTAAGTTATATATATCAAAATAGCGCCTTAAAATTGATGGAAGTAGAACCAGTGCAAGAGATTACACTTCGGCAAATCAGAACAGAGAAACACATCGTAGGGAAGCCCAACCTTTAAGTAAAAAGATAAAAATAAGTCGTTTTATCTTATTCCGTATGGTCCTGTGCACCTTATTGGGAAGCACTGAAAAAAATCTCCGGATGAGGGCCCTGCGCGATAACCCGAGCTGGGCCATGAAAAGCCGTACACCTTTGTGCGTGACCTTTGGAGATGCTCAAATCAAAAAAGCGAGGAAGAAAGAGAGAGAGTAGCCACATTGAACTGCTCTTCCGACTTCAGTTACATTCAGATTGTGGGAAAGGTTAACAGGCTTGTAACAGACGTTTAGAGATTAGATTTGGAAACTGAAGAATTTAATATCGTGATATAGTCATGTGAAAGCGTGATTTTACTTCGCTTTCGTTTGAGGAAACTAATTTTTTCTTTAGTACTGAAGTCACGATCATTTTTATCAAAGACCCAGGAACACCTTGGGGTTTGAGTGCCTCAAATGTTGGAACAACGCAAGTGAGTCTGGAATGGAAAGAGCCTGAGCTAACTACGAGAGAAGGCATCAGTTATAGGGTAAGCTAAACGAAAGAGATATAAATTTCAATTTAAATGGAACATTTAAGTTCACATTCCAAATTCATATTCACTTGAAATGTAATTGTTTCTGATATTGCGGGTGCAAGTGGCTCACAGCAAACGCTTACAATTTAACCTTTGAATTTTGTCTTAAATGGAGCCTTTGGTGCAATTACATAAAATTATATCTGCCTGTGCAGTTGTTAGAGTTCATTTTTCTACATCAATCTCATGGATTTAACAACTATTAGAAGAAAGTAAACCTAAGTGGAGTTAATTATTATTTAATTATATCCTTTATTGTCCAAGGTAATAGTTTTTGTTTTTTTGTCGGTGCGGATGAAGGGTTTCTTTGTATTTACATTGATTTTATCTTAACTCCTTATACCCTAACATCAGTTTTCATATTCTCCATGCTGTTCTCTGTAAATTTATTATGGAACTTAACAATCAAGAGCTTCTTTGGTTGGTTATCATTTACTTTATTCTCTTGACCTTAATCTTTGATTCAGGAGTGATGTTGTGAGGAGAAATTAGATGCTAATTAAAAAGGGTTGTTAAAAGTAAACTGTTATTATTTACCTTTGATAGTTTGAATCTTCTCAGTAGTTAAGCATTTTTTTTTAATTTCTCATTGTCTCTTAAGGTAAAGTATCTCGGAACAAAGCCTTACAATGGAAGCTTCAGAGAGGAAGGTGTCCAAGACGTTGGCAGTTCCACCTCTTACACCATGAAAGATTTAGTTCCAGGCTCTACCTATGAGTTTCAGGTTTTGGTGAGCTCGATATGTGGATTCGGAGAACCCAGAAGGTTTCCTGATAGGATCAAAACAAAGATGACAGGTATACCTTGATGTAAACGATTATTTTCCTGTTCTAAAGCCATGCAGTTAGAATTTTAGTATCATTTGTTCCATAGATTATCAGGACCTTGTTTAAGTGATAACCTATTTTAGAGTTCCGTAAAAAAAAAAACATACGATATATATGGGAAGTAACTCCTATGAAATGCAAAGATCATCTTTTCAGTGGCTTGCATATTTATAGAGGACGTTTCAGAGTCAGAGTTTACCCGGATCATGCTATCGGAGTGGCTATCTGAGTGTACAGTATCTTGCTTTATATTAGCTTGGCATGCTGGCGCATCTGAACTTAAAGCCGCTAGTTTACAAACATTTAGAGTCCTTTTCGATGGCATCTTGATAAAATCAGACCACTTGTTTAAACGTAGACATAAGGATTCCTTTTCATCTTTGGACAAGAAAGGAGAGAAAACAGGAGAGCAAGGGAAAAAGGATTGTAAACATTACAGAACTATTAAAGTGAATATGTCATTTAGCTAAGCGCAAAGGCCGATTCCTCGAATATTAACCATAGGCTAGACATAAAAGAAAGACCGAGGACTTGTATTGATATTCTCCCCGAACTGTTCCAAGTATTGTTACGTGCTTTTATTGGGTATTTTCCAGTCTAAAGCTACATTATGGATGGATGCATCTTTTCTTTCTAGAAAATTGTGATAATTTTACTCACCTAGTACATAATTTTCCTCTGTAGCTCCAATGGCCCCATTTGTACCTCAGTGGACTAATATGGAGATCTCGGAGTTATCGGTCGAAATTAACCTCTGGCCTGTAGAGCAAAGAAATGGTCCAGTAAGGTGCGTGACTGTAGAATGGAATGTGCGGTATTCATTTATTAAGTCCATAATATACATGGAAAAATTACGCACGTCTGATTGACGGAAAACGAGTCATTTTTTTCATGTAACATAAGTGCAAATTACAAATAGCGCGCACGCGATACGTTTTTCATGTGAATTATTAACAAGTAATAACACGATTATCGTGTTTTTTGGTTTAAATAAGCACTTGTAAATTTTCCAAAGACTAAAAATTGCATTTTGTCTTTTAAAAACTTTCTCGTGCTTATTAACAACAAATTGCACTCGAAATCATGTTGTTACCAACAAGTTTCAGGTGAAGTACTAGCATAAGTATTCCACTTATTCTAAAATGATGGATTTTTGATTTACTGTTGGTGTCCTTATTGGTTTTTGCTCGTGATCCCAAAGATGAGACAGACAAAGCATCAGCCTATTTAACCCTTTTTCCCCTAGAAATGATTAATACGTAACTTCTTCCTTAACATCTATACAATATCCAGCAAACAATTAACGAGAATACTCAAACTTATTAGATAGAACTTGTTTTTTCGATCTAACACCAAATTCTCGTTACAAATTTACAAGGAAATATGTAGCGAGTAGAAGGGAGAATTAATGATCAGATCTTGAGAGTTAAAAGGTCAATAAACAATATACATTACTGTACGTTAATTTTTATTCACTCCACCTTTTATCTCAGGACTCTCAGAAACCTATTTATTTATTCATTATATTTTCAAATGAAAGATCAATGAGTAAACGTTACGACTCTTTTTCATGAAGATGTGAAGGAATTAAACGGAGTATGTGGGCAGAGACTACTATATGATTCTTAGATCTAAATCTGATGTCTTTAACGTCTATCATTTTTAAAAAAGCGACGGAACGATGGTTAGAGTTTCATTGATAAGAATTTCGTTCTTGTTCATTATTTCAGTGCCTATCAGGTAATTGTTCTTAAAGTCTCTGATTGTGTTCAAGACTTGAATAGAAACAACACGAACTTTTATCCATTTTATGTTGCTGCGGAGTTGAAAAATAACCCTGTCCATGAGAAGTCTTGGAAGTTTACTGTTGGTGATGGGAAATCGTATGGAGCCTTTGTTAACAACGAACTGGCAAGAGGAGAAAACTACATTGTATACCAAAGAGCCTTAACCGATTACAACGGTGTAAGTAAATTTTAATTTCCGTGAAATTTCTGCTTAAGGTTACAATTAATGACCCAAACGTTGGATCTGGTAAGTTAACAAAAATCGTATGAAAACCCCACGTTTTTACGGACATGTTGTTCGTGCTACATTTATTTTCCTTATATCAAGGAATCAACAGAATTGTTGGTCACTTTTTGACCTTTTTTCCGTTTGACAGCAATTTTTAGAAGGAGATATCAGCAAAATCGCCATGATTTCTATTAAACCAGGTAAGTGATTCAATATTCACTAGATACTCAGAAAGCTCTATTTTCAAAAGTGATTAAAGACCTACGGTTAGTGTAGCGAGTGTTTGAAGAGTTAAAAATCTCTGCCCTGCTGGCCATGGGTAGGAAAAAATTCCAGCAAATTCGCTTCGATGGTTAATGATTCATGCAGAATCCTGATTTGCATTTATTCATCAGCTGACCTTGCATATCATCCAACACAACTACAGTAACATCCTTGTCATTATCATATGTCATTTACTCGTTTCACTGCGACAAAAACTCTTTTAATTTAATAAAGAGCAAATACGTGATTCGACGAAATTCAGCTTTATGATGAACAAGTGCCGTAGCTTTGGCACGTGGACATAACTTGTGCTCCTAGTGTTTGGGTTCATGCCCATCAACAATTCAATCATACGCTTTTTCTGCCAATACAATACAATACAATACACTTTATTTTACGTCTGTAACGTAGGGGGTGGTTATCCAATCCCCCGAGCCTAATGGCTCAAGTTGAAAACGCTCGACATATAAAATACAGATGTGTATATAAATATATGTACAAGTTTAATATATGTATATCTGACGAAAAAATCGCAAAAATATCACCTAGCCCCCTACGCCTAACCCTAATCCTGAACTTCCCCTGAAACCCTACCAGCCCTAATCACCTAACTTGTAGCCCTAACCCTGAAGCCTAATTATCAATTCATAACCCAACCCCTACAATTGTATACTAATACACTTATTACACTTACAGCCAAGCGTAGTTATGCGAGATAGGCCAGTCTTAAATTTTGCTCGAGTAGTTACCGATTTAACTGAAGATGGTAGCTGGTTCCAGGAATAAGAGATAATATATGAAAAAGAGCTATGAATATGGCTAGAGGTGTTTACAGGCTAGGAAACATTAAGAACAGAGGAGCGCAATTTGTAGTGACAGACAAAACTTTACTTTCCAAAACTTTCCTTTCTTTTTAACATGCAAGTATAACTTAGGACACCAAAGGATAAAACTGTAAGTATTATGGAGTTTTGCAAACGCGCTCATTATTGTGCCATTTTGATTTTCAGCTGAAAGCCGAGTACTTTTCGCTGCTGTCATCGCACTTTCTGTCATTGTGTTTTTCTCTCTTATTGTGAATGGTATCCTGATATGGCGGTTAAGACGAGCCGAGCCTAACAATAGAACAACCATAGTAAATAGTGGTATCCCTGTCCCATCTGGTGTTCATCAAGCGTCAGAACCTGGTGTTTATATGGCGCTGCAACCCAGGCCTTCTGACGGGCAGTCACGTGAACCACCTGAATACCAGTCACTGGACGACAGACGAGTGACCCAAGTAGTTTATGAAAATGTGGAGTGAAATCCGAGTGTCCTCCACTTGAAAAAAGGTGCGGATCATCGATATCGCCCTTCATATCAACAACACCCGTGGTTTTGATTATGTGATATTTTCTTTATCAACTCAGTTGATAACACTAAATTACCCTGATGTTACATCTTGTTTGTTGCAGTATTTTATTGTTGTTACATCACTACACGTGTTGATTTTTTTCTCAGTTTGAAATGAAAATGATATCCTTTGATGCCACAAACACAATACTTACTGAATCAGCAGGAGTTATATAATTTTCCTAAAAGTATGTCCTGTTAATGTCATTTATAATAGAAAGCTGTTCTAGTTGAGGTAAGCCAGAGTAAAATTTTAGCACTTCATCGCTTCTATGCCGACCAACGCAGATTATATTTTCAAATTTTTATTTCAATGATTATTACAGGTTTTCAAAGTAATTTTCGGTGGAATTGCAAGGTATATTTAAATGTTGTTCGACGCTCGATAAATTATCGTGTTTGTAGCAAGTCATTAAAAAAAGCGAACACAGGCCGCGAGACAGTTAGGTGCGGGACGTGCGAGGGCAAAAGCTTCGCTCCCTTCCCGCGGGTGTGCGCACGTGTGAATCGCGCACCATGTTAGCCTGAGAAACGCAAACAATTAAGGATTGATTCATTGCGATTTCAAGCTGCAACTGAGCGATAAACTTGAAAAGGATAGTCTTAAATTAATGGTTGCTCTCAAGAAGGTCAGTTTTTACACAAGAAGCGAAGGTTTTGTTCAGAAGAGAGGGAAAGCCACGCTTCTACGAGGTAGACATGAAATGAGTGAAAGCGGCGAGCCTAAAGTTCAGTCAACGATGATATAAATAGTTAATTTTGGCAACAAAATCTCAGTTCATTGACTTATTTGTATTTTATTTAAACTTACCCTTAGTTAGATTCTCCACCAGGTAGTTTCAATGGCTTCAAAACCCACAAGAATGAGAACGAATTTTTCGTCAGAATGATTCATGGCGTGTTCATGCCTCGAGGGACTGTTTGGACTGAATGTTCATAATTAACTTGAATATGTATTAGCATCAGGTAAATGAATACAATAAACCTAAATTTATTAATTTGTTTTGTCACCTTCCCTTACATGCTTTGGAAAGGATTTTTTTATAAAAATAGATTGCAATCGACTAATAAGAAAAAAAATTATTTACAACCCCGACTGAGATGAGCGTTTAACATTATTACATTTGAAATGTTAACGTGACTGTGGGAATTTTCCAATGAAATTCTTTTTTCACATAAAGGATATGAATCACAAGAACTTTGCCATATTGCAAAAACATATTGCAGCCACAGAAAACGTGTAACAATATAGAAAAAAGGCTGGTTATATTATCTAATTCTCGTATGTGTCATTACTGTAGTTTTTCATTTACTCACTGAGAATTTGAAAAAAGACCGCGCTCATGTCTTAAGCCAAGATATCGCTTGCACTGCGAGAACGCAGATGCTGAGTGAGCGTTGGTGGATACGTCCGAACCTTTATGCACGTTTTCTGGCCCAGACCTCCTTCTTCTTGTGACACATTTTCGTGATGTTTTTTGTCCATTTCCATCGGAATAATTTTATAAGTAACTGTCCCACTTTTTATGACTCCTCATATGGAGGGAACTTGATAAGCGCAAAATCGAAGGGCCAGGGAAGGTATGGTCAAATACAGGTGAAATACATAGTATGTCATGCAGCACATTAGAGCTGCGCTACCTTTCCCCCTTAGAAAAATATCAGCTTGACAAAAATAGCCCCCTAACTTTTTCTGAAGGATGATTTTGTCTGTTACGTTCAGAGTTCTAAACATTCCAATTTTATTGCCTGTATGGTAATCACCATTTAAGGAAAGTGGCCTATAATATATAAACTATGCTGTTTTAAAGGTGTCACCAATGTACGCAGTCAATGAGCTTTATTTTACCATAGAACTCCAAAAATTAAGTCCTGATCGACAGTAACAGATTGAAGCTGTACAGATGCCAGGTAAAATGAAAAGCAATAAGCATGTGTACCAAGTATATTTATGCAAAACACTTCAAACGATCTAAGCAGTGAAGGTGCTCACATCATAATAAGAATCTAGTCTAAGAGGATATACTTTAATAAGGTTTGACAAAATTATTTATGGACGATTTCCAACATCACCATATAACGTCAGATAGACCAGCGCGCAGTTCATCGAAGGCCGATCAGCGCTTACTCAAGGTTGAATTTTAATCTGGGTTTTTTTATCCTTCAATTCAAAGGCCATCCTCCGATAATTTTCTCTAACCTCTTTAGAGCATGCAACTATTAAATTTTAGACAAAACGAATTAAACTTAAATTTCTTTTCAAGCTTTCAGAACTGATATCAGATTTCACAATAACTCTAGGTTATTTTAACCCAGCTTTGAACAATCGGAACTGGGAAGATTAAGATATGATATTTCCTTGGCATGCAGTCTGTTTTGCGAAACAAAGCTTCGCGCAAGACCTGATGTATTTAACATTACAGCTACAGTTATAGTTTTCAGCGATACGAATTGACTGAGAGCTTGTGAAAAACTGGAAGATTTTTCATAAGATTTACCTGATCCGCACACAAGGCTCTGTAATATTGTTAGTTCATTGGCAATCAATGTGCTATAGTTCTAAACACAATAGCCCTTTACTGAGAAGAAAAGCCGACTTCCGATGGATGAAAATAAATGAATCGAAATCCCCGAATAACAATCGAAGAGTGCGTTGGCGCTAACTCTTAAGATGGAAAATGCGTTGAATCATGATTACAAAGCAAACAATGGTCGTAATTTCAATTCACAAAATTCTCATTTATTGACTTTTTCCTTACCGACAAAAGAGGTCTTTCAAGTAAACGGCCAAAATCGGCCAGTGACAAATCTTCTAGTTGTCGATTTTCATTCTCAGCCGAGAGAAATGTTAACACCAAAGCCACTAAATGCGTAACTTTCGGTTTTTCTTTTAGTATATTGGTTTTCTTTCCCCTCTAGGCGTACTCGATTATTGGACGGATCATGGCTTTATAACCAGTAAAAATAGCCTTAGAGTGAGATCTAAATGTCCGCTTGTGAAAGCCCAATAGTCTGTTCGATCTTGCAACAACAGACAGTACGTGGGGTTTCCAAAATAACTCATCGGCTGACATTGAGCTACAAGGTTCCAGTCAAAATTCGGTAGATTAAAATCCCCAAGCAAAAGGACATTAGACCATGGTAGAAACTTTTCTAGCGAGTGGACCAGTTTAATTAGGTGGGCCATATCACTGATAGAGGAGCGGTAGTATACTCCAATAAAGTATGTTGAGCAGGGATTGAAATGGAATTCACAGTCCGTTTCGAGGTCACGACGTCTATAACAGCAAATGTTATCCCTTAGAGCTAACAAAACACCACCACCTTTTCCTTGGCGATCTCTTCCGTAGATATTATAATCAGATGACGGGATTTCTTGATCTATTATATCAGGGTTCAACCATGCATGTTTCGGTTACAGCGATGATGTCTGATTCCTTTGTAGCGACTATAGCTTGCAGCTCAGTTCTCTTGTTGACAATACTACGGGAATTTAGACTGCATGATTTGAGAGTCGAGGAATTGAGAGGCCCAGGGTTCAGTTGAATGTCGTTAGATATTAGAAGGAAAAGAAGGAACAGATATTTTCTGGTAGAATAGCGATGGCGAAGCATCGATTTTCCAGATTTATCGAACGTTCGGTGGCTTTTCATCGGGAATGTAGCGGTCAAGACGATAAGACCATTTGCGAACGAGGGCCTCTGATAGATATCATTTCTTAGGCTTTTCAGCAACACGTTGGCAAAAAATAGCGTCAGGAGAAACAAAATAAGCGGAGCCACATGGAGAGCGTCCGCCATAGCTAATTACCATATAGAAGTCCAAATATGAATAAAGGGGGAACCTTTCTAAGGAAACTGTGGTGCTGCGTCAGTGGGAGAGTATAGCAAGTAATTCAGTGTTGACAACTGAGTTGAGAACGTAAATTAGCCTCCGTAAAGAGTTAAAAGGCTGACGTTTCGAGCGTTAGCCTTTCGTTAGAGTGTTGCAGAATTTTCCACTGCGTTAAGGAAAATGTCTGCGGAGCGCTGGTTCGACAATCAATACGACTGTATCTTTCCGATTTCTTGCGTTTATTTACGATCCATACAATATCCGAACTTTCTACTTTCAATCGATCTCAAATTCTCTGTTACAAGAGGGTGATCCTATTTATTTGCTAATACAAAGGAAGTACACGCCTAAACTACCAAAATCCAAGACTGACATTACTAATTCGTGGTTTACTAAAATCTCAAGCTATTTCCTTTCGACTTTGATTTTACCAGCTGTTTCCCATTACACGCCGATCGACACTTCTGTAATTTACACCCGCGCGCATGCACTATTTGTTGCATGAATTACGCAGGCTACGACAATGCGGCAAGCAAACTTCCATAACAACTGACCCGAAGATACCCAAGCATGTCGGAGCCGCGTTCCAAGATATGTCTCTGGCTAGTTTTCCTCATTTTTCTTCTTCCTTTGGCTTCCGGTAAGCACAAGAAAACATGGGTAAAATGTTCACAGGATATATCTGGTATTTTGATCTAAGGAATTTTTTTAAGCTTTAAAGCTTCAGAGCTTCATGTCGCGTTAATAAGAGAATCATAAAGAACCAGATGATGCCTTTATAATTGTTGCTTCTTGTTATATTACGGATCATTCCTCTCGAGGATAATTTCAACTGGATATTTTATGCAGTATCACATTTCCCGTGGTAAATATTCGTCTTTTTACTTTCTTTTGCGTTGTTGATATTTATTATGTCTGATGCGAATTCTACCGAGAGATAGACATGTACTTAGTCATCCTTACCGCCTAATTGGTTTTAGAAATATGGATTAGCTATTAAGCCAAAGTAGTACAGCGTAAAGTTATGATTTAACTTGCACATCGCACAAACTATTGAGGTCAATAGACATTCATGTTCTCCTCAAGGCCTATCAATGGCATGTATGTGCAAAATTCCGTATTAAGTGCCACTCCCGCTAAGAGCGGTCCTCTCGACTTCCCGTCGGAAAAAAGTTTTCTTTTATTTTTTGCCCATGAAAAGGGTTTAGGACACATGTTTCAAAAATAGTTTAGTTGTGAACCGTTGGTCCATAAGAGCGTAACATCATTAATGACGGAAACAAATTTGCAGAAAGAGGGTTAGTTCATCGGGTTCCGTATACTAAATCTCGGGCGAAACTGCAAGAATTGTTACAGAGTGTATGCGTGTTGTTTTGTAAATATAAACACTGTAACCTATTTTAACTTGTTTTTGTGTCCTTTTAAGAAACGCGATATGTCTGTTATGACCAGAGTGCCAAATTTTGTTCTTTAATTTTGATCTTCTCCACACTGTGCGTAGTTCATGACCTGATATTTCAACGTAAATTATCGAGAAGGCGCCTTCCAATCACCTTTGTCTACTTTGTAAGTCACGCAAGCGCGCAAGCGTTACGACCGATCACGTTTACGCAATGTTTTAGGACAACTCGGCATCTAATCTCCATTCAGTTGCTGTGAAAACCTAAAGTCCTCAACGTAGAAGATAAACGAACGAAGTTTAACCCGTTAAAGGAGATCTTGGTCAATTCCAAGAATCATGCAAATGATCTTTGACACGAGCGCAATTGAGCAAACACATGGATTTGCGTTGTTTTTAACAAGTTGGTGGATGGAAGCTAGAGATATACCCGCGGGTTTGAGGTAATCCGTGACCTCATTGGTGTATAAACTATGCACTGATATGCTTTTTCGGCCCGATTAACGCCTGCATTTTGAGGATTCTTTCGTACAAAGTAGTGAATTTTTGATATGCAAATTAAGGTCGAGGAGAAGGGTCTCCCCTGATCACGCTGGTATGAAAAATATTTCGGCTGAAGTTTCCGTATTTTTTCTGTGAACTAACTGAATACACTTTGTAACTTGTAGCAAGATAGAATTCCGTGAGCTACATTGTTGCAGTCGCTGCGCGCTGGACAAAATCTTTGAAATTGACACTTTCGATCGCTGTTCACAGGGGTGGTCTGGCCAAAAATCATTTTTGGCTTGTGGCGACGCAAAAAAAGAGAATTGGAGAACAACTAAACTATCTTTGAAACATGTGTCCTAAACCCTTTTCACGGGAAAAAAATAAAAGAAAACTTTTTTCCGACGGGAAGTCGAGAGGACCACTCTTAGCGAGAGTGGCACTTAAGACGGAATTATGTTTTTCGGCTCCTGCAAAGTCGGATATATTTCAACAGGTAGATATATCATTTGTTGCTCGAATTTTCATTTCACTTGTTGTTTTAAGAAATGAGGGACAAAAATATAGAGCTTTTTTTCCCGGGTTAATTTTGTATGAAGGACGTAGCTTAGTTTCCAGAAAAAAACTTGTTTTTTGTTACAATTTTATGACAAGAATCGTGTGGAGCTTAAGGTCTCTTGGAACCTTGAAATGGGTCGTTAGAAACATATGATATTAAGTATTTGTTTAATCAAATTCCTCCTGTGGTAATATTATGAAAATGAAACAGTTTTCAGAAGACATGCATTCTTTTGTGCTTAAACGTTTCAGACAAACAGTTGTGATCACATTGAGTTACATAAATATTTCAGGGTTCTTTTCTTTATCATGACGAGCTTTGTGTCGGAAAAGTATGTTATGCAAATTAACTGGCTGCACATTCATTGTGCAGCCGGTTAATTTGCATAAGTAATGCGAGCCAAGGTTCGACACTTCTTGGTTGGCATGAGGTGTTCGCTAAACATTCCAGGACATCCGATAATCGCTTCAAAAAAAAATAATAATGCTCCCCATGAATGAAATGGGAAAAAACCGCAATTTCCGATGATTAAATTTCTAATCATTTCCAAGATACAACTCTACTTTGTTCGCTCATTTTCCAGAAACAAGAGTCCAGAGAAATGTCTCATACATACTTGACGATTCTAATTCGAAAAAACTTAAGGGGCGGTAAGTTACGCTTATTTTCTCTGTGGAGACAATACATGTCTTAAAGAAGACAACAGTAAATCGTTAACGCAAGGTCCACAAATATTCCCGACCAAATGTTACAGAAACACAACAGGAACAATTTTAAACACGTAAAACGAAGAAACTCAAAAATCGCCTAAAACACAGCACGAAGAAGACCTTGGCCTATTTAACAAATAGAGAAGCCTTGACTGTGCTCTGTTCTGTTATAAAGCACTTAGGAAGCGGCTAGAGCACGAAAGAAGTGTAGGGAGAAACACGAGACGTAGTCGAGTGTTTCTTCCCACTTCTTGAGTGCTCTAGCCGCTTCCTAAGTGCTTTATAACAGAACAGAGCACAGTCAAGGCTTCTCTATTTGTTTTATAATAAAGAATCCGTTAAATTACCCAAGCATTACTTTCAATTTTCAAAACAAACTTTATTTCCAAAGAGAACAATAGTGTCGTCAGCATGCTCTATACTCTAATAAAGCACGCTACAATAAGCCAATCGGAATCCTTGTTAGTATGGTTCAAATAATCTGATTGGCTGTACAAGACTAAAGCTGTCAAAAGTGTCTAACCATCAAAGTTTAAAAACCATTAAAGATCACATTCTACGATAGCTTACAAACTAAAATAGTTCGGCAAGTCGAATTTAACACTTTAGCCTGAAGTTTTTAAGTCTCTAATACAGAATCTTGAAGTGAAATGTTCAGTGAAATGTTCAGAGAACTTCAGCCGAATTATGGCTCATAAAACACGCGAGTTTTTCACATGACACGGTAGAAAACAAACTGTTCAAGGCGAGTGTTTTTTGAGTAAACGACAGACGAATTCACCGGAACATGAAGATCGCTAGTGATGACAGCGCCGCAAAACTCGGCTGCAGTGACTGATGTGACTTTCCACTCAACGTATCGGAAAGGATATCAGAGAAAGCTCTTATTTTTTCACTCGAAGGGTGGCCGATGTTGTTTCTGAGGCTTGCTTTACTGTGATGACCGGAGATCGCCATGATGAGCGAGCCGCGATGAACTGCAGCATGATCATATTCGCTCAGACACCGTTATGATTAGTATGAATTTAAACAATTATTCCAGTTTGGTTAAATTTTTCATCCTTTCTGTTTTGTTCTGTTTTGTTTTTGAACACTGAACTTTATATCTTTGATTTGTTTGATATCTATTACCGTACGTAAGCTTGCAATCTAACTCAGCGTGAAAATCTTTAAAACTCGGAATGTTTATTTTGTTTTTCCTTTGAGGATTTTCGAATCTGCTCACGTTTTAATAACGTAAATTACGGCGCCAGGTATGTTTACAAACCTTTGTTTGATTCTTCTGTTGCTACTTGTCGGCTCGCTTCAGTTCCGAAATTTCACTCTCAATTATCGGAAAAAAGCTAAAAAGAAGTCCCAGAAAAGCTCGAACATAGTACAATTGGCAGATGGCGTGACAGCTTTAGCTCAGCTCTATGCTCTATACTCGCATAGAGCACGCTCTTTCAACCAATGACAGCGCGCGTTATATCCGAACTTTATTATAAATAAGGTTAACTCCGACAAACCCTTCTTTATACAGGTCATGGTTTTGAACTTTTAAAGTCCAGAAACTGTGTTGATTAGATAGTTCAGAGAATACACATCGCTTTAAACTGATGGTCTCCCCGTTCGGTCTACAAGTTTAGGAGCAATGCAATTATTCTTATAATAACCTTTTATGTGCAAAGGTTTCAGTTTGGAACGGCATTTTTAGCTTTTCCGAAGACATCACTCTCGCCAATATCGACTGTAACAGGGAAGACGCTGATCTAAACATCTTTACCGCATTTTAGGTCATTGGGAAAAAATTCACACAAATGAATATTGTCTTACGCGACTTCCGTGTAAGGAGAGCTAAGAAGAGGCTAAAAATAACACTCAGATATACACTACCCAAGAAGGTATAGGAGATATTAAAAGTAACCCTCAGGTATACACTACCCAAGAGGGTATGCAAGAGATTAAAAATAACCCTCAGGTATACACTACCCAAGAGGGTATAGAAGAGATTAAAAGTAACCCTCAGGTATATACTACCCAAGAAGGTATAGTAGGGATTAAGAATAACCCTGAGGTATACACTACCCAAGAGGGTATAGGAGACATTAAAAATAACCCTCAGGTATACACTACCTAGGAGGGTATGGAGGAGATTAAAAATAGCCCTCAGGTATATATACTCTACCCAAGAGGGCTTAGAAGAGATTAAAAATAACTCTCAGGCATGCACTACTCAAGAGGGTATAGAAGAGATTAAAAGTAACCCTCAGGTGTACACTACCCGAGAGTGTATCGAAGATATTAAAAGTTAATCCTCAGGTACATACTACTCAAGAGGGCACGAAAAGTTAAATTCACACTAATTTATATCAGGAGACCGCTCTTTGTCTGGACTCTTTCCTTTGACTGAAAGTTGAGGCATCCACCGTCAACTTATATAATCATTATTCTTTACTAGTTCCCGAATGTCGTTGTCAAGCTCGGCTATTCTTGACTGACATTACTGCAATTTCCCATGAGTTTTCGACTGGAGGCATTTCTCTCGTGTACGGTCAAGATCGATTTGATTTACCGCATCAACAACAGGATTATATTTTGAGACCTCGCGAATCCATCTGCCGGAATTCTCCCTGTCTAATTAGTCCAGCACAGAGACCAGGTGAAGGGGATCTGTGGGTGCCTCTCTAATATATTTTCTTTCTACTCAGCTGACTGTGTTGATCTGGATCTGGGAATGGAAAGTGGAAAAATTCCAGACAATAAAATAACAGCTACATCTGAACTAAGTGCTGCCAAGAATGGTCGACTGAACTACACATCAGGATCATCATGGTGTGCAAGACCAAGTGACGCTAACCCATATCTACAGATTGATCTACAGACACTTTATATCATCTGTGCTGTGTCCACTCAAGGGAATTCTCAAGCAGATCATTGGGTCAAGAATTATACACTTCAATTCTCCAATGATGGGACAACTTGGATGGTCTACAGAGAAGGTGGAAAAATTAAGGTAACATGTCAAAGACCATGTCATTTTACTATTATTGACATTTAGTGTTGTATGCATAATAATATTCAAATTCAATTGCCTCTTTCTTTGCCATTTCCTCCTGTGAAGACACATTCCCGGTAAGATCTGGCTGGGAACGTTAATTTGTTAATGACTTTAACTGTTCAGAAACAATCAATGAAGAAAATTGTCGAGGCTGTTTCTCTTGTCACTTAACGTAGAGGAAAAATGGAGGGAAAAACTTTTTTCTCCTTGATTCTTAGGATCTCTGATTGAAAATTAGAAGCGATGTCAAAACTAAATGTCTCTATGTTTCCAAAAGGCTAAAATGAAAACACTAATTGAGGTGTAATTGTGAAAAGATGAAGGGGGGAACATATTACACGTTTGTCTAGAAATATAAGTACACCTTTTTGTATTAAGGTGTTCCCTTTTAATTGCAGGCCTTTCAGGGGAATATTGACAGAGCCTCAGAGGTTAAACATGTTCTTTATGAAAGTGTTGAAGCGTACTACCTGCGAATCTTGCCGATTGCATACTATGGTGCTGTGTGCATGAGAACGGAAGTGTTTGGTGTTGAGCGAAAACCAGGTTATTATACACAATGTTATGACACAAGTGGAAAACATACCTTTTGAAAATGATCATTCATACTAACTCTAGAGCCAAACTACGATAGAGAGATCATTACATTGTATAGAAAATATCATAATGGAAAAGTATCCAGTGACGGACATTAGCGCAGGCTGCCTACAAATCTGTTCATCTTATTCTCTTTGATCTAATAACTGTGAGAACTTCAGTCCTTCTATTTCAATCTGCAAGGGTACGTTTACATGTATGTGCCTTTTCTTGTCTTTCTTGGGTGTAAATTAACTCTAAAATTACTTTATATTTAACAGGTTTACATTAATCTTTGCAAAATACATGACATTAACCATATCAACTATGCTGATATCTATTTATTTTATATCTTTACACAGTGAATTTTGCCCTCGGGAAGGTCACCCTTCAGTCTTCAACATATAACAATACTCAGCTGGATGTGTCAGGTGTGTCAGAAAAAGCAGTGGATGGTAATTCTGATACTGAATTTAGAAATGGAAGCTGTGCACATACTCAGTCAAGTAGTTCAAGCTGGTGGAGAGTTGACCTGGGTTCAGATAAGGTTCCAGTCTCTGACATATTCATAATCAACAGATTTTCAACAGTTCCTGATGTGATGGCCAGAAGTAAAAATTATAACATTACTTTGGGTGAGCAGTCACTATACTTTTCATGAAATCAATATGAGATAAGCTTAAGATAAATGGGTGCATTAAAAGTAATAAAACAAAGGCATTTCCAATGTGCGAGGTTGGAAAACCGTAGTTATATGCTCAGTCTCAACCTATCTATGTAGAACTTTGCATAGATAGGTTGAGAGGGGTAAATATTATGTAAATATTAAAAATAAAAATGTTGTAGAAGGAGTTATTTGTTGCTTTTTCAGTTGTTTTTTTCTATGTTTCTGTTGCTGCTTAATAGAGAAATTTTAACCCCTCAACATACTTTACATATTAAATCATTATAATTATTTGCCTCAAACAGTATTGATGGATATCTATTCACCTAAACACCTATAGCTACGTGTACATGCATGTAAAATTTTATTTCCCTGTGAAATTGTGTCTTCCGAAAACCCAGTTTAGAGGGGAAATAGAAGTTCACATTATTTATGAAATATATTAATACATTAGTTTGTCATATATTTGCCATGTACAGTACATTGAGATAGACTGTTATTTTTTATAACATCAGGTAATAACCCAGTAGTAGTAAACAACGCTCAGTGCAGAGGACTCTACAGTTTTGTTAACTTCAAAGCATCAGCTGTTTGTTTTATTAACCCACTGATAACTGGCAGATATGTCGGGATATCAACAGTAAGGAAAAAAGCTCTTAATCTCTGTGAGGTGGAAATCTATTTGCGAGGTACATGTCATTATACATAGAGATTGGTATTGAGTAGGGATCTTTGTAGCAAAACTTTAGAAGTTTTTGTAAAATTGTAGTGACACTGTTAGTTCCAAATCTTTTTTGACCATATTCTTAACGTGACCAGATGCTGATTAACATAATTGCATGTCTCATTTCAGACAATCTTGCATTTGGAAAGCAAACAGATCAAAGTAGTGTAAGCTGTGGTGGTGTAAGTAGCAGGGCAGTTGATGGTATCAGTAACACAGACTATAGCGCTAACAGCTGTACCTACACTGGCAGAGAATACAACCCTTGGTGGAGAGTTGACTTGGGACAAGTTGAACCAGTTTCAGAAATATACCTAGTCAACCAAGAAAACCAGGGGTTTTACAGGCAGAATAATTTTGAGATCAGAGTAGGTAGGGGAAATCATTTTTGAAATTATAACACCATACCATAGTGTCAAAAATTTCAAGCAATCACATCTCATAATGTAAGAAGTGTCAAGTTGTCTTCACTCTTTGACTGGTGGGTTTCATTCAAGTTTATCTACGCCTATATGCAGAGACATAAAGCAGAATTTTTTGTCAAATGTATCTTGATAATTCATTATCACAAAGAATTATCACTTACCTTCTGCTCCACTCGTGGAAGATATGATGGAATTATGGAAGCTGAACTCTGGATCCAAAGGTCCAGTTTGTGGCCTTGTTTTACATTGTGCTCCAATGTTTGAGACTTTACTCTCATATTGTCCCTTTAAAGTGAAGAATGCACAATTTAAACGAAAGCTGAACATTAATCACCTGCCATATTGGACTAGTTGCTCTTCTGTTATGGCTTCATCGTTTAAACCATGGCCCACTTGTTGGGCGGATAATGCTATTCAACGGATAAATCGTTAACGAGTGGATAAGTGTTAACAAAATGTGCTGCACTATCCACTGGATAGATCAGATTTATCCGGTGGATAGCATTGTCCTACACTCCAGCATCTTGTGACCTCTCGTTGTGTTACCCACAGGCTTCATGCAATACTCTCATACCATTGGGTAACGATAGTAGCTTGGTAAACAAGTTCTTGATTACTTTTTCGGCCAAAGCCTAAATTTTTTCATGATTCTCTATAGGGACAGTATTCAATAGTAGAGGAATTGCCAATCCCAGGTGTGGTGACAGCCAGAGTTACAGCCTTCCAAGAGGAAAAGGTGTATCATTTTTCTGTCGTCCTGTTTTATTTGGAAGATATGTGACAATAAGAAGCTTAAGAACTGACCGTGAACACTTCACACTTTGTGAAGTTGAAGTTTATTCTGAAAGGAGAGGTAACACACTTTATGTAAAATACCTGTATATGTTTGAAAACCTCACACTGATTGAAGCCTTAAGTTATTGCACAGAGGAGTTATGCTAATGTGCACTAGTTCTATATTCATGCTTTACCTTACTATAGAACCATCCCATGCCCTTGCTCCGACATATTTAAAAGACATTTCTCTCTACTATGCTTTAACTGTGCCTGCAGGTACAATTTGATTGAATCCCAGTAGGCTCAATCTTACTGCCATTTTCCTCAATTTTTTTCTTTCCATGCATCTACAATCAGAGTATTGAGAATATTGATTCCTTTCAGAGTTAGTGAGAGGAATTTCTGCTCTAGGTTCAAATGCAATTGAAAACTTTTGTGCCAGAAGGTCTCATTACACTTTACCTTACAATAAAACCATGAATCATTTAATGGACAGTTCTCTCTGCCATGCCTTAACTGTGCCTGCAGGTACAATTTAATTGAATTTTTTTTCAAAACCTTTATGCTAAGTGGAAAACACTGCTACAATATTGAACATAGATTAATGTCAAATATGTATTGAAAGTCTGCTACTATAGACTCCAAAAAATATTTCAAATCAATACACCTGATTACATAAATGAAAACCATCAGATTATTAGACAGCTCTGGTATGATTTATTTCAACTGAACCGTACATAAATGCAAATTAGTTTTGTAGTGGCAGGTTTGCTGTCTACTTCTTTGCGTTGTATGTGTCTGCTTTTAATTAATCAGCTCACTTTTTTCTTATAATTGATTGCAGCTTGCCAAATGCAGGCCATAGGTGTGGCTAGCAGTGACACACTTCCCAATGCCAGCTTCTCAGCGTCAACTGAACGTACAAATCTTGAAGCTTTTAAAGGTCGACTGAATGCATTTAGGGGATGGTCACCCAGCAGAAATGATAGACCTGATGATTATCTGCAAATTGATCTGCAGTATGAGTTTCTTATTTGTGCTGTAGCAACTCAAGGGAGGTCAACTTTTGATGACTGGACAACTGAGTACAAGTTAAAGCTATCCTTGGATGGTTCCACTTTTGTGACCTACAAGGAAGACAATGTTGACAAGGTTGGTTAAAAAAGGCACATCTGAGATTAAATACAGAACTGTGAAAGATATTCTTAGAGTTGTACTAAAGGGTGATTTCAAGAGCTACGTGTGTGTGGGAGTTTAAGTCTCAAACTCTGAACCCTGGAGAAAGTTTGTGGGATGGTGGTTGTGTTCTTAGACTTAAATAGAAGGTCACAATCTTAAAATGCATTACCCTTCATCATGTGCTGAGATTTAAATAGAAATGAGCATCTATCATAAGTGGACATTCATGCATGTCTCTAAAAGCAAGGAACTTAAACGTATATGTTATGGGTTATAGTAGCATCCTGAGTAAGAGCAATATGTATGCAGAATACCAAGTTTTCTGTCATATATGCATAATGTAAATTGAATTAACTGACCTCATAAAGCAGGAAAAAGAGAACACATCTGGACTTAAAGTTGTCTAAAGCACTGACTGGCTCAGCTAGTAACTGAGGGATGTAATACTGACAATTGTTCCAGAGTCTGCCATGGCCAACAGTGATAAAATTGATCTACAATTAAATCATGAACTCATATTTTAATGATTTGTTTTAGACTTTCAGTGGCAATTCCGGAAGACATGACATTGTTAAACACAATCTCAGAGATGTGAGGGCAAGGTTCATCCGTTTCCAGCCTGTCAAGTTTGTTAGAAACAAAGCTTTGAGAGTAGAGGTGTATGGAGTTCTTGTATCTAGAGGTATATTATGTTTAATTTAATATCATCAAGTTTTCACATTGAGCAATTTTAAAGGCTGGCATAATGGTTAACTTATTATATAGCCTCTTTGTTCATTGGATGTAGTTTATTTACACTCCCTGTAGGCAAACGTCATGTACAAGTGTTTACATGTATGTCGGTCAAATTAGGAAGTGGCATTTTCCACAAAAATGGTCTTAACCTACAGCTTTATGGCTCCCAGTCATGGAGCTGGATATGTACCTATGGTAATGTTGGTGGTTGTCTGGTTGTCTAAAGGGGTCTACAAATGAGAAACTGATCTGTTTAAGTCCATTTTGGGATAATTTCTTCTCCCATTTACGTAATTAAGTTCATATATGCACTCCCAACAGTTCCTAAGACCCTACAAATTAATATTTTTCAAAAAAACTGTGCAAGACTTTTCACTAACTGGAAGAGTAAGGCTGGGTTTAATTTGCTCTCTTAAATACCATATGAATTGACTTTTATGTGCAAAAGAATGAAGAATATTGGTAGCGTTGTTATCATTATTATTATCATTATTATTGATATTATAATCAATATTATTATTGCTATTATTCAACTATCATTCTGTCTTAATTTCAGTCCCCTCAAAAGCACCCAGTGAATTGATTTTATCTGCAATCTCTTCTACAAGTATCACTGCATCCTGGCAGTTACCTCCTGCATATTCCAGACATGGAATCATTGCAGGGTTCAAATTGTTCTATAAAAAGAAACGGTTTATCGGGTCCATACATGTGAAAACTATCAATGATGGAAGGACCTTTTTAGGAGTAATTAATGGTCTGGATAAGTACACAGAATATGAATTTCAAGTGTTGGCGTTCACGTCTCATGGTGATGGACCAAAGAGTTCAGTTGTGGTGGAGAGAACAATGGAAGATGGTGAGAAACTTGATTGTTTGTAACAGTTGCAATTCCACTTTTGGCTGGTTTTCAAGAGCCTATCATTTTAAAGTTGGCTTGATATGAACGAAGGTGCAGTAATGTATTTGACTGTGTATATATGTTGAAATCCTAACAAATATATATTAAAAAGTTTAATCCCTAGAATCTGATTAATATATAATAATATTAATAATATTTAATAATATCTGTTAATATCCCAGAATATAGTAAGTTCAATATAACCTTTCCTACGTATCTTATCGATGTTAACAAGAAGCAAGATCTTCATTACTGGTACGTTTAATTCAGTTGCGTAATGTGAAGTGAAAATCCAATTTTAGTAAAACCACAAAACATAAGTTTGGTAAGATAAAAAGACAATTTATTGGAATAAACTAAGATGAACTAGGGTGATTATGGATGAAGGAAATTGACATGGGTTTCAAATGACATGCTAAGACCGTAAAAACTTCTTAGGGCATAATGTTTAACTTTTGACTGAATTGTTTTCCCCCAGAGCCTAATAGTGGCCCAGCTAAAGTGTTTTCTGCCTATGTGAACAAGACCACCTTAAACATTTCATGGACACCTCTACCAAGAGAGCAGAGTAATGGCGGCATTATTCTGTACAACGTCAAAAAAGAATTGTTGTCTCGGGGAACACGACAGAAAAGATCACCTCTGAGCAGCAAAACAGTCAATACAACAGAAAAATTCATTCTATTGAGTGGATTATTGCTTTGTTCGCAATACCAAGTGTCTGTTCGAGCTTATACCAAAGTAGGTCCTGGCCCATATGGTCCACCTTTAGAACTGCCGAGAACGTCTGGTAAGTAAATACGATATATGTCAAAATAGCCCTTTAAAATTGATGGAAGTAAACCAGTGCAAGAGATTACACTTCGGCAAATCAGAACAGAGGAAAATATTGTAAGGAAGTCCAAACTTTTAGTAAAAAGATAAAACTAAGTGATTTTATAATATGATCTATACGGTCCTGTGTACCCTCTTGGGAAGCATTAAGAAAAATCTCCGGATGAGGGTCGTATGCGATAACCCGAGCTGGGCTATGGAAAGCCGCGTGGCATTAGAAGATGCTAAAATTAAAGAAGCAAGGAAGAAAGGAAACGAGTGGCGACATTGAACTGCTCTTCCCACTTCAGTCACATTCAGATTGTGGGAGAGGTTAACAGGCTTTTGGGGATTAGATTTGGAAACTAAATAATTTCATGTCGTGACATAGTGATGTGGAAGCGTGCTTTTACTTCGCTTTCGTTTCAGGACACTGATTTTTTCTTTAGTACTGAAGTCACTATCATTTTTCTCAAAGACCCAGGAACACCTTGGGGTTTGAGTGCTTTAAATGTTGGAACAACGCGAGTGAGTCTGGAATGGAAAGAACCTGAGCTAACTACGAGAGAAGGCATTAGTTATAGGGTAAGCTAAACGAAAGCGATGAAAATTTCAATCTAAATGGAAAATTTAAGTTCACGTTCCGAGTTTATAGCGGAGCTCGCAGAGCGTAGCCCCGTAGTTATACAAAATAGTAATAACCCATCAAGCCGAAAAAATTGGGATGTACGACCGTACGACCGTACCACCGTACCACCGTACAACCATACGACCATACGACCGTACGATCGTACAAGGCGCTACTTTTAACATGCGTGGTCAACTGTACCGCGTGCACGCCAACGCCACGGCTTTGTTCAGAAGTCCAGTAGTCAGTGCACTGGGCTCCGAGTCGGACGACCTGTTCCCTATACATTTACTATGGAACTTAACAGTCAAGAGCTTCTTTAGTTGATGATCATTTCCTGTATTCTCATGACCTTAATGTGTGATTTAGGGGTGACAAAGTCGGGAGAAATTAGATGCCGATAAGAGTTGTTAAAAGTAAACTGTTATTATTTACCTTTGATCGTTAGATTCATCTCAGTAGTTAAGCAGTGTTTTATTTGATTACTGTTTGTCTCTTGAGGTAAAGTATCTCGGAACAAAGCCTTACAATGGGAGCTTCAGAGAGGAAGGTGTCCAAGACGTTGGCAGTTCCACCTCTTACACCATGAAAGGCTTAGTTCCAGGCTCTACCTACGAGTTCCAGATTTTCGTGAGCTCTGTATGTGGATTCGGAGAACCCAAAAGATTTCCTGATAGGATCAAAACAAAGATGACAGGTATACCTTGATTTAAACGATTATTTTCCTGTTCTAAAGCCATGCAGTTAGAATTCTATAATCATTTGCCCCGTAGATTTTCAGGACTTTGTTTAAGTGATAACTTATTTTAGAGTTCCGTAAAAATGAGAGCATACGATATATATAGGAAGTAACTCTTATGAAATGCAAAAATAATCTTTTCAGTGGCCTGCATATTTATAGAGGACGTTTCAGAGTCAGAGTTTACCCGGATCATGCTATCGGAGTGGCTATCAGAGTGTACAATATCTTGCTTTGTATTAGCTTGGTATGCTGGCGCATCTGTACTTAAAGCCGCTTGTTAGTTTACAAACAATCAGAGTCCTTTTCGATGCTGTCTTGCGAAATCAGACCACTTGTAAACTCTAAAGTAGATGTAAGGATTCCTTTTAATTTTTGGACAAGAAAGAAGAAAACAAAGGAGAGCAAGGAAAAAAGGATTGTAAACTTAACAGAACTATTAAAAAGAACATGTCATTTAGCTGAGCGTAAAGGCCGATTTCTTCGAATATTAGCCATAGACTAGACATAAAAGAAAGACCGAGGACTTCTATTGATGTTCTCCCGAACTGTCTAAGTATTATTACATGCTTTCATTCGGTATTTTACAGTCCAAAGCTACATTATGGATGGATGCATCTTTTCTTTCTAGAAAATTGTGATAATTTTACTCACCTAGTACACAATTTTCCTCTGTAGCTCCAATGGCCCCATTTGTACCTCAGTGGACTAATATGGAAGTCTCGGAGTTATCGGTCGAAATTAACCTCTGGCCTGTAGAGCAAAGAAATGGTCCAGTAAGGTGCGTGACTATAGAATAGAATATGCGGTATATATTTATTAAGTTTATAATATACATGGAAAATTACGCGCGTCTGATTGGCGGAAAACGAGTTCATTTCTCATGCAACACGAGTGCCAATTACAAATAGCGCGCGCGCGATGCGTTTTTCATGGGAATTGCTAACAAATAATAAGACGATTCTCGTGTTATTTTGTATAAATAAGCACTTGTAAATTTTTCAAAGACTACAAATCGCATTTTTTTGTCTTTGAAAAACTTTCTCGAGCCTATTAACACCAAATTGCACTTGAAATCATGTTGTTGCTTATAAGTTTAGGTGACGTACTTATATAAATATTCCACTCATTCCAAAATAATGAATTTTTTGATGTACTGTTGGTGTCCTTATTGGTTTGTGCCTGTGATCCCTAAGATGAGACAGATAAAGCGTCAGCCTATTTAACCCTTGTACCCCTAGAATGATTAACCTTAAAATCTACACATTATCCAGCAGACAATTAATGAGAATACTCAAACTTATCAGATAGAACTTGTTTTCTTGATCTAACACCAAATTTTCGTAACAGATTTGCAAGGAAATGTGTAGCGATCAGATCTTGAGGGTTAAAGGGCAATAATATAATACATATAATAATAATAATAATAATAATAATAATAATATAATACATTAGTGTACATTAATTAGATTCACTCCACCTTTTATCTCAGGACTCTCAGAAACCTATTTATTCATTCATTTATATATCATTTTATTAAAGTAAAAGTCAATAAATAAAGCAATTTTCTATTTTTGATGATTTTCCAAGTAAACGTCACCACTCTTTTTCAAGAACATGCGAAGGAATTTAACGGAGTATATAGGCAGTGTCTAATACCTGATCCCTAGATCTAAATCCGATGTCTTTGACGTCCTTTAGTTTTATAAGGCGACGGAACGATGGTCAGAGTTTCATTGATAAGAATTTCGCTCTTATTCCTAATCTCAGTGCCTATCAGGTAATTGTCTTAAAAGTCTCTGATTGTGCTCAAGACTTGAATAGAAACAACACGAACTTTTCTCCATTTTACGTTGCTGCGGAGTTGAAAAATAACCCTGTCCATGAGAAGTCTTGGAAGTTTACTGTTGGTGACGGGAAATCGTATGGAGCCTTTGTTAACAATGAACTGACAAGAGGAGAAGATTACATTGTATACCAAAGAGCCTTAACCGATTACAACGGTGTAAGTAAATTTTAATTTTCGTGAAATTTCTGCTCAGGGTTACGATTAATGACCCAAACGTTGGATCTGGTAAGTAAACAAAAATCGTATGGAAACCCCATGTTTTTACGGACATGTTGTTAGAGCTACATTTCTTTTCCTTAAATCAAGGAATCAACAGAATTTTTGGTCACTTTTTGACCTTTGTTTCGTTTCACAGCAAATTTTAGAAGGAGATGTCAGCAAAATCGCCATGATTTCTATTAAACCAGGTAAGTGATTCAATTTTTACTTGATACTCAGAAACCTCTATTTTCAAAAGTGATGAAAGACCTACGGTTAGTAAAGCAATTGTGTGAACAGTTGAAATTCTCTGCCCTGCTGGCCATGTGTAGGAAAAAAATCCAGCAAATTCGATTCTATGGTTAATGTTTCACGCAGAATCCTGATTTGGATATATTCGTCGGCTGACCTTGCATATTATACAACTCTACTACAGTAACTTCCTTGTTACTGTCATATGCCATTTCCTCGTTTCACTGTGACAAGATCTCTTTTAATTTAATAAATAGTAAACCCGTGATTCCCCGAAATTCAGCTGTATGATGAACAAGTGCCATAGCTTTGGCACATGGACATAACTTGTTCTCTTAGTTTTTGGGATTATGCTCATCAAAAATTCAATCGTAGGCTTTTGCTGCCAAAACTTTACTTTCTTTTTAACAAGCAAGTATAACTAAGGACACCAAAGGAGAAAGCTGTAAGTATTATGGAGTTTTGCAAACGCGCTCATTATTGTGCATTTTGATTTTCAGCTGAAAGCCGAGTACTTTTCGCTGCTGTCATCGCCCTTTCTTCTATTGTTTTTTTCTCTCTTATTGTGAACGGTACCCTAATATGGCGGTTAAGACGAGCCGAGCCTAACAATAGAACCACCATAGTAAACAGTGGTATCCCTGTCCCATCTGGTGTTCATCAAGCATCAGAAACTGGTGTTTATATGGAGCTACAACCCAGGCCTTCTGACGGGCAGCCACGTGAACCACCTGAATACCAGTCACTGGACGACAGACGGGTGACCCAAGATTACTACAATATGGGAGTTTCAGAAGAAAGCTTGGACGAGAAGGGAGAAGTTTATGAAAATGTGGAGTGAAATGGGAGTGTCCTCCACTTGAAGAAAGGTGTGGATCATCGATATAGCTTTTCAGATCATTAGGACCCATGGTTTTGATTAAGTGATATTATCGTTATCAACTCAGTTGATAACATAAAATTACCCTGATATTACATCTAGTTCGTTGCAGTATTATTCTGTTGTTACATCACTACACGCGTTGATTTTTTTTCCTCGGTTTGAAATGAAAATGATATCCTTTCCTGCCACAAATACAATACTAACTGAATCATCAGGAGTTATATAATTTTCCTTAAAGTATGTCCTGTTAATGTCATTTATAATAGAAAGCTGTTCTAGTTAAGGTAAGCCACAGTAAAATTTTAGCACTTCATCGCTTTTATGCCGACCAACGCAGATTATATTTTCAAAAATGATTATTACAGGTTTTCAAAGTAATTTTCGGTGAAATTGTAACGTATATTTAAATGTTGTTCGACGCTCGATAAATTATCGTCTTTGTAGCAAGTCATTAAAAACAGCGAACACAGGCCGCGAGACAGTTATATGCGGGACGTGCGAGGACAGAAGCAAATGGCTTCGCTCCCTTGCCGCGGGTGTGCGCACGTGTGAATCGCGCACCTTGTTAGCCTGAGAAACGCAAACAAATAAGGATTGATTCATTGCAATTTCAAGCTGTAGCTGAAGAATAAACTGGGAAAAGATAGTCTTAAATTAATGGTTGTTCTCAAGAAGGTCAATTTTTGCACAAGAAGCGAAGTTTTTATTCAGAAGAGAGGGAAAGCCACGCTTCTACGAGGTAGACATGAAATGAGTGAAAGCAGCGAGTCTAAAGTTCAGTTAACGATGATATAAATAGTTATTTTTGACAACAAAATCTCAGGTCATTGACTTATTTGTATTTTATTTAAACTTACCCTTAGTTTTATTCTCCACCAGGCAGTTTCAATGGCTTCAAAACCCACAAGAATGAGAACGAATTTTTCGTCAGAAAGATTCATGGCGTGTTCATGCCTCGAGGGACTGTTTGGACTGAATGTTCATAATTAACTTGAATATATATCATTAGCATCAAGTAAATGAAACCCATAAACCCAAATTTATTCAATCGTTTTGTCACATTCCCTTACATGCTTTGGAAAGGATATTTGTTTTTTAAAAAGTAGCTTGGTACGATAAATAAGCAATAAATTATATTTACAACCCCGACTGAGAAGAGCGTTTGAACATTATTATCTTTGAAATGTTAACGCGACGTCACTTAAAGGCTATAAATCACAAGAACTTTGCCTGGACATAACAGCCACAGAAAATGTGTAACAATATAAAAAAAGGGCTGGTTATATTGGCCAATACTTTTATATGTGTCATTATTGTGGTTTTTCATTTACTCACTGAGAACTTGAAAAAAGACCGCGCGCTCATGTTTGAAGTCAAGATAGCGATCGCACTGCAAGGACGCAGATGTTGCGTGGGCGCGGGTGGATAAGTCCGCACCTTTATTCACGTTTTCTGGCTCAGAGCTCCTTCTTCTCGTGACACATTTTCGTGCCTTTTTTTTTCCATTTCCTTTCCTTACCTCCTTTTCAAAATTTCAACCATCCACATGTCACTTTCTTCAAAATTACTGCCTCATTAGGCCAAGCTTAAGTTCAAACGACGTTCCTCATCTGTATGAACATAGATGCGATTCCGCGAGGTTTTCAACGGAAATGGAATTCTGTTTCCCCAGACGTCTGTACTATGAATTATCGAGCAAAAACTTGAAATGTTAGCGTATAGAGTGCTAAGTCGTTTTCATCGACAAAACTTCTCTTTTCGCTGTTCGTTATTATATTCATTCAGAATATCAGATCGAATTGATCTTTCATACGGATGTCTCAGATAAGAGACTTCCTTCAGAGAGATTTTCTATAAATAACTGTAGTGGAATTTACCAAGGAATTGGGTTTAGTCATTTTATTTTCTTTTGCTTTAACGTCGGATAGTTTCATCGATGAAGGTTCTCTTTGACTACATCTTCATAAACTAACAGTCGAACGCAATGAAAATAAACGAGATCAGTTCAAACTCTTAAGAGGAATATTAAATAAGAAACTGCTGGTCGATCACTCCAAAATTCACACAATGTAGATAGAAATGTTAACTATAAGATGGGTGAATATATAAACACATTTCAGTCAATCAATCAATCAGTCATTGAATGTATTGATGTATATCCTCAACTCTATATAAATTCTATCCTTTACTTTAGTAAAAATATACAATGGCTGAATATCAGACCACTTAATGCGCTTTACACCTTTGAATCTTTCATTTATCGTTATCAAAATTAGTTTATAATTTTATTTCTAAAAATCTAACTCTATACAAAATTATTTCTGATTTCTGAGAAAAAAAAATACTATTTTTTTAAAGTTATGCGACCATCTCGTATAATTTATGAATTTAACATTATGAAAAATTAACTCCAGGTAAGGGAATTCAATGCAAAAAAAGGGCAAACTGTCCCATTAAACCAAACTATAAAATTAAAATGACAAACTTCTATTTTTGATTCAACGCTTTTGAAACGTAAAGACACCTCTAAAGCTTTAATGAAACATTTAAGAGGAATATATACTATGATATATCTAAGTTATAAAAGGTTCTCCTTTACCATTAACCTATAAGAAAACACAAAACTCGATGAAACGTAATAAATTAAACTATTTGAATACTTTGTCTTTTGAACCATTTACATACATTCCTCTTTTCCTTAATGGGATACCTTTGTATTTGGAATTATTTTACATACACCTATCTCTCTTTATCTTAATGGAATAACTTAAAAAGTACAATAATTGCCGTTGTCCTAAGCCCTGTAGAGACACATGTCTGTGTCCCAAGTTACTATAGCAAAATCTGATGTAAATCTATCAGCTATCAAACAGTGAACCTCTTCAGATACCTGTACGTTTACCTGGACTACTCTTTTTACAAAAATAATTAAGGAAAACCTTCATAAATATTATAGGGAAAGGCCTTCCTCGTGGAGGCATACATAATTTGTTACAAAAAATTTGAATACGAGGGAAAAAAAAGCAGAGAACAGCTTCGTAAAAACACCCAGGATGAGCATCACTTCTTTCTATCAAATCTGTTTTATACTTTACAATGCTTTTTAACATTCCGCAAAGTTTGAGTAGGTGCTGAAAGAGTCTAAGTAAGCCAGAACTGTTTTGTAACAAAACATGTACTGCTCCTAAAAGATGAAAACATAAAAACACTCCTTAGGATCACGAAAAATAACGCTATTGATCTGTGAGCGCTCGGCAAAGTGACCATGTTATTTTCTCAGAACCCAAAAGAAATGACTGAACAGCAAAGAAATTCAATTCTAATTCTTCGAAGCAAAGTTCCGTGTTTTGATAAAGTCAGGCGTACCTTGGAGGGCCCCTACTCCCGGTATTAAAACGCCGGAGTGGAGTTCCCCTGTTTTTCCTCTGGCAATCTAGAAATGAGTAAAGTTATAACAATGGATTATGACATTTTTCAACTTACAAGGGTGTTGACAGCACCTGGTCTCTTTGCTCGAACTAGTTTTACAGTCTGGAAAACATCAACTGTTCGTTCAATCTTGACTCGTTCGATCACTGAAATTATGGTAGCTACACAGCCACTGCGGCCAATACCATCACTATAGAAAGATAAAACGGGTAACTATTCAGAAAAAATGAAAAGAACACGATTGTCTATTCGTGTTGCAATTTCTTGCCTTGATTCTTGTTAGCCTTTAATTTATAATTAGCGAGTCAAGTGTTTACTTTTTTCAGACATGTTCAACCAATAACACTGTCTACGCTAGATAAGGTCATCTACAGTAACCATTTAAACCTTCTACCATTGTGTAGAAAAAATAAATATTTGGTCATTTATTAGTATAATGTCTAACAAACTGACTTTGAGCAATTCGGGCATGACGTATGTGCCGAGTAAAACATTAGGGAGCTTAAGCACAGATGTTTTTGGGAAGCAGACGGCAACCAGAAGTTAAAATTATCATTTTGGTGTTCAAACAATATTTTTCGTTGGCGCGGTTTGGTTTAAAATGCTAAAGCGGTGTCTCAAAAAGATCGCTGCTTAAGCTCTGTATCAATAACCATAACTTTTAACGTTTTAGGGTTATATGTAGTAATCCATTCAAACATATGATAACATCTAGAGAACTCTTTACTTAAAGAGCGCTCTTAACCTGCACTGAAAAACAATGACTCCATCTCCTGATTGCTGCTGAGACTGTTGTACAGCATTCATCAGTTCAAGTATCTCCTTGGGATCTGGGCACGAGTTTCCATCGGCCCAATCAGTGTACTGTATATGCTGTATAGTTGACTTCCTGTCATGAGATTGAAAAACAAATTAAAATAGGAAGAAATTCACACCATTCTTCAAAACGGATGCCTATTAAAAAATCAACTTTAAATGTAGGATTAGCTTGTTTATGTGGAGTGAAACATTGATATTGAAAAGCGAGCAAACAAACTCGATTCCATAATAATGCATAAGTTCAGCGGAAATTCTAGTGTTAAATCAAATAATATCCTTTAGACACTGTATCGATAATGTAAGGAGAATTTACAGAGTGGTCTCTCCTGATATTGAAAGAGTTAAGGTCAAACCATCCACCTTTCATTAACATAAATCACACGCGTTGAAAATATATAAACACTTTCTGTTGGTATTGATTATAGTTTCATCGAAACTACCCATAACACAGGGAAGCTTCGAATACTAATTCAAGTAAACCGCAACCATTGCTATGGGAAGAAGTTCGTTCCAAACTACCTAAAGAACAGAAAACTTTGTAATACTTGTACAAACAAACCGTAGCGCTGCATTCTCTAAGGTAAATCGTCTGGTAGTTTTATTGTTCGAGGTTTCTTGGGACAAAAGCTGAACAGTGACTACACCATACCTGGCGGATCCCTCACTTGGCCAGTATTTTGGGTAACTCTACAAAAAGAAAAACTGTGCTACATGTTTGATCCGTGATATAATTATATATACTTAATATCGTGGTCTAAAAAAAGGGGTTGCAAGGATTTTCCAGTAAAGAGTTCCAACTTTTCCGGGGTCAATCGTTGTAAAATGTTACTTTCCCTCGACGATAAAGCTTCTTCAGTCTAAAGGTGTTGAGAAGATATCCGAACTAGAGTGACATGTGCTCTAAACATTTGGAAGTTTTCATTTCGCCAGCTAGTAACGCAGACGAGTATCGTATTTACAAGTGACAGTGGTTTAGTCAAAGAGTCTCAGCGGGAAAGTTACACTTTGCCGGATAATTTTTGAGAGCATATTAGTTTCACTGCGTTAATTGATTCTTTAGAGGTGTTTTGTCCCATTATTTTTGCCACCTTTTAACGTATAGTGGCAATCTATCAAAGTTTGCCAGAGATTTCCATCAGTTGCCCATATCAGTGGCTGTTTTGATATAAATCATTAGAGCTTTAACATCATAGTTTAGGCAGGTTCTGTACATTTCTTGGTTGAAAATACGTAGCAAAGAGTGTTGTTTAGTGCTTTTCAGAAACATGTCATGATTCGTACCTGCCTTCCTTCTTTCAAGTTATTCAACATTACAACTGTGCCAATATTATACAAAGAAATCATCAGCCAGAAGTCTTTAATGGTGTTTTCTAATGGCGCTTGAGTCAGGATGTATGCATTCCGTTCTCTATAGTCCTGAAAAATAAAAGTTCAAAAGAAAAGGTGGACGTCAAGTTAAGCAACACGAGTATACCAATACGAAAAGAATAACAGTACCTCTCTACCCAAAAAGAAAATACTGGAAAATAATATATACTTATAGATTGAACAAATTCAAAACATATGGACACGTTGCACCAGAAAGCTTTCTAGAGAACTTGAAACTACTGAGTTTTTTCTTCAAATCAACATGTTGGGAATACTTATTTTATGAGCTCCTAGCCTTTATTAGGTTTCGTCGCTACATTGATTAAACATTTTCTTTAAAATGTTTTTGATTTGTGAATTCATGTAATATTGCTATTCTTCTGTATTATTGATTGACTATTTTTAAATTTAGTACTTGCGATTTTTTGTGTTCAATTAATAAATAAACAGAATATATATATTACCAAAAAAATCTTATAAGAAGGCATTTTTGCACTTACATCCACATATGAGGCATTGATGTAACTCTCTTTTTGTGAGGAAGCTTGTAAGTGTACTCCAGCATTGTCCACTAGTGTAAAATCGACATAAAGGCGTTTATGCAGACAAAAAACATACCAAACAATAGTTATAAATGTCATATTACGTCATACCACGCGCTCCCATCGGACCTGTGGGAAAAAACGTGGTATCGGACCCGCCATTTTGATTTCGCCCATGTTGTCATGTAGTAGCAGTTGCGTTATTGAATAAAGAGTTTAAATGGAAAAATTGTGACATGGATGTCGGAAGTGGGATAGATTTACACCAATAGAGGAATTCTCACCGCTAGAACAACCAAGAAAACCGGTACGTACGATTTTACAGTGTTTACTACAAAGTCCTGTCTTATCGTGCAATTTAGCCAAAAATGAGCGACTTGGTTGGGTTTGAAGTACCAAAAAATGACTGGACCCTGGCCCAGATTTATTAACTAGATTCAAGAGATTCCGCCAAAAGTGTGAACTGCTACTTGATGGACCGTTAAAAGCTCGAGACGGCACTCAAAAATGCAAATATGTGCTACTATGGTCAGGCGATTACGGAATAGACTTATTTAACACTTGGTCGCTAACCGAAGACCAACAAAAAGACCTGAAAGAATACTGGAAAAGATTCGAAGACCATGTTAAACCACAAGCAAACCATATCTTGAACAGATATTATCTACGAGGTCTGAAACAGAATAATCGTCCCCAGCCACCTTCCTGACTGAAGCAAGGCTACTCATACAGAGCTCAGGTTACCCACCTGACTTACATGACGAACTCATGCGTGACACATTAGTTTTCGGCACCGATTCGGAAGAGGTCAGACGAAAATGCATTGCCCGCGGTAATGAATTAACCTTTGCAAGGGCAAAAGAAATTGCACGAACTGATGAGGCTACCCAGATGCAATTAAAAGCAATGAGTGACACTACAAACCCAAAGCAAGAAGAAGGGGAAGTCAATGCAATCAGCAGAGGAAACAAGCCCAGAAACCAGCCCCACCAAAGGTACACCAGTGGTAGAGGAAACAGACGACGTGACAACAACCTAAGACAGTGCTACAGATGTGGAGACACACCACACACCAAAGACCAGCAGTGCCCAGCCACTGGAGTAGAATGCTTCAACTGCAACAAACGCGGTCATTTTAGCAAAGTTTGCAAGTCTAAAACAAGGTCAGATGTGATGACCCTACAAAAGAACAACCTGATGGTGTAACAAGTGAATGCACAAGCTACGACAAAGTCTTCCTGGGAACACTAGAAGCCCGAGACAGCCCCAGTACCTCAATGATCGCAAGCATTGAACAAAAAAAAAACAACGCACCAAAGTCACGACTGAAATACAAGTCACGGTAGACCCCATGATACACACCTGATACCTATTATCTGCAAGGTCGACACTGGTGCAGAAGTTAATGTCATCTCCAAAGACGACTATGACAGACTCAACCGCAGTTCCCAGCAGATACCCCTTGGCCCAACACACCACAGGATTACTGCGTATGGAGGCCACGCCATCAAGACCCTTGGAACCTGTCCACTATACGTCCATCAAAATGGCAGCATTAAAGAAGTCGTTTTCAATGTTACTGACGTACCAGGACCTACAATGCTTGGCTGTAAAACCTGCGAGGAACTTGAGCTGGTAAAATTTAATTGCAGCCTAGAAACCTCCAAAGAAGACAAAGAGACCCGCCCTAAAGAACACAGACCATGCAAACCGCACCAAAGGACCAGCAGATACCCTAGCCGTCTAGACACTGAAACATACCCCCCACTGGACAGGATAACCTTCTTCAACAACTTCGGAGACTGCTTTGAAGGCCTGGGAACCTTCAATATGAAACCTTATCACATCACCCTAGACTCCAATGCTGAACCTGTCATCCACGCACCACGTACCGTACCAGTACACCTTCGAGACATGTTTAGAAAGGAAATCAACACCATGGCAGAACTTGGAGTGCTCATACCCGTAAGCGAACCCACAGACTGGGTTAATAGCATCGTCCTCTCTGAAACAACCAACGGCAAAGGAGAAGTCACCAAAATCAGAGTCTGCCTCGATCCACGTGACCTAAATAAGGCAATAAAACGCGAACACTACTACACCAAAACAATTGATGAGGTAGTCACACAGCTTAGTGGTGCCAAATTCTTTAGTGTAGTTGATGCCAAAAAGGGCTACTGGCATGTACCATTAGACGAAGCCAGCTCCTACCTGACTACTTTCAACACCCCGTTCGGGAGATACCGTTTCACCCGGCTCCCCTTTGGCCTTATTGTATCACAAGATGTGTTCCAGAAACACTTAGATTCAGCACTGGAGGGCCTGAAAGGAGTCACCGGCATTGCAGACGATACATTCATATACGGAGCTACAGAGGAAGAGCACGATGCGAACATGGTAAACCTCATGATCAGATCCAGGAAAGGGGAATCAAATTCAACAAAGACAAAGTACAGCTCAAATGTCAGGAAGTCAGCTTTTTCGGCCACAAATGGACCCAGGATGGAATCAAACCAGATGACAGTAAGATATCTGCAATCCAGAAGATGACCCCACCTGAGAACCGCAAAGACCTCCAAAGCTTCTTAGGCCTCGTAAACTACCTTACAAGATACTCAGGGCGATTGGCTAGCCTCACAGCACCACTGCGAGAACTTACCAAGAAGGACACCGCATATGTATGGGGACCTGAACACGACGACTCATTCAACCAAGTCAAACAGGAAATCACATCAATGGGAGTCCTCAGATACTTTGACCCAAACATCGAGTCTGTCATTCAAACTGACGCTTCCCAGAAGGGAGTAGGCGCCGTCCTTTTGCAGCAGGGGCAACCTGTATGCTATGCCTCCAAAGCACTTACAGACACAGAAAAAAAAACTACAGCAACATTGAGAGAGAAACACTTGGTGTAGTATGGGGCCTAGAGAGATTTAACTACTACATTTTTGGGAAGCACTGTACAGTAAACACTGACCATAAACCTCTTGAGGCGATTTTCAAGAAGCGACTGTCCAGTTGCCCACCTAGATTACAGAGGTTCTTGATGAGAGCCCTGAAATACGACGTTACGGTCAACTACGTAAAAGGTCCTGATGTACCAATAGCCGACGCTCTCAAGAGTCAGCCCCCAGCCTACCCCTAGCAGCAGTCAACTTTCAGAGATATATGTCCACCACGTCACACAACATCTCCCTGCAACTCCAACAAAGCTACAACAGATCCGTGACGAAACAGGGAGGGATCCTGTGTTGTCTCTGTTAAAAGAAATGGTCTTTGAAGGATGGCCACAGAAAAGAGAAGAGTGCCCCAACTGCTACATGGCTATTGGAATTTCAGAGAAGAGCTGACCATCGAGGACGGCTTAGTACTAAAAGGAGACCGCATCGTGATACCTCCTACTCTCAGACCTGAAATCCTGAACATCATACACCAAGGCCACCTAGGGCAAGAGAAATGCCTTTTACGAGCACGTACATCCGTTTTCTGGCCTGGAATTACAAAGGAAATCATCAACCAAGTTAACCAGTGCGAACCCTGCCAGAAATACCAAAATAAAGCAAGGAAAGAGCCAATACTACAGCCAGAACCGCCACACCGACCATGGGAAAGACTCAGTTCGGACTTGTTCGAATTTAGAGGGCAGCAATACCTCCTGTTGACAGATCAATACAGCAGATTTCCTGTCATCAGGAGACTAACAAGCACCACGTCATCTGCAGTTATCAACCATCTGAAGAGCATCTTTGCAGAACACGGCATCCCTACGCAGTTGACGACCGACAACGGACCGCAGTACAGTTCGGCAGAATTCAAGCATTTTATGAACGTCTACGGGGTAGAACACATTACTAGCTCCCCTATACCCCCAATCCAACGGGTTTGCTGAGCGAATGGTCCAGACCGTGGAAAACATTCTCCAAAAGTGCGATGAAAATAAAGAGGACCCGTACCTTGCTCTCCTATCATACCAGGCCACTCCCTTGGATCACCAGCTGAAATCCCCAGCAGAACTGCTCACCAACAGAAAATTTAAAACTAGATTACCAGCATGCCATAGAGTCCTCCTCAACCACTCTCACCATGAGGTCATGAAAAGTAAGCTCATAGCCCGTCAGGAGAAACAAGCCCACTATTACAACCAGCATTCAGGACCACCCAAAAAGCCATTCGAAGCTGACCAACCCATCCGCACGTACAACCACCACTCACAAACCTGGGAACCTGGCATTATTGTAAAACCCGCCAAACAGCCAAGATCTTACATCATCAGATCCAGCAGTACAGGTACCACCTATCGAAGAACATGGGCCCAACTGAAACCAGACACAACTGCAGTGAGGGGAACACAATGCCAGCGGGTGGAAACCCCAGTATACCAAGGTTCTGAGATACCTCAGCAGACAACTAGTCTTGCCCCAGTCAGTCACACACAGACATCGCACAAAAACGGTGCAGCCCCCAGACCAGGATCTGGCGAAACAGTGCCACTGAACAACATCCCCCAGGGACCCTCAGACATAGCTGGAGGATATGTGACCAGATCTGGGAGGACTGTGACACCTGCACAAAGGCTGGATCTATAACAGTAGAGACACTAAAGAATAGACTTATAAGTATAAGCACAGGAGGGATATCCTTTCAACCAGTATTGTAATGTTCTGGAGATATGATAAGTTCCATTTTTTTTTTTGTCGTTATTATTATTATTACATCGGTAGAAAGGGGGATGTCATATTACGTCATACCACGCGCTCCCATCGGACCTGTGGGAAAAAACGTGGTATCGGACCCGCCATTTTGATTTCGCCCATGTTGTCATGTAGTAGCTGTTGCGTTATTGAATAAAGAGTTTAAATGGAAAAATTGTGACAATAAAGATTCTCTTAGATCTATCGTTTGGAAACATTATTCGATGTGTGGCGCCACCTGAAATTTGGTATGGAATTTTAGGGTACCAATTGTCGAACTTTACGCATTTTAGTTAACCTGGAGATATTTCTTTATTCCAAGTCCTACGCTGTCTTAGAAACCTTGATTTCACGCCAATTTGGGTTCCCTTCGTGTGAAGTTTACCTAAGTTGTCCTAAAACACAACACAGTGACTTTAGCCATGACTCGAACCTATAACATTCTATTTGTTTGGGTCATCGCAGTACGACTTCATAATACCTTATAGGCTATGACCTTTCTTTATCAAAACAAACAAAATTATGGAGAATGATTGATGATTGGCGGCTGAATTGTGTGAAAGCCTGCTTTATTGAAAAGTATTTGCATTTTCGCGCATTATTATCTAGACTATGGGTTTATTTTCTCGTGTATATAAGTAAACTGAAATCTTTTTGCCGTGACTATGATCGATCAATGGCTAATTTGTTCCCAAAATTTGTGAAAACTTTGATCATTAGGTAACAAAACTTTGTGTCGTCCAATCGGTAATCCACTCGTGACTAACAAATTTTACATTGATTGGGGCCTTTCTATGTCGTTGACCACTCGTAAGGTTTCAGACCGAATGAGACCTCACTTGGTTTAGGGCTCCATTAGGAAATAACACAGGAGTGAGCAGAAATCTTGTTTGACATTCTTGAAAGACTGCAAAGTAAGACAAGGTAACACTTACGCGGAACAGTGTTGGGGAATCTGTTCTTGACAGCGTTTTCAGGCAGAAATGCTTCCTTTGCTTCCTCTTGAGAAGCCTGGGCGTTTGTTACAAGTTCCAAGCGCTACGACAAAAGTATCAAAAGATGTAAGTGATTATTTTTGCATCTTTCAGTTTTTCCTTTGAAAACCCTTTTCATCTTCTTTATCTTAAGCCAACCTTTGGCCGTCCTGCTTTCATGTTAGTTCCTCTGCCGTTTTTGTTTCTTACCGAACTGAGTTATTGCCTTCTTCTTCAAGCTAGAGCAGTTTTTTGTGATTTGATAATTGAGTCAATGCTCACTTATGAGCGAGACACAATCGTTAGTTTGTGGAGATTATGTAGATAAGACATGAATGTGATGTTAACAATATCAAACAGAGAAGTATTTAAAAGAATCCTCAGGATCAAGTAATAAGCTGTCTTATTGGTATTTAAGTCTAATTTCGCAACAAAGCGAAATGTATTTATTAGAAATAGTTGCTAGTTACCTTAAACTCTCGTTCATATCCAGTCTTTTTGGATGGTTTATGCACCATGGAAAGCTTGTTCATCACAATTCGTAGGTCCTGAGGGATAATCTCTGTATTTCCACATACCAAGGCCTCCATTACTGCTTGATGCAGGAAAACATACTGTTCCTATACAGAGGTAAAGTCAATACCAATACTGTTGGACTGAACGAACAGTTTTTGGAGCAAGAAAACGCACTGGTTCTATGCAGAGACAGAGTAGTGATGAGACAAACGGCTTTTGATATATGTCTATATATATACATCAATCTATATATATATTTGATATATATATTTATATATCAATTCGGATAAAGTCATATCAAGAACGATTAGATTTTCTAAATTTGAAGATGGTGGTTTCAAGAAGTTGAACTCTGAAATCATTTAGGCGTTTTATCGAAATCATAACTGGCTTACGACGGTCCTCACAATAACCGTGGAGCACGACGAACCGTGAAATAAAGAATAAAAAAGAACTTATTCTGCTGTTATTCTTATGGAAAGCGGTTGAAATTGCTTACATCTTTCTGCACCATGTAAGGACGAGATCTACGCATTACTTGCACGTAATTCTGTATGAACACAGTTTTAATATTCTCAGCACTCTCCAACATAGCTTCGATAGCAATGTATGCGCCAGTTCGACCAACGCCAGCACTGTACCAGGGTAACAATAGAGATAATTAACAATTCTTATTGTTAAAAAATATGAAGGGAAGAGGCGAAGGAAAACAATCAACCCTTTTTTTAAGCATGGAAACTCGCACTGATCAAACACGACAAGGTGACTTGCACTTTGAGTAGTTTCCTTGTATTTAATTTGAGTCCTCATTTGTTCCTCATGATGTCGATCTTCCGTCGCATTAGATGTTGGGATTGCTTTGGTTTTGGTTTTACGACAACCAACTGAAAAGCCCTGTTAAAATTGTTAGTTATTTTAAGCACGATTGGGCGACTCTCGAGGGTAAGGGATTGGTTGATGGAGGGCCTTGGTAATTTACACACATGGAGGTATATTAAGAAACATTTTTATCGTTATCCGTAGAAAAGAAAAGTTTTAATTAGAAAATCTGCAGAAGAACCTTAACCCAAATAATAATAGTTTGTAAATATGAAGCCATTAACTTTAAGTCTTGAAATTTTTCTGTGCTCTTTACCTGCAGTGCACAAGAAGTGGTCCACCAGTAGCCTGGTGTCTGGCATGAATCTTTTGTCTAAATCCAAGTAGAGCTGTGGAATGTTGTGGGACGCCTTTGTCTGGCCAAGTGACGTAATGAAAATGGTGCACGTTCCTTTTTTCTGAATCCTAAGGGGAAATTCACGCCTTGGTTGAAGATGTTGTCATAGAGGGAGCCCAAAATACGTCATTATTTTCGAGTATTTTTCAATGAAAGATTAATTCCATTACGTAATTTTAGTTGGAACAGAGATCATGCCTAAACAGATCCAGGGGGCCCAAACTTTGATTCAAAAGACACATTTCTGTTTTCATCACATATTTTGTTTTGTTTTTTACTCTGCAGCCTTAATGAACTAAGGGTGGTAGGGGGGCCGTCCAAATCCCCCGTACCCTCCACAGAGATCCGCCACCGGTACAAATACAAATACACCCTGCCAGTGGGTTGCAGCTTCTTTGATCGGATGCATCGCAATTTGCGCACTGTTACCATGTACTTTTTAGGTATGTAACACACCCAAAAGGTGTAGACTTAAAACGATTAGGACTTTTTGTTTAGCACTTAAGGCCATATTCTTTAAGGAAGTACTAAATATAAAAACAGCAATTTTATTAAGACACCCCACCTTCGTCACAATCAATGACCTGATGACGTAATCGGCGAAAGTTTCAGTCTTTTGAAGAGTAAATGTGAAAGCACCATATTTGGAAGTGTGATCTGGCCAATACTGATCGCATTTACCCTACAGTTAAGACAACAACAACAAAAAATGCATGTGAGCCTGTATGTAGCAACCCATGACGTTATTCTGATCTTGGTTTTGAATGTGATCGATATTTAAGGTTATGGTGCCAGTTTTACAGACCACTCACGAAGCGAAGGAAATGCAAAATAAATGAAACTCCGGATAAAGTTGAACGTTAAACTGAAAACTGATCTACGTCTACCTTTCCCCCCTCAACCAGGTTTGTAAGCATCACAATGGTGGAACAGTTTTCCTGCCAGACCAGTCGCCAGAAATCATCGACAGTTGTAGAAGTTGGACCTAATAACCCAATTACAAGTAGTCAGAATATTGTTAAAGAATGGCGAAGCGTGTGGTAATTTAACAAAGCTATGAGCTATCTAACAACATTGACACAACAATGGGACAAGTCTTTCTTTCGGAACAATGGGAACTTTCTTGAATACATTTATAAATGTTCTTTTTTTCCTGAGAGGTTTTGCCAACAGAGTAACAAAGGAAAACTAGCACAACCAAAATGGCCAGAAAAAGGCCACAGAAAACCCCTATAAAGGGACTGAACCCCGTAACAACGAGCGATAATCTTCGCCCCCTAATAATGCAGAAACTATCGTTCGAACTAAGCGAGAAATTTCTATAACCTTTGCACCTATTACGTTAATCGAAGGAACTTTTACTCAAGGAAGCTTTTGTTAGTTCCAGAGGTGTCCCATGTGCAGAGGGTACACGGTTAAATATACTGAAGGAGACCCAGATAAAACCAACAGTAATTATTATGCGAGACGTTTTGTAGTTCTCTAACTCTATATTGCAGCAGAGTTCACTACAGCAGTTAGACAATGACTCGTGTTAACGTGTGACAATTATGGGTGTTTCTATGAGACTCCTCCAGATAATTGTACCTTGTGTGGCGATATAAGTCATGGTGACCTCGTCGTAGGTCTAAGGAGAGAAAGTAGAAAACTTGATGTTATGAGTAATTTTTGTTGTAAATATAAGCATCTTGAATTCTCCAGACTGCTTACTCATGCTGACAAGTGTACCATAGAACTTTCTAAAACATTTCATCAAATCACGCAGTTATTACGTAACACTATTAAAATGGTACTTTTATAAGCTTCTGAAATGTTCCGGAACACTGTGTAAATGTATACAAGGACTCAGTTATGCAGTAGTAGTAGTAGTTGTTGTTGTTGTCAGGAGACACCGACTATTTAGAAAGCTATACCGTTAGAGAGAGCTAAAGTGGAAGATTGCTAATTTCAAGAAAAGTTAGAGGAAACTGAGTTCGGCGAGCTAAGATATAGACTGTAAGGGGCTTAAGTAAGTTCACTGAGCATAATTATTGTACTGCCTTTAGGAGTCGCCCCTTATTAAGAATATCACTCGTTGTTTAATAAGGTAGTTGAGTTGGTAGGATTGTAGTGTTTTTCTGTCGGTTAGATTATACCGTAACAGTTAACTGAAATTAATTATAAGTATTCAAAATATTGATATAATGTCTTTTCCATGCCTTTCTCAGCCGTTTATTATGTAAGTTATGAGATTTGCTGTCGAAGTTAAACAATAATGGATGAAAGGCGACCCCATAAGAGTAATGAAAGACTGCAGACAGAAAACAGAAAATATTCATGCTGATTTTTTTTCAAGATGCCCGAACGGTAAAATAAGTTTTATTTGTATATCTTTTTAATCTGTTATCTCTTCATTTATATATATCATCAAACAAGTAGTGTCGACGCGCCGTTATATTGCTCTGTATTGTCGTTTCGTACCGTTTCGTTTTGTGTCGAGTCGTATTGTGTCGTCCTGTCTCCGTCGTTGTCTTGTCGTCATATGCATATGTATTTCGTGTTACTGACCGGAATGTAGCTTGCATTGATGTAGCTGGAATTTTTATCACCCTCTATTTCCTCCAAAACAACACGAGAATGATCATCTGTTAATTAACACAATTGGTGATTTAGGAACTTGTTAAGTTTTTTTTTATGGCGTGAAATACGTATAAATCTTGAACATAGTGTATGGTGCGAAATTCTGACTCAAACTTAACCATTTTACCACTTCCCACCTCACCAACTTTGAAATGATGGAGATACTGACACAGTTTTATATTCAGAGAGCTATGGAATTTATACTGATTGATAATAATGATTATTGCCTTAAAAGAGACCAACTGCAGAGGCAGCGCTAGTTAAGGTCTAGTCACTAGAAACTGATTTTAATTTAATATAACTTAAATTTTTTATACATGGTTACCGTTGGATAGAAACAACAAAAAATCTCTACATGTACTCACATGAAACGATGTTTCCATAACGGTTCTTGCCTCTGTTACTCTTGCCAATCTCACAGGGAAACAGCATATCGCCCTGTAAATTCTAAGAAAGGTATATACTAAGTTGCAAAACATGTGGTTTTATCAAAAACGATTCGATGTGATCACTTTTTGAGACCCTTGCAACAAAATCCACCTCAAATACCAAGTCACCTATTGCGAAACGAACAACACAAAAAAAAATCGAGAAATATTTACAAGTGTTCTCTCGTACAATAACACACAGAAAAACCAACGTCTTACCTTATATTCCTCTCGCAGTGCAATAGCACCATTTTCAGAACCTCTCTTGAAGTATTTTTCAAAATTAGCCACAGGAATTGGTTTGGGCTTACCATCGTCAGCCTCACTGTAGGTAGCCTCTTCCTCTCCACCGTCAGACTGTTGTTCAATACCTTTAGGGTCAAGAAATCGCATATATGGAACTTTTCAGTATCTTGATAATCCCTATAGGCAATCAACCATGTTATAACATACCTTCAATTGACAGACGACTGTCTCCCACATTCTGATAAACCAAACTTGATGTACTCGCGCCAAGGTTTTCATAACCGTTTTGAAGGTCATCAAATTGGACAGGTCTTTCACTGGCACTTTGGGATCTTGTCTCCCTTCTCCTGAAAAAAAAAGATAAGATGTGCAATTTTCGGTTGCAATACTTTTTTCTACGCTCAGTCATTAGTATTCAATCTTAAAATAAACAAACCTCCGGTATAAGAGCACAGCAACAACAACTGCTAGAATAAGGAGTAGCAACAGAACTGCAGGCACAGCAACAGCAACGACATTAAAACCGCTGGACTTTTCCTCTCTTCCACCTTCCACGAAAGAAGAGCGTAAATAGCATTTCAGGGTAGACATTTGGTAATCAAAAATCAAAAATTGTTTTTAAGAAAATAATTTTAGTCGACTATGGCCGAAAATCGTTTTGAAGGTTCGAGTGACATCGCAAGAAAATACACGCACAACCGGCAATGACTAAAATGGTGTCGGCTTGGATTGCGGACTCGTACTACCAACTGCGGTACTGACTCATGCTAAGAAAAAGTCTTGAGTTTTAAATGCTGGTTCGAGGAAAGTACATTTAACCGACAATTCGGAACTTCTTCATTTCCAATCCGCGTTAATCTTCTCCATTCTTAACCATCATTGTTCTCTTTAGGTTTATTTGCGCATTTTTGGCTTTGGCTACCCTAGCCATCAATTTATCAATTGTTTCCCTCAAATTCACTTTAGTTTTGTTAGCAGCTCGCTACTGTCCTTAAATTTAGCTTGGTACCAGGCCGAGCGAGCCAAGTTCTGGCATAAACTTTGAACGCTCATAGTTGATGATATGGATTTAGACTAGCTTGTAGATCTAGACTATCTAAACGAAAATGTAGACACCAGGCTCTGTATACTGAAAAGAAGTAAACTAGTTCAATGAAAGAAAGCCCCTTGAATTACAAAAGTAAATCTACAATCGTATAAACTGTAACTTGTTGGTAAGCTAAATGTAAATGTAATATGGACAAACCCGTAATGGCCGGGGTGATAGAAATTTTGGCAACGCTCCCTACTTCTCCTTTTAGTACTTCCTGTAGAATATACAAAAAAACAAACCACATATTTCAAAAAAACCCGTACAAAACACATATTTTAAAAACAATGAGGAAAACTGAAGTGAGAATAATACGACTGAAAAGTATGTGCTTAGACTAGACCTCCTCCTAGTTTTTGTGTTAACTCATACAATGTGGTGCGAACAATCTTCTCCGCAATAAAGGCTAGACCACTGTGTAGCAAACTACTCTTTAAAATCGATTGCAAAAAGGTCATTAAACCCAGTTCTACGAGTAATGGAGGGACGTAGGTTATAGCCTACATACCTTCGTGGTTTTAGTTAGAGCTCTCTCATACACAATGTAGTTTTGTCCTTTTTCAAGTTCTTTATTCAAATAGTTTCCAGTTTTTTCACCGTCACCAACAGTAAATTTCCAAGGTCCTTTGAGCGCTGGGACATTTCCTATCTCAGCAGCAATGTAAAAGTTCACGTCATCGTTCTTTGCATCACTGGCAGCTTTCAGTTGTGAATCATAATTTTCCGGAAGCTCTTCAACATCATTGACAACTTTCAGAACAATAGCTTGATAAGCACTGAAAGATTGAAAACAATTTGCCCGAGTCATGAAGACAATTTGTATATAGCCTCTAATCACATTTTGATCTTAGCATCAATGACTTAAATCCTTTTGCTAGAATTTATTCTGCTTTCAACAACATACCATAATCTTACTAGAGGTAAAAAGGGTCAAACAAAGGTTCTTTTTCCGAGATAAAATTAAATCTACCACAAAGAGAGACTTTTGTATGGTTAGAGGTCTTCTGTAAGCTGTCAGCCGATCTACCAGAAGGATTCTGATCATCATTTCCTCGACAATTCGATGTGCACTGCCTTGAAATTCTCCCCAGTTAGAAATTGCAAGGTTTTCTCTGCGATGAGGATTATTTTTCCTACAGATTTAAGATTCGAAACACATGAATCTGGCGCCTCTTTCGCTTGATTTCCACTGCATGAATCAAGCCAGACTTCGTGGAAGAAGCGTGACCTCATTTCTCGAGAAGCGGCTGGCAATCTTACCTTATCATTAGGAAGGACCTAGTCAACCTTAGGTTATTCTGAAAATCACATTCTTATTAATAATTACCTTATTGGACCATTAATTTGTTCAACTGGCCACAGAAAAATATCAACAGCTGTCACAGAAACCTCAACATCAGTCACATTATGTGGAACTGGAGCTCTAGGAGCTGGTGAGAAAGATAAACACTTAGTATCTCAACAAAAGGGTTCCTATCGAATGAGATAGTACAGCTGTATGATTACAAGTTCAGAAGGTGATTCATGACAGAGTGCTTAGACTAACTACATGAATTAACGAGACCATTTCTTCAAGAGTTAAATTGATCAAAATGACGGTAAGATATAAATGATTCGCTTAAGTTAGACAGGATTTCATGAAGTAACTAAGTTATGGTCGCTTCAAATATATGAAAGTTAAGTTTACCATATGTCCTGGTAGTTACAGTTATCGTCTCATATGGTCCAGGTTTAATAGTCACAGCTGTGACATTAAACTGATAAGTCACTCCACCAAACACATCAACTGTGTGACTAAATGCATCCTTGTCTATTCCAGAAAACTTTCTTGCTGCACTTCCACTGTGACTGTAAAACAAAGTGTAACTTCTAATAACTCCATTTGGTTTTGCAGGCTCACTCCAGGTCAAGGTGATTCTTGGACCGTGCGAATTGGTAGGTGACACATCAACAGAAGACAAAGATACTGGTGCACTAGGAGCTGGAAGAATAAAGATAATATGATTATTGATAAAATAATGGGAAGTATGTGGATTGAATAACAATTAATCCAAAGCATTTGTAGTGCGTTCTAAGAATGTAATACATTCGAGCCTTTATTAAGCAACACCATATTAAGCACTCATGCTGTATTAAGCGGTCGGTTGTCAAGGTCCCCAATTTTTCCCCTTCAATAATATTTCTTCCATTAAAAACTATGATCATTTTATCTCTTTCACCTACACCTATCACATACCATCTTCCTGGGTTCTCTTCACCTCAACAGGGCTCTTTGGTCCATCACCATCAGAAGTATATGCTAAGACTTGAAATCCATATTCTGTGAACTTATCAAGCCCAATGACATTTTTACTTAATTTCGATCCCTTGCTAATAGTCAAGGTTGTTGCTGATCCACTGGAACCTTTCTTTTTGCAGAACAGTTTAAACCCTGTAATGTTTCTTCCATGTCTGGCAAAGACTGGTGGCAACTTCCAGGAAGCTGTGATGCTGGTAGAAAAGCTTGCAGTTAACTTGAAGGCTGCCGGAGGTTGTGATGGAACTGAAATAAACAACACCAGTTGCTTGTTATAATTTTTAGTTGATTTAGTGATATGAATGTAAATTAATCACCCTCATGACCTTACAGAGCCTTAGATATTCCTCAGATCAAAGAGAAGGATCATGGGACTGTGCACATGCATTAAATATACATTATTTGTATCCCGAGTGTGAAGATGTGCTATACATAAAAGGAGAGAAATGATGCTGTTGTAATGGAAACCCACTGGGCTCCAGAATCTACAATGTACAATGCTAAAATCACATCAGACACTGTTTCATATCAAGCACAAATAATAATCTAAGCAAAACGCTTTTTTTCAATTTAACAGAAAGAGAACCTGAAGGATCTAAGCAGAATGGATTCAAGAATTTTAAAACGATATTTAAGTCTTTTAAAAAAACCTAAATTTATTAATTTTCATTTTCTCTCATCTCTTATGGTCAGCTATGAATTTAAAGTTATTTTTAAAAAAATTTTCACCTGACCAATTACAAGGCTCTATCAATATTGGATAGTTTATAACTCGCCGTTAGCTAGCTCTGCACAATTACCTAAGCTTGTCTTCCACAAATAATTTGAATAATGTGAGTTCATTTTTGTCTCAGGGGGAGATAAAAACAAGTGCAAATAAATACCTTTTGTTAAAAGTATTCCATAAACTTCCACTCTCAGAGCTTTAAAGTTATTGTATGCCGTTGGCTTAAAACGGATAAACTTTGCACTTGCAAATTCCTGGAGACTGTTTTTCACGATGCTATTTCGATTTGAGTTTCCGAGAAAGACCTGTAGTTTGTGGTACAACATGTGAAATAATTGTCTCAAAATACTCTTGATAGTACTGCTTCATTGACCACTATTAAGTATCAGTTACTTACACGTCTCTAATAGCTATTGAAAGACCTAGTTTCTGTTGTTACAAAACTAACTCAAAAACACTGGTATGTGACCCTGTATACCATTTCTGGTGAATAGCCTAAAGGAGAGGTACATGTAGTTCGAGAGAGATTATAGTATGAGAACCACTGGTTGGACAAACACCGAAAAATAAGATTTTTCGAAAGCCCTTTCACACAATCATTTTATTTTCTTTGCTATAGATTACATACTTTATTAAACAACAAGACTGAGCCTTGACCAGATACACACTTCTTTTACCTCCCTCCTCTTGACTCAAAAAATTGAGACAGTGTTCTAGGACCTATATACTATTGGCTTTTTTGTAACTTACATGAATGTTCACATGACTTTTATATAAACTTACCCTGTCTGCATTGTTTTCTTGGTAGGTAACCATAGTGGTACCATGCACTGATAACTGAATCTCGTAGTTTTTTGTCCACTCATTGATACCATTAGCTCCTTGGGTAGCAACAGCACAGATAACATACTCATACAGAAAGTCAATTTGGAGGTAGTCAGCAGGATCGAACGTAGTGTTGGGTGCCCAACCCCGGCTATTTCCATTAAGTCGACCATAAGAGGGTTTATACCTATGATCATAATGCGATGATGCAGAGAAGCTGCTATCTGGAACTGTACCACCAAACGCCAAACCAATGGCCTCCATTTCACAAGCTACAAGGTAATAATTTAGAATCAGCCTTCATAGTGCCATGCAAATTGAAATCATATTAGGTCTGCGGTCTTATGCATGCGCCGTGGGACGTGAAAGCATAAGGCATGTAGATTTCAGAGTTTTTTTTCGTTCGTTTACCAAATAAAATATAAGTTGAGACCACAATGAAGCTCCATGTATCTTTATACAAATCATGTTTAATAATTCAAGTGATCAGACAAATAACGTGTACATGATCTGTAGACCAACTCTCACTTCAACTCAGTTTGTATTTTTACCCAATACTTTAAAGCCATTAATTTGCATTATTCACTTCACAAAAAATGCACTCGATCTACAAATTGAAGATTACAAGATTTTTAAAAGTTCATAATGACGTTTTGAGAACCAAACAATAAATTCAAACTCAGCTCTTTTCTATCAGCTAGTCTCCTTTTACATGCCTTGAAAAACTTGTGAAAAGATTAAAAGAGTATTTTAGACTACTCTCACAATATGGCAGTAATGATGATGACATGATAATAGCAGACACGCAAAAATACATTAAAGTTTCATACTCACTTGGGCTTTTTTTCACTCCAAAAACCTCTGTTCTCATACACACCCCACCCTGGTGTGTTCGCGGCAGGAATCGCAGATATCTTGTTAGCACTCCATAAACAACATGCTTCACTTCTGAGTTCCTGTCATCATTTCCTCTCAGAAACTTGAAGCAAACAAATAGTCACATGCCATCAATAACATTTTTCTCAAATTAAGAACGTAGTAGGTATATGAATGTAAATAGTGTAAATGCTATTGAGATAAAAAATTCTCAGGACGAGACATCATTTTACCAGTAAGATATTCCATATTGTTAGAATTTACAAGCATGTTCTATTGGCATACAACTAACTGTGACCACATCCTATTTCCTATATACCTTGATTTGTCCACCTTCCTTGTAGTCTGTCCAAGTTGTCCCATCTGTAGATAATTGCAGTGTGAAATTCTTCAACCACTGATCTGTTTGAGAATTGAGAATTCCCTTGAGTTGACACAGCACAGATGATATGAAGTGTTTGTAGATCAATCTGTAGATATGGGTCTTTGTCACTTGTTCCTGCACACCATGATGATTCTGATGTGTAGTTCAGGCGACCATTCCTGGCTGGTGTGCTGGCACTTTGTTCAGAATAAGCAATTATATTACTATCTTGAATTGTTCCACTACCCATTCCAAGGTCAAAATTAACACAAGCCCCTGTAGAAACAAAATCTACATTTGCACAACAACATATTCATAATAATTATTGTAACATGGATAATGGGTTGGATGTAAAAGGACGTAGAAGCCTTGACTCTCTATATAGAGTACCTCTAATAAAAGGTGCATGTCACAGATAGCCAACAACTGTTCACCGAAGTGGCAGTGACTAATGTGCACATTTATCAAGTCGCAAACAAGGAAGAAAAACGAACTCGCTTTATAGAGTCTAGTGAGAGTGCCGTCAAAAACTGATCTCAAATGCTACTCAATGTACAATACAATAATTAATGGAGGGATTATGTAATAGTAAACATCCATCTGGCTTGCTGGTATGTCGGCTAATAATGTCCTTGGCTGAGGGTTTCTATTCACAATTTCTCATTTGCCTTTCAAGCTTCGCTAATATGCCAAATATTCATTTTTCGGACCACATCGCAGCTACAGACATACCAACCGCCTGAAGAGGTTTATTCACTAATAATAAGTGTTGTTTTGTTTGTCAGCTTGGATTTCACCCTTTGATGCTTTGGATGCGGCAGTGGTACTTAAATCATTGGGATTTTTACAATTTTCAAGTACGATCTAGTTGGTGTTATCTTACAAAGAAAACATTTTTTTTTCCAGCTGAGGTATGCAAGTTTGAGGTTTTTGTAATCCATTACTTTTTTTGCAACGTTCAACCCAAACTATATCTACAGTATTTCAAAGTACCGTATTTCCTTAACGAAAGGCCCGGGTGCTTATTTAAAATTTTAACGGCTTACAGCAAGTAGCGAAAAGGCTTACTGTAATTTGCAAAACGAAACGAAACGAAAATCTGTAACTTACAAAATGGAAATGTGCTAATGACTTGCAAAATATAAATTCCTATTTTGCAAATTATAAGCATATTTCCGTTTTGCTAAATGGAAATGTGCTAATGCTTTGCAAAATCTGCGTGGTGAACTTTGCGAATCTCCACTACCTTCGTGAATAACTCAATGCTTCGTTTAGGCCATAGAGCGCAAAAGTAATTTGAAATGTTAGTTGACGCTGTAGCTGTGCCGTCTATAAAGTGTAATCAATGTACGTTGTCGATGAATAACTCGAATGCGTGACACGACACCTAAGTGACCGGAAATGCACATAGAAAGTGTCGCAGCATGTTTCTAGATGAGATATCATATTTGCTAAGAAAATGTAACTGACCCAAGCTCTTCCATTTTCTTAAATTATAGATTTCTATTTAGCAAATCATTAGCATATTTTCATTTCGCAAATTACAGATGTGTACTTTGCGATGGAAATGGAATATGCTAATGATTTGCAAAATAGAAATCTGTATTTTGCGAAATGGAAATATGCTTGTGATTTGCAAAATATAAATTTCGATTCTGGAAATCATTAGCATATCTCCATTTCACAAATTACAGATTTTCATTTCGTTTCGTTTCATTCCGTTTCGTTTCGTTTCATTTCGTTTCGCAAATTATAGTAAGCCATTTTAACGGAACTCTGCAAGCAAATAGATATAGACATAACTGAAACGGAAAAGACCCTATTCTCCTGTACTAGTTCCGCGTTGGTTGAAGCCTAAAATAATATAGATAAAGTGGCATTAGAAACAGGATTTCCTTGTATCCCTAGTATGAATTGAAGAAAGTGAGGTAGGGGGTCGCTTGAGAAATGCAAATCAATAATGATTGATTCACCGCGATTTCAGTTTCAAATTGAGTTTGCTCTCCTAGAGCTAGTATGTAAGCATAATGTATTGATTTTTGTCCGCGAGACTAGAAAACACATGTTTCTGAGGCAGACATGGAATCAATGAATGCTTAAAGCATGCTTAGAAGTTTAGTTAAGGACAATCGTAATCAATATTTTTGACGACAAAAGCACAGTTAATGACTTGTATTATTATAACATTTAAACTTACTCTCGGTATGATTCTCTACCAGGTTGTTCCCTTAGCTTCAAAACCCAAGTTTGTCAAGGATGAGAATTAACTTTTTTGTCAGAAAGATACCTGGCATCCTTTTACCCCAGGGACTGTTTGGACTGAATGTTCAAATGTTGCTTGAACGTACATTAGCATTTAGTAAATGAAGCGAACAAATCCAAATTTGTTCCATTGTTTGGTCACATTCCCAAACATGCTTTGGAAAGGATTGTTTTGAAAGAGAGCTTGGCATCTATCTAAAGATTTATAAACAATACTTTATTCTGCAACCGCGACGGAACCCGAAGCAGCTCTCTAATCTTTTTGGTATTGATGTTGTCCGCATTCGCGATTAAGTTGCGATAGTAGGTGGAACTGGAAAAATTGAAAGATGTAACCCACCAATTCCGTTAGATGTAGTGTTCAAATGAAAATAAACCTTTTGAGTAGATTTGATATGATATGGTGCTCACCTGAAACCAGAGGAAGAAATACAGCGAGAACAACTACACGGATACAAAGCTCGAGATTAAACTGCGCCATGTTTCGATTGAGTGTGTCACGGTATGCGGTCACGCAAGATGTCTTTGTTTTTTCACTATCCTGGTAAAGGGTCAAGGGCCCTCTTCACACAAACACGCTTACTCAGAATTCAATTTAACTACTCTTTAATTCGCACGTGAAGAAGAAGTTAATTCCTAAGGAACAGAAAAAGGACTTTCGCAAAAAAGTACTAATATACAAGACGGAAAAAATAAATGCGAAGATACCACGAGACAAAAAAGTTACCAAATGCTGAAGGAATACACAAGACACGGAACACTCGTAGGAAAAGGGTTTACATCGACGCAAAATAAGACACACTGCAAAAAGGGGCGTGAAACATGATATACAAAGGGGGCCTAATTTGCATAGAGTGGATGATACGTGGAAAAACCAAAAGAACCCGTGTAAATTAATATGTAATTTTCATTCAGTTTATGTTAAATGGTGATAAATTTAGTTCTTTACAGTATTTACAGTAATTTCACCCCTTGATGACGCTATGGATGTAGCAGTAATAATTTAATCATTGGGTTTTTAGAATTTCCTAGTACTTTTTTTAACATGACCAACGTAAAGCACGTGCTCTGATTGGTCAATTCAGTGTCTACTACTTGTCCATGGGAGGTCGCTGTGACTTAAAGAATGCAACGATTAGTTATCGCGGGCTCGTTTTAACTATAAGAAAATTTTTGGTTCAATAAAAAGAGAACTCTTTTGCTACAATGTGTCAATATATGCGTTATCGACGAAGCTGAATATTGGATACTGCCGAGTTCTTTTTCTTTTTTTTTAATTTTTACGGACTGAGATAATACTGTTATCTAATAGAGTTTGTGTCAAAATGTACGCATTACGTTGTCTGTAATCCTGATAGATAAAGATCAAAAGAAAATGTAGACGTCAAGTTAAGCAACGCGAGTATACCAATACGAAAAGAACAACAACATCGCAACCCAAGAAGGAAAATGGAAATGAATATCTGCTCAGAAATTAACCCTTTGACCCCTAAGAGTGACTAGGATCTAATTTCTCCTTACAATATCACCCCTGAATCACACATAAAGGTCATGAGAATAAAGAAAATAACCATCAGCTGAAGAAGTTCTTGATTGTTAAACAAATTCTCCTCATCAGCACTTTAGGAAATATATAGAGAGCAGTATGGAGAATATGCATACTGATGTTTGGGTGGAAAGGGTTAAACAATTCAAAAGTACGTTACACGGATACTTTGCAACCAAAGCTTCCTAAACCTGAAAGTACTGAGTCTTTTCTAATCAACACGTTGGAATTACAGAGTATGCTATAAAGAGACATCGTTTCGTGAAAACGTTTCATTCCATTATCTACAACCATTCTGTTGCTTAGATAAGTTGAAAATAATTATATTTATATTTTATTGCATTGGAAAATCTTTCCAAACATTTCTTTCAATGTAATAAAATATGTGCTTATTGTTCATCGTGGTGTAAGATAGGAGATGAACTTCGTTCGTTTGTCTCACAATAGAGTTACCTGTGATGTAGATCGCGACGTTTCGAGTGCAATACTGCTAGTCTTCAGCAGGCGATGAGGTCGATTGCTTATGTGTTGCTGTTTGTAGCACGTTAGTACGCTGTTATCAGTGCATTTCGCTACTCATTATTATTCCAAACGTCGCGATCTACATCATAAGTGACTCTATCGTGAGACAAACGCACAAAGTTCATCTCCTATTTTTTTCAATTTGTAAATAGACTGACTTAGAAATATCTTCAAGAGACTAGAGTGTAAATTTTCTATTCAGTTGTCTACAAATATCAAACAGCAATATTCTGTTAGCTAACATTTTTCAATTTTCTCAAAGGAAGAGTACAAACTAAAAAATTTATTTTACGATTTAGAAGAATCTACTATGTATAAAAACATGACAAACGGCTCAAAAAATGTAATCCTCCTGAAAAGGTAAAATATAGGGAACAACTTCCATTACATTTTTACGTTTTTCTCTCGTTTTGCACACAGTGGCTTTTAAACAAGTTTGCAAATTCACTACTTTAACTTTAATTTCTTGTTCAGAACTCACTTTAACTTGAAATGACATTTTTAATGCTGCCACTGGGGTATGCAAATGTAGATTAAATCTCACTTGACAACATGGATTCCTTATAATTATACAGATATGCGTAAAATATGAAAGATTAAAGAAAGTAAAATATGAAAGATTAATGTAATTAATTTCGAACTGACCAAATTAAAAGTTGTTGTGGGCTGAGGAAGCTCTTAAGGCCTTACTGCCGTAAATTGGCTGATGAACTACCTTGATCAGAAAACAGTTGTAGTCATTTCTGTTCCTGAGGAAATTATTTATCATATTTCCTCATACACTTCTTTATTTTGTTTCCCGCCATTTTCTCTCTGAAGCACCACATTGTAATATTCAGGGTTCTTGGGTATTTCCAGTAGCGACTGATACTCAGTAGGAACATGAGACTCTTCATGGTTCGAGGGCCTGGCTTTGAGTTCCATATACGTATTTGGGTCTGAAGCTGGTTCATCATTGGACCGTCGATCAGGAGAAGATTTGACGCCGTCAAAGTCGACTTTTTCTTTACCCTGTATCCTTTCACTGGGAACAGCTCGTCTCCGCTGCCATATCAGCCCACAAACTATAATGAGCAACACAACCACAGCACAAGACAGTGTGATCACACTGGCAAGGAAGATGCTTTGCGGTATACCTAGTAAAAGAAAATAAACGACTATCAAGAACCAAGTATCAAACACTGAAAATATAGCTTAGATAGATAGGTATTGTTGTTGTTGTTGTTTGTTTTTAAGTAGATTCACGCTAAGGAATACGAAGTTTCTTTTGATCCCGAAACCTAAAAACTTTGACAAACGTTCCCGTCTTTAGGTCATACTTCATTGTATCCATAAATTTGTTACTCTTTCTTTATTCAAGATTCTGTCCTCCAGAAACCTTGAGCCAGTAGGTCAAATTTTAGGAGCAAAACAAAAATATTTTAGCCTTGAGTCTCCTCAACAATGGTATATATAGCTCTGTCTTGATTTAATTAGAACCTAACAGACAAATTTTGATATGAGGAATAATCTACCTACATTGCACACCATGATAACTTTCTAATTGCAGAAAAGAAATGTACCTTCACACAGAACAACGTCGGTGTATGAGACCACCATATAATATTGTTTTTGATACCTAACTGGTCGTATTAAACAACTGTTATTAGAAGCCCATAAACTCCAAACGGGACTTCAAATTTCTAGGCTTTCCAAAAAGTTTGAAACGAAAACATCTAAGCACGTTCGAATTTTGAAGAATATTTACCGTTTTGGAAATATTTACGGTCATCATCTCGATTATCCTTAGGTGAAAGCAGGATTATTTTATACTCTGTTGACCCAAAGCTGTTTGTAGCGCGACACACATACTCCCCATAACCTTTTCCATCCCGTGGCGTGACAATGATACTGTTATTCATTAACTTGATGTCATCACCAGTTGGAACCTGGCCATCTTTCGTCCAAGAGTAGTTAAACGGAAGGTAACTTGTTGCTTGACATGAGAGAAAACACGGAGTTCGCTTTTCACACATCACTGAAGAAGGGGAAAGCTCTTCGATAATTCTGGGTGGCACTGTGTAGAAAGAAAGAATATTGTAATGAGACCAAGAGAAATTTTGACAAAATCATGCTCATGGAAAATGGTGAAGGGTATAACAAGCATACGGGGACACTACCATGATGTAGGTTTGGTTTGCGCTCTGAGGGGTGGTTTGCTTTTTTGTCACGAGTGTTTCTTTTTATTTTAACCCTCAAGTCCAGTAACTATTGAATGACCTGTAAATAAGAGGCTGGAGTAAACTGAGACTAGTTGTAATGGTGATCATCGTGGTGCTTAGCATAACCATACTTGGTCATTAACTTTGATAGAGGTTGGCAAATTTTCTGACGTATTGCTTAAAATAATACACGTATTCTTCTGCACATTTACCTCACAGAAGAAATGATTCTGCAATTGTATGCAATGTTTAATGTTATTCTAGATCACTTTCAACGTACCAGCAACAATGAGTGTCGAAGCTGTACGGCTTTCTCCAAATATGTTCATAGCTATGCATTCATAAACGCCACTGTCATCAGGAACAACATCTTGTATAATGAGTACCTTGCCGTTTTTCTTGAACTGAGCGCGAGGTATACTGGTAAGTCCATCTTTGGTCCAGGTAACAGAAGCGTCAGGGTTTCCACTAACCTCACAAGTCAACACTGCCGGCTCGCCAACTGCTGTAATGGTTCTTTCAGGTAGATCTTTGATGTGAGGTTTATCTGAGATTTTATAAAAATGAATGAGTTGTTCCTTAACAAAGCTCGGGACACAAAGCAGCATGTAGGCTTTGCAGCCTCTCTTCCTAACTAAACATTAACATAAAAGCTCCTCAATTGATAGGCAACTTCAGGTTGATTACAAAAACAGACGAACAACCAAATCAGCATTTAAGCCTCTAATCGTTAAACAAATCAAAGGTTAAATCAAATAAGGTTCAAGTGTGCTCACTGAGTGCTTAAAGTCTCTAAATATCTGAATAGGAAAAACATACAAAGCAAATAAAGAGAACCAAAACAAAACAAAACAAAAAGACAAAACACAAATAGTATCGCCTGAAAAGAACAGCACCTTTGGTGTCAATTTCTACGAAATATGGCTGGAAAGACAAAATAGAACCGCAAAACAACTGATGTCATTCATATGCAACCTTGTGGTGTGTTTGGGTATGGCATGGTGACTCAGATCTCCCGAGCATTACAAGCTTGCTAAAAACTGCGAGTGTAACTTTCAAGGAGACCAAAAGGCTAGTAAAAACAGCAGGATGATGATTTAGGAGGGGAAAGTTGTTGAGACATCTGAATGCAGACCAAGAATAGATGGATGGGTCAGTTTTATTAATCAGTTTTTACATTGAACGAATAGAACTTCCCTTTCGATGATACATGTTTTGTTATCGTAACTTTTTCACAATAATAAAATGTATCTTTTAGATCCCCAGCAGTTTAATTGCCAACATTTGTTGGCAGTCCCAGGTTACTTTGCAATGCTTGATTTCAAGTTTTTTTTGGGTAGCTTTGTAGCAATTCTCATCACGCCTTCCTCGGCCCAATCAATTCAGTTTTTTCTCAACCATTCATGAACAATTTTGAGGCATTCATCTCGTTTTGTTCGTCAGACCTTTTGTAATAGTAAATTAGTATTCATGCGTCTGTGGTGTTGTAGCTGTCATCTACAAACGTTCCCGAACAGTTTTCAAGTAAAACTATGCACTTGTCTTCAAGAATTACAGAAACTGTTTTAACAGTTGTCTTAAAGCTTGTATAGGCAGGCATCAAATTTTTGTCTTCAAACAAGGGTGCCTTGGTACCACGAAAAGTTCCTTCCTCCAGGCACGGGGGTGAACTTCTCTCAGACATACGTGTAGTCTAATGGTCAGCTAAAACATTTCAGCTTTTGAATCTGATGGCCATCGATTTTTAACTATACTACGAGACCCAGAATGCTATGAACGGCAAACGAGCCACCTTGGGTACTGTAAATGTAAAACTGGGCAGGCTAAATCTCAATAAAAAATCACCTCAAAAGTAGAGTTAATTTTGCTGTTGCTACACAAAATCACTTAAAAATGTGTTATACATCTTTTGAGAACTCTTACCATCTTTCAGGGTCCTCACCACTACAGGAGAAGTCTTTGGTCCATCACCAACTAAAGTAAAAGCCAACACTTCAAATTCATATTCCGTGTTGTTTTCAAGCCCAGTGACACCTTTACTTAATGCTGTTCCGTTGTTAATGGCCAGGGTGCTTGTTCGTCCAACGGAGCCACTCTTTTGGTAGAACAATTTGAATCCTATGACTATTCCATTTCTGGAGTCTCCTGGTGGTAACTGCCAGGATGCTGTAATAATTGTAGAAGTAACTGCTGTCGCACTGAAGCTCCTCGGGGCTTGTGATGGAGCTGCAATTAAAAAACTGTAGCGCTTAACTCCTACCAAACAATGAATTCTCCTACCTCGCTCTTAACCTGTGGCTCTAAAGCTCAGTTGGTAGCAGCACCCATCTAGTATCTGGGTGAAATGGGTTCAAATCCCATCGATGCCTCAATCAGTATCAAGCTTCTTTGCTGCAATTGCTTGAAATTACAGCTTTCCTGGGAGGATCATTTCTTTCCTTGATTTTATTCGACGTTCTTATCAGTTTATTCATAAAAACTGTGTTAATCTTTTCTCTTTCACCCTCAGTTATCGCATACCATCTTCCTTTGTTCTCTCCACCTCAACAGCGCTCTTTGGTCCATCACCATCAGAAGTGAAGGCCAACACTTGAAATTCATACTCTGTGTACTTATGAAGCCCGGTGACATTTCTACTTAATGTTGATCCATTGCTTATAGTCAGGGTTGTCGCTGACCCCACAGAACCTTTCTTTCTGTAAAACAGTTTAAATCCAGTAATGTTTCTTCCATGTCTGGCAAAGACTGGTGGTAACTGCCAGGAAGCTGTGATGCTGGTAGAAGAGCTTGCAGTCAACTTGAAGGCAGCAGGAGGTTGGGATGGAACTGAAATAAACATCACCAGTTGTTTGCTATAATTCTTAGTTTATTTAGTGATATGAAAATAAATTAATCATCCTCGTGACCTTAGAGAGCCTTACATATTCCTCAGATCAAAGTGTAGGATCATCGATCATGAGTAATGACTGTGTCTATGCATTAAACAAACATTATTTATATCCTGAGTGTGAGGATGTACTAAACGAAATAGGAGAGAAATGATTCTGTTGCAATGGCAACCCACAGGGCTCCAGAATCTACAATGTATAGTGCTACAATCACATTAGACACTGTTTCATAACAAGCACGAATAATAAGCTAAGCAAAACTCTTTTAATTTAGAAAAGAAGAACCTGAACGATCTGAGCAGAGTGGAATCGAGGTTTGAAAAAAAAATTATGGATTTTCAAATTCTCTATCTCTCATGGTCAGCTCTAAAGTTATTTCAAAAAATTCTCCCCTGACCAATTACAAGGCTCTTCAATCTTGGATAATTTATAACTCGCCGTTAGTGTACCTCTGCACAATTAACTAACCTTGCCTTCCACAAATAGTTAGTTAATGCAACTTCATTTTTGTCTTGGGGGAAAATAAAATCAAGAGCAAATAAATACCTTTTGTCAGAAGTATTCCATAAACTTCCACTCTCAGAGACTTCCATCCGTGATATGTTGTTGGTTGAAAGCAGATAAACTTTGCACTAGCAAATTCCCGTAGACCGGTTTTTACGATGCCATTTTCATCTGAGTTTCCGCGAAAGACCTATAGTTTGTGGTACAAAATGTCAAGTCATTGTGTCAAAATGCTCAGAATACTACCACTTCGTTGACCGCTATTAATTATCAGCTATTTACATGTCTCTAATGGCTATTGAAAGACCTTCTTTCTGTTGTTACAAACTAACACAAAACCAGTATGTAACCTGTATATCATTTCTGGTGAATAACCAAAGGGAAAGGTAAGTGTACAAGAACCACCGGTTGCTCAAACACCGAGAAATAAGATTTTTCGAAAGCACTTTTACACAATGTTTTTATTTTCTTTGGTATCGATTACATACTTTATTAAACAACAAGACTGAGTCTTCACCACGCACGCACTTCTTTTGTCTCCCTCCTCTTGACTCAAAAGAGAGACAGTGTTCTAGGACCTACATACTTTTTGCTAGTTTGATATATACATGTCTTTACACGACTTATATATAAACTTACCCTGTCAACATTGTTTTCTTGATACGTGACCATAGTGGTACCATCCACTGACAAGCGAATCTTGTAGTTTGTTGTCCACTCATTCAAACCTCTACCTCCTTGAGTAGCAACGGTACAAATAACATACTCATACAGAAGGTTAATTTGGAGGTAGTCTGCAGGATCAGACTTGGTCCTGGGTACCCAACCCCGGGTATTTCCATTCAGTCGACCACGAGAGGGTTTATGTATCTGACCATAATGCGATGAAGCAGAGAAACTGCTGTCTGGAATTTTACCACCAAAAGCCAAACCAATGGCCTCCATTTCACAAGCTGCAAAGTAATAATTGAAAATCAGCCTTCATAGTGCCTTGCAAATTGTAATCATGTTAGGTCTGCAGTCCCATGCATGCACCGTGGGACGTGTAAGCGTATGACATGTAAATTTTAGAGTTGTTTTCGTTCCTTTATGAAATAAAAGATAAGGTAATACCATGATAAGGCTCCATGTATCTTTACACACATCATGTTCAATCATTCAAGTGATCAAACAAATAACGTGTGCAGGATTTGTAGACCAACTCTCACTTCAACTTAGTTGATAATTCTACCGATACTTTAAAGCCATTAATTTACATTATTCACTTCACACAAAATGCAATCGATCTCCAAATTAAAGATTAAAAGATTTTTAAAAGTTCATTATGACGTTTTGAGTACCAAACAAAAAATTCAAACTCAGCTTTTTCTATCGGCTATTTTTTTTTTACATGATTTGAAAAACTTGTCTTAAGATTAATGATGATAACATGATAATGGCAGACATACAAAAATACATTAAAGTTTCGAACTCACTTGGGTTTTTTTTCACTCCAAATACCTCTGTTCTCATACACACCCCACCCTGGTGTGTTCGTGGTAGGAATCGCAGATATCTTGTAAGCACTCCGTAAACAACATGCTTCACTTCTGAGTTCCTGTCATCATTTCCTCTCAGAAACTTGAAGCAAACAAATAGTTACATGTCATCAATGACGTTTTTTTTCAAATTAAGAACGTAGCAGGCATAAGAATACAAACAGTATAAATATCATTTAGATCAACAATCGTTAGGACGAGACTTATTATTTTACCTGTGAGATATTCTATATTATCGGACTTTACAATCCATGTTTTATTAGCATAGCAGCTATAGTTAGTTTAACTAACTATAGCAGCTATGCCTCACAGTCTATTTCCAATATACCTTGATTTGGCCACCTTCCTTGTAGTCTGTCCAAGTTGTTCCATCTGTAGATAATTGCAGTGTGTAACTTTTCACCCACTGATCTGCTTGAGAATTTCCTTGAGTGGACACAGCACAGATGATATGCAGTGTTTGTAGATCAATCTGTTGATATGGGTTGGTGTCACTTGTTCCTGCACACCATGATGATCCTGATGTGTAGTTCAGGCGACCATTTTTGGCTGGTGTGCTGGCACTTTGTTCAGAATCAGCAGTTATGTTACTGTCGGAAATTGTTCCACTACCCATTCCAAGGTCTAAATCAACACAAGCTCCTATAGAAACATAATTAACATTTGCACAACAACATATTCATAATAATTATTGTAACATGGATAATAGGTTGGATGCAAAGCTACGTAGAAGCCTTGATTCTCTCTACTGGGTACCTCTAATAAAAGGTCCATGTCAAAGATAGTTAACGACTATTCACCGAAGTGGCAGTGGCTAATGGTGCACATTTAACGAGCCGCAAAGCATGGAAGAAAAACGAACTCAATATGTAGAGTCCGGTAAGAGTAACGAAACTGATCTCAAATGCTGCTCAACGTACAATACAACAATTAATGGAGGGAATATATATTAATAAACCTCCATCTGGCTTGCTGGTATGTCGGCTAATAATTTCCTTGGCTGAGGGTTTCTACTCGCAATTTCTCATTTGCCTTCCAAGCTTCGCTCCTATGCCAAATATTCATTTTTCGGACCATTCTCGGCCATAGACATTCCAACCGCCTGAAGAGGTTTATTCATTAAATAACTTGACACAGGGAAACAGGGTTTTTAACCCTTCCTTTGATGAAAGAGAAGTTGACTTTTTGAGTAAATGTACAATTTCTGGGGCGCAGGGCAGGAATGTACAGGCTGATCGAAATGCAACGGCTGAGTCGACTGATTTATGCTGGAATTAGCATAATCCATGATGTAATCCATAAGTTATTGTGCTTACATTTCCTTGATGAAAGAAACAATAGCAAACATTATATTACATTTGAAAGTATCTCTGTTTTAGAATAGTGCCACGTTAAACAGAAATCGTTCCATTAAAATGTATACCTAAAAACACCGAGTACATAGTCTAGGTAGCACAATTTCCGAGAGTGTTTTAGCCTGAGATTGATAAAAAGTTTACAAAATAAACATAATGGTTTCAGACTCTTTGTTTCTTTGCTGAATCATGTCAAGTTTAAATTGCCTTTCATAAATGACTCTTTACTTCCTAACTGCGATAGTCAAAAAGGCATTAAGGGGTCAACATTCCCATTCCTTTTCATGAAACAAAAAGGCGAGACCCGAGAGAGCTTTCTTATCATTTTCGTATCAAAGCTGTCTGCATTGGCGATCAAGTTGCGATGGTATGCGGAAGTCAGCTTTCAAACTGAAAGATACATCTCACCATTTCCGTTAAATATAGTAAATTTGATATGATATAGTACTCACCTGAGGCCAGAAGAAGAAATAAAGCGAGAAAAACTATACGTAAATAAAGCACGGGACTAAACTGCGCCATGTTTTGATTGAGAGTGTCACGGTATGTGGTCACGATTGTTTTACTTGACTGGCCTTTTGTAATAGAAAGCTCATTCGACAAAACATGTTTGTGTCTTCGCCCCTCAAGCTCGTATTTTCATAATTTGTAGCATTATACCTAATACATGTAAATCTGGAGCTTTCAATCAGTTTATACTTCTTTCTAAATGCTGCATTTAGTTCTTGGTAGTATTTCAATGGATGTTGTCGATGAATAATTCGAATGCGTGACACGACACCTACCTAAGCGGAAATGCACATGGAGAGAGTGTAGCAACATGTTTCTAGATGGGATATCATGTTTTTTGGGAAAATGTAACGGAACCAAGATCATTTATTTTCTTGAGTCTCAGAATAATTTTTTTCTTAAATTACAGATTTCTATATTGCAAATCATTAGCACACTTTCATTTCGCAAATTACAGATTTCTAGAAATGTGTACTTTGCGAAATAGAAATATGCTTATGTTCTGCAAAGTAGAAATCTTTAATTTGCGAAATAGAAATATGCTAATGATTTGCAAAATAGAAAATCATTACCATATTTCCATTTCGCAAATTACAGATTTTAATTTCGTTTCGTTTTGTTTCGCAAATCACAGTAAGCCATTTTAACGGAACTCTGCAAACACATGGAGATAAACATAACTGGAACGGAAAAGAACCTATTCTCCTGTACTGATTCCGTATTGGTTGAAGCCTAAAATGATGTAGATAAAGTGGCAATAGAAACAGGATCTCCTTGTGTCCCTACTATTAATTGAAGAAAGTGAGGTAGGGGGTCGCTCATTTGGGAGAGGACGCCTATCAAAGCGTGGGCGCTTATTCGAGGAAATACGGTAGTTGTAAAGTGGTATTTTGCGAAGCCAGTCAATCAATGCTATGGAATCTATTCGCTTTCTGTCCGACACTCGATGTTTTATCGCCACAGACGCATGTTGCTAACTACAGGGAAAACTGGGCGAAAGTGGCCATGAGCGGGGGCAGAAGCAAATGGCCTCGCTCGCATGCATGGGCATGCGCGCGTGGAAATCACGCACCTTGTTCGCTTGAGAAACGAAAATAAATAATGATTGATTCACTGTGATTTCAATTTCAAATTCAATCTCCTAAAACTCGTATGTAAGCATAATGTACTGATTTTTGTCCGCGAAGTTGGAGAAGACACGTTTCTGAGGCAGACATGGAATCAATGAATACTTAAAGCATGCTTAGAAGTTTAGTTAACGACGATCGCAATCAATATTTTTGACAAAATCTCAGTTAAATGACTTGTATTATTATTATATTAAAACTTACCCTCGGTATGAGTCTCTACCAGGTTGTTCTATTAGCTTCAAAACCCAAGATTGTCAAGGATGAGAATTAATGTTTTGTCAGAGAGATACATGGCGTCCTTTTAATCCTCCCTGTTTGGACTGAATGTTCACCAGTTTCTTGAACGTGCATTAGCATTAGTAAATGAAGCGAAGAAATCGAAATTTCTTCAATTGTTTGGTCACATTCCCAAACATGCTTTGGAAAGGATTGTTTTCAAAGAGCTTGGCATCTATCTCAAGATTAACAAACAATACTCTAATCTTTTTGGTATTATGCTGTCTGCATTAGCGATGAAGTTGACATGGTAAGCGGAAGTCTGGAAGCTCCAGCTCTCAAAACTAAAAGACATATCCCACCATTTCTGCTAAATGTAGTATTCAAATAAAAATAAACCTTTTGAGTAGATTTGATATGATATGATATGGTGCTCACCTGAAGCCAGAGGAAGAAATACAGCGAGAAAAACTACACAGAAATAAAGCTCGAGATTAAATTGCGCCATATTTCGATTGAGTGTCTCACAGAATATGGTCACGCAAGATGTCTTTGTTTTCTTACTATCGAAGTGAAAGGTCAAGGGCCTATTGCTTTTGAACATGTTTACTCCGCATTCAATTTAACTACTCTTTAATTCGCACGTGAAAAAGTTAATTCCGAAGGAACACAAAAACGACTTTTAAAAAAAAGTATTAGCATATAAGACGGGAAAGATAAATGCGAAGATACCACGAGACATGAATCTTACCAAATGCTGAAGGAATACACAAGATATGCATGAGAAGAAAATCTATACGTGGACATTTTGAGAAGCTGTGTTCGGAAAAATATGCAGATCTAAAGAAGTTTTGGCGTGCCATCAAGCCTTTTGTTAATTCCCGAAAGAATGTAGACAATAGCGGAATAACATTAAAGGAGGGTGACAAAATCATCAGGAATCCTCAAGAGGTGACCGAGACATTAAATAATTTCTTCACAAGCTGTACTCAAAGTACCAAAGAACAAAATCAAAACGGCTATCCAGTAGATTTATCGTACATATCAAATAACTTAATAAGCAGGCCGAATGTGTCGCTAAGCAACACTAATCCAACAGAAGTTTACGAGGTAATGAGGAAACTTGCTCCAAACAAGGCTTCTGGATGTGATGGGATCCCTCCACTAGCAGTTAAAGAATCGATGGATGTCTTATGCTTCCCTCCTAGTACACTGATTAATCATATTTTAACTTCAACTAAGATACCACAACAGTGGAAACTTGGCGAGGTCACTCCAATTCTCAAAAGAGACTGCAGCCTATTAAAAACTAACTATCGGCCGATAACGATTCTGCCAGCTTTATCGAAGGTTTTCGAAAAAATTGTTCATTGCTAAATAAGCCCGTATTTTGAAGGAATTTATCACAAATATGTGTTTGCTTATAGGAAATATCACGGCTGCGATTCAGCACTTCTTAGTCTAACCGAACAATGGAAAAAAGAAATTGATAGCAATAAATTGATCGGTCTGGTCTCTATGGACTTGTCCAAGGCTTTCGACACCTTACCTCATGAACTGATTGTTTTGAAATTAAAAGAGTATGGAGCAGATGAAGCAACAACCTCCCTGATAAAAGATTATTTATCAAATTGATTCCAAAGGGTGAGACTGGGGGATACGCTTTCCAATTGGCAACCTATATGCAATGGTGTACCACAGGGATCCATCCTCGGCCCTTTATTATTCAACATCTTCATAAACGATCTTTCATATGTCATCAAGAAGTGCACTCTGTCCACTTACGCTGGCGACACTCAAATCTTTTACGCCGACAATCAACTCTCCAAAGTTGAAGAAACAATCAACAATGATCTTATTATTGCTGATATATGGTTTGCACGTAATGGTATGAAGAGGAACAGTTCAAAATACCAGGCTATGGTGTTGGGAAAACACAAAGGAACTGATGAGCCAGTATTTAAGTGTGAGGAGTCACAACTTCCCATATCCAACACAATGGAACTTCTTGGCGTGACAATCGATGATAAATTAAATTTTGAAAAGCACATTGCTAAAATATGTAGAAAAGTCAGTCAACAAGTCGCCGTATTAAAAAGGATGCAGAAAATGTTGTCTTTTGAGACTAGAAGGGATCTTTATAAAGCTTTCATTTTACCACACTTTAATTACTGCTCCGAAACGTGGCACTTCTGTAATAAAAAGTCAGCTGACAAGTTAGTAAACTAGCTTTTAGCTAAGCGTTCTGACCACGTTAAATAAAGTGATTGATCGATTATATCTAACAATAATATTCTGTTAGCTAACAGTTTTCAATTTCCTCAAAGGAAGAGTATAAACCAATAAATTTGTTTTACGATTTAGAAGAATCTATTACGTATAAAAACATAAGAAAATGCTCAAAAATGTAATCCTCCTTAAAAGATAGAATATAAGGAACAACTTCCATTACATTTTTACGTTTTGCTCTCTTTTTACATCTAATGGCTCTTTAACGAGTTTGCAAATTTACTATTTCAACTTTCACTCTGATTCAGAACTCACTTTAACTTGAATTAAAATTTTCATGCAATTGTAGGTTACATCTCACTTGATTACATGGATTCCTTATAATTATACAGATATGCGTAAAATATGAGAAAGATTAATATAATTACTTTCGAATCGATCAAATTAAAAGTTATTGCAAGCTGAGGAAGCTCTTAGAGCCTTACTGCCATAAGTTGGTTGATGAACTGCCTTGATCAGAAACCAATTGTAGTCATGTCAGTTCTTGAGGAAATTATTTGGGAATTGTCATATTTCCTCATACACTTCTTCATTTTGTTTCTCGCCATTTTCTTTGTGAAGCACCATACTGTAATATTCGGGGTTCTTGGGTATTTCCTGTAGCGACTGATACTCAGTTGGAACATGAGACTGTTCATGGTTCGAGGACCTGGCTTTGAGCTCCATATACGTATTTGGGTCTAAAGCTTGCTCATAATTTGACAGTCGATCTGGTGAAGATTTGACTCCGTCAAAGTCAACTTTTTCTTTACCCTGTATCCTTTCACTGGGAACAGCTCGTCTCCGCTGCCATATCAGCCCACAAACTATAATGAGCAACACAACCAAAGCACAAGACAATGCGATTACACTGGCAAGGAAGATGCTTTGCGGTATACCTAGTAAAAGAAAACAAACGACTTTAGAACCAACTATCAAACACTGAAAACATAGCTTGGATAGATAGATAGATAGATAGATAGATAGATGGATATTGTTGTTCTTTTTTTTAATAGATTCACCCAAAGGAATACGAAATTTCTTTTAACCCCGAAACCAATATACTCTAACAAACGTTCCCGTCTTTAGGTCATACTTCATTGTATCCCATAACAATATTCATTCAAAATTTCGTCCTCCAGAAATCTTGATCTAGTAGGACAACAACAGGAGAAAAAAAATATTTTAGTCTTTAGCATCCTCAACAATGGTACTTATAGCTCTGTTTTGATTTAGTTACAACCTAACAGGACAATTATGATATATGGAATGATCTACCTGTATTGCACACGAAGACAACTTTCTAATTGAAGAAAGAATATGTAACTTCACACAGAAAAACGTCGGCGTATAAGACCACCATATAATATTGCTTTTGATACATAGATGGTTATAACAAACTACTGTAATTACAAGCCATTTAAACTCCAAACTGGACTTCAAAGTTCACGGCTTTCTAAAATTTTTGGGATGAAAACATTTAAGCACGTTCGAATATTGAGAAAGAATATTTACCGTCATCATCTCGATTATCCTCAGGAGAAAGCAAAGTGACATTATACTCTGTCGATCCATAGCTGTTTGTAGCTTTGGGTGGCGTGACAATTTGTTTTCATTAACTGTTACCATTTTTTTTTCGTTTTTTTTTTTTGTTTTATTTAACCTTTAAACCCAAAAAAAAGATTGAATGACCTTTTAAATCATGCTCAAGTGGCTGGTGAAAGGTATAAGCATGTCGAGACTTGTTGCTTTGGTTTGATCATCGTGGTTTTGCTGTTACCATTTTTTTTAGTTTTTTTTTTTGTTTTATTTAACCTTTAAACCCAAAAAATATTGAATGACCTGTAAATAAGTGGCTGGAGCATGTCGAGACTTGTTGCTATGGTGATCATCGTGGTGCTTAGCATAACCATATTTGGTCATTGACTTTGGTAGAGGTTGGAAAATTTCTGACGTATTTCTAAACGTATTTCTTCCCTATATTTGCCTCACAGGAGAAATAATTATGCAATTGTCATGCAATGTTTAATGTAATTGTAAATCAGTTTCTACGTACCAGCAACAATGAGTATCGTGGTTGTACGGCTCTCTCCAAATATGTTCATAGCAACGCATTCATAAACGCCACTGTCACCAGGAACAACATCTTTTATAATAAGTATCTTGCCGCTGTTCTTGAATTGAGCGCGAGGTATACTGGTAAGTCCATCTTTGGTCCAGGTTACAGAAGCCTCAGGGTCACCACTAACCTCACAAGTCAATACTGCCAGTTCGGCAACTGCTGTAATGGTCCTTTTTGGCAGATCTTTGATGTGAGGTTTATCTGAGATTTTATAAAAATGGATTAGTTATTCTTTAACAAAGCTCAGGACACAAAGCAGCATGTAAGCTTTGCAGCCTCCTTCACAACTAAACAAAAACATAAAAGCCCTCAGGTGATAGCCAACTTCAGGTTGATTACAAAAACAGACATCCAACCAGCCTTTCGTTAAACAAATCAAAGGTTAGATCAAATTAGATTCAAGTGTGCTTACTGAGTGCTTGAAGTCTCTGAATATCTGAATTAGAAAAACATGCAAAGCAAATAAACCAAAACAAAACAAAACAACAAAACACAAATAATAAAACCTGAAAGGAAACAGTACCTTTGATGTCAATGTCTACGAAATATGGCTACACATACAATGTTTTCAAAATAGAACTACAAAAAACTAATAATTTATGTGCAACCTCGTGGTGCTTTGGGTATAGCATGGTGACTCAGATCTCCCGAGCATTACAAGCCTGCAAAAACTACTAGCGTAACTTTCACCGAGACCAAAAAGCTGGTAACAACAGCAGGACGATGACTTAGGAGGGGAGTAGGAATAGATGGATGGGTCAATTTCATTACTCAGCTTTTACATTGAACGAACAGAAGTTCCCTTTCGAATGACACAAGTTTTGGTATTGAAACTTTATTAAAATAATACAGTCTATCCTTTAGATCCCATGCAGTCTAGCTGCAAACGTTCGTTGGCAGTCCCAGGTTGCTTTGCAATGCTCGGTTTTGTCAGACCATTTGTAATAGTTGTCTTGAGGCATTACGGACTGCCTTAAATTAGTATTCATGCATCTGTAGCATTGTACCTGTCATCTCCAAACGGTACGGAACAGTTTTCAAGTATAATTATGCACTTGTGTTCAAGAGTTTACTGTCACTGTTCTATTAGTTGTATTAAAGCTTTTCCAGGCAGGCATCAAATTTCTGACTTCAAACAAGGATGCCTTGGTACCATGAAAAGTTCCTTCCTCCAGGCATGGTGGGAACCTCTCTCAGACATACGTGTTGTCAAATGGTCAGCTAAAATATTTCAGCTTTTGAACCTGATGGTCATACATGTTTAACTACAAAAACCAGAATACTATGAACTAACTGAGCCACCTTGGTTACTGTAAGTGTTAAACTGGACAAGTTCAAATCTCATTCAACGATCAGCTCATAAGTTTCTTTGCTTTTGCTACACCAGAATCACTTTAAAATGTGTTAAACATCTTTTTAGAACTCTTACCACCTTTCATGGTCCTCACCACTACGGGAAAAGTCTTTGGTCCATCACCAACTGAAGTAAAGGCCAACACTTCAAATTCATATTTTGTATTGCTAACAAGCCCACTGACATCTCTATTAAATTCTGTTCCGTTATTGATAGGCGAGATGGTTGGTGATTCAGCAGAACCTTTCCTTTTGTAAAAAAGTTTGAATCCTTTAATAATTCCATTTCTGGAGTCTGCAGGTGGTAACTGCCAGGATGCTGTGATAATTGTAGATGTAACTGCTATCGCACTGAAGTTTCTCGGGGCTTGTGACGGAGCTGTAATTGAGAAAATGTATAGAACGTAAGGCCTCACTGGTCCTGTTATAATTTTTACTACAAAAACAAGGAACTCTCCAGGAAGTTGCCTCCCACCCAACCTGTGGCTTCACTGCTCAGTGGATAGCAGCACCTATTTAGTGTCTGGGAGGCACGGGTTTGAATCCCATGGAAGCACAAATTTTTTCAGGCTTCTTTTCTGCAATTGCTTGAGATTGCAACTCACCAGGGCGGATAATTTGTTTCCTTGATTTCATCCGCAGATCAAAGGAAATTTATTTCACCAAAAACTTTCATCATTTTTTCCTTTCACCTTCATCTATCACATACCAGCTTCCTTTGTTCTCTCCACCTCAACAGTGCTCTTCGGTCCATCACCATCAGAAGTGAAGGCCAACACTTCAAATTCATACTTTGTGTACTTATCGAGCCCAGTGACAGTTCTACTTATTATTGATCCACTTCTAACAGTCACAGTCGTTGCTGGCCCACCAGAAGCTTTCCTTTTATAGAAAAGTTTAAACCCTGTAATGTTTCTTCCATGTCTTGAAAAGACTGGTGGTAACTGCCAGGAAGCTGTAATACTGGTAGAAGAGCCTGCACTTAACTTGAAGCCAGTAGGAGGTTGTGATGGAACTGAAATAAACAACATCAGTTATTTGTTATAATTCTTAGTTGATTTATTGACATCAATGTAGATTAATCATCCTCGTGAGTTTAGAGAGCCTTAGATATTCCTCAGATCAAAGTGGAGTATCATTGAAAATGGGTAAGGACTGTCTATACACATTAGATATACACTATTAATATTCTGAGTGTGAAGATGTGCTATAAAAAATAAGAGACAAATGATTATGTTGCAATGGCAACCCACTGGGCTCCAGAATCTACAATGTACAATGCTACCATCACATCAGACACTGTTTCGTATCAAGCACAAATAATCATCTAAGGAAAACTTTTTTTAATATAGCAAAAGGAAAACCTGAAGGATTTGATTAATTAATTAATTAATCACATTAATCGATTTTCGATTTCTCTCATGGTCAGCTCTAAAGTTATTTCAAAAACCTCTCACCTGACCAATTGCAAGGCCCTATCAATATTGGAGAATTTATAACTCGCAGTGAGATAGCTCTGCACAATTACCTAACCTTGCCCTCCAAAAATAGGTTATTAATGCGATTTCAATTTTATCTCATTTTTGTCACAAGAGCAAATAAATACCTTTTGTCAGAAGTATCCCATAAACTTCCACTCGCAAAGCTTTAAAGCCACTGTATGTTGTGGGTTGAAAGCGGATAAACTTTGCACTTGCAAATTCCTGTAGACTGTTTTTTACGATGCCATTTTGATCGAAGTTTCCGGGAAAGACCTGTAGTTTGTGGTATAAACTTTCAAATCATTGTAACAAAATGTTCTTAATACAACTGCTTCACTGACCACTCTTACGTATCAGCTATTTACATGGCTATTGAAAGACCTAGTTTCTGTTGTTACAAAACTAACACAAAACCAGTATATGACTCTATAGATCATTTCTGGTGAAAAACCCTAAGGGAGAGGTACATAAAGCTTGCGAGAGAGAACCACTGGTTAGACAAACACCGAAAAATAAGACTTTTCGCATTTTCGCTCAATGCTTTTATTTCCTGTGGTATCGATTACATACCCTATTAAACAGCAAGACTTAGTTTTGATCAAGTAGGCACTTCTTTTGTCTCCCTTCTCTTGACCCAATAAGTGTTTTAGGACCTATACACTTTTGGCTTTTTTGAAATGTGCATGTATTTACACATGACTTTTGTTTAAACGTACCCTGTCAACATTGTTTTCTTGGTAGGTGACTATAGTGGTACCATCCAAAGATAACTTAATCTTGTAGTTTGTTGTCCACTCATTGATACCATTAGCTCCTTGAGTAGCTACAGCGCAGATAACATACTCATACAGAAGGTCAATTTGGAGGTAGTCAGCGGAATCAGTAGTAGTCTTAGGCGCCCAACCACGGCTATTTGCATTCAGTCGACCATTAGAGGGTGTATACCTGTGATCATAATGCGATGAGGCAGAGAAGCTGTTGCCTGGAATTTTGCCACCACTGGCCAAACCAATGGCCCCCATTTCACAAGCTGCAAGGTAAGGTCACTTATCCGAATAACAAACGTACGTCATCAAAACAAAACAGACAGTTTATTTTAAAAAAACTTGTTTAAAGATTATAAAAAAGTATCTTTTAAATAAGTTTCATACTTACTGGGCTTTTTTTTCACCCCAAACACCTCTATCCTCATACACACTCCACCCTGGTGTGTTCGTGGCAGGAATCCCAGATATCTTGTTAACACTCCATAAACGACATGCTTCACTTCCGACTTCCTGTCAGCATTTCCTCTCAGAAACTCGAAACAAACAAATGATCACAACTCACCATCAGTCACTAATTTTGCAAATTGAGAAAATAGCAGGATAAAAAAATATCAAGAAGTGTAAATAGCAGTTATAATGATAATTAAGAAGATCAAAAATTCTGATTTTTCCATCTCTGTCGGATGTTCTACACCGTCAGACTTCATAGCCTATTTTACAGTCGTTTAGAAGTTGTCTCACATTTTATATCCTATATACCTTGACTTGTCCACCTTCCTTGTAGTCTGTCCAAGTTGCCCCATTCATGGACAATTGTAGCGTGTAGTTCTTCACCCACTGATCTGCTTGAGAAATCCCTTGAGTGGACACAGCACAGATGATATGAAGTGTCTGTAGATCAATCTGTAGATATGGGTTGGTGTCGCTTGTTGCTGCACACCATGATGATCCTGATGTGAAGTTCAGTCGACCATTCTTGGCTGGTGTGCTAACACTTTGTTCTGAAGAAGCGTTTATATTACTATCTGGAATTATTCCACTTCCCATTCCAAGGTCAAAATCAACACAAGCCCCTATAGAAACAAAATTCACATATGCATTATAACACGGTGGTGATTATAATTGTAACAGTGTTAATGGGTTGGATGTAAAAAGGACCCAGATGCCTTGAATCTCTCCATTGGTACCTCTCATTAAAGGTCCATGTCAGATAGTTAACAACTATTCACTGAAGTGGCAGAGGCTAATAGTGGATATTTACCAAGCCCAAAAGTGGCGAGGTAACTATCATTCGCTAGCCACCAACACTTCGGTAAATAGTTGTTTAAGTATATACTAAAACAGTGATATAATATAGCACAAAAAGATGATCGTAACTCACTTTTTCTGCAACGATAACAACATTTTCAGGGGCGACTTGCTCCGAAGTGAATAGCAAAGGATATTCGTAGCTTGATTAGCCAATTGGGGCGCGCCTTCAACGCTTTCCTCTGCTTTAGTACATACTAATACCAATTAAGGCTGCTTTATTTTCAACCTTATTTATCAATTCTATTACAAAATGGTAAGAAATCTCAACCCTTAAAATAATTAAATCTGCAGCCTGGGGTGTCATTTCTGAAGGTGTCGACTTTAGAGAATTCAAATAAAAAATTTTAGTTTTTAGAGAAACTGTTGTGGTGCAGCGGAGGACGAGTGACGCATGTTGTTGATAAAGGTAGCTATAAACCACCCACCTATTTTTTTTCCAGCTGATTTATGTAAGTTTGAGGTACAGGAAGTTTATTATTTTTTTGGAACTTTCGACTCAACTATAATATTTAAATACATATTTTTGACAATATCTTAGATAATAACTTGTATTTGTACTACACTGAAACTTACCCTCGGTATGATTCTCTACAAGGTTGTTCCATTAGCTTTGAAACCCAAGTTTGTCAAGGATAAAAATGAATTTTTTGTCAGAAAGATTCATAGCGTTCTTTTACCTCGAGGGACTGTTTGATATGAATGTTCACAATTTGCTTTATATATTAGCATTTAGTAAATGAAGCGAATTAGCCCAAATTTATTCAATTGTTTGGCCGCATTCCGCAACGTGCTTTGGGAAGGATTATTTATTTATACCATTAATACACAATAAACTCTTCTACAATCCTGACAGAGTATTTTGAGCGTTGGGTACCTCTCATTAAAGGTCCATGTCAGATAGTTAACAACTATTCACTGAAGTGGCAGAGGCTAATAGTGGATATTTACCAAACCCAAAAGTGGCGAGGTAACTATCATTCGCACATATTTGAAATGTAAACGTGTCTGTAGGAATTTTTCAACGCAATCGTTTCCACTCAGACGATGAGAATCACGAGGATTTTGCTGGGAGACATTTCAACTATGGAAAATTTGAAACAATATGTAGAAGAGCTGGTTCTTCCAACCAGAGTAGGAAATGACATTTTTATAAAATATTTTACACCCTAAAATCAGCAATTATATTTTCCATATTGTTCTTTATACAATTCTTATATTGCTGACAAAAAAAAGTTGCTGAACAACCAGTTAGCGATTATTTCCTTTAGTCACAAGAGCTTGATTTTTGTTGTAGTGGAGATCTTTTTACAACAAGTATAAAACCTGGGGTAACTAATCTTTTTGGAATTGATTCTGTCGACATTGGCGATTAAGTTGCGATGGTAGGCGGAAGTCTTCGCGAAACTAAAAGATATATCCAATCAATTCCCATGATAGTAGTAATAAAAGTCAAAATACACATTCCGAGTAGATTTCAAATGATGTAGTGCTCACCTGAAGCCAGAGGAAGAAATATAGCGAGAAAAGCTACGCGGAAACAAAGCTTGAGAATAAACTGCGCCATGTTTCAAGTGAGTTTGTCACGGTAAACGATCACGATTGTTTTGCGTAATTGACCGGCCATTTGAATAGAGAGCTCATTGCACAAAAGATGTCTTTGTTTTCTCGCTATCCAAGTGAGGGGGCAAGGGTCCGCTTCACTCAAACACGTTTACTCTGCATTCAATTTAACTACTCTTTAAGACGCTCGTGAAGAAGATATGATAGCTGGATATTGGATATTGGCCGAGTTCTTTTTCTTTTTCGCATTTTCATGGACCGAGACGAAGTTGAGGTCTATGAAAATGGTAAGAAAAAAACGAGATTAATACGAGGCTAACATCCAACCACCATGACTGAACAAGCTTAGTCAATAACGGTTTTATTACAAGGCAAAGAAATTTCGCTTTATCAAGAATCAAGTGTAATTGGTTTATTTCAAGAGCCAGGAGAGAAAGGAACTGTGTTTGTAGCACAGCAAACCTCGAGGGTCCTTTATGTTTTCTTTGTTTGACTTTTTTCTGCCACTATTTGCGACCTCATCCTTGACATTGTCCAAGAATTACGAACTTTGTAAGTTTGCGCGAGATCAAAGCGGGAAATCCCGATCAGACAAGAGGGACCCATCTTTCCCGCTCAGGTAACCAATCAGAACACTTCGCTTAAAAATATGATTTCCTTTTCTCGAGGTCGTTTTATTGACAAAACTCATCTCTAAGCTGTTCATTCTATTCACCAAGAATGTCACACTTACCAAGAATTTCCTATGCGGACGTATCGGAAAACTGACTTCCGTTCGAGAGACTATCTACAAATAACTATGGGGAGTTGACATATTCCGCAGCTAAGACCCAGGGCCCCTTCTCTGCCACTTTATTTCCATTTGGTTTAACGTCAGATGGTTTCACTAATGAAGGTTTTCTTTAACGAAATTTTCAAGAATTAATAGTCGGACGCAGTCAAAGTAAAAAAGATACTCTTAAACTTTGTAGAAGATTATTTAATCAGTAACAGAGCCGATCACTCCAAAATTCATAAAACATACATAGAAAATGTTAATAATGAGATGGAGAACCATATTAAGATATAGCCATGATTTTCAATAATTACCAATTTCAGTCAATAAATCAATCAAACAATTATTATATGAATATGAATCTATAACTAACGTACTAACTGTATACGTGAACTCTATCCTTTACATTAGTAAAAATGTTTCAATGTGCTTTGCACGTTTGAATTCCAAATTAATCGTTCAAAGATTATATCAGTTAATCATTTAATTACCAAAAATCTAACTCTTTGCACAATTCTATCTTACTTCTGAGAAAAATACAATCTTATAGAAATTCTGATGTATTTATTGAAAACAGTGTGAATTAAATTCAGATAAAAAGAGAAAATGCAAAAGGCACCATAACCCTCCAAAACAAACTGTAAAACTACAAACCACTTTTAATCTTACACTGTTAAAAGAAAACGATAACTATGAAACTTAATAGACTTTTAAGAGACATCATGAAATATGTAAGTTATCAAAAACTTTCCTTTACAATTAACTCAAAAAAACCCACAAAACTCTACAAATGTAATAACTTCTTCGTAGATACACATAGTACTCTTTCTTTTAATTGCATAATTAGAAAAGTAGGATAACACAATTCATGATATTGCCATAATCCTAGGCCTCACAGGGACACATGCTTGTTTGTCAAGTTACCATAGCAGAATCTGATGTAAATTTATCAACAATCAAGCGGTGAACATCTTCCAGCTGACAAAACCTTCACTTGCACGGACGCATTTTACCTACTTCCTATGACAAAAAACTCCTTTTTTAATTAAAATATGTAATAAAAACTTTTTTAGCAAAACTTTTTTAGCAAAACTTTTTTAGCAAAACTATTAGGGGGAAAGGCCACCCGCTTAGAGGTAACTATGATTTGTTACAAAAATTTGAATATGAGGGGAAAAAGCTGCTTCGTAAAAAAAAAAGATGTGCATCACTCCTTTCTGTCAAATCTGTTTTTTACTTTGCAATGCTTTTTAGCATTCTGCAAAGTTTGAGTACGTACTGAAAGAGTCTAAGTAAGCTAGAACTGTTTTGTAACAAAACATGTACAGCTCCTGAAAGATAAAAACAAAAAAAAACACACCTTAGGCTCACGAAGGATATGCTATTGATCTGTGAGCGCCCAGCATTGTGCAAAGTAAGCTTAAGACGTGAAAAAGCAGCAAAAACTATTAAACATGATGAAAAACGCGACAGAAAAGAGATCAGACGACACACTAAACTTGCAGACGTATCTTTGAAGTGACTATGTTGTTTCTTACAAATCCAAAAGGGATGACTCCTCCTATGATTCCTTTGATAAATTTCAGCATAATGAGAAGCTCAAGCGCAGTTTATTGGGCAGGAGGGAGGGGGGAAATGAACGTAACCCGCCCCTCCACCCATCCCCTGGCAGATATCCTGGAATTCTGTTACATTCCCAACTCACCCCGGGGTAGAACTCCTCTGTTACGCCCTTGACAATTTACACCTGAACAAAGCTATAACAATAGATCATGACACTTTTAACTTACCAGAGTGTTGACTGCACCTGGTCTCTTTGCTCGAACTAGTTTTACAGTCTGGAAAACATCAACTGTTTGTTCAGTCTTGACTCGTTCGATCACTGACATTATGGTGGCTACGCAGCCACTACGACCAGTACCATCACTGTAGAAAGATAAACGGAGAACTAATCAAGAAAGTTGAAAAGTGTACAGTGGTGGATTCGTATTACAGGTTCTTGCCTTTGTTCTCCTAGCATCGAACTTCCAAAGTGTCAAGTATCCACTGTTTTCAGAAAGATAAAACCATTAACACCGACCGCGCCGGATACAGCCAACTAAACTGTCTCCTGTAGATACTGTATCTGTTGTAGACAGTGTGGATAGCTTTATCCACTGTAGAAAGTGAATAAACTAAGCTGTATTTACTGTAGATAGTGTATATTGATTATCTAATTGTCACCGTGGGGAAAACTGGATATACTTTAGAAAGTGTAAATGGTTGTATCTAATAAAGACAGTTTAGATAGCTGTATGTACTGTAGACGGCGAAGATGGCTCATCTGATATAGTCAGCGTGGATAGCTCAATCTAACGCAGATAGTAGAGGTAGATAGCAGTATCTAATGTAGACACTCTTGATAGTTGTATCTTTTGTAGACAAGATATGTTGTTTTATGTTCTGTTTACAGTCTGAACGCGTTATGCAAAAAGTATGTACATAAAGTCATACATGATTCGAGTAACCATACGCTATTCTAGCCTGAGTGCACTATTATCAGCTAAACGCCTAATGGGTTTAGAATCATGTCTAGTAAAACATTTAAACGTATGATAACATCAGTAAGAGACGTGCTCTTTATACCTGCACTGGAAAACTATGACTCTATTTCCTGATTGCTGCTGAGACTGCTGTACAGTAGTCATCAGGTCAAGTATATCCTGGGGATCTGGGCATGAGTTTTCATTGGCCCAACCGGTGTATTGTATATGCTGTAAAGTTGACGTCTTCTTAGGGGGCTGAAGAACGAATTTAATTAGAAGCAAATCAAACTATTATTTTGAGGAACACGAGGTCAAGTTATTTTAATCAGTTATCACGTGAGCCGCATAGTCCCACGTGATCACATAGCCAGGTCTTTCTTTTGTTGTTGTCGTTAAGAACTCAAAATCCCCTAAGAACGTTCATTCCTTGCTTGTTCATTCAAACGATCTCTTCTTCTTTATATTTTCCTCTCCACTCATCACCTCTCTGCCAGAGAGTATTTTGATTCAGAAAGGAAAAAATTACTCATTGGTCTCTCTCCTAATAGTGAAATAGTTAAGGTCGAACTCTCGCGCACCAAGAATGTACAAACGCCTCCTGTTGGTATAGATAAAAGTTTCCTCCAAACTAACCAGAAAAAATGGGACCTTACAATTCTAGAACAAACAAACAGTACCGCTTCATTCTCGACGCTGAATCGTCTGGTAGTGATATTGTTTGAAGTTTCTTGGGACAAAAGCTGGACAGTGACTTCACCATACTTGGCAGATCCCTCGCTTGGCCAGTATTGTGGGTAACTCTAAAAAAGAAAAGCAGTGTTACATGTATGATCCGTGAAACGAATAACTGAATATATGTGATATTAAGGAGGGCATGATGGTAGGAAGGATTTTCCGAAAAGAGTTTCAACTATAGCGTCTCACTGACATTTGAGAGCATACTCAGTTGGTCAATTGTTGTAAAATGCTACTCTCTCTAGACGATGAAGGGTACCAAATGGCTCCTCATTCTAAAAGTGTTGAGATGATAACCGAAATACAGTGACGCAACCTGTCAAAATGTCTTAATAACTTAAATAATTATTTCTGTACCAATTTGTTTAACGAATAGAGGTAATCTATCAAAGTTCACCACAGATACCAATAGTAACCCCTATCAGTAGCTGGCTGTTTTGAAATAAATCACGTGATTTCTAGCACAATCTAGCATAGCTCTAGCATATTGATTAGGCATATTTTGCACACTTCGTTGCAAACACAGAGCGAAGAGTGTTGCTATATGCTTTTAAAAAACATGCCATGATTTTTACCTGCTTTCCTTCTTCCAAGTTATTCAACATCACAACTGTGCCAATATCATATTGAGAAATCATAAGCCAGAAGTCTATAATGGTGCAGTCTAACGGAGCTTGTGTCAGGATGTATGCATTACGTCGTGTGTAGTCCTGGTAAATAAAAGATCAAAGAAAAATATGGACGTCAAGTTAAGCAACACGAATATACCAATACGAAAAGAATAAAAACACCACAACCCAAGAAGGAAAACTTGAATAGAAATAAACACCTTTTTATGGGTTGACTGAATTAAAAAATCTACAATACAGACACGTTGCAACAGAAAGCTTTCTAAAGAACCAGAAAATACTGAGTCTTTTCCTATCAGCACGCTAGAATTACAGAATATATTATAAAAATTTTACAAGGGCATTTTTGCACTTACATCCACATAAGAGGCATTGATGTAACTCTTTTCTTGTGAAGACGCTTGTAAATGCACTCGAGTACTGTCCACTGGTACAAAATCAAATAGAAGTGTTTAATGTTTAAAAAATAAAGGCATTTCTGCAAACAAAAACATACCTAACAAAAGAAGAAAGAAGTGTAGGGAGAAACACTCGACCATGTCTCGTGTTTCTCCCCACTTCGTGAAATTTCACTTTCACATAACGAACAAAACAAGAGAGATGTCCGGGAAATGGTCGGACATAGTACAAATTAGCGGATGGCGTGACAGCTCTAGCTCAGCTCCGTGCTCTGTACTCTGATAGAGCAGGCTCTTTCAACCAATGAAAGGGTGCGTTATAGTCTCTTATAGGCTATAACCTTGGTTAATCAAAAGTAACAAAATGATAGAGTACGATTAATGATTGGTAGCTTGAACAGCGCACTAATCTAACAGTGCACGATTCATGGTACGCGCGTAATCAATGTGTATTTTGTTCCCAAAATGCTGTGACAGTTTTGATTGTTCAGTAACAGAACTTTCTGTCGTCCAAATCTATCTTGTGACAAAAAATTAACGATGCTTGTGGTCTTTCGATTTCGTTGATCACTGGTAAGATCACAGACCGAATGAGACCCCACTCGGTTTTGGACTCCGCAGGAGTAAGCAAAAAGTTTTGTTTAGTGTTTCGGAAACAACGCAAACAAAGACAAAGGAACACTTACGCGGATTAATGTTGGGGAAACTGTTCTTGACGACGTTAGCGGGCATAAATGCGTTCGTTGCTACTTCTTGAGAAGCGTGGGCGTCTGTTACAAGCTCCAAGCGCTACAACACATAAAATTCTCTCAGTTCGTCCTATCCAGTTTTAATCCCCTCCATCTTAAGCCATTTTTGTTCGGTCCTGGTTTATTGCTGTTTCCATAGCATTTTTGTTTCTTAGCGAACTAACATATTGCTGTTTCATTCAGGCTAAAGGTAATCTTTTTTTTTTTTTCGCGCAAAACACACACACACAAATTAAATTAATAGAAAAGTGAAACAAAATATTGTGACGTAAGATCAACAAATTACAGAGTAGTTCATCTGCCACTAATATGTATGTTAAAAAGAAATTTGCAGGAGTTATCCATGAACAAAAGCACGCTTTGTATTTTGATAATTACGTCTGAGATATGAACATGAAGTTAACAAAGTCACATAGACACGCCTTTAAAAGAATCTCCAGAAGCAAGTAATAAGCTGTCTTGTCAGCATTTACGTTTACGCACAATTAATAACATATAAAACCAAACTCAGTTTCTAGGAATAGTTATCACTTGCCTTTAACTCCCGTTCGTATCCAGTCTTTTTGGATGGTTTATGCACCTTGGCAAGCTTGTTTGTCGCAATTCGTAGGTCCTGAGGGATAATCTCTGTATTTCCACATACCAAGGCTTCCATCACTGCTTGGTGTAAGAAAACATACTGGTCCTATACAGAGATAAAGTAAATACCAATACTGTTGCAAAGGACAGTTTTTGATGAAGCTAAATTTAGGAAATTCCTCACCGTCAAACTAAAACATCCACGACAAATAAACCCTGTATCCTCGCTACCAACCAAAACATCATCGTTTTTAAAACCGTGATCGTTCCTGGCGTTGGCTGAAGAGCAAACCTGAACTCCACAAAGAAGGTCGGCCATTTTTCCATATATCAGTCGTATTCTCAAATTATTCAAACCTCATTTACACACCAAAGCTTAGAAATGATTTAAAGCTGTTTTGTAAAACATGGTTTAATTTCTTGTCTTCATAGAACCAATGTTTAAATGTAGCAAATTGAAAATACAAGTAAGCGAGTACTTAAGTATTGTGACGATAATTTGTCGCCCCAAAACTGGAGGACTGACTCTTCGCGGACGGCACAATAACAACTGGGGGAACTAACTCTGTAGAGACGACTTGGCAGCGAGAACGGAAACTCGTCACGATTTCCTGGTACACGGAGATCTGCTTCGAGCGAGCTTATACGGACGTCAAGGATAAGACAATCTTTGGTTCCACAGTACTTTTATTCTAGGTCAGGCCAACAAGCGACATGACCTCTAGCATACTCTAGTTTGTAATCATCAAAGCTGTACAAGGTACTTGCTTAAGAAGTAACTGGTGCGAAGTGCTATTGTTACACGAATCGCAATATTTGGATAAGGACACAAAGGAGCGGAAAAAAGTCTCTTTGAAGCTAAACAAAAACTACTTAAATATTCCATCTGTTTCCACGACGGAAAGAATCTCAAAATTAAAAAGACGGATGCAATAAACTTTAGGCCATTAAAGTAGGAAACCTAGGTGCGAATTTACAGCACTGGTATAGAAAACAATACCTATCTTAATTGCAGCAGCGCAGCTTAGGAAATAGAAAACGGAAAAGCAATTAAAAGTTTCTGCTTATTTGCGCAAGATTGGTTTGGAAACCATCGCATGAAAAGAAATTAGATTTACGCGTTTAAACTCAGCTGCTATCTACCATGAAAACCAATGTTTCCAGAAAGACCATTAACACTTATATTTACCTAAAAAAAACCATGAAATAAAAAACAAAAGTGCCGACAAGCAGGTGTATATGATGAAAGCGAGTAACAACAAAAATCTATTCAAAAGCTACTGTGGTTTTTATGCATATTTTTGATTTATTGAAATGAAAGGACTTGAAATGGTTAAATGTAAAAGTTTACGAATAAATATGCTCCGAATAACACACACGGGAAAATCAGTAAATTTTCCCGTAACAGTATTGTGAAAAATTCAATTTTTCAGTTTTCTGTTTATGGTTTTCATTCAGTAAAATTCGGTTTAAAAGGTTAGGATTTTATATAAAATCATTTGGGTGTCATATCGAAATCATAAAAAGGCCTTTGACGGTCATCATAATGACCAGGCTTGGGTTATTAAGACACCGTATCAGTTTTAATATCATGACCCATACTCTTTCTAAAGATGCACTGGGGGAGAATAAATAAGACTTTTGCTGCTGTTATTCTTATGAAAAACGGTTAAATTTTTAAACTTACATCTTTCTGAACCATATGAGGACGAGATCTACGCATGACTTGCACGTAATTCTGTATAAACACAGTTTTTATCTTCTCAGCACTCTCCAACATGGCGTCGATAGCAATGTATGTGCCAGTTCGACCAACACCAGCACTGTACAAAGGTAACAACAGATGTAAAGAAAAACCAACGGAGAGAGCAATAGACATTGAGGAAAAATAGCAAGAACTATTATGGATCGCGACCAATAAAGAGGAAACGGCACGAGTAGAAGGTAAAAGTTGGAGACCTGACTTTTGAAATACATCAGATACCTCCAGGCTTCGCTTCTAGCAGGGTTCACTAGCATTTTTACTAATTCTCGACATCATTGGTGTGATCAGTAAGAGTATTGAGAGTAAACAATTGAGATCTATTTATCAACCCTATAGCTCTTCGACCAAATTTGTAATTCTCCTAACTGCCAACCATACAATTCTTGATATGTTAGTTCGGAGAATTAAGTTTTGGATCAACTAATTATCCCCAAGCTGGTATTTCTCTTTATGCTCATCACCTATCTGGTTGACATTGTATTGATATTGTAAGGAGAAATTCTGTCTTAGTCACTCATGGGAGCTGAAGGGTTAACTACACTAGAAAAAAGCCCTACACTAACGCATATAATTCTAACACTTAAGACAGTTTTCCTGTTTTAATTTCAGTTCTTTTAGGTTCCTTGTGACATTAATCTTTCTTCTGATCAACACGTTTGTTTCCTGTTATCCAAACCAGATTGAAATCGCAATTGAAATCGCAATTGAAATATCTACAGAAGAACTAAACCAACATACGATAAATATTTGCGAATGTGAAGCATTTAATTTGAAGTCTTCAAATTTTACTATGCTTTTTACCTGCAGTGCACAACAAGTGGTCCACCAGTAGCCTGGTGCCTTGCATGAATCTTTTGTCTGAATCCAAGTAGAGCTGTGGAATGTTGTGGGACACCTTTGTCTGGCCAAGTGACATAATGAAACTGCTGCACGGTCCTTTTTTCTGAGTCCTAAGTGAAAATTCGTTCTCATGAAGGGAATGTTGTTACAAAGGCATCTCTCTTGGTTTAAAATACGCAGTCATTCTTTGCAAGTAGTTTACAGTAAAAAAATGCAAGACGTCGTATTCCAAATAACGTAATTTCACTCCGAACAGAGACAACCCACCTTTGTCACAATCAATGACCTGATGACGTAATCGGCAAATGTTTCAGTCTTGTATAGGGTAACTGTGATAGCACCAAATTTGGAAGTATCATCTGGCCAATACTGATTGCATTTGTCCTAAAGATATGATAGGAAAAAAATAGTTTGATACTATATATAGCGACCAACAACTTTATCGTACAGCATGCTACGCAAGTAGCCTAATCGCCGAGTGGCTTGTTGGCTGAGGTTATGATGCATATTTTACAGACTACTCATAAAGTGTAGAAAATGAAAAATCACTGAAACTCTGGATTACGTTCAACATCAAACTAAAAACTTGTGCTACGTCTACCTTTCCCAGCTCAACCAGGTTTGTAAGCATCACAATGGTGAAACTGTTTTCCTGCCAGACCATTCGCCAGAAATCAGCGATAGTTGTAGAAGTTGGACCTAATAATCATTAAAACAGCAGTAAGAATAATTGTAAAAGAGGGGCGAAACATGAGTTAATTTCATAGGAGCTTTTTAGCATTTATTTACAAAAGAATGGGACAAGTCATTTTTTTGGGAGTATGGGAGTTTTCATCATTTATTGCTGCTTTATTCCCTGAGTACTTCTGCCCACAGAGTAGAACACTGAAACAACGCAAAATTCTGGTAAAAGGCCGCAACAAAAAGCCCAACAAGTGATGGAACCCTGTAATGACGAGTGATAATCTCCGCCCACTAAAAGTCTAGGAACTATCGTCTGAACTGGATGAGAGTTTTCTAAAAGCTTTGTTCCTACAATGTATTACCTTTATGGGATCGACGACGCTTTTGTTACTTCCAGGGGTGTCCCTCTGGAAAGGGTTCACGATTAAATATACCGATAAAGAACCAGGTGAAAGTGACCCTCATTATCATGGGACATTTGCTAGCCCTCTGACTCTATGTTGCGTCAGATTTCCCACGAGCTTTTCAACAGTAATACGTGTTAGCGTGCGACCACTAACAGTGTATCCACGAGACACCTCAAGTAATATTTACCTTGTGTTGCGATATAGGTCACGGTGACCTCATCGTAGGTCTGAGGAGAGATATTTGAAAAAGATAACAAAAATTCACGATAAGCAACTCAACTATCGATTGTTTATCTATTTATTTATTCATTATATCAAACAAGTAGGGTCGACTTTGTCGTTCTTCTTTGTCTTGTCTTGTCGTGTCATGTCGTAGTGTCGTTGTGCTGTGTTCACGTTGTCGTATGCATTTTTTGTTACTGACCGGAATGTAGCTTGCATTGATGTAGCTGGAGTTTTTGTCACCCTCTATTTCCTCCAACAAAACACGAGAATGATCATCTGTGAACAAACACAATCGTTTATTCAGTTTCTATTGAAGTTTTCAACGGTTTTTTTAATGGTGTGAAATGCAAAGAAATCTTAATAATTATTGCGCTTTGAACGTAAGATTCAAAATTTGGATTCAAACATAATATACTCTCAAGATTTAAGCTCACCACTTCCTAAATCACCAACTTTGAAGCGATTGTTAATCCCAGAATAGTTCTGCGATTTATCAACAATGAAATTTGAAAAAAAAAATTCAGGCCTGATCGGGATTTGAACCCATGACCTCTGTGAGATCAGTGTAATACTCTATCAACTGAGCTAACCATCCAGCTGAGAGGTGGTTATTAAGTTGGTTGGACTTTATTGCCTCAAAACACGACTGAAAGGGGAAGCACCAGTTACAGTCCCTGCACTAGAAGCTGACTTCTAGTTATCTAAACTTCTAGGTTTTACATAGCTACCGTTGCATAAAAATACTTACAAAGTTGATGGAATGTACTCACATGAAACAATGTTTCCATAACGGTTCTTGCCTCTGTTACTCTTGCCAATCTCCCAAGCAAACTGCATCCCACCTGGCAAATACTGGAAAAGGTATGAACTAAGTTTCAATACATGTGCCCTTATCAAAACCGATTAGATGTCATCACTTTTTTGACCCTTGCAACGACATCCAAAAAATTGTTCTTACGCTTTTGCAAAAATAGTGATACATAATGTACTGAAGCATATATATGTCAAGTTGTCCATTAACAAAATAAAAAACACGAAACAATTCGAGAAATATTCACAATTACTGTATCATACAATAATACGATAATACGAAAGAAAAGGAAAGAGGTAAAAACTATAATAGATAATTGCCTTAAATTCCTCACGCAACACAATGGCACCATTTTCTGATTTTCTCTTGAAGTACTTTGGAAACTCAGCCACAGGTATTGGTTTGGGTTTACCATCGTCAGCCTCACTGTAAATAGCTTCTTTTTCTTCACTAACAGGCTGTTTCTCAGCACCTGTAGGGTAGAAAAATCGCTCATAAGGAACTCTACAATTCCTTTGATCTTCTCTATGGACACTCGATCGTGTTACCAATTCTCCTCCTAGGTAACAGATACGCTCCAATTGCTCCGTTTCGTTTGCTACACTCAACAAGAAACACCTAACCCGACCTTAAGATGTAGCTCAAGTAACGAACAAGCTATGAGAGTGTATTCCTTGAGTAACCTTTAAATCTGGAGTAGCTCCACTACCCCCACAAAGTTATTTTTAGACTCAAGGTATCTGCTGTCTGAGAATCATGTACCAAGGTAATTTAACTTTAAATATATAGCAACAACTTTCTTTTGATACAAGTCCCCAATCAACTAGTTTGATTATTTTTTTTAATGTATTTAAAAAGGATGGCCAGTTACACGCAGTCCAATAGACCAGGTGAGAGTTATTTGAAAAGGACTGTTTTCGACTGCGATGAAGACTTTTCAACGACTTGGGAAAATTTCATCAGCACAATTAAGTGAGAAATTGTTTTGTTAGTCAAGAGATGTAACTAAATCTGGTTCGTAATAGCTGATTGGTGCAATCATGACCGAGTTACACTGTTTGAATCTTGCAGCAAATAGCGTCACGGCAAACTCGACTACACGATTAAAAATTGCTCCTGGTACAAACCACTTCCTATATTAATTTGAAAAGTTTTCGCCACTTTCCTAGTTGAAATGATGCTGATCCAAATTATGACTTTGAAGATTTAACTTTGTTACACAGACAATACATAAGTCCGACACCGTTTAAGTAAAAATTTAGCAAGGCATTCCAACAACCTTTTTAACATGAAAATAACGATTCAATTGTAGTTAATTGTACGAACGTTATGACTTCAACCGTGAAAGTTTTTCAATGACCCTCTCCTAGAAAACTAACATGTATATTGTATGTATTGATTTCACCTTTATCTACGAAAAATTACCATGAATTGTCCGACGAATGTCTCCTACATTTTGATAGACCATATTTGATGTACTTGAGGTAAGGTCTTGAGAATCATCTTTAATTTTACCTAGTTGAACAGATCTTTCCCCGGCACTTTTCGATCTTGACTGCCTTCTCCTAAAAAAAAAGAACAAAATGTCGAATTTTCAGCTGCCATACTCTTTTTCTACGCTCAGTCACTAGGATTCAGTCTTAAACCGAAACAAACCTCCTGTATAAGAACACAGCGATAACAACTGCTGGTATAAGAAATAGCAACAGGACTACAGGTACAGCAACAGCTGCAGTGTTAGAACCGCTGGACTTTTCCTTTTTCTCACCTTCTGCATAAGAAAAATGTAAAGAGCATTTAATAATTAAGCTCTTCTGGAATTGCTACTTGCAGTGCTCCAAGCTTGAAGTTGTTTCAGAGTAGACATTTAGCGGCCGAAAACCAGGTAATCGCCGTAAGAGAAAGAATTTTAGTCGACAGTGGTCGACAACTATTTTAAAGATTCGCGTGACATCAAGACTAAACACTCGCACAACCGGCAACGGTACAGAATTAACTCATTATATTTTATGAAAGTGTTTCTCTACCTCCTAGTGTGGGCCATTAAATTTTGTTACAAAATGAAAGCATTACAGCTTGCTACTTGACAGCCGAAAACATGTGGCGAATTCGTCGACTTTCGCTGAGAATTTAGTCGCCATGGCAACCAAAATGATTGCAGCTTGGAGTGCTGACTTGCACTACTAACTGTACCATTGTTTCCTGCCACTGGGAAGTCTCAATGGAGCTAGGTCGAGCAAAGTACATTTAACCGTCAAATTAGAACTTCTTCATTAGTAACCACTGTTAAACTTCTCCATTCTTAACCATCCTTGTTCTTTTTAGGCTCATTCGTACTTCTATTGTGTTTGTCTACCCTGGAAATCAATTAACTTATGTTTCCCTCGCATTCATTACAGTTTTTCAGGAACAAAACGGCAAAAAAAACACACAAAATATTGTGACGTAGCTCAATAAAGCTCAGTACTACGAGCAATTTAATTAAAAAAATCAGCGCCAAGTCCAGTTTCTAAACTTTATTGAACAAGACGAGAGAGATACCCGTGACACACCGCAATTGTGTTATCAAAATCATTTTGTTTGCTCCGATGTGCGATGCAGCTTATTATCGTCACCAAATTTAGCTTCCTACGAAACTGATCATGAGTGAGACAAAATCTGGGGTAAACGGTCAACACTCGAAGTCGGTGTTTTGGATTGAGCATAGCTTGATGATCTAGATAATCTGAGGAGGAGAATCTCCAGGGCAGTTGTAATTAATACCAGCCTGGGCATGAGGCTCTCGGAGCCAACATTCTTGCAAGTAAAGAACTGCTCCAGAAATCATTTTGCTCTCTGTTACTTTGTAGTACAATATGTAACTTCATTGCTTGTTAAGTACAATATAGACAAACCCGTGGTAGTAGAGGTGATGGAAATTTTGGCAACTATGCTTGCATATCCTTTTAATTCCCCCTGTGAAATATACAAAAACAAAAACAAAAAGAGCACGTGCTTTAAAATCAAAGAGGCCACTGAATCGAGACCAAAGGAACTGCAAAGTTATTGTGTGGTTCGATTACATAACCTCCTAGTGTATGTGTTTACATACACTAGGAGGACATGTGTTTACATACACCTTTCTCTGTATTTGCATTGCAAATACAGATAGGTACTGTCTAGCAAGCTACTCTTAAAAATCGACTGGGAAAAAGGTCAATAAACCCAGTTGTAAAACTAATGGGAGCACGTTTGTGCTCTAGTGAGTTTAAGGTAGGCCTCCCCCAGGGTCAAATCTTTATAGAGAGGGGTTAGATATTTTTTCCAGAAGAAAAGGCAGACCGTTTCACCACGCTGATGGTCAGATGATTCTGGTTGTAAAAAAAGAGGAAAATTTTTGAAATAAGTAGTTTACATACCTTCTCGGCTTTAGTTAGAGCTCTCTCATACACAATGTAGTTTTCTCCTTTCTCAAGTTCTTCATTCACAAATTCCTTAAATTTATTACCATCGCCAACGGTAAATTTCCGAGGTTTGCTGAGTAATGGGTCATTTTCTATCTCAGCAGCAATGTAAAAATTCACGTTCTCTATCTTACCATCACTGACAGCTTTCAGTGTGGAATCATAATTGTCTGGAAGCTCTTTAACGCCATCAGCGACTTTCAGAACAATAACCTGATAAGCACTGAAAGGTATAAAACAAAATGCCAGACTAATGAGTGACATCTCGAAAAGAGGCCATTAAGAGAGCATTTAGGGGCCACTGACCATTATCATCGAGAATCCGCCAACAGTTTCGTAATTCATTTAATATTTCCCAAAGGACCTTTTTAATGAACCTTTTTCAAAAATAATAAAACATCTAACGCCTCCTAAATTTGATTTCCTAAAGGACCCTTTTAATGAACCTTTTTCAAAAATTATTAAATATCTAACGCCTCTTAAGTTTAATTTTCGTCGCACGCACGAATCCAGCCTTCGTGGAGGGAGCGTGACCTCATTTATTGAGAGGCGGCAGGTAATCTTACCTTATATCTTAATGCAGGATCTATTCCACCTCTGGTTCTTTAGAAAATCACATTCTTATTGATAATTACCTTACTGGACCATATTTTTGTTCAACAGGCCACAGATAAATATCCACAGCTGTCTGAGAGACCTCAACATCGGTTATATCATGTGGATGTGGGGCTTCAGGAGCTGGTAAGGAAAAAAATAGCTTCTGAACCACAACAACACTCTTGCACAGAAAATGAGATAATACAGCTGTATGATTACAGGTTCAGAAGGTGATTCAGGACTCTAAGCAGAATCTTATTAGTGAATTAATATAACTCAACTGTTCAAGAGGTTAACTTGATCAAATGGACGGCAAGACATTAAATACTTCATTTCTGTTTGACAGAATTTCATGGCATTACCAATTAATGGTCGCAATTTAAAGACTTTTCGGAAGATCAGTGTACATGTAACTCGATGTACTCATTAGAGCTATTTCTTAAAAGACATTGGGCACTATTGATTATCAACCGTCAGTTTTAATATTATTTTCTTTCACCAGTAGAAAAGAAATCATTTTCACCAATTCATTTCGAAAGCAAACGAACATCGAAAACAAGGTCCATTTGTTCAAAGGGCAGATAAAGCTATCCAACGGATAAATCGCTATCGATATACTACACAAGGAACCAGATGATAGCGTTAAGCTCCCTTCAAGCAAGCGTGGCCAGATCTATCTAAAACAAAAAATTTGAAAAATTTGATTTTATCAGTTTTGATTAAAATGGAAAGGTAAGAGTGTCGTAGGTAAATGATCCAAGGGGGTAAGTTTCTAAAGAAACTTTGGTGCTGCGTCGGTGTGAGAGTATATCAAGGTAATTTTGTATTGTCAACTGGGATGATGACGTAAATTGGCTGCCGTTAAGAGTTTCAAAGCTGACGTTTGGAGCGTTGGCCCTTCGTCAGAGCGAATGTTTTCTTAGATAGTTTCATAGATAACTTATTACAATGTTTGGTTAGCCTCAAAGAATTTGGAAACTTACCCATCATATCTGTCATCACTGAGATAACTCTGGAAGCACTATCGCCACAAACAGAGGTGCCATGAACTCTAAATTCATATGTAGTGCCTGGAATCAACCCTTCTACCTTCTGTGTTGTTGCCTTTATTGCTTTTATAGTCTTCTCAGCATCTCTGAACGTTTTATTGTAGGACTTTGTTCCAGTGTACTTCACCTTCACGATTAAGTAAAAAAGGCTCCGATATAAAATTACTACAAATTTAATGTTTCCATAATTCAAGCCGAGTTGTAGAATCTACGTTAATCTAATTACAAAATCGCTGATAGGAAGTAACCTTAGACAAATTAAAATTATACAAAGTTTTTTTTTTATATAGCAATTGTGAATTTCGAGGAACAGTTAATGTTCAGATGAAATAAATAAGTTTTGTAATTTTGAATTTTTGGTTTGGTACAAATTATGCGATTTCAAGAATGGGCTTGGGATGAGATTTAACCAAGTCAATAGTTTCCAGCTGAAATGATGACTCTGGTGTCATTTTGGGTGACTTGCCTGGTGACCTTTGTGATATAAATTTAAATTGAGTCAAAATATTTAAGAAGGACTTCCCTTTTGTAAATATATGACGTTGTGACTAAGATATCATTGGTCTGACTTGGAATCAAGTCATTCACAAGGGTTAAATTTTCTTGAAAATTTAGCAAAGATAAGAGTTGTTGTTTTTTTCTTTTGAAAAATAAGTTTCAATTGAAACAAAATCCTGCATATGAAACATAATAAGGAATTCCCTTTGGTATCGTCATTACACATTTATTAGTATCAGCACTAAAAATATGAATATACATAAAACATCTCACACAAACATAAGTTTGAAATTATAGCACTATAGGTACTATCTATCTAGATAGTACTATAGGCACTGTCTTATATATATTTTAGTTTTTTTTATTTCTTAGTTTTAAATTCTTAATCAGCAGAACCCCGTTAATAACAGTACTTTTGTATTGAAGGGTTATCCTGGATAAATATTTCGATTATTATTATTATTATTCTTATTTCAAGACATGTCTAACTATGTACTGTATACATACTACTTATAATTACATGCGAGATAATTTCTCCCAAAGGGAACAAATACGGTAATTTTAATCCAACTTACAGCATAGACAATTGTTTCCTTTTTATCATATTGTTTCCACGCCACGGTAATTTGGTTTGTTCCAGAGTCTGTTACTTTAAATTCCCCTGGTGCGTCAGGTCCTGTAATGTTATGTAATAGAACAAAACAGTTAAAGGAAGGCCTTGTATGTTGAAAAAGTAACCGGGTCAGAATAACATGAGGAAAGAATCTAATCATATGATGAATGTTACAAGTTGTGCTTTTTTAAAATTGTCAATAATCATAAAATAAACAAAATTATTTTTTTAGTATTTTGTTTCACCAATCATGTCACAAACCACTACAATTTCCATAATAATCTCATCAAACTCACTTGATGTTTCCAGTTCCAAAGGTTTGCCATAGGGTCCAGGCCCTTCTGCTGTGTAAGCTCGAACAAAGACATTATATTTAGCACAAAGTTCCAAGTCAGACAGGACAACATATGTCACCGACGTATTGACAGAGGGGCTGTTAATGACAGATCGTTTGCGTAAATTTCCTTTCCTCAAGAAGATGGCCTTGACTTCATACAAAATAACTTTTCCGTGACTCTTTTCTCTTGGTAGAGGTTCCCATGAAATGTTAAAAGTCGTCTTGTTCACTGGGGAGAGTGAAAGAGGTTCTGGGCCAACACTTGGTGCTAAAAAATAGAGTAAAAACCTCTAAATTATCAGAGGACAGTATTACTTATTTTTAGAAAAAAACGTTGAGGCGTTCTATTCACAAAGGGGAAATATTTTCACCACAATCTGGAGAAAAATACAAAGAATTTTCGATAAACTTAACTCGCAGTTTAACCTCTGTCACCCAAAAATGTACCAGCACAAGTCAAAAATCTAATATATTTCCTTTCCACAAGTGATAGCTGAACGATAAGGATTATTTAAGTCTTCAATTAACAAAGAACAATAATTTTTGTTAATTGTTCACAGCAAATGGCAATCATTTATCCTTAGTTGCTCATTTTATGTAAATTAGTGCTGGCGAATCATATTTAGATTATTTGCACTATTTCAAAATTAAACAATTTCTTTTTTTTTCCAAAACCCAGCTGTGGGAGCCATTTATATTTTTGTATAACAACCATTACTGTTCTGTTAATTGTCCAATCTCACCTTAATGGTGACTTCAGAATGTATCAGGGGGACAAAAATGAGAACAAATAAATACCTTTAGTGAAAAGTATTCCATAAGCCTCCACTCGCAGAACTTTGAACTTATTATACTTTGTTGGCAGAAAGCGTATAAACTTTGCACTTGCAAATTCCTTTAGACTGTTTTTCACAGTGTCAGTTTTTCCTGAATTTCCTGGAAAGGCCTGTTATACGAAAAGTGGTATTGGTGTGTTGAAACTTGGCATAGTTTATGGTTTACTGTAATTTGTGAATGAAATAAAATTAAAATCTACAATTTGCAAGATAAAAATCTGTAACTTGTAATATGAAAATATGTAATTTGCAAAAGAACACCAAATGAGAATCTGTAATGCACAGAATGGAAATCTGCTTTCTGTAGGTTAAGTGCATACATCCTAGGTTGAAAACTAAAGAGCTTGAGACAGTTCAGCAAGTCATTTGAAGAGCACCAGGGGATTGTGCCTTGGGAAATGGCATAGGTTAGGTTACATAATGACTGTCAGAGAGATTAGGACCACTTCATTCTCGATCTTTAAATTTTAAGGTATTTTTTTAAAAGTGTGATTGAACAGTTAGAATTGGTCTGTGTTTACTACATCTTTGTACACTCATACTCCTATCAAAACATATATTTAACTGATAGACTACATGCTTTTTGATGTGTGTACTCCATATTGATCCTCACATGTACATGTAATTGATTAGAAAATGTCACCATTAATTCTTAAAAGTAACGTCAATATGGTTTGTAAGCAACACAAGTATATTGTGGGTAATGTTAACATTGGTGAATATTGTTAATATCCTACGACATTAATAAGCAAATCTGTCATTGCTGTGAGTAGTTTTAGTTTTGTACCACAAGTGTTGATTTTGCCTGTTATGAATACTTGTATACAAGAGCAAAACAAACCAACCTTGTCAATTTTATTTTCTTCATAAGGAAAAAAGGTGTTATCACTGAAAGAAAATCTCAGTTTGTACTCTGTGGTCCATTCTTGAGCTGGTGATTGGGATGGTGGATTCCCTTGAGTAGCAACAGCACAGATAACATACTCATACAGAAGGTCAATTTGTAGGTAGTCATCAGGATCAAAATTAGTCTTAGGTTCCCATGCCTTTTCTCCATTAAGACGACCATATTTAGCTGCATATCTGGGAGCAAATATTGAACTGGCTGAGAAGCTGTTATCTGGAATTCTACCACTGCTTGCCAAACCAATTGCTTGTGAGTCACATGCTGCAAGGTAACAATTGAAAGATTACCTTCATATCTTTGCATATTTCATGTATGTTTTCAATACCATCCATTTAATAGACTTCTAAACAATATGTAAGATACTATTACAGAAATACAGATAAAGAGTGATGGAAAAGTAGAAGAAAATGAAGCCATGACTGTTTGCAAAATAACCAAATGAATGCTGCAATCCGTCAGGAAATACACTGTAAATGCAACCCAAGTGTTGTGTCAGACTTAAAAACTGCGTCTATGTCTTGTTGTTGTAGGCAACAGTAAATAGGCCCTGATACACCTTTTACATAGGGCAAAACCGCTGTGAACTTGAACTGCCTCACATGCTCTCTGCTTGGGGAGGAGTTTGGGATACCAGTACTCATTGGAACAATGGGGATTGAAATCTCCCAATCACAATAGAACCTCATGATACAAATGGTAATGCCTAAGTAGTCAACCCCATTGCCTGATGAAGACTAACAGTAGGCAGTGGAAATGTTGCAATCTACATCTCAGTGACTACATCATGAGAGAAGTTTCTTATTAATTGAAAAGATTAATCAACTGACTCCTACAGCATATTAAGATCAAATATCACCTCAACTTAGTTGGTATTTATCCCAATAATATTAAAGCCAATAATTTGAGTTTTACATCACAAAAATTACATCTGATCTATTGTACATATCAAAAGAACAGATAGTTTTAAAAAGTTAAAACAAAATTTTGGGTACCAAAAAAATTTCGAATTCAGCATTTTCTATCAGCCATTACTTTCTTTGTGAATTAAGCTGTTTCTTTAGCGAGTTAAAGGCAAAAAATCATTGAACATGCAACCAACAAGTTATCATAAGCGGCTTGGTGTTTTTGACGACTGTATAAACAGTATCTTTAGAACATATTAGGTTTAAAACCCTTCTTTAAATATTGAGAGAGTATCTTAGAATACCCACTACAGTGGCAGTTCATAGCAAACATGAAACATCAGATTTCAAACTCACTTGGCTTTTGTTTCACACCAAACACCTCTGTTCTCATACACACCCCACCCTGGTGAGTTTCTGGCCGGAATCGCAGATACCTGGTCAACACTCCGTAAACAACATGCTTTACTTCTGAGTTTTTGTCATCATTTCCTATCAGAACCTTAAAAGACAAAACAAATAGTCACACCTCATCATACCCCAAATAGCAGGGATAATGATATCCACACTGGTTGCAACATTTGAGTTTCTATCATCATTTCCTTCTGAACCTTTACACCCAAACATCAGTAGACATATTCCCCAAACTGTTCTTTTTACATTTCCTATGGCACTACATGACAAAGACCTTCTGATCATTTTCATTATTCATGTGACCTTCATTTTGATTCAGGGGTGATCTTGTAACCAGAAATAAGATGCTAGTCACTTTTAAAGGCCAAGAGTTAAACTGTGAAAAATGATGATAAAGATGAAAATGAAGATGGGGCAGGAAACATCTTTGAGCTCCTTGGACATGATCACCACAAGTAACAAAGCTCTCTCATTAATTTTGAATGACAATCTATTCTTACTATTTTCAACAAGCAGATGATTGAGGGATAACAATACTCATTTTCTTTTACAAATAATGGCAGTTAGTTTGTCATATATGAAAAAGAAGTCTTACACAGCAGTGTACATAAATTCTTAATGCTCCTCTTCAGCAATCTTACAGCACTGAAAAATCGTTTGCTGAAGGCTCAGCTGAAGACACTGTATTTGCTTAGCCTACGGAGGTTATTAGGCATTTTCATTTAAATGTAATTACTCATTCAAATAATAACTATGAATTAGTTTTCTTCTCTTACATTTGCTTTTTCAACAAAGAGAAACCCAGTGATTGGCAGATTGATAATTTGAGCTTCACTTACCGGTGATTATGGAAATGTGTGATTTAATCTTTAACCAACATACTGTAGTCAGCCACTACTTAAGTGATTTCAGAATTTGAGCAGTGAATCTGAAGGTCTGAGGTTTGATTCTACATGAGGACTCAGATTTTTTTTTGATTTGTCACATGCTTGTAACAAGACAAAAAAATCTTTCTCAATTTCTTCACCAAACTCAAAATTTTCCATTCTTTTTTAACCATTATTAATTAAATAAATATTGAAATGTTGAAACTATGGGCAGCTCAGAGACTCTTGAGAATCAGGGCTTGTAAGCTATGTTTTTTTGCCGCGATGTCAGTGTTTCTGTTTGTATCACAATGCATATCACACATTATATTTGATAATTTTTTAAGGGGTAAGAACTGGTCACTGCCTAGTGCATGCTTATGGGGATTTGATAAAGATGTAAAAGTCAATGCATTTTAAATCTCATTTGTTTCAGAAATAATGCTTCAATACAGAATGTATTTTACACCTTAGCCTGTCCACCTAATTCCGTATAGTTTGTCCAAGTTGTCCCATCTATGGATAATTGTAGAGTGTAGGTCTTCACCCACTGATCTGCTCGAGAATTCCCTTGAGTAGACACAGCGCAGATGATATGAAGTGTTTGTAGATCAATCTGTAGATATGGGTTACTGTCACCTGTTCTGGCACACCACGATGATCCTGATACATAGTTCAGCCGACCGTTCTTGGCTGGCGTGCTGGAAGAAGAAGCATTTATTCCAGTGTCTAGAATTCTTCCATCTTCCATCCCAAGATTAAACTCAACACAACCTAAAAATTAAAAACTGTTTAAAGCATTACAAATAACAGGGAAAAATAACCAGTAATGAACACTAGAAAGGTTTAAGGGGGTAGAGCTCTCAACATATGCACTCAATAATTTTCTTTATTTTTTTTAAGAGGGCACAGTAATGAATCCTGCAATCTAATTGGTTCTTTACCAAGTCAGTATTTTCCTATCTCTGCCCACGGGCTACGGTAACGCTTTCGTGAGTCGCCGAGTGCATCCCAACTTTCGTTGCCATTTTTCATAAATATATCTTGTTTTTCTGGCTGGGCAGTATTTTTAAGCAAACACGTCGGCCACTACCTCAAGCCGATAAATAACTTATGAATCCTCTCCTTTCTCTCTCTCAGATCACTCTGGTTGACAGAAAAATATTGGTTTCAGAACGAATGTGTATAAGCAATAGCGTTATTACGTTGGTTGACAAGCGGCCTAAAAACCGTCTGCAATTAATTTTAATCATCCGTTAAAAATACCTTGAAAGTTAAAACGTGAGGTATTTGGTTACAGTTGAACTAATCGATGGAACTTTCATTCATTTAATATCTGAATTTTCTCAAACAATTTGTTCGTAGTAAAAGAGCAAGCGAAGTTTTAATTTCATTTCTACAACATACGCTCTCAGCGAGTCTTTGCAAGTCCGTTAAATTTGGACATTTGTACCGTAAATTGCACAACAGAAGCTGAAGGAACTTATTGAGAAAAAGCCTGCAATAAATCCCCTTGTGTCTCGTTGGAGTGTGCCACTCGAATTTAGTTTTTGTGGAGGAAAGACCAGATTTACACACGCCATTGCAGCAAACAAACGAGCAAACTCTCACAACTTCAAAATAAAAAATTTGAATTTACTCACAATTACTTTCCTCGCCATTTACTTGATAAATAGAGGTAAATCTTCGTACGTGAATTAATCGTCGATGAGAGTGAGTACTTTCCGTTAGATCATAGACTGTTTTTGAAGAAAACATTGCCATGACAATCCTTGCCAAACTACTTCTGTTGTTTTGCAAAAGTTCTTGCGCTTTTTTTTTCTTCTTACGCGTTCTCTAATTGACAGGTGTCAGATTGTGACAGATACTTGTAAAAAATAATGTTTCAAAGTTTGTTTGGAAGCCTTTTAAATCACCTTTATCGTTACGCAAATGAAAATGTTTCGGTGAGGCATCTCTTTAATTTACATCAACTCTATTTTAACTACCATTTACTCGCTCAAAAATTGTTCAGTTTATGGAAGATCTTGCCGTATTTACAGCCCTAAATCATTTGGGTTCTTTCAGAAAGAATTTTGTTAAATTTAAAAAATAAATATGTTATTTACCGGCTAAGAGTCGTTCTGTATGGTGAAAAACTGGACTCGGGCAGCATTTTCAAGACCTCGGTCACAGTTTTTCAGTATACGGACCGACCCTTAGCCGGCAAATAACATATATCTCTGCAACTCTTCTAAAATTTAGGTAAATGATAAGTTAAAAAGGTGAATGGCCACAATTTGGCTGACTCATCTAGTTAACAGTCTTCGTTATAAAATGAACATCATAAGTTTAGTAGCAAACATTTGTTGGTTGTCCTAGGCTCCTCTGTAATACTTGGTTTAAAGTTTTTTTCAGTCCTACTGATTCAGTTGCTTTCAGCCGAAAATGGGAACCATTGTTCACTATTACCAGTTTATCTGCACTGTGCAGCTTTCTTAAAGCTTTCATAAGCAGTCACGAAATTTTTGTCTCCAAACAAGGGTGCCTTGGTATCATGACGACTTCAGGGCCATACATTGTCTCACATGACCTACAAGTAGCCCTATAATCAGCTAAGAAATATTCTGGCTTAGAACGAGGGCTCATGGCTGTTTTTAGATATTTGACCGCTATGGGAGCCATGTTTCATCTAAGGCCTGCCTGGACACAGTGGTAGCCCCTAAATATCCCTTGCTCTTGTCTTTTCCAAACAAGTACAACTATACTATGACACACTTGATATTATGAACCACAAGAAAGCCACCTTGGTTACTGCAAATGTACTTATCATACAATCAAACATTAAAGTTCTGTTAGAATATGCTTTCTCATTCAACAATCAGCTCATAAGTTTTTTTGTCGTTGCTATGTACACCGTGCAGACTCAATTAAAAAGACTTGAACACCGTTTTAAAATTCTTACCATCTTTCATGGTTCTCACCACCACTAAAGGAGAACTCTTTGGTCCACCACCAACTGAAGTAAAGGCTAACACTTCAAATTCATATTCTGTGTAAATATCAAGCCCAGTAACATCTTTACTTAATGCTGTTCCATTGTTAATGGTCAGGGTGGTTGCTTGTCCAGAGGAGCCTCTCTTTTTGTAAAACAATTTGAATCCTATAATTATTCCATTTCTGGAGTCTGCTGGTGGTAACTGCCAGGAGGCTACAATAATTGTAGAAGTAACTGCACTCACTTTGAAGTTGCTTGGGGCTTTTGATGGAGCTGCAATCGGAAAAATGGCAAACTTAATGCCTATAACTGGTCCTGTTAAATGTTACCACCAAACAAAGAACCCTCTATCTAGTAAATGGTTTGAACCCGGGGGTGACATGTAATAGTGTAGTTTGATTGTCCAAGTGAGTGTAGTCCTGAGAAGGACTGTTGTCAGCAGTGGTGACTGACATTTCAACAACCTGAGCAGAAGTCATCATCAGAGTCAAGTGAATAGTTGTTGTCAGTCGAATGTTCTTAGTCCGCTTTGTATAAACTGATTGGTCAGTTTCGCCATGATGTTATCGGCTGTAAGACTCAAGTGGCGTAAGTTACTTGTGATTGGTTAGTCTCGATCTGTTTGTGAAGTTAGGTCATTCTGTTCTGTTCGTTAGTAATGTTAATGTCATGAATGAGTTGTTTGTATGGTGCTGGTAGTGGTTGACACCTGTGGAGGGGAGTCTGTTCCAAGGTAGTAAACCAGCTTTCCAGGGTCAGTCGTTGAAAGTAGTTGGTACTGTAGGTTAGGCATTGCGTAGAGTCCCAGTCAACGGTGTGGTTCGTACGTCGATGATGTTCAGCAATGTGATTGTTGATATCGCCTTTCCTCCTCGCTCGTTTGTATTTAATCAGTCCAGTTGTGAGGTTTCTGCCAGTCTCACTGATGTAGGAGGCATGGCAGTTGGAACAATTGATCTTATAAGCTACTCCCTGTTTGTTCCTGGGTTTGTCTTTGTCTTTGATGTTAGACAGCGACTGGCATCGTGTAGTTTTACTAGTTTCTTTTCTGCAATTGCTTTCAGTTGCAGCCCATATGGGAGGATCATTTCTCTCCTTGCAGGTCCAATGAAATTTATTTCATCAAAAATTGTGATAATCTTTTCTCTTTCACCTTCACCTATCAAATACCAGCTTCCTTTGTTCTCTCCACCTCAACAGGGCTCTTTGGTCCATCACAATTTGTTCTATTATTATTATGAAAAGAAAGAAAGCTCCATATAGGAGGAAATTCATTCTGGTATGTGGGCAACATTATAAATATTCTACATGCCTTACCATCTTCTTAGTTCTTTCAGTTAAAATGGAACTCTGGTCCATTACCAACAGACGTGAATGCCAGTATTTCAAATTCATATTCTGTGTAATTATCAAACCCAGTGACCTCTCATACAACAAACTACAGACACAGCAGTGAGATTATCACTCTTCCTAATCTGTCACATACCATCTTCCATTGTCCTTTCCACCTCAACAGAACTCTTAGGTCCATCACCATCAGAAGAAAAAGCCAGGACTTGAAATTCATATTCTGTGTACTTATCAAGCCCGGCGACATTTCTACGAAATGTCGATTCCCCACTTATAGTCACGGTTGTTATTGACACACCAGAACCTTTCTCTGTGTAAAACAGTTTAAACCCTGTAATAGTTGCATGTCTGGCATGGACTGGTGGCAACTGCCAGGAAGCTGCAATGCTGGTAGAAGATGTTGCAGTCAGCTTGAAGGCAGTAGGGGGCTGTGATGGAACTGAAATAAACATGAAGAAATGCAATTCCTTACAAAAAATTCCAAAATTTATGGTTTTGAATGACTACCATCATCACTGTAATTTGCCTTTCCTTAATGTTACTCAGTTCAGTTCTCTGTATCGTCCAACAAACACCAAAAAGTTCACTACACTATACTGTACCAAGGACCAAAAAAAAGAAATATTTTACCACCTTCAGTTACCTCTTCTACCACTTCATCTTAATTCCTTTGAAAGGGAGTTTTGTAATTGTCTCAACTTTTTATTAATACAAAGAACAACAACAAAATCAACAATTAAAACTCAAACCAACAATCTACCAACCAACCAGTCAAACTTTGTCATGCTCTTCAGTTTTGTAGGAGTTGATTGTTCTATTCTCTGTTGCTCAGCTCTAAAATTTAACATATGGTATACTTACATCATTCTCATTAAACCAAAAAACAATAATTAATAGCGAATGTGCACAAACACCAAGCAGGAGGTGACATATGATAGACCACCAATATCCTTGATATTTTTTTTAAAGATACCCTATGGTAGGGCCAAGGAACGTGGTGGGTTTAATTTGTTCAAATATACCTTTTAAAACCAGAAAAAAAGTTAAAACTTAGAACACCCCACGTGTCATGAAAACAGCTGAAGTAAACATGTCTCATACTGCTCTGATCTGAGTCGCATCGCATTAAAACCCTGTTTTAAGCATACAAATATCTCTTTGAAGGTTAACCGAGTTTTTAACTCAATTTAAAGACCTGTAGATTTGAATTGTTAGGCCACGGGAAGCTTTCAACAATCGCTAAAATTCGCGTTCTAAAAATTTTTATTTCGTGCACTTTTTCAAGCGACATTTTCTTTGCCCGGTAAAGCACTGAATCGCTAGAATTCTTGAAAGGGGAAATGTTGTTATAAAAGCAGGTATATAATTTATTTCCAGGCTTTCAATGAGGACCGTGCACCGACGCTTAAAAAATTGGGAAAATCATATCAATTAACTGTCAACAACTGGTAACAATAAACGTATGCCTTCAACAAAATATTTTTATACTTGGAAATGAATCCTTTTTCCTTGAGAAAAAAAAAACGTTCAACAGAAAGGTCACGTTAGGTTCACCTTGAAGAAACATTTCTTTATACTTCAGATTAGTTCTGGCTATGTCGGCGTATCATGAACCAACCGCCTGAGCAAAGGTCAATAAAGGCGATCGATGGCACTCTTGACTCGTCCCACAATATTTCTAGTACCTCTTTTTTATTGTCCCGCATACTTTCGCTACACGTTTACCTTCCTTGAAATGAACATTGATTTAATTACACTTTATAACGGTAACCCTACAATAGCTCAAACAAAATACCCCGCGAATTGCTATTTTCCTACATCCAGATCCTCAGTGAGTAGTTATGAATAAATTTAATTGTCACGCAACAACATTCCCACAAGCGGCCGAGGTACAAGTCAATAATTAGACTAATTACGCTACAAAATTTTGGTACGTCGTTTCAGAAACAGAATAACCAAATTGAGACACGAATGCTGATTGCACGGAGATAAATTGCAAAATGTAGGAGGTGATGTGAATAAATAAAATATCTTTCGTTACAAAGAGGACGTTAACATGACAGAAATAAAAGCGCCACAGATCTAAACACCGATAGAACTAATCCGCATAGGTAACAAACATTTTGCCCGTTTAATTTAAACAACACAAAATCAAGGGCACAAAAAAATAATAATACTCATTCGCTCTTCCTTGATACGGCCATGTAAATTTTAAACCCAGTTTCTACTTGGTGAAGCGAGATTTGATAATGTGCGGCTCTTAACTTTTTTGTCACTAATAACCGCCGCTAGAGTTGTTGTAGTCTCGGGGAATTTAAGGTTATAGTTCTGAAAAATGACAAGACCGTAACTGTATTTGCGCAAATAATTTATATTTTTGGAATTATTAGTACCTCAAAATGAATCTGGGCCACGCCCACGGAACACGATTCTGATACCTTTTAGGGGTGTTTTCGAAATTCTCCGACGAGCACCCCTGTCATTTTTATATGGGAGTCCCACCCGGGTTAACATCGACAATGACCTTTCAGATGTCAGGCGCAAGAAGCCCTACATCCGGAAAAACTGCAGTCGCTTTGCGAGGAATGCGCATGTTGGCGTCGAGGAATGAGTAGCTAAGCCAATGTTATTTAACTGTTCCAACAGAACTTTCATTTCGTCATGCCGTAAAGTTCGTCGGGAGCATGGGGAAAAAATCTTTGTCGCCGTCCTGTATACCTTCTAGGATTGTTAACGACGACAACTGATTAAATTAAGTGTGTTAATTAAATGTGCTCCTGAGATGGGAAAAAATTTGCTCTTGTTCTCACTCGATTCCGATTTTTTTCTAATAGCTGTCTCTGAAGCCTTTTAAGGTGGGATATCCGTGTCGCCAATGTTAGAACCATTTACCGATGACGCAACCTCGTTCTCAGTTTTTCTCTTATTCCCACCCCAATCTGAGAACTAGGTTGTCGATGTAATGAAATGGTCGCTATCATATTACCTAAATGTCGTCAATTTGTTCGTTTCCTTGAAAGCCCTATAAAATAGTTTAGCTGATGGCCCACAACACATAATCAGTAATTTATTATTCTGTTTAATTTTTTAGCTGCTTCTCGTTCCTCATGCAGTTAAAAACTCAGGGTCTAACAATCGCGTAATCACACTTTTTTTAATACGCTTTTGTAGTTCGATTATTAAACGTTGCTTCCTTGAAAAAGAAGAGAGAAAAATTCACGAGTGTAAGAGGTCGCAATGTTCACATTTGGGAAAACGTGTCGCTGCCTCAGTTTTTCATGCTCCTCAAAAGCGTGGAAAGTTCCCTGAGGACTCACTTGCTGACTGCTGTACATTCCCATTGCGAATACAGATAAATTGGAAGTATATCTACATGATGGGAATTTAGATTTCATCTATTGGGTGGCTTCTTGGTATTTTGTTTTGCTTCTAAAAGGTCATGACGTCCAGTGGCAAAATCAACTTCGTGACCATTGCGTGACTTAGAAGATACAATCGCGTAAGAGATTTCGGCAAAAATGGTGTTGGAATCCTCTAACGAGCGTTTTAGGAGAAACTGCTTTTAAACTCAAAGAAAAACAAATTCTTTTGATCTGTAAAGGCTCTTATTGGTTAGCTGTAGAAAAAATAAGCTGGGAAAATTGAATAAACTCATGCAAGTTGATCTGGCTCAGGGCGACACTAATTTTAAAGAATTGCGGTCGTTCCGCCCGAAGGACAATCTGCCCGAGAATGGAAGTCGATCTGCCCGACGAACAAACAGTGCATCAAATTACAAAGATTAAGCAGTTATTCCATTTTTTAAATTTCTTTTAGTAATGCTTGTAGATATTTGTTGAGCGTGTTATCAAAGAACTGCTCATTCAACCGCTGAAATATTTAACTTCTTCGGAACTTCTGCGATCAAAAGCGAAATCATTTTGTCATGTAATAGACACATCGAGGCCAAATATTTGAGGCAAAAAGTCAGTTGTGATGTCAGTTGAATAAAACGTCTGGTTTTTTAAGATATTTCACTGAAAATGCTACTACCACGGAAACTAAATGATTCTACGGGCTTAAGAATGGCCCATTCTTAAGCCCGTAGAATCATTTCGTTTGCGAATACCAAATTTGTTTAAGTTATGCTTCTTATGGCGGTCATGCAAACAGTGAACGGAACGTAGCCGAAACGAATTTTACCGCCGAGTCAGTCTCCTACTCGGTAAAATTTTAAACCATTCACGTTGCATTTCGTTACAAAAACTCATAAAACACTAGTTTTATTTAAGATACCATTTTAAAAAACTCTACATGTCAAAATGTTTACCCGAGATGGCTACTCTACTAGCGATAAAATGCTCACGGGAACGGATATTTAGTCAATATATTATTCAAAGGATCTAAAACTGCAGTTCTTCAGCGCTGTGGATTACTGACGACCACATAGATTTATTAGAATGTAAAAATTTTACAATCTTTTGCTTACGGGTTTGGAGAATGCGCTATTTGTTGACTTCCGGTTGACACACTTTTGTTGTGAGAACCGCTATTTTAACCCTTTAACTCCCAGATAAAATTTGTTATTCTCCTTATTGTTAACCATACAATTCTTATAATGCTAGTTCAGAGAATTTAGTATTGGATCAACTAAATATCCCCAAATTGATATTTTTCTTTACTCTCATCACTTATCTGATTGATATGACATTGATATTGTAAGGAGAAATTCCGTCTTGGTCACTCATGGGAGTTGAAGGGTTAAGAGGCTTCCTACTTGGCGCTGATAAAAAGCCCGAAACTAAATTTTACATCCCATTTTAGGCCAGCATTTATTCTCTTAAGAATATCAATTTCGAGTTGTTCGATGTTTTACCGGGTACAAAAATGTCTTAAAAAACACGCTAAGTTACAAATTATTCGAAAGTGAATTTTAGTTTATTTCATCTGGTTACCATGACCTCTAAATTTTATTCACTGGAGTAAGATTGAAGTCAAGTTACTTGCAAAGACTTCAACAGCGATGTTGAAAGCACGAAACGGTTCTTTCTATGATGCGAATTCAAAAGGGCGAATTTATGGGAAGGTACCAATTACGTATTTCTCGGATGCCTTTCAGGACATTTTGGCTTGTGATGGCTTTTTTATTTCATGAAGGTTTAAAAAGATATTATTTTTATGTAAATTAGTGTTGGCGAATCATATTAAGATTATTTGCGCCATTTCAAAATTAAACAATTTCTTTTTTTTTCCAAAACCCAGCTGTGGGAGCCATTTATATTTTTGTATAACAACCATCATTACTGTTCTGTTAATTGTCCAATCTCACCTTAATCGTGACTTCAGTTTGTATCAGGGGGACAAAAATGAGAACAAATAAATACCTTTAGTGAAAAGTATTCCATAAGCCTCCACTCGCAGAACTTTGAACTTATTATACTTTGTTGGCAGAAAGCGTATAAACTTTGCACTTGCAAATTCCTTTAGACTGTTTTTCACAGTGTCAGTTTTTCCTGAATTTCCTGGAAAGGCCTGTTATACAAAAAGTGGTATTGGTGTGTTGAAACTTGGCATAGTTAATGGTTTACTGTAATTTGTGAATAAGATAAAATTAAAATCTACAATTTGCAAGATAAAAATCTGTAACTTGCAATATGAAAATCTGTAATTTGCGAAAAGAACACCAAACGAGAATCTGTAATGTGCAGAATGGAGGTCAAGTGCATACATCCTACGTTAAAAACAAAAGAGCTTGAGATAGTTCCACAAGTCATTTGAAGAGGACCAGGGACTGTGCCTTGAGGAATGCCACAGGTTAGATATTGACTGTCAGAGAGATCACAACCATTTCATTCTTTATCTTTAAATTTTATGATAATTGTTTTAAAAAGTATGATTAGTCAGTTAGAATTGGTCAGTGTTTGTTACATCTTTTTACACTTATACTACTATAAAATAAAAAACATTTACTTTACTAATAGACTACATGCTTTTGGTATGTGTACTCCATATTGATCCTTACATGTACATGCAACTGATTAACAAATGTAATTATTAATTCTTGAAAGTAATGTCAATATGGTTTGTAAGCAACATAACTATATATTATAGGCAAAGTTAGCATTGGTGAATATTGTTAATATTCTATGACAAGTATAAGCAAATTTGTTGTTCTTGTGACTAGCTTTAGTTTTATACCACAAGCATTAATTTTGGCTTTTATGAATACTTGTATATGAGAGCATGACATACCAACCTTGTCATTTTTATTTTCTTTGTAAGGGAAAAAAGTGGTACCATTGAAAGAAAATCTTAGTTTGTACTCTGTGGTCCATTCTTGAGCTCTTGATTGCTTTGGTGGATTTCCTTGAGTAGCTACAGCACAGATAACATACTCATAGAGAAGGTCAATTTGTAGGTAGTCATCAGGATCAGCATTAGTCTTAGGTTCCCATGCCCCTCTTCCATTAAGACGACCATATTTAGCTGCATATTTGGGAGCTAATATTGAACTGGCTGAGAAGCTGTCATCTGGAATTCTACCACCGCTGGCCAAACCAATTGCCTGTGAATCACATGCTGCAATGTAACATACTAAAGTAAACCTTTTCATCTTACCATATTACATGTTTTTTTTTCTTCTTTATTTTTTTACACAGCCCCATAAGCTATATTAACTTTAAAACCCACCGTGTTTAAATAAAAGATGTTATTGTTGTTGTTGTTGTATAACTAATTGAATTCACCTATAAGCAATTTGTAGGATATTATTACAAAAATTCAGAAAAATAGTCATGGAAATATAGTCATGAAGCCCTAACTGTTTGTGATTGCCCGGAATCGATCCCTAACTTTTCTGACCTTGAGGAACTCCAAGCACCCATGCAATATTATCAAGAAAAGTTTGAGGTTAATTGAATTTTTCTTGCAGTCCCTAGCTCATAACCCTACAGGCCCCAACAATAGAACTATCCACCATTATCTATGAAGCAAAAATTGGTGCATCTTGTCACCTGGAATTTCTTAATGGATAAGTATAAAAGGCTTCACACAATGGCAGTGTTGTTTTCCTCGAGTGCTCATTACAACTCCATAGCGGATTAAATGGGAACCTCAAAAATTGAGGTTGTTAAGTATTAATATATTCAGGCTATTGTTCTTTCTCATTACTTATTCATTCCGATGAGTTTGCCGACATGCCGGCATGCTTCAGAAGATCGTGAAGAGCGCAACTTTTGATGTAGGTGAGATATTTTTCTTTTTTGTTAACAGATGAAATAAACTCTCCCGGGAATCTGCTTGATTGATGTCTAATAATTACATGCATTCCGGTGTGTTGGGCAACATGTCAAAGACATCAACCTCGGATCAAACCCAAGCACTTATCAGCTTACATGTTTTTTCAAGTAGAAGTAAACGTTAGATGCGCCGCGCGCCCCAGACGGAGCTCGCGTATTTTTAACATAGTACGGTATTTGCGATGTGAAGTTAAGAGAACAAGCGGTATAAATATACCATATAGATTTTAAACAGGGTTCTTAAATCATTGAGAACTTGCTTTGTTGCTTTCTAAGATATTTTTATCCGGTGGAAAAAATAAAAGTACGAGTAATGAGTATAATAAATTAATAAAATACGTTGTAGAGTTTTCAATGCATGTAATGACTCGCGTAAAAAAAAAACCCTTGACAACAAGCAAGACACGACACGCAATTGGTTGCTTCTTGACAATAGTTCATTCACAATTTGTAAACATCCGTTCGCGTTCCACGCCGCAAGGACAAAATTCAGCTGAGGCGATCTGCCGATCTACAATTTCTTCTGGTTAGTTATGTTGCAAAATCAGGGTGTTGAGTTTGACAATGGATGGATCTTCTGATGGAGAAATTAACTGGCCAAAAAGTTTCAAGCCGAACACGAGCACTATTTATGACACGCAATATTTACATAATAAAGAAGTAGTTTAATTCAAGTGCAATCATTCGGATCAAAACAAAACGATCGGCGCTCGAAATGATAAACTATTTTCGCTTTTGCTCTTCGCAGTGATTACAACAACTCGTCCAAGATCCATTTTTAAATCTTTTGCGACGCTCTTTAATCCTAAAAACATATTAAGGCTAAAAATACACCGTGAATAGAAACTAAATCCATTCAAATGATTGCAGTTAATCGATCTCGAGTTCATTCATCTCAAGACAATGTAAACAAAAGGATACAAGATCACAAGTCTGTTCGCGCAAGGTAGCTTAATTACACTATTGTCCAAGTCTTTTGAAGTACCTTCCGCAGTTCCTTTGGTCTTCTTCCAAAATATCTCACCTTTTTCGAAACGAATAAAACCGACACGTTTTCGGCAGCCACCGAAAGCAATGCCCAAAGGAATAAACCGAGCCTTCAAGGTAAAAAATCCAGCGGTGTCACCCATTTCAGAAAGTCACATTTAATCCGCTATGGAGTTGTAATGTCAAAGAGTGGTTTGTATCATTAAAGCTACTTATCCAAATAACAATAATATTAACAAAATAACATAACCACTAGATTTAGACCCTTTGTTCATAGATTAACAAATGCAAGAATCACATCACACAAAAGGTTTTTAAACTTACTAGGCTTCTGTTGTACCCCAAACACCTCTGTTCTCATACACACCTCACCATGGTGTGTTTGTGGCAGGAAACGCAAATATCTTGTTAACACTCCATAGAGAATATGTTTGACATTTGAGTTTCTATCCTTATTTCCCTCTAAAACCTTAGGAAAATAATCATAACTCATCAAAGAGTTCCAGGTAGATTGCATAATTTAACTAAAGTTGTAACTCTTCATCCTGGTGAAAGTAATCATCATTACTTCACCTCTTGTTTTATGACAGGAAATACTTTTATTTTTGTCACAATGGTTGGGCTAGGTGGCTAAATAAGCCTTCACACAAACAGAAAAATATAAATGTAGGTGTATGAATAAGGCCCAACATTTATGGAAGAGGTCCACATAGACAGGGTTACTAAGCATACATGAATAAATCATAATTTGACCACTGGATTATAAAAAATAACACACTGACCCTCAGAAGTGAATTCTATCTAATTTCTACAACTGTAGTTTATCTGTGACAATCATTTAATTCCTTGTTGGATTGAGAGCAGCAATCTCTCAGTGATCAGAAATCATTTGCACTCCTTTGACAAGCTATTTCACGCCATAAATACTTGGTGGAAGAGCATAGTTCAAAACAATTTGTTAGATTCCCTGTTAGATTCCCTGTTAGATTCCCTGGTACTCTTTCTGCAGCCTTGACTGCAAATTCAGGCATGCTAAATATCACTTGCCACATGAAAATATATTTACTCAACATTCATGATATTTGCTGAGCATAAGGAGAATATTTTTATTGTACAAATAATCCTCTGCATACCTATAACTCTTTTGGTGGCTATTTTGATATAAAAGTGTTAATATTATCAAAACTCAAGAACAGTGATTGAGGTAAGATATCATATAATTCTCAACCAGCCAATGTAGCATACCTTGGCCTGTCCACCTAATTCACTATAGTTTGTCCAAGTTATCCCATCTGTGGATAATTGTAAAGTGTAGGTCTTTACCCACTGATCTGCTTGAGAATTCCCTTGAGTAGAAACAGCACAGATGATATGAAGTTTCTGTAGATCAATCTGTAGATATGGGTTCTTGTCACTTGTTCCTGCACACCATGATGATCCTAATGTGTAGTTTAGTCGACCATTTGTGGCTGGTGTGCTGGCACTTTGTATCGATGAAGCATTTATTTTACTATCTGGAATTGTTCCACTTCCCATTCCAAGGTAAAAGTCAACACAAGCCCCTATGGAAACAAAATTTATATTTGCACTATAACAGTCATAATAATTATAGTAAGACGGATTATGGTTGGATGTGAGAAACATATGCATGTCTTGAATCTCTTTATAAGGTATGTCTCATGCAAAGTCCATGTCACAAATAGTAACAATTAGAGCTGGTCTACCTCTAAAAATATTTATCAATTTTATTACAAATTAGGAAGAAATCTAAATGTGATCATTAAAACTGCAAATTGTAAACACTAGGTGCCATTTTTCAAGGTTTCCATTTTTAAAGAAAATAAGGAAAGATTCAAGTTTCGAAAAACTGTTGTGCTGCATCAAAGGCATTGAAGCAAGATATAAATAAAGGAAAATAAATTGCCGCAGTGAATTTGAGAAACCTGGGTCACTACCCCTTCCCTGGAGCAAAGAGAAGCTGACTTTCAGTGGATATGGGGACGGGAGGCAAAAATGTACAGACTGGTCCAAATTCAAAGCTTTTGAGTAGATAGGAAAGGTGGAATAAATTTCTAAGAGTGCTTTAACCTGAAATTGAAGCAGATCTTGTTTCTCAATTACTTCGTTGAAACGCAATAGTTTCAGAACCGTCTGTATTTCGAATTGATGAATAATTCAGTTTAATTTCACTTTCGTATAATTCTCCATGCTTCCACGTTGAGCGTGATGTAATAGCAAATATATTTTCAACTGTACTATTCTTTTTAAGATGACAGTTTAATTTTTCGTTTCTTTCTGGTATTGATTATCTCCGTATTGAGGAAGAACCTGCGACCGTGGGAGAAAGCCTACGGCTACAGTACCCTGAATGTAAATTTTAGCATAAAAAAATGAAACCTTTCTAATTGATTTAAAATGATGCAGTGCTCACCTGAAGTCAGTGGAAGAAGTACAGCGAGAAAAGCTACCCGGAAACATAGATTAAATTGGGCCATGTTTCGATTAAGTGTGTCACGGTATGCGTGTATCACGATCGTTTTGCTTGACCGGTCTTTTGTAACAGAAAGCTCATCCGAAAAAAGATTGTCTCCTCACTATTTACATTTGGCTTTGTATGGCTTGTAGCAATATCGTCCGCGATTCCAGCAAAAAAATCAGACTCTTCGTGGGCCGAGTATTTTCGTCCCTCAAGAAGATGGGGTCGCGAATTCCCACGTAGACTCTGTGACCCCCTTCCGCAGTATGATTTTATTGTGTCAGTGGTCGTCTCACTTTAGTAATAATAAACAAAGATCTGCCTGCAGTCAACCAGCGGTATCACAATTGATTACTCTACTCTGATCAGTTGGGTTCCGGAGTTGAAACCTTGCAGGATTTTGTTAGAATTTACGTTAAGAAAAGGCGAATTGAATGGCAGATTCAAAGAGGAGGTAAGTACATGGGTAAAAAGGAATGCTTTATTAGACAAATGCAGAACTTTTCCGTGTATAATTTTTAATACAGTAAAAAAGCTGAGCTTCCAAGGTGGCCATATATACTTTGCCGTTAAGATCAGGAATAGGTTCGTCTGTTTAACAGTCCACTGGCCCATTGAAAACTTAGTAGTTGACATCAGTTAAAATTAAGAACAAGTAAGCATTATTATCGTAAAAAATATGCAGCTTTTAGAAGCTGACCAGTAAGGTATTCTTGGCTTATTGCAGAAGGAAATGTAATGGTTTCATAGCAGGTCCTTCACAATAACAGTTTGAGTTGGTGAAGGGGGGACTCAAGTGTGTTCGCATGAGCTGGGAAAACTTGGATTTCAAATTACTGCAGGGAGGGGGGGAGTTGGACAGAGGGGTCTGAACATCCTGATTCCCATACCCTTACTAAATGGCTCTTGCCTCTGTTTTATTTTCATTGCAAAAGTCTATGCAATTTTGCTAAAACTTTTACCCAGTTCCTGCCCCTCTCGCCTTCAGTACACCTCCATCCCCTATTCTCATGGGTTCCCATCCCCCTGTCCCCCACCAAATAACTCTTAGATACTGGGAATTGCTTTTGAAATTAGGAAAGAAAGTGTTTATACACAAACCAGTGACAAACGTGTTATACCCGAAATGCAGTGGTTTTTTTTTTGTTGTTTTTGTTATTAACAGTACAAGGATATGAATTATTTAGAACCGGACCTTCTAAATTTTATCGTCAACTCCAATTCCATAATATTTTTCACAGGTTAATGCTTCACCCATTAGTCTTGTAAATGGTTGGTAAATGGTTTATCAATCAGATTGGAACGTAGAGGTTAAAAAAGGGCATTTTATCACCAGCTTCTGGAGGTGTGTCTTCAATTTTCTCTTCAGTAAGTTCTTGTTTAGTATTTTATCTTTTGCTTGTTTGTGTGCCTTTTGGTTCTTTCTTGTTTTCTTAACAATTAAAGTTTCTGAAAATATTGGTTGCATGGTTCTTGTCCAAAAAGATGTTTAATGAACATGACATATCTATTTCATCAGTTTCTCAGCAAATGAGTGCCTAAATCAAGGAACATTTGCTGTGACTGTAACAAAGAAGTATTACTGATCACATTCAGTCGGTCAAATTTTAACTGACTTAAATGATTGGTCTCTTAACAGTACACCTCTTGGGCCCTTTTACTGCATGTTCTTTGGGAAAAAATGATTTAAATTATATACATGTAGCTTGCTTTAGAAAATACACTTTCTCACAATTTTTTTCCCTTGAATGTAAATTTCAACAAGCTGAGCCACAACTCCATCACATACTTTAAAATGAAAAGAAGACTCCCAGATAGGTTGCTATTTGTGTGTATTTTAAGTGTATGATCATGGACAATAAAAGAAAGGATTTTGCAATGGTGTGGCAAAGTTCACTCCTAAACAACTAGCATGGAAGAACTGTCCACATCTATCGCAGCCAAGCCAGTCTTCATTGTCATCCATCTGACACACCTTGCAAACAAGAACATCCCTTCCTCTACCAAAAAGTGAAGTAAAAGTTCAAAATGATTACTTAATTCTCAATTTGTTTTTTGAGATTAAACACAATACACAGTGGTGATTGTAATGATAAGAAAGGCATAATTATTGTACCTCAAAATGTCATCATAACAGCTGCCAAACAGGTTGGATAGAAGCTTCATTCTCTCAATAGAAACATTGACCTTTGTGATCGGTCTGTTATCACACAAGTTCCTGGCAAACTAACAATAGATCTTGCAGTTATATTATATATGATGTAAGATTGGTTGATGTAAAAATGTAAATATTATGTTTCTTTAAAAACTGCTATGGAATGACATCATATTGTTTTGACTGTGTAATGTCATAGATATTGATGGAATTGGTACCTATGAGCTCACTTATCTAATGCTTTATACTACTCTAAAGATTACCTTACAAATAAGTACTCCACAGTTGAATCCATCAGTTTGCTGAAAATGGGGTGGCTCGAGGCATGCCCACTCTTTACTTTTCCAGCCTGTTTTGATGTCAGCAGCCTCACTACAGAAAGATTGCAACCATTTTCATAAATGCTACTGGATATAGCTACAAAAATGAGTTATGAACATTGTCTCAATATTAATTCCTGGCGATTGATGGAATCAATTAAGTTAGGTTTAGTTAAGTTTATGTTACATGAAGTCACTAAATTACACACATATATATATATATAGCTGAAAAATCATAAAAACAATGTGGCCAGTACAATGGCCATTCATAACTCTCACAACAATGAAACACAGGGTCTTGCTGGGAATACAGAAACTCACCTTATGTTATTTATAAGTCTGTACAGGCTGGGATTGGAAGCTGCTGTTATTTCATTTGGATGTTTGTTTCCATGAATAGGATCAATGTAGACACGGATCGATTCCTTGTTATCTAAAATCTTTGAACACATTTATTTTATGTCGTTAAAACGAAGTCCTGAGTCAAGTGTACAATGTTCAATTTATCTAAAGAATATAATACAAATTTTAGAGATGACTATTTTATATAAAAAAAAATTACAGTATGAATAGCATCCTCGACTTACCAGTAATGTCCAGTGATGTCCAGTGATATTCATTGGAATAACATTTTTTTCAATTCCATGGAATTTCTCGCCCATCCACAATCTACGTGTACTTGCCCCATGTTTCACCAACTGACAAAGGGTACTGTCAGCAGCAAAGATTTTTTGGTCGAGTTTTGTTAGTTTCCACAGTGTAGCATCAACGATCTACAAAGAGAAGCATAACGAATTTAACAACTGAAGATATACAAAATTAATCTTTCAAATAGTTACTGGAAAACAGTACTGCTCACCGTATCAGTTAACCATCCATCTACAAAACTAGGGATCTCCTCTTTGATTTTCTGTGTTTCTTTTGCAGATAAAGTGCCAGGAGGAAGAGTGGCTAGCAAGTCAGAAACGGTTACTTTGAATGGCCCTACTTCCAGTACGGAATCGCGTATACCAGTGTTGACTTGCAAGGTCTTAACTCTCGTCTCTGCGTCACACAACTGTACTTCTGACTCTCCTACCTGAGAAGGCCTGTATATACACCACAACAGTAGATCAAAAGAATAGTCTAAAAGGTTGATAAATCGTTCCCTACTTAACTGATAGAATATTCGAAGAGTTATGATCACTGTTCTGTATTACTACATTCGATAGAATTATACCTTGGTGAGATACGAGCAGAACTCTCGTGAATTGTTCCAGTTAGCTCATCATTATCCATGTCGTTATCCGCATCATTACACAGTTCAAGTTCATTATCGTTATCAAGAGACACATCACATATCGAGTCAACCTGCAAATAAAACATTGGGCACATACAAGATAAACATTTCACACGTTGACATAAACAGTTCTTTCAATCGTTGTGAGAAAACAACGAATTATACCAACCTCTTCTAATTCCACGGCACTGTCTTTAGAATTGCCCTCAGCCCTTGTCAAGTCTACAACCACGCCCCTGTCCTTCCTTCTCTTGCTGTGTCGTCTGCGTTTGGGAAGTGTCTCATGTTTCACCTTGTGGTAGTCTACCTCTGTAACTTTGAGCTTCTTTTTTGCAGGACTCTGTCGAAGAGGAAGGCCATTTTCAAGAGAGGAACTTTGACGGAGATCCTTTAGCAGAGATTCCACAGTCGTGATAGTATTCTCAAGGAAAGCTGAATCATCGACCACGAATGTTGCTGATCTCAATTCATCGACTCTTTCCTGAAGGCGCTTTCTGAGCTTTTGAGTTATTAAAGGTTACTCGTTGTCGTTGATTTTTGGCCGGGAAGAAGTGCCACTGGATTGAGCAGGTGCATCATATTCATCGGAAGATGAGGTGGGGACTGTTGTTTCTGCACCGCGTACTTGACTGTAATAGTCATTTCCCTCGTCCGTTGAACTCGGTTCCGAGGTTGGTTGTTCGTCAGGATCGGCTTGATCAAAATGCACGGTGTCCAGAGTTATGAAGACGCTATTTTTGTAAGAATGCGGTAAGCTGTTAAAGCTCCACTCGTCAAAGAAGTTGAAAACAGCAAAAATGTGTTTACAAGGGAAATATGTTTTACGCCAGCTTTCACATTTGCAGCTTGGCTCCAACAGCTTGACAGCAAACAGCTTCGTACTGTTCGAACTGCTTTTGACGAGAAATTCACCCTTTTCTAAATTGACACATTTCACGTCATGTTCGGCAAACTCAGCAGCCCCAAAGTTACTCCTGAGGCAGTGTTTGACGAAATGAGGAGGACGGTTGTGAAGATAGTCAGGTATATCGCGCTTGAATTCACAAGAACCACTCAGCTGAAGGTTGGTGTCCAGGTAGTGTTGGTAGGAATCAGGGATAAACGATTCCACGATCATCACCACTATTCCAAAAACTGATTTGTCGAGTGATCCAGGCAAATACCTGTATTTGAACAACTTATTCTGCGCTTCAATTCCATTGTTGGTATTCACGATGTTGACGGCCTGTTGAACACGAAATGCATGAGCCCGCCCAACGATCGGAACAGTCCAACCACACCTTCTCGCAGTATTCTTGTACTTTGGGATTTCCCAAGTACAACGTCGACTTTCTCAGGCTTTCCACGGCCTTCTTGTAGGACGTCTCCGAACGAGCACGAGCAATTGCTTGCATCAGTTCTAGAAACATCTTTTGTTCCCGTACGGTCAGTCCATTTTTGACGACTTTGACCCATCTCTGCCACGCCTGCTCGCGGTGAAAATCGCATATGTATACCGCAACATCTGGGAATTCGCTTTCGATAGCATTTATTTCCGCCATCGAATAATCTACCATGAAATACTTTGGTTTCCACGTAGGATTCCAGCTTTTGATGATATCAAGGGCTTCCGTGATGCATTCATTGTCCTCGTTCTGGCAGAGAAATTCGGCTAAAACCTTATAACCCACATTTGTGTGGACACACACGAAAAACAAAGGGATCGAAGACTAGCAGTAAGCAGTCGGAATGTCACAATCTACATCTCAAGTGACTACATCATGATACAAACGATTATACGGTTTCTTATTAATTGAAATGATTAATAAACTGAATCCTACAGCATTTGAATACCAAATATTGCCTCAACTTAGTTGGTATTAATCCCAATAATTTGAGTTTCACATTACAAAAATTGCAACTGATCTAATGTACATATCAATCGAATAGAGACTTTTCAAAAAGTTTAAAACAGAATTTGGGCACCAAAAATGAATTCAATTTTAGCATTTTCTATCAGCTATTCCCTTTCTTTGGCGAGTTAGAGACAATAAATCGTTAAGCATGCAACTTAAAAGTTATTATGAGAGGTTTGATGTTTTTGATGACTGTCTAAACTGTATCATTAGACTATAATTTATATACAATGTTGTTTGTATCAGAATCTTAAAAGAAACAAAACAAATAGTCACACCTCATAATCCCTCATTTTCTCAGTTTGAAAGACCTGTAGTTTGTGGCACAAAATGTGACATTTAAGTGTTAATTATTGAATCAAAATTTCTTTAAGTAATCTACTGCAGCATTACCTTCTGTAATAAAGTATTAGTTATTCCCTACATATAGATGCAAGATTGAAAACAATTGTTGTTTGAAAATTTGTTATTAGTACTGGTAATCACATGATTTCCTGTGCAATTTGGAATAAACAAGCATGAGTAAATTTTTTCAAAGACTTAAAAAATTGTGCGAATAGGGCAAGTGCAATTTGTGGTCTTTGAAAAAATTTAGAAGTACATATTTATTCCAAATTGCACGAGAAAAATCATGTAATTATGTATTAGTAATATATACGAAAAAATACGACATAGCTTATCATAATTATGTAGAAGCAAAGTGTGCGCATCAAGTGCAAAAATAATTTATTCAAACCTTGCTAGTTACATTGTGTGTTCGGTCAAAACAACCCTGTACAATCAAAACAATAATATACAATGATATTTTTGCATCTTTGAGGCGCAAAAAAGTTCATAGTCCGGCTAAAAAGTTCAAGGAATTATTCAGTCTGGTTTGCATTGAATTACCTGAAAACTGTATTTATCTTAACCAATCAGAATTGAGTAATTTTTTCATGTATCTTATTAGAAAAGTACCAATAAGTGTCTGTGTATGAGAAGCAGAAAAATCATCCCGGTGGGTAGGAGGAAGCACTCCAAAATAAAAAAATATATATTAGTATACCTGTGTGGATAGCTGAATGCATTATCCCTGATGCAATAAGGTAGGGAAATATCTCATGGATTTTCAAGAAAACAGGTAAATTACAGTCACTATGGTATATTAAGACATACATGATAATAATTCTAGATGTCACAAACTTAACAACAAATACATGCAGGATGCTAAAAGTGAGCTGTAATTACACGTACAAGTAACAGTAGCTGCATGCGCACAGATTTGTGTTTCTGGTTAAGAGAACAATACATGTTTCAAAAACAGTCTGTGATTCACTGAAAAGAGAATTGATGCTAATTCTTCACCAAGTAGACACTTTCGTTTCTATCCTCGTCACTCGAAATGCTGAATCACCAAACAAACTCTTAAAGTGTCAAACAAACTCTTGGAATGAAGGTGTCACTTCTGTCTAGTAAAATAGTTCATTTTTGCAAGAAAAATGGCTCAACAGAAATGGACTACAAGGTCTAAGTCTTTTAAAAATGTTGGTCAGTGTGTATTAAGTCGCCATTACTGATTTTGCCTTTTACAAAAAACTGACCATCAGATCCTGTACTTGGATGAGGAATTTGAACACAATTCCCTTTCCCACCTTCCTCCAAATTTAGACAGCCTAGGGATTGCCTGAGGAAGAAGTTAAATCTTCGAATTGATCTGCCAGAAGCACTTAACGGCCTAAGAAAGTACTACACCCTCTGCGTTTATGGCTGCATCTAAACCCACCTTGTCAGTACTGTTTTCCTGATAGGTGATAAAACTTGCATTATCAAGGGATAATGTTAACTTGTACTTTGTTGTCCACTCATTGGTCCTTGGATTTCCCTGTGTAGCTACAGCACAGATGACATACTCAAACAGCAGGTCAATTTGAAGGTAATCATTAGCATTATTGTTGCCATTAGGTGCCCATGACTTTGCCCCATTTAAGCGACCATATTTAGCTGCATATTCTGAATTATAGTTTGACAAGGAATAGAAGCTGCTGTCTGGAATGGTACCAGTCCTGGCTACACCGATGGCCTGGGTATAACACACTGCAAAATAATGATCCATAATTAAACGCGAAAAATCATTCTCAAATACATTTCACGAAACAATTTTTTCGTCATTAAGTTCTAGCATCTTAACCCTTTAACTCCCACGATCTGATTGCTTATCCTCCCCTCTAGCTCCCACACATTTCCTTGTAAATTGGTTGTGATAATTTGTTGTTCAATCAAGATAATATCTTGGACCTGATAAGTTTGAGTATTCTCACCGCCTGTCTACTGGACAATGTTTGGATACTAAAGGGAGAAGTTATATGTTAATCACTTCTAGGAGTTAAAGGGTCAACTCTTTATCTGAGTAATTTGTATTTCAATATTTTTCAAAACTAAATGGTATTATGTTGTTGTTGCTTACTTTTTTAATGGATGAGAGAATTCAAAGTAATTTGTATCTTTAAAGCTCATTAGTCAGAATAACAAGTATTACCAAAATGACCCAGCTAATAGGTTGAAGATTAATTAAGCTGGAATCTTACTTTATAGATGAGGTGACAATCTATAAGGTTGATGTACTAGGTACTTTTTAGATACTGAATATAACCAAGTGCAAAATTACAGATAAAGTGAACAATTGCTATGTTTCAAACTCACTTGGCTTTTGTGTTACTCCAAACAATTCTGTTCTCATACACACCCCACCCTGGTGAGTTTGAGGCAAAAATCAGAGATATTTTGTTAAGACTCTATAAACAGCATGTTTGACCTCTGAGTTTTGGTCATGATTTCCATCTAGAACCTTTAAAAGAAAAAGGAAACAAATCTTTATGTCTCCTCAAAAATGTTTTCTTGAAGTAAAAAGGTCGAGAATAATCAACATACATTGTTGATACTCCAATTAACTCCCTTCAACATTATTGTATATTTAGAAATACTCATGGTTCTAAGCGAGTGCAAGAAAATAGTTCTCTGAACAATGATGTCTTGAAGTATACACCATATGTATGTCTCATACAGGTACCTTAATTTGTCCACCTTCCTTGTAGTCTGTCCAAGTTGTCCCATCCATGGAAAGTTGTAGTGTGTAATTCTTCACCCACTGATCTACTTGAGAATTCCCTAGAGTGGAAACAGCACAGACGATATGAAGTGTCTGTAGATCAATCTCTAGATATGGGTTGGTGTCACTTGTTCCTGCACACCATGATGATCCTGATGAGTAGTTTAGTCAACCATTTTTTACTGGTGTGCTGGCACTTTCTACTGAAGAAGCGTTTATATTATTATCTGGAATTGTTCCACTTCCCCTTCCAAGGTCAAAATCAACACAAGCCCCTATAGAAAAAGAATTTACATTTGCACTATAACATATTCATAATAATTATTGTAACATGTATAATAGTTTGAATGCTTAAGGAGGTGGAAGCCTTGATTTTCTCTATTGGGTACCTCTAATAAAAGGTCCATGTCACAGATGGTTAACAACTATTCACCAAAGTGACAGTGGCTAATGATACATATTTACTGAGCTGCAAACATGGAAGAAAAACAAACTCATTTTATAGAGTCTGGTGAGAGTGACGTTAAAAACTGATCTCAAATGCTGCCCAATGTACAATACAATAATTAATGGAGGGACTACTAATGATAAACCTCCATCTGGCTTGTTGGTATGTTGGCTACTAATGTCCTTGGCTGAAGGTTTCTACTCACAATTTTTCATTTGCCTTCCCAGCTTCACCCCTTTGCCACATTTTCATTTTTTGGACAATATCTCAGCTACAGACATACCAACTGCCTAAAGAGATTTATTCACTAAATAACATGACACAGGAAAACAGGATTTTTAACTCTTCCTTGGAGGAAAGAGAAGTTGACTTTTTGGGTAAATGTACAATTTCTGAGGTGCAAGGCAGGAATGTACAAGATTGAAATGCAACAGCTGAGTTGACTGATTTATGCTGAAATTCACATAATCTATGCTATAATCCATGATTTATTACGCACACAGTTCCTTGATGAAAGAAACAATGGCAAAACATTAGCTTATCTTTGAAACTATCTCTGTCTTAGAATATTGCCAGGTTAAACTGAAATCGTTCCATTAAATTTTATACCTATAACATCAATGAGTACATAATATAGGGAGCACAATTTCCAAGAGTCTTGATAAAAAATTGATAAAAAGTTTACAAAATAAACATGATGGTTTCAGACTCTCTTTTTATTTGCTGAATAATGTAAAATTTAAATTGCCTTTTGTGAATAACTCTTTCCTTCCTAATTGAGCTAGTCAGAAAAGCATGAAGGGGTCAATATTCCTTCATTTTCATGCAAAAAAAAAGCAAAACCCGGGAGAGCTTTCTTATCTTCTCTGTATTGATGCTGTCTGCATTCGTGATTGAGTTGCGATGGTATGCAGAAGTCTTAGACTTCAGTTCTCAAAACTGAAAGATATATCCCACAATTTCTGCTGAATGTAGAATTCAAAATTAAAATAAACCTTTCAAGTAGATTTGGTATGATGCAGCGCTCAACTGAAGCCAGGGGAAGAAATACAACGAGAAATATTACACGGAAATGAAGCTCAGGATTAAACTGCACCATGTTTTGATTGAGTGTGTCACGGTATGTGGTCACGATTGTTTTGCTTGACCAGCCTTATGTAACAGAAAGCTCATCCAACAGAATATGTCTGTTTCCTCACCACTCAAGCTCGTATTTTCATAATTTGTAGCATTATCACTAATGCATGTAAATCTGGAGCTTTCGATCAGTTTGTGCTTAATTATAAATGATACATTTAGTTCCTTGTATTATTTTTATAGTTGTCACACAAATGTGTGTAGGTTTGTCTGTCAGTTTGAATTTTCAGATGTCATCTACAATGAAAACATTTGTTTCCAAAGCTCTATATTTTATCACCACAGTTGCATGTCATTAACTACAAGGAAAACTGGGCGAAAGGCGGCCATAAGCGTGACTCGCAGCGGTAAAAGCAAACAGCCTCGCTCTCCTGCATGGCATGCGTGCATGTAAATCACACCCCTTGCTTGCTTGAGAAACGCAAATAAATAATGATTGATTCATTACGATTTCAAGCCATAAACTGAACAAAACTGAAATTTTCTTGTTTCCTCTCCTAAAGCTTGAATGTAAGCATAAAGTTTTGACTTTTTCTGCAAGATTGGAAAAGACACCTTACTGAGGCAGACTGGAATCAGTCAATGCCTAAGGCATGCGTAGAAGTTTAGTTAACGACGGTCACATTAAATCATTTTGTTTGACAACAAAATCTAAGTTGAATGACTTCTATTACATTACATTAACTTACCCTCAGCATGATTATCTACTAGGTTGTTCCATTAGCTTCAAAACCCTAATTTGTCGTGGACGAGGAGGAATTTTTAGGTAGAAAGAGTCGTGGCGTCCCTTTACCCCCAGGGACTGTTTGAACTGAATGTTCACAAGTTGCCTGAATGCGCACTAGCTTTTAGTAAATGAAGCGAATCAACCCAAATTTATTCAATTGTTTGGTCACATTCCCAAACATGCTTTGGAAAAGATCATTTTTAAAGAGAGCTTAGCATCTATCTTAAGATTAATAAACAATACTCTAATCTCTTTGATATTGATGCTGGCCGTATTAGTGATTAAGTTGCGATGGTACACGGAAGTCTTAAGCTTCAACTGTCAAAACTAAAAATTCAAATGAAAATAAACCATTCGAGTAGATTTGATATCATATGGTGCTCACCTGAAGCAAGAGGAAGAAATACAGCGAGAACAGCTACAAGGAAACAAAGCTCTAGATTAAACTGCACCATCTTTTGATTGAGTGTGTCACGGTATGTGGTCACGCAAGATGTCTTTCGTGGATCCATTTGAATAACACACATTTACTCTGTGTTCAATTTAACTACTCTTTAATATGAATGTGAAGAAGAAGAAAATTCCTAAAGAACAGAAAAGTGACTTTTACAAAAAAGTACTAACATATAAGACGGGAAGGATAAATGCGAAGATTCCACTAGACCACAACACGAAATGCTGAAGGAATACGCAAGACACAAAACACTTGTAGGAAAAGGGTTTATATCGACGCAAAATAATCGTGAAAAATGATATACAAAGGGCGACGTTATTTACATAAAGTGTGAAAATAATAGTGTAGAGGTGATACCTGGAAAAACCAAAAGAATACGTGTAAATTAATGGTGCAGATGCATACATGATTTTTGGATTATATTTAATGTTATCTGGTTTAGGGAATTTGGTGGTTGATTGTCATATTTAGAATACGAGCAGTAGTTCAGTGTTCGCTAATGTAGCAGAGAAACAAAGTAACGTTGGGATGAGAAGGCATTACAATTGAAATGATCATGCTATTACATTTGACAAGGATGGATGATGTCATATGTTTTAAACAATATCATTTTTAATTCTGGTTCAAAAGAAAAGGTCGGAAGTTAATGTGGGTGGAAAGAGGAATTTACTGTCTATCATTGAAAATAATGGGAAATCAAGGCAATACTGTCTTAATGAAAACATTAATGTTTCCCTCTTTATCAAATGAGACAAACAACTTTTGAGTGATAAAACTAAGCCCAGACTACCACTGTCATTTTGGATTTCCGCCTTGGTAGACTTTTGTCACGTGCTAGGCAACCTATGATCAAGAACAAGATAGAATTTCATTATTTATCATTATTATTATTTTTCACTATTTATCAATTTTGTGGTGTATAACTTTCGCATTTTAGTACGTAATATTTATTCAGAATCTTCAAATTGCCTTGAAACTTAAAATAAAATTGTACTTTAAAAATTCACTGAAAATCGGTAGCCAAAATTATTTGTTTAGATGTTATTTGATTTTCGTGTTAACCTGTAATTTCGTCAGTCCCCAGCACCTTTTGTTGCTTCACACAGGAAAAAACACGATACGAAATGTAATGATCGATTTTGTCCCCAATCTCACGCCATAACAGAAAACGCTTTTGAACACCTTTAAACTCCGAGCGCTTCGGAGTAAGTGATATTTTTAATGAATCTCCGGATTGTTTTCAAGTTCAAGGATTGTAAATTACAATTTTATGGAAAAAAGGAAGGTTGGTCTCTTATTTCAGTGTGAATCCTTGCACGCCTGCCAGTCGCTGGCGCCGCTTGTTAAAACGAAAACGAGATTAAATCGATACATTATGAAGACTTACCTGTTATGTTCTGTAGGTTACGAAGAACGAACCATGAAAGACTCTTACTTCAAAACAAACGATGCCAGTATATTCGCCAGGCTACATTCTGAACCACTTACGCCGAAGATCTTAGGTGTGGATATTTGCCTTTTTCCATATAATCCTTAAAAAATCTTGGCGTACATTTAGCAAATTTTCGCCGTGACCTTTGAGTGGAATGCACCTTGCTATATTCGGCGGGCCGGGTGGTTCATTTACGCAAACAGAATACATTATGAATAAAAAACTGTCGAACGTCGATACATCCAAGAAGAACCAAGAATAAAAACTATGGCCAAAGAAAAAAGCCATTTCTCAAGGAAGTCCACTCACTTCCAGTTCAAACACGACTTCGACACGACTTCGGCACTCGCACGATTTGAGCCCGCGATAGAGCGTTTTTTTAATTTTTATTTTTCCACTGGTCAGCGACTTAACAAAGAAAAACGTTCACAGGAACCGACTAAGCGCTTTTTCCCCCACACACCTCCTAGACTCATAAATGCTACGCATTCACTCGTAAAAATGAACATGGACTAGAGATTTATGTGCACGAACGATATTACTACAAATTCTACAAAGACGAGCTTGGTCTTGTGGCGAATGTGTAATTATTTTTATGTATATGATACATTTAGTTCCTTACAGTATTTATAGTTGTTACAGAAGCTTGCGTGTTGATTTGTTCGGGAGTTTGAATTTCACCCTCTGATGCTACAGGTGTGGCAGTAATAGTTAAATCGTGGTTTTTTTTTCGAATTTCCGACGTCAAGCGCGCGCTCTGATTGTTCAGTTCAATGTCTGCTGGTCGCCCATGGGAGTTCGCTGTGACGTGATAATGTAAGGACTAGTTTTCGCGCACTTGGTATGACTACACGAACATTTTAAGTTCATTAAATGCATAGATATGTGCGTTATTGCTAGCTGGATATTGGAAATTGGCCGAATACTTTTTTTTTTTTTTTTTTTTTTTTTTGTTGGGGGGGGCATTTTTATGGACCGAGACGAAGTCGAAGTCCATAAAAACGGTAAAAAAGAACGAGGCTAGTATCCAACCACCATGACTGAACAAGCTTCGTCAATAACGGTTTTACTATAAAGCAAAGAGATTTCGCTTTATCGAGAATAGAGTATGATTGTTTCATTTCAAGAGCCGGGAAAGAAAGCAACTAGGTTTGTAGCACAGCAAAACCTCGAGAGTCTTTCGTGTTTTTTTTTTGTTTGTTTTGACTTCTTTCTGCCAATTTTTTCGAGTTCATCACTGACATTGCCCAAGAATTACGAGCTTTGTAAGTTTGCGCGGGATCAAAGCGGGCAATCCCGTGCGGGAAAGAGGGACCCATCTTTCCAGCTCGGGTAACCAATCAGAACACTTCGCTAAAAAAAATATCGTTTCCTTTTCTCAAAGTCGTTGTACGAAAAAAACTCACCTCTAAGCTGTTCATTTCATTCACCCAGAATATCACATCTACCAGGAATTTCCTATGCGGACGTATCGGAAAACTGACTTCTGTTCGAAAGACTATCTATCAATAACTATGGGGGAACTGACAGCTAAGACTCGGGGCCCCTTCTCTGCCACATTATTTCCTTTTCATTTAACGTCAGATAGTTTCAGTAATGAAGGTTTTCTTTCACGAAATTTTCAAGAACTAACAGTCGAACGCAGTTAAAGTGAAAAAGATCCTCTTAAACTTTTTAGAAGAATATTTAATAAGAACCTGCAAGCCGATCACTCAGAAATTCATAAAACATACATAGAAAATGTTAATAATGAAATGGGGAACCATATTAAGATATGACCATGTTTTTCAACAAATACCAATTTCAGTCAATTAATCAATCAAACATTTACTATATGAATATAAATCTATAACTAATGTACTAACTATATACGTGAACTCTATCTTTTACTTTAGTAAAAATATATTTCAATGTGCTTTGCACGTTTGAATTCCAAATTAATCGTTCAAAAAATAAATCAGTTAATCGTTTAATTATAAAAAATCTAACTCTACACAATTCTATCTTATTTCTGAGAAAAAAATACTGTTAAAGAAATTATGATGTTCTAATTGAAAAAATGTGAATTAAATTCAGATGAAAAGAGAAAAGGCAAAAAAAGGCACCATAACTCTCCAAAACAAACTATAGAACTACAAACCACTTTTAATCCAACACTGTTGATAGAAAACGATAGCTATGAAACTTCATATAGACTTTTAAGAAAAAAGACATCATGAAATATGTAGGTTATCAGAAACTTTCCTGTACAATTACCTTTAAAAATAACACAAAACTCTACAAATGTAATAACTTCTTTGTACATACACCCAGTATCTCTTTCTTTTAATTGCATAATTTGAAAAGTAGGATAACAGAATTCCTGATATTGCCATAGTCCTAAGCCTTACAGGGGCACATGTTTGTTTGTCAAGTTACCATAGCAAAATCTGATGTAAATTTATCCACAATCAAGCGGTGAACCTCTTCCAGCTGACAATACATCCACTTGCACGGACGTATTTTACCTACTTCCTATGACAAAATACTAAAATATATAATAAAAACTTTTTTAGCAAAACTATTAGGGGGGAAAGGCCATCCGCCTAGAGGTAAATATAATTTGTTACAAAAATTTGAATACGAGGGAAAAAAGCTGCAGAAAACAGCTTTGTAAAAACACCCGAGATGTGTATTACTTCTTTCTATCACATTTGTTTTTTACTTTGCAATGCTTTCTAGCATTCTGCAAAGTTTGAGTAGGTGCTGAAAGAGTCTAAGTAAGCTAGAACTGTTTTGTAACAAAACATGTACAGCTCCTGAAAGATAAAAACAAAAACAGAAACACATCTTAAGCTCACGAAGGATATGCTATTGATCTGTAAGCCCTCAGCATTGTGCAAAGTAAGCTTAATATGTGAAAAAGCAGCAAAAACTATTAAACATGATGAAAAACCAGACAGAAAAGAGACCAGAAGACACACTTAACTTGCAGACCAAAAGGGATGACTTCTCCTGTGATTCCTCCAATGGGAAGCTCAGGCGCAGTTTCTAGGGCGGGGGAGGAAATGAACATAACCCAGCCTTCCACCCATCTCAGGCAGATATCTTGGGTTTCTCTTGTATTCCCAACTCACCCCGGAGAAGAACTCCCCTGTTACGCCCTTAGCAATTTACACCTGAAAAAAGCTATAACAGTGGCTCATGACACTTTTTAACTTACCAGAGTGTTGACTGCACCTGGTCTCTTTGCTCGAACTAGTTTCACAGTCTGGAAAACATCGACTGTTTGTTCAGTCTTGACTCGTTCAATCACTGACATTATGGTGGCTACGCAGCCACTACGACCAGTACCATCACTGTAGAAAGATAAACGGAGAACTAATCAAGAAAGTTGAAAAGTGCACAGTGGTAGATTCGTATTACAGGTTCTTGCCTTTGTTCTCCTAGCATCTAACTTCCAAAGTGTCAAGTATCTACTGTTTTCAGAAAGATAAAACCATTAACACTGACCACGCCAGATACAGCCAACTAAACTGTCTCCAGTAAATACTGTATCTATTGTAGACAGTTTGGATAGCTTTACCCACTGTAGAAAGTGAATAAACTAAGCTGTACTTACTATAGATAGTGTATATTGCTGTATCTAATTGTCATAGAGTGGAAAACTGTATATACTTTAGAAAGTGTAATAGTTGTATCTAATAGAGACAGTGTAGATAGCTGTATGTACTGTAGACGGTGAAGATGGCTCATCTGATATAGTCTGCGTGGATAGCTCAATCTAACAGATAGTGTAAATGGGTGCCTGTAGATAGATTTAGACAGCCGTATCTAATGTAGACACTCTGGATAGTTGTATCTTTTGTAGACAAGCTATGTTGTTTTATGTTCTGTTTACAGTCTGAATGCGTTATGCAAAAAGTATGTACATAAAGTCATATATGATTCGAGTAACCATACGCTATTCTAGCATAAGTGCACCATTATTAGCCAAACGCCTAGTAGGTATAGAATCACGTCTATTACAACATTTAAACGTATGATAACATCAGTAAGAGACGTGCTCATTATACCTGCACTGGAAAACTATGACTCTATTTCCTGATTGCTGCTGAGACTGTTGTACAGTAGTCATCAGGTCAAGTATATCCTGAGGATCTGGGCATGAGTTTTCATTGACCCAACCATTGTATTGTATATGCTTTAAAGTTGACGTCTTCTTAGGGGGCTGAAGAACGAATTTAATTAGAAGCAAATCAAACTATTCTTTTGAGGAACACGAGGTCAAGTTATTTTAAATTAGTTATCACATGGGTCGCATAGTCCCTCGTGATCACATAGCCAGGTCTTTTTTTTTGTTGTTGTCGTTAAGAACTCAAAATCCCCTAAGAACGTTCATTCCTTGCTTTACTCGTCAGGAAGCCTCGCAGAACTTGTAAATACTTAGATAAAGTATGAACTTACTTTTTTTTCATAAAACATTACGATTTATTTTTTTTAATGCTTGTTGTACAATAAACTTAGTGGTGAATTGAATCGTGGGATTTTCTGTAACGTTCCCAAACACATTCCGTAATGAACAAAAATCAATTTTCCACGCAGGATTAATTTGATTACGTAGAATAAAACATTGAAATTCGAAGAACAAACAAACAAAAACAAATAAAAAAGGAATTATTTCAACCACTAGATTCCGCGATTATGAATACGTTCAGAAAATCTCGTGTTCATTCAAACAATCTCTTCTTCTTTATATTTTCCTCTCCACTCATCACCTCTCTGCCAGAGAGTATTTTGATTCAGAAAGGAAAAAATTACTCTTTGGTCTCTCTCCTTATGGTGAAATAGTTAAGGTCGAACTCCCGCGCATCAAGAATGCACAAATGCCTCCTGTTGGTATAGATAAAAGTTTCCTCCAAACTAACCAGAAAAATGGGACCTTACAATTCGAGAACAAACAAACTGTACCGCTGCATTATCGACGCTGAATCCTCTAGTAGTGATATTGTTTGAAGTTTCTTGGGACAAAAGCTGGACAGTGACTTCACCATACTTGGCAGATCCCTCGCTTGGCCAGTATTGTGGGTAACTCTAAAAAAGAAAAGTAGTGTTACATGTATGATCCGTGACACGAATAACTAAATATATGTGATATGATGGTGGGCATGATGGTAGGAAGGATTTTGCGAAAAAGAGTTTCAACTATAGCGTCTCACTGACATTTGAGAGTATACTCAGTTGGTCAATCGTTGTAAAATGTTACTTTCTCCGGACGATGAAGGGTACCAAATGGCTCCTCATTCTAAAAGTGTTGAGATGATAACCGAAATACAGTGACGCGTCCTGTCAAAATGTCTTAATAACTTAAATAATTATTTCTATACCAATTTGTTTAACGAATAGAGGTAATCTATCAAAGTTCACCACAGATACCAATAGTAACCCATATCAGTAGCTGGCTGTTTTGAAATAAATCACGTGATTTCTAGCACAATCTTGCATAGCTCTAGCATATTGTTTAGGCATATTTTGCACACTTCGTTGCAAACACTGAGTGAAGAGTGTTGCTATATGCTTTTCAAAAACATGCCATGATTTTTACCTGCTTTCCTTCTTCCAAGTTATTCAACATCACAACTGTGCCAATATCATACTGAGAAATCATAAGCCAGAAGTCTATAATGGTGCAGTCTAACGGAGCTTGTGTCAGGATGTATGCATTACGTTGTGTGTAGTCCTGATAAATAAAAGATCAAAGAAAAATATGGACGTCAAGTTAAGCAACACGAATATACCAATACGAAAAGAATAAAAACACCACAACCCAAGAAGGAAAACTTGAATAGAAATAAACACCTTTTTATGGGTTGACTGAATTAAAAAATCTACAATACAGACACGTTGCAACAGAAAGCTTTCTAAAGAACCCGAAAATACTGAGTCTTTTCTTATCAGCACGCTAGAATTACAGAATATATTATAAAAATTTTACAAGGGCATTTTTACACTTACATCCACATAAGAGGCATTGATGTAACTCTTTTCTTGTGAAGACGCTTGTAAATGCACTCGAGCATTGTCCACTGGTACAAAATCGAATGTAAGTGTTTAATGTTTAATCAAATTAAAGGCATTTGTGCAAACAAAAAAAATATACTTAACAAAAGTTATAAGGATTGTCTCAGATCTAGCGTTTGGAGCCTTGACTATGCTCTGTTCTGTTGTAAAGAACGCAGGAAGCGGCTAAAACACGAAAGAAGTGTAGGGAGAAACACTCGACCATGTCTCGTGTTTCTCCCCACTTCGTGAAATTTCACTTTTACATAACGAACAAAACAAGAGAGATGTCCGGGAAATGGTCGGACATAGTAAAAATTGGCGGATGGCGTGACAGCTCTAGCTCAGCTCCATGCTCTGTACTTTGATAGAGCAGGCTCTTTCAACCAATGAAAGGGTGCATTATAGTCTCTTATAGGCTATAACCTTAGTTAATAAAAAGTAACAAAATGATAGAGTACGATTAATGATCGGTAGCTTGAACAGCGCACTAATCTAATAGTGCACGATTCATGTCAGTAACTGCACAGTAAGAAAGGATAGTTCGCGCGTAATCAATGTGTATTTTGTTCCCAAAATGCTCTGACAGTTTTGATTGTTCAGTAACAGAACTTACTGTCGTCCAAATCTATCTTGTGACAAAAAAAATTAACGTTCCTTGTGGTCTTTCGATTTCGTTGATCCCTGGTAAGATCACAGACCGAATGAGACCCCACTCGGTTTAAGACTCCGCTAAAAAATAATTCAGGAGTAAGCAAAAGTTTTGTTTAGTGTTTCGGAAACAATGCAAACAAAGACAAAGGAACACTTACACGGAACAATGTTGGGGAATCTGTTCTTGACGACGTTAGCGGGCATAAATGCGTTCGTTGCTACTTCTTGAGAAGCGTGGGCGTCTGTTACAAGCTCCAAGCGCTACAACACATAAAATTCTCTCAGTTTGTCCTATCCAGTTTTAATCCCCTCCATCTTAAGCCATTTTTGTTCGGTCCTGGTTAATTGTCGTTTCCATAGCATTTTTGTTTCTTAGCGAACTACTATATTGCTGTTTCATTCAGGCTAAAGGTAATCTTTTTTTTTAACCGCGCAAAACACACACACACAAATTAAATTTATAGAAAAGTGAAAAAAATATTGTGATGTAAGATCAACAAATTACAGAGTAGTTCATCTGCTACTAATATGTATGTTAAAAAGAAATTTGCAGAAGTTATCCATGAACAAAAGCACGCTTTGTATTTTGATAATTACGTCTGATAATAATTTTTTCGAGATTTTTTTGTCTTTAAGAACTGCAGATGAGATATGAACATGAAGTTAACAAAGTCACATTGACACGTCTTTAAAAGAATCTCCAGAAGCAAGTAATAAGCTGTCTTGTCAGCATTTACGTTTACGCACAATTAGTAACATACAAAACCCAATTTAGTTACTAAGAATAGTTATCACTTGCCTTTAACTCTCGTTCATATCCAGTCTTTTTGGATGGTTTATGCACCTTGGCAAGCTTGTTTGTCGCAATTCGTAGGTCCTGAGGGATAATCTCTGTATTTCCACATACCAAGGCTTCCATCACTGCTTGGTGCAAGAAAACATACTGGTCCTATACAGAGATAAAGAACATACCGATACTGTTGCAAAGGACAGTTTTTGATGAAGCTAGATTTAGGAAATTCGTCACCGTCAAACTGAAACATCCACGACAAATAAACCCTGTATCCTCGCTACCAACCAAAACATCATCGTTTTTAAAACCGTGACCGTTCCTGGCGTTGGCCGAAGAGCAAATTTGAACTCTACAAAGAAGGTCGGCCATTTTTCCGTATATCAGTCGTATTCTCAAATTATTCAAACCTCATTTACACACCAAACCTTAGACATGTTTTAAAGCTGTTTTGTAAAACATGGTTTAATTTCTTGTCTTCATAGAACCAATGTTTAAATGTAGCAAATTGAAAATACAAGTAACCGAGTACTTAAGTATCGTGAAAAATTCAATTTTTCAGTTTTCTGTTTGTGGTTTTCTTTCAGTAAAAATTTGGTTTAACTGAGCATGTTTTGTTAGTGTGAATGAGTTATAAGATAGTAAGGAAGGAGTTACTTAATGCCCCTGTAAATTTATTGATCGATTTATTACTCTAGCAGTTAAAAAAAGAGTAGTGCTCACTGTGGTATTTATTTTTACATAAACTCTGTATTTTACTAAATTTTCAGATGGAAATTGCAAAAGGTTAGGATTTTCTATAAAATCATTTGGGTGTCATATCGAAATCATAAAAAATGATTTGAAAATGATTTGAAAAATGACCAGGCTTGGGTCATTAAGACACCGTATCAGTTTTAATATCATGACGCATACTCTTTCTGAAGATGCACTCGGGGAGAATAAATAGGACTTTTGCTACTGTTATTCTTATGGAAAACGGTTAAATTTGTTAACTTACATCTTTCTGAATCATATGAGGACGAGATCTACGCATGACTTGCACGTAATTCTGTATGAACACAGTTTTTATCTTCTCAGCACTCTCCAACATGGCGTCGATAGCAATGTATGTGCCAGTTCGACCAACACCAGCACTGTACAAAGGTAACCACAGAGGTAAGTAACAAACAACGGAGAGAACAATAGACATTGAGGAAAAATAGCAAGAACTATTATGGATCGCGACCAATAAAGAGGAAACGGAACGAGTAGAAGGTAAAAGTTGGAGGCCTGACTTTTGAAATACATCAGATACCTCTAAGCTTCGCTTCCAACAGGGTTCACTTGTGTTTTTAAAATTCTCGACATCATTGGTGTGTTCAGTAAGAGTATTGAGAGTAAACAATTGAGATCTATTTATTAACCCTTCAGCTCCTCGACCAAATTTGTAATTCTCCTAACTGTCAACCATACAATTCTTAATATGTTAGTTCGGAGAATTAAGTATTAGATCAACTAATTATCCCCCAGCTGATATTTCTTTTTATTCTTATCACTTATCTGGTTGACATTGCATTGATATTGTAAGGAGAAACTCTGTCTTAGTCACTCGTGGGAGCTGAAGGGTTAACTACACTATAAAAAAGAGCCCTAATCTAACGCATATAATTCTAACACTTAAGACAGTTTTGCTGTTTTAATTTCAGTTCTTTTAGGTTTCTTGTGATATTAATCTTTCGTCAGATCAAAACGTTTGTTTCCTGTTATCCAAACCAGATAGAAATCGCAATTGAAATATCTACAGAAGAACTAAACTAACATACGATAAAGATTTGCGGATGTGAAGCATTTAATTTGAAGTCTTCAAATTTTATTATACTTTTTACCTGCAGTGCACAACAAGTGGTCCACCAGTAGCCTGGTGCCTCGCATGAATCTTTTGTCTAAATCCAAGTAGAGCTGTGGAATGTTGTGGGACACCTTTGTCAGGCCAAGTGACGTAATGAAACTGCTGCACGGTCCTTTTTTCTGAGTCCTAAGTGAGAATTCGTTCTCATGTTGGGAATGTTGTTACAGAGGGAGCTCTCTTGGTTTAAAATACGCTGTCATTCTTTGCAAGTAGTTTACAGTAAAAAAAAAAGGCAAAACGTCGTATTCAACGTAATTTCATTTCGAACAGAGACAACCCACCTTTGTCACAATCAATGACCTGATGACGTAATCGGCAAATGTTTCAGTCTTGTGTAGGGTAACTGTGATAGCACCAAATTTGGAAGTATCATCTGGCCAATACTGATCGCATTTGCCCTAAAGATATGATAAGAAAAAAATAGGTTGATATTATATATAGCGACCAACAACTTCATCGTACAGCATGCTACGCAAGTAGCCTAATCGCTGGGTGGCTTGCTGGCTGAGGTTATGATGCATGTTTTAAAGACTACTCCTTAAGTGTAGAAAATGAAAAATCACTGAAACTCCGGATTTCGTTCAACATCAAACTAAAAACTTGCGTTACGTCTACCTTTCCCAGTTCAACCAGGTTTGTAAGCATCACAATAGTGAAACTGTTTTCCTGCCAGACCATTCGCCAGAAATCAGCGATAGTTGTAGAAGTTGGACCTAATAATCATTAAAACAAAAGAGAGGCGAAACATGAGTTAATTTCACAGGAGCTTTTTAGCATTTATTAACAAAAGAATGGGACAAGTCTTTTTTTGGGGAGTGTGGGAGTTTTCATCATTTATTGCTGCTTTATTCCCTGAATACTTCTGCCCAAAGAGTAGAACACTGAAACAACGCAAAATTCTGGTAAAAGGCCACAACAAAAAGCCCAATAAGTTGATGGAACCCTGTAATGACGAGTGATAATCTTCGCCCCCTAAAAGTCTAGAAACTGTCGTCTGAACTGGATGAGAGTTTTCTAAAAGCTTTGTTCCTACAATGCATTACCTTTAACGATGAGATCGACGACGCTTTTTTTAGTTCCAGGGGTGCCCCATTTGGAAAGGGTACACGATTAAATATACCGACAAAGAACCCGGTGAAAGTGACCCTCATTATCATGGGACATTTGCTAGCCCTCTGACTCTATGTTACGTCAGATTTCCTACGAGCTGTTCTACAGCAATACGAGTTAGCGTGCGACAACTTACAGTGTATCCACGAGACACCTCAAGTAATATTTACCTTGTGTTGCGATATAAATCATGGTGACCTCATCGTAGGTCTGAGGAGAGAAATTTGAAAAAGATAACAAAAATTCACGATAATCAACTCAAATATCGATTGTTTATCGATTTATTCATTCATTATATCAAACAAGTAAGGTCGACTTTGTCGTTCTTCTTTGTCTTGTCGTGTCATGTCGTATAGTGTTGTTGTGTTCACGTTGTCGTATGCTTTTTTTGTTACTGACCGGAATGTAGCTTGCATTGATGTAGCTAGAGTTTTTGTCACCCTCTATTTCCTCCAACAAAACGCGAGAATGATCATCTGTGAACAAACACAATCGTTTGTTCAGTTTCTATTGAATTTTTCAACAGTTTTTTTTAATGGTGTGAAATGCAAAGAAATCTTAAGAATGATGCGCTTTGAACGTAAGGTTCAAAATTTGGATTAAAACATAATAATCTCTCAAGATTTCAGCTCACCACTTCCTAAATCAACAATTTTGAAGCGATTGTTAATCCCAGTATAGTTCTGCGATTTATCAACAATGGAATTTGAAAAAAAAGATTCAGGCCTGACCGGGATTTGAATCCATGACCCCTGTGATATCAGTGCATTACTTTATCAACTGAGCTAACCATCCAGCTAGGAGGTGGTTATTGAGTTGGTTCGACTTAATTGCCTCACAGGACGACTGAAAGGGGAAACACCAGTTACAGTCCCTGCACTAGAAGCTGACTTCTAGTTATCTAAACTTCTGGGTTTTACATAGTGACCATTGCATAAAATTACTTACAAAGTTGATGGAATGTACTCACATGAAACAATGTTTCCATAACGGTTCTTGCCTCTGTTACTCTTGCCAATCTCCCAAGCAAATTGCATCCCACCTGGTAAATACTGGAAAAGGTATGAACTAAGTTGCAATACATGTGCTCTTATCAAAACCGATTAGATGTCATCACTTTTTTCGACCCTTGCAACGACATCCAAAAAAATTGTTCTTGCGCTTTTGCAAAAAATGGTGATACATAATGTACTGAAGCATATGTATGTCAAGTTGTCCATTAAGAAAGTAAAAATCACGAAACAATTCGAGAAATATTTATAATTACTGTATCATACAATAATAAGAAAGAAAAGGAAAGAGGTAAAAACTATAATAGATAAAATTTACATATCTTGCCTTAAATTCCTCGCGCAACACAATGGCACCATTTTCTGATTTTTTCTTGAAGTATTTTGGAAACTCAGCCACAGGTATTGGCTTGGGTTTACCATCGTCAGCCTCACTGTAAATAGCTTCTTCTTCGTCACTAACAGGCTGTTTCCCAGCATCTGTAGGGTAGAAAAATCGCTCATAAGGAACTCTACAATTCCTTTGATCTTCTCTATGGACGCTCGACCGTGTTATCAATTCTCCTCCTAGGTAACAGATACGCTCCGATTGCTCCGTTTCGTTTGCTACACTCAACAAGAAACACATACCCTGACCTTAAGATATAGCTCAAGTAACGAACAAGCCATGAGAGTGTATTCCTTGAGTAACCTTTAAATCTGGAGTAGCTCCACTACCCCCCACAAAGTTATTTTTAGACTCAAGGTATCTGCTGTCTGAGAATCATGTACCATGTACCTCACGTGCTGAATTAATATTTAGTGGAGAAGAATCATTTGTGACAAGGAACGTCCACATGAACAAAACTCACGCCGTTGCGACAAAGGGCTGGTAGTTTTAAGATTTCATTCATCGTTGTCCATGGCTGCGCAAAACAGCATTTTATGCGGTATTAATTTTTCGAGATTTTTGTAGTAGGGTACTTGATACACGAATTACATTTTTAAGGTAACTTAACTTTAAATATATATATAGTAACCACAACTTTGTTTTGATACAAATCTCCAATCAACTAGTTTTACTTTTTTTTATGCATTTAAAAACGATGACCAGTTACACGCAGTCCAATAGACCAGGTGAGGGTTGTTTTGAAAAGGACTGTTGTCGACTGCGATGAAGACCTTTCAATGACCAGGAAAAAATTTCATCAGCACAATTAAGTGAGAAATTGTTTTGTTTGTCAGGTGATGTAACTAAATCTGGTTCGTAATAGCTGATTGATGCAATCACGACCAAGTTACACTACTTGAATCTTGCAGCCAATAGCGTCACGGCAAACTTGACTGCACGATTAAAAATTGCTCCTGGTACAAACCACTTCCTATATTAATTTGAAAAGTTTTCGCCACTTTCCAAGTTGAAATGATGCTGATCCAAATTTTGACTTTAAAGATATAACTTTGTAACACAGACAATACACGAGTCAGACACATTTTAAGTAAAAATTTAGCAAGGCATCCCAACAATCCTTTTTAACATGAAAATAACGATTCAATCGTAGCTAATTGTACGAACGTTATGACTTCAACCGTGAAAGTTTTTCAATGACCCTCTCCTAGAAAACTAACATGTATATTGTATGTATTGATTTCACCTTTATCTACGAAAAATTACCATGAATTGTCCGACGAATGTCTGCTACATTTTGATAGACCAGATTTGATGTACTTGAGGTAAGGTCTTGTGAATCGTCTTTAATGTCATCTAGTTGAACAGATCTTTCCCCGGCACTTTTGGATCTTGACTGCCTTCTCCTAAAAAAAGGAACAAAATGTCGAATTTTCGGCTGCCATACTTTTTTTTAACGCTCAGTCACTAGGATTCAGTCTTAAAACGAAACAAACCTCCGGTATAAGAACACAGCGACAACAACTGCTGGTATAAGGAGTAGCAACAGGACTACAGGTACAGCAACAGCTGCAGCGTTAGAACCGCTGGACCTTTCCTTTTTCTCACCTTCTGCATAAGAAAAAAGTAAAGAGTATTTAATAATTAAGCTCTTCGGGAATTACTACTTGCAGTGCTCCACGCTTAAAGTTGTTTCAGAGCAGACAGTTCGCAGCCGAAAACCAGGTAATCGTCGTAAGAGAAATAATTTTTAGTCGACAGTGGCCGACAATTATTTTAAAGGCTCGCGTGACATCTCAAGACTAAAGCCCCTGGTATGGGCCATTCAATTTTGTTAAAACATGAAAGCATTACAGCTTGCTACTTGACAGGCGAAAACATGTAGCGAATTCGTCGACTTTCGCTGAGAATTTCGTCGCCATGGCAACCAAAATGATTGCAGCTTGGAGTGCTGACTTGTACTACTAACTGTATCATTGTTTCCTGCTACTGGGAAGTCTCAATGGAGCTAGGTGGAGGAAAGTACATTCAACCGTCAAAATAGAACTTCTTCATTAGTAATCGCTGTCAAACTTCTCCATTCTTAGCCATCCTTGTTCTTTTTAGGCTCATTCGTACTTTTATTGTGTTTGTCTACCCTGGATATCAATTAACTTATGGTTTCCCTTGCATTCATTACAGTTTTTCAGGAACAAAACGGCAAAAAAAACACACAAAATATTGTGACGTAGCTCAATAAAGCTCAGTACTACGAGCAATTTAATTTAAAAAAATCAGCGCCAAGTCCAGTTTCTAAACTTTATTGAACAAGACGAGAGAGATACACGTGACACACCGCAATTGTGTTATCAAAATCATTTTGTTTGCTCCGATGTGCGATGCAGCTTATTACCGTCACCAAATTTAGCTTCCTACGAAACTGATCATGAGTAAGACAAAATCTGGGGTAAACGGTGAACACTCGAAGTCGGTGTTTTGGATTGAGCATAGCTTGATGATATAGATAGTCTGAACGAGAAACTAGGTCTTGATAACTTAAAACAAAAAATTAATTGCAAGATTAACTTAACGAGAAGAATCTCCAGGCTAGTTGTAATTAATACCAGCCTGTGCATGAGGCTCTCGGAGCCAACATTCTTGCAAGTAAAGAACTGCTCCTGAAAAGCTCCAGAAATCATTTTGCTCTCTGTTACTTTGTAGTACAATATGTAACTTCATTGCTTGTTAAGTACAATATAGACAAACCCGTGGTAGTAGAGATGATGGAAATTTTGGCAACTATGCTTGCATTTCCTTTTAATTCCACCTGTGAAATATACAAGGACAAAGACAAACAGAGCACGTGCTTTAAAATCAAAGAAGCAACTGAATCGAGACCAAAGGAACTGCAAAGTTATTGTGTGGTTACATTACATAACCTCCTAGTGTATGTGTTTACACACATTAGGAGGGTATGCGTTGACATACACCTTTCTCTGTATTTGCAGTGCCAAATACAGAGAGAGGTACTCTCTAGCGAGCTACTCTTAAAAATCGACTCAGAAAAAGGTCAATAAACCCAGTTGTACAACTAATGAAGGCACGTTTGTGCTCTAGTGAGTTTAAGGTAGGCCTCCTCCAAGGTTAAATCTTGATGGAGAGGAGTTAGATATTTTTTCCAGAAGAAAAGGCAGACCGTTTCACCACGCTGATGGTCAGATGATTCTGGTTGTAAAAAAAAAAAGAGGAAAATTTTTTAAATAAGTAGTTTACATACCATCTCGGCTTTAGTTAGAGCTCTCTCATACACAATGTAGTTTTCTCCTTTCTCAAGTTCTTCATTCACAAATTCCTTAGTTTTATTACCATCGCCAACGGTAAATTTCTGAGGTTTGTAGAAATTTTCAATCTCAGCAGCAATGTAAAAATTCACGTTCTCTTTCTTAGCATCACTTGCAGCTTTCAGTTTTGAATCATAATTGTTTGGAAGCTCTTCAACGCCATCAGCGACTTTCAGAACAATAACCTGATAAGCACTGAAAGGTATAAAACAAAATGCCAGATTAATGAGTAACATCTCGAAAAGAGGCCATTAAGAGAGCATTTAGGGGCCACTGACCATTAACATCGAGAATCCGCCGACAGTTTCGTAATTCATTTAATATTTCCTAAAGGACCCTTTTAATGAACCTTTTTCAAAAATTATAAAATATCTAACGCCTCTTAAGTTTAATTTCCTAAAAGACCCTTTTTAATGAACCTTTTTCAAAAATTATTAAATATCTAACGCCTCTTAAGTTTAATTTCCGTCGCACACACGAAACCAGCCTTCGTGGAGGGAGCGTGACCTCATTTATCGAGAAGCGGCAAGTAATCTTACCTTATATCTTACTGCAGGATCTATTCACCTCTGGTTCTTTAGAAAATCACATTCTTATTGATAATTACCTTACTGGACCATATTTTTGTTCAACAGGCCACAGATAAATATCCACAGCTGTCTGAGAAACCTCAACACCGGTTATACTATGTGGAACTGGGGCTTTAGGAGCTGGTAAGGAAAAAAATAACTTCTGAACCACAACAACACTCTTGCACAGAAAAGGGTTCCTTTCAGATAAAGCTATCCAATGGATAAATCGCTATCGATATACTATACTAGGAACCAGAGGATAGCGTTAAAAACTCTTCAAACAACCGGGGACAGATCTACCTAAAACAAAAACTTACAAAAAATTGATATCATTGGTTTTGACGAAAATGGAAAGGTACGAGTGTCATTGGTAAATGATCCAAGAAGGTAAGTTTGTAAGGAAACTCTGTTGCTGCGTCGGTGTGAGAGTATATCAAGGTAATTTTGTATTGTCAACTGAGATGATAACGTAAATTGGCCACTGTTAAGAGTTTCAAAGCTGACGTTTCGAGCGTTGGACCTTCGTCAGAGCGAATGTTTTCTTAGATAGTTTCATAGATAACCTATTACAATGATTGGTTAGCCTCAAAGAATTTGGAAACTTACCTATCATATCTGTTATCTTTGAGACGACTTTAGAAGCACTATCGCCACAAACAGAGGTGCCATGAACTCTAAATTCATATGTGGTGCCTGGAATCAACCCTTCTACCTTCTGTGTTGTTGCCTTTATTGCTTTCATAGTCTTCTCATCTCTGAATGTTTTATTGTAGGACTTTGTTCCAGCGTACTTCACCTATACGATTACGTACAAAGGATCCGACATACAATTACTACAAAATTAATGTTTCTACGTTAATCTATTAAAAAATCCCTGATGGGAAATAAACTTGGACAAAATTATACAGAGTTTTTTATACAGAAAATGTGAATTTCGAGGAACAGTTAATGTTCAGATAAAATACAAAAGTTTTGTAATTTTGACATTTTGTTTTGGTACAAATTATGCGATTTCAAGAATGAGCTTGGGATGGGATTTAACCAAAGTCAATAGTTTCCAGCTAAAATGATGACTCTGGTCTCATTTTGGGTGACTTGTCTGGTTACCTTTGTGACATAAATTAAAATCGAGTCAAAATATATATGAAGGACTTCCCTTTTGTAAATATATGAAGTTGTGAAGATACAATTGGTCTGACTTGGAATCAAGTCATTCACAAGGGTTAGTTTCTTGAAAATCTAGCAAAGATAAGAGTTGTTGTTTTTTTCTTTTGAAAAATAAATTTAAATTGAAACAAAATCCGGCTGATGAAACATATCAAAGAATTTCCTTTGGTATCGTCATTACACATTTATTAGTGTCAGCACTAAAAATATAAATATACTTAGAACATCTCACACAAACATAAGTTTGAAATTATGGTACTATAGGTACTATCTAAATAGTACCCATAGATAGTATTATAGTTTCTATGTTATATATATATTTTTAATAATTTCTTATTTGTTAGTTTTAACTTTTAATCAGCAGGACCCCGTTGATAACAGTACTTTTGTATTGAAGGGCTATCCTTGATAAATAATTCGATTATTACGGTTATTATTATTATTATTATTATTGTTGTTGTTATTGTTGTTGTTGTTGTTGTTGTTGTTGTTGTTGTTTCAAGACATGTCTAACTATGTACGGTATATATACTACTTACAATTACAGGCGAAATAATTTCTCCCAAAGAGAACAAATACGGTAATCTAATCCAACTTACAGTATAGGCAATTTTTTCCTTGTCATCATATTGTTTCCACGCCAGGGTAATCTGGGTTGCTCCAGACTCTGTTACTTTAAATTCCCCTGGTGCTTCAGGTCCTACAATGTTATGTTAGAAAAAATAAAAGTTCAAGAAAAGTCTTAAGTATATTGTAAAAGTTATGGAGTCAGAGTACCTCAAGGAAATAATCTAATCGTATAATGAATGTTACAAGTTCGGCTTTTTTTAAAAATTGTCAATAATCGTAGAATAAAACGAAATTATTCTTACAGTAATTTTTTCACCAATCATGTCCCATACCAGGATAATTTTCATAATAATCTTAGAAACTAACTTGATGTTTCCAGTTCTAAAGGTTCACCATATGGTCCAGACCCTTCTGCGGTGTAAGCTCGAACAGAGACATTATATCTAGAACAAAGCTCTAAGTCAGACAGGACAACAAATGTCACTGAGGTATTGACAGAGGGGCTGTAAATGACGGATCTTTTGTGTAAATTTCCTTTCTTCAAGAAGATGGCCTTGACTTCATATAAAGTAACTTTTCCATGACTCTCTTCTCTTTGTAGAGGTTCCCATGAAATGTTAAAAGTCGTCTTGTTCACTTGAGAGGTAGAAACAGAGTCTGGACCAACACTTGGTGCTAAGAAATAGAGTGAAAACATCAAACTTATCAGAAGACAGTATTACTACATGTTTGGGTATTCTATTCACAAGGGAAAATATTTTTACCACAATTTGGAGAAAAATACCAGGAATTTTCGAAAAACTAAAGTCGCAGTTGAATCTTCGTCATCTAAAAATGTACCAGCAAAAGTCTCAAATCTAAGATATTTCCTTTTCATTAGTGATTAGTTGAACAATTTGGATCGCTTAAAGTCTTCAGCTAACAAAGAACAGGACCTTTTGTCAATTGAATCACAGCAATTGGCAGTCACCTATACTTAATTACTCATTTTCAACAATTCTCATCTTATTTCCTGATTTTTTTATCATTTCATATAAATAAAGTAGTGTAGATGAATCATCTTTAGATTATTTGAACTATAAATAGTAATATCAATGAAGATATGTGCAAAAGCAATTAAGCTAGTTCCCGTTTTTTCCCTAATCTTGTTTTTATTCCAATTAATAAATAGGAGTCATCCAACTAGTTTAGCCCTCATGTAATTTTGGGTGACCAGCTACTGTCTGTTTTTTTAATTTACACAATATCTTAAATTTCTTTTAGTATAGTTAATATAACATTGTTGTCATTTTTGTTGTTGTTCTTCTGAAAAGAAGTCATTTCAAAGATATGGAAGTAAATTTACCGTATTCCTTGGCAGTTACTGTTTTCGTGGCATTTTTTCCAGGTTTAATAGTCACAGCTCGAACATTAAACTGATAAGTCACTCCACCTAACACATCGACTGTGTGAGTTAATGTATCTTTCTCTATTCCAGAAATCTCTTTTGGTGCAACTCCATCGTGACTGTAAAACAAAGTGTAACTTCTGATAACTCCATTTGGTTCTTGGGGCTTACTCCAGTTCAGGATTATTCTTGGACCATGTGATTTGTTTGGTGATAGATCAGAATATGACAAGAAGGTGGGTGCATCAGGCGCTGGCAGAATAAAGGAAAATGTTAGCACTAATTAAGAGTGAACAAATAAACAATAACTGCAAGCTGTTTCAAAAAATAATACTCGGGATTGAAAAAAACATATATAATTCAAGAAGCAGTTGGGGTATCATCCTCACACAAGTTTTAGTGTGAGATATATTATGAAGGATACACTTATAAACTTCCCTTTTAGTGTCAAGGTACTAACTACTATACTTCTTCAAAACAGACGGTTGAAGCATCTCTGAAACTCCTGAAAATTACAGAATGGATCATTTCAATTTCTTACCATCTTCTCTTGTTCTCACCACCTGAGAGGGACTCTTTGGTCCATCCCCAGCAGAGGTAAAGGCCAACACCTGTAATTCATACTCTGTGTATTTATCAAGTCCAGTTACAATTTTACTTTGTGTAGCTCCTCCGCGAATGTTCAAGGAGGTTGCTGAATCGTAGGAGCCTTTCCTTTTGTAGAATAATTTAAACCCTTTGATAATGCCATGTCTGGAGTTTACTGGTGGTAAGAGCCAGGATGCTGTGATACTGGTAGAGGAGCTTGCAGAGACACTGAATTTTGTGGGAGCTTGTGAAGGAGCTGCAATTGAGCAGAAAAGCTGTACTTGCCATTTTCAATAAAAGAATCAGACTAAGTATTATCAATCTAAGAGTGTGACAGAAAAAGGCGTGAGGCCCACTTCCAAACATTTATTTGCTCCAACTATTTTTAAAGTTACGTATCGTTTTTACCTGTCAATTTCAAGGTGGCTGTATAGAACTAGCTCTTACAGCACTACAGGCCGGTTTATCAGATCTCATTTATGTGAAAAGAGTTAAGCCAAAAAATTGACGCTCCTGTTATGGCCTTGTATCAGAAAGGAGAACTTCGGAAGGTATGTCACTTTCATAGTTCTTTTTTACTATCCAATTTTGAAGGCTGCACTGTAAGTTTCGGAGTGAGTTTTTTCCACTCCGATTTTCAATTAAATGATCTTCTCTCAGATTAACTCATTATAAAATTGAACGTATCTAGAGCAAATGAGTTATACGTACTTGTTCATATATAAGCAGGAACAGGTTTTTTACGGTCAAACTCTTGAAACCATGAACATCTGAAATACTGCTGTGTGTTTGAAATGTTTGCTGTATCAACATCAAATTTTTCATGACTCTGAATTGATCCCTAGGAGTTGTATTTTGTTGAAGAAGTCATGGAAGTGCTTCGTAAACTGGCAAGGGAAACTAAAGCCATTTTTGGCCTATGCAGTACACATGTAAGTAAATTGATTTATGGTACCGATATAAACAACTTGAGAGAAAATTACAAACAAGACAGACTATTTCAAACTAGGAGTAAATTGCAGTCGCAAAATCTGTCGTAAAACTATGTTAGTTCAAGCAAGACCTGTTTTTTTTTTCTCTGAAAGAGAATTTAAAACAAACCAAAAAAAAATTCGCAACTTCTACATTGTGAGACTTGTGAGTAAAATATCACACCCTCGTCTTGCCACGCATTGATTGAAAACGAGAATAACTCAAAAAATAGATGTTCTATCCAAAACTAGATATAATTTCCTCGATCAGTGCATCTTGTGTCATCAACATCGTTGCAAGAATTCTGTGCTTTTGTAAAACAGGAATCCTCTTCTTAGGTAGACTTGTTGGTTCCAGAAAGTGAGCGCCTGATTAGAAAACAGCGCCTGCTCTCTGCGAAAATTGGAGAAGCTGTTGACAGCTCCTTACTTTTAACAAAGATTGTTAAAATCCGCTGTAAAACTCTTATAGTTTTTAATGAGAGAGACTTACTTTTAAGCAGGACCTGCTTTTTTTTTGCAAAAGATAATTTAAAAAAAACTTGCACCTTCTTCATTGTGAGACTTGTGAGTGAAAAAATTTCACACCCTCATATTGCCACGCGTTTGATTGAAAACGAAAATAACTCAAATACATGCTCTCGCAAAAACTAAAAATCATTGCTTTGATCAGTATATCTTGTATCATCAACATAGTTACACGAATTTGGCGCTTTTGCAAAGAAAGATCCTCGCGTTAGGTAAACATGTTGGTTCTAAAAATGATGAGCGCCTCGTTTGAAAACAGCTGTGCACCAGAAACAAGGTCTTTAATCGCCTCGATGCTCTCCACAGAATACCGTCACTTTCGATTGTATTTAACACCAGTAGTAGGACCAAAAAATATATTTGTACGTTGACTTTTACCAGGCGACTTGACTTACATATAGTGAGAGGTGGTTTAAATGAGTCACTGCAATACTGATAAATTTAATTATTTTTGAATTTGCGAACCTTTGGCTCGATGCGTTAAACGAGGGTCAAGTCTACCCTTGGGTACACCGATGGAGATTGATTTTACTACTGCATATTTACGCTACCCACTCCGCCAGTGCGGCAAAATTGTCACTCCGATAATTTTCTCGATCAGTTACGAGCTTTTCCGCCTCCCCTCGGCCAAAGTCCCTCAGGACTACCAATTACTCAGGACTTTTGTTTGATGCTTGATGGAAAAGTTGACCCGGAACAATGGGCCATTTCTTGATACGTTTTGGTTATTTAAAAGATACACTAAATATCATAACCATATGACGGGAACTACTTGGTTTAGAAGGTACATATAGCTTCCACCTAATACTGATCACGTGATGGGGAACAATACATCCAGATACAAATATTACTAGTACCACTTTTATATAGGGTAATCTGGTATGATCAACAGAATTGATAACGTAAATTGGCAACCGTTAAGAGTTTAAAGGTTGACGTTCCTAGCGTTAGTCCTTCGTCAGAGCGATTGGAGGAATTGTGGGTCGTGTGTAGGTTTAAATGCAGAAAATGGAGCTACTCTATTGGTGGGAATATGGTGAGGAGAAAACAAGCGTAAATTAGTTGAATGAAAAGCGCTCGTTGATACCGCGGGGATTAAGAGTACCGATTTGGAAGATAAATTTTTGTTCCAGAGTTTTTCGGCTTCCCGAACTGCCTTGATGTAGGGAAAGGCCGCAAACTGCCATATGATATATGCTACTTAGAATGATTAGGGAGATTTAAGAGTCAAGCCACTGGTTTGGATGCATCCTTGTCATTTGTCTCTACGTCGCGAAGGTGTTCTCGTAACCGGTCACCTTGTCGTCTTCCTGTTTTACCAATGTATAACATTTTTGTAGCGAGGGGAACGTAAAGGGATCAGTGATCTTAATGGATATCTTCCTAACATTTTCTGCACGTTATGAATGAAAGGACAAGTTTTGCATTGTGAGTGAGCGCATTTGAAAGTTCCAGGTTGGTCACCGGTTTGAAATGAACTTCTGACCAAAAAGTTGCCTATTTTTTTTTTTCAAGTTTGAATGAAATTAGTGGAGGTCGCTAAAAGATAGTACCAGTCATTTAACGTTTGTAAGAATGATAGATTTAACCGTGTGGTTGTGAGGGTGAAATGTGAGAGTGAATAAAATGCGATCAGTGTTTTACTTCTCAGCCATTTGTAGTGCTACCTGTCGATCAATTTGTTGAGCACAGTGGTCGCCCGCTAGAACAACAGAAACAGGATAGCCACGTTTATCGAAAATCTAGCACATTGCCTCTGATTTTTCGTAAAAATCAGAGTTGTCACTACCTAAACTAGGAAGTCTGAGAAACTTTGAAAAAGGTATAGAATTCTTGACGTGTGATGGATGCGAAGATGAATACAACAAGTAACTATGTGAATCTGTGGGTTTGTAGTTAACACTAGTGCATAGACCGTTGCACTGATCATAATTCTTACCAGCCTCCTATGTTTTCTTAAACAGCTGTTCTATTAATATTATGAAAAGAAAGAAAGGTTCATATAGGAGGAAATTCAAGCAAGTATGTAGGCAACATTATTAATTTTCTACGTCTCACCATCTTCTTTTGTTCTTTCAGTTAAAATGGAACTCTTTGGTCCATCACCAACAGAAGTGAAAGCCAGTATTTCAAATTCATATTCTGTGTACTTGTCAAGGCTAGTGACTTCTTCAATGCGCTTTGCCTGATCAGTTATATGCCGCATCAATTCTGACCCAGCAGAGCCTTTCTTTTGATAGAACAATTTAAATCCTTTGATTATTCCATTTCTGGACGTTTCTGGGGGTAACTGCCAAGATGCTGTAATACTAGTAGAAGAGGATGCAGTCAGATTAAAGCCACTCGGAGGCTTTGAAGGAACTACAATAAGGAAGATACATTTATGTTACGATAACAATCATAACAAAAGCTATTTCATATTTATTACATAATGACGATATCATATCATCATCACCTTTCCCTCATTATGAAGCAGAAATCTTTCCGAGTGCTTAATTATACAAATGTTGAGAAAAATTGGTATTTGGTACATGATTTAGCCTGTTAAATTCGGGCACGCTTTCAAAACATATTATTCAAAATAAGGTAATTCAATTGCAATGAAATCTGTTTTGAGACAAAATTTTCGAAAGAAAGGGAATCTGATAACATTTCATCTCTATTGCTCAAAACGCTGGAGAAGAAAATTGATCTAAAAATGGATGAGGTTCCAAAAAATGATAGTCGTGGACCCTCATCCATAAATTATTATTGATCTCTTATACAAAATAGGGTGCCCCTTTGGGGTCTAAATGCATATGGAAGGCTGCCAATAGCAAAAACAATCAGAATCATCAACATCCACCAGCATGCATAATTTCATGAGTAAATTTACATGCTTTAAATGCTAATTATGATGCAATGCATGTTGAAATAGTATAATATAATTAAGTCATGGTCTTTCCCCCTCATAAAACTCTGGTTACATATCTATTTTCAATATTCTCTTAATAACTGTTCAGAACACATGTCTAGCCTTTTATTAGATGACAAATGAAAGCTCTTACCATCCTCTTTTGTTCTCTTAACAACCACAGAGCTCTTTGGTCCATCACCAGTAGAAGTAAAGGCCAACACTTGAAATTCATATTCTGTGTACTTATCAAGACCAGTGACATTTCTGTTTAACGTTGATTCACTATTGATTGAAAGGACGATTCCTGGCACTGAAGAGCTTTTCTTTTTGTAAAAAAATTTAAATCCTTTGATTATTCCATTTCTAGAATTTTCTGCTGGTAACTGCCAGGATGCTCCAACACTGGTGGAAGAGGTTGCATTGACCATGAAGTTAGATGGAGGTTGTGAAGGAACTGCAATTGGACAGTGTTTTGATCAGTATACTCATTTTTAAAAAAAATTATAAATACTTGGTGTAAAATCTTCACTTGTCAATTCATATTTATTGTTGATAGATTTCGAAAGTTTTGATAGAGTAAATAATTGATTTGATCCAAGGTAACTGCATGGTTATCCATTCCTTTGGTCACCTGATCAACTTCTAACCTGTCACATACCATCTTCCATTGTCCTTTCCATCTCAACAGAACTCTTTGGTCCATCACCATCAGAAGTAAAAGCCAGGACTTGAAATTCATATTCGGTGTACTTATCAAGCCCTGTGACATTTTTACTCAATGTTGATTCCCCTTTTATAGTCAAGATTGTTACTGACACATCCGAAACCTTCTTTGTGTAAAACACTTTAAAGCCTATAACAGTTCCATGTCTGGCATAGACTGGTGGTAACTGCCAGGAAGCTGCAATGCTGATGGAAGATGTTGCAGTCAGTTTGAAGGCAGTAGGAGGCTGTGATGGAACTGAAATAAACATAAAGAGATGTAAAATGTATGCTTCCATGCTTAGCTGATAATTGATGAGAAATTTATCAATAACATCTGAATAATACTTCATTTAACAGTGCAGAACTTCATCACCATTCATATGTGGCAACTTAGGGTACAATAGTCTAGTCCTCCACATATGTAACAAAGTTAGACTGTATCTTTCTTTTCCAAAAGCTAGCTGTGGGAGCCATTTATATTTTTGTATAACTAGTCATTACTGTTCTGTAAATTGTCCAATTTCACCTTAATTTCTCCATTGTTATTGTGACTTCAGTTTGGATCAGCAGGACAAAAATGAGAACAAATAAATACCTTTAGTGAAAAGTATTCCATAAGCCTCCACTCTCAAAACCTTGAACCTATTATACTTTGTTGGCAAAAAGCGTATAAACTTTGCACTTGCAAATTCCTTTAGACTGTTTTTCACTGTGTCAGTTTTTCCTGAATTTCCTGGAAAGGCCTGTTAAACAAAAAGTGATATCAACGTATTGAAACTTGGCATAGTTAATGGTTTACTGTAATTTGTGAAATGAGATCAATTAAAACCTGCAACTTGAATTTGGAAAATGACATCTGTAATTTGCAAAATGAAAATCAGTAGTTTTGTAACACAAGTACTAATTTTCGCTGTTGTAAATACTTGTATATATGAGCATGCCATACCAACCTTGTCAGTCTTTTTTTCTTTGTAGGGGAAAAAAGTGGTACCATTCAAAGAAAATCTTAGTTTGTACTCTGTGGTCCATTCTTGAGCATTTGGTGATTGGGTTGGTGGATTTCCTTGAGTAGCTACAGCACAGATAACATACTCATAGAGAAGGTCAATTTGTAGGTAGTCATCATGATAATTAGTCTTAGGTTCCCATGCCCCTCTTCCATTAAGACGACCATATTTAGCTGCATACATGGGAGCTAATATTGAACTGGCTGAGAAGCTGTCATCTGGAATTCTAACACTGCTGGCCAAACCAATTGCCTGTGAATTGCAAGCTGCAAAGTAAAAATTTTAAAGTTAACCTTCACTTCTTAAATATTACATGTATGTTTTTAGTTTAATTAATTGGATACACTTCTAAACAATCTGTAGGATATTATTGCAGAAATACAGAAAAAGAGTGAGGGAAAATACGAGAAAATGTGACTTAAGCGTCTTGTTGGACTTTAAGACTGTGTGGAAGCCTTGTCATTGTAGGCAACGGCAAAGTGGCTCTGATACACCTTTTACATAGGGCAAAAGCGCTGTGGACTTGAAGTTCATCACTGGCTTTCCTTGAGGAGGAGTTCAGAAAACCAGCGGTCATCAGAACAATAGCGATCGAAATCCACCCATCACAATAGAATGCCGTGATACAAATGGTAACGCATCGGCAGTTGACTCCGTTGCCTGATGAATACTAGCAGTAAGCAATTCAAATGCCATGATCTACATCTCAAGTGACTACATCACAAGACAAACAATTATACAGTTTCCTATTAATTGAAATGATTACTCAACTGACTACAACAGCATTTGAACATCAAATATTACCTCAACTTAGTTGGTATTTATCCCAATCATTTCAAAGCCAATAATTCGAGTTTCACATTACAAAAATTACATTTAATCTAATAATGAACATATCAAAAGAGTAGAGATTTTAAAGAGTTTAAAATGGAATTTCAGGTACCAAAAATAAATTCATATTCAACATTTTCTATCAGCCATTTCCTTTCTTTATGATTTAAGGTGTTTCTTTGGCAAATTAGAGACAATAAATTGTTGAGCATGCAACTTCCAAGTTATCATGAGTGGCTTGGTGTTTTTGATGACTGTATACACTGTAAACAGTACCATCAGACTATAATTTATATACAATGTGGTTTGTTTCATTTTAGCCACTAACTGTATCCAAAAAGCTCAGTGTATATTATTAAAAGAACACAACTACAGATGTATTAAGTTTAAAACCCTTTTCTACATATTAAGCCGGAGTATCTTATAATGCCCTTAAAGTGGCAGATCATAGCAATCATGGAACATTAAATATCAAACTCACTTGGCTTTTGTTTCACTCCAAACACCTCTGTTCTCATACACACCCTGTCCTGGTGAGTTTGTGGCCGGAATCGCAGATACCTAGTCAACATTCCATAAACGACATGCTTTACTTCTGAGTTTTTGTCATCATTTCCTATCAGAACCTTAAAAGAAACAAAACAATAGTCACAAGAAAATAGTAGTGATAATGATATCCATACTGCTTATAAAATTTGAATTTCTCTCATCATTTCCTCCTTAACCCCTTACACCCTCACATCAGTACACACATTCCTCAAACTGTTCTCTTTACATTTCCTAAGGTGCTACATGACAAAAAGCTTCTGATCATTTCCATTATTGTAACCAGAAAAAAGATGCTAGTACTCTTAAAGGCCAAGAGTTAAACCTTGAAAATTGTGTGATAGAGATAAAAATGAAGATGGGGTAGGAAACATCTTTGAGCTCTTAAGAAATGGTCACCACAAGTAACGAAGCACCCTCATTAATTTTGAGTGACAATCTATTCTTCCCATTTTCAACAAGCAGATGATTGAGGGCTAGCAACACTCATTTTCATTTACAAATAATGGCATTTGGTTTGCCATGTATGAAAAAGAAGTGTAGCCAGCAGTGCAAATAAATTCTTAATGTTCCTCAGCAGCCATCTCACAGCTCTGAAAAATCATTTGCTGAAGGCTCAGCTGAAGACACTGCATTTGCTAAGCCTTCAGATGATACTGTGAATGTTCAATTAATATCAGTGAATTCAATTTGTTCTCCTACATTTGTTCTTTAAACAAGAAGAAATCCAATAATGGACTTATTGATAATTTGAGGTTCACTAGGTGGTGATTATGGAAATGTATGATTTCATCTTTAACTAATATAGTCACCTGCTATTTAAGTGATTTGAGAATTTGAGCACTGAATCTGAAGGTCTGAGGTTCAATACTACACAAGGACTCAAATTTTTTTGCTTTGTCCCACTCTTGTGAAAAGATGAAAAAACTTTCTCAATTATTTTCACCAAGCTCAAAATTCACCATCTTTCCTTTTAATAATATTTGTTCAATGAATATTGAAATTTTGAAACTATCAACAGCTCAGATACTCTTAAGAATCAGAGCTTGAAAGCTATTTGTTTTTCAGCAATGTTTGTGTTTCTGTTTGTATCACACCCTGTATCACACATTTATATTTAATTATTTTTTAAGAACTGGTCACTGCCTTCTGCATGCTTATGGAGATTAGATATAAATGTTAAAGTCAATGCATGTTAAATCTTAGTTGTTTCTGAAGTAATGTTCCAAAACAGAATGTATTATACACCTTGACCTGTCCACCTAATTCCTTATAGTCTGTCCAAGTTGTCCCATCTGTAGATAATTGCAGTGTGTAACTCTTCACCCACTGATCTGCTTTTGAATTCCCTTGAGTAGACACAGCACAGATGATATGAAGTGTTTGTAGATCAATCTGTAGATATGGATTAGTGTCACTTGTTCCTGCACACCATGATGATCCTGATGTGTAGTTTAGTCGACCATTCTTGGCTAGTGTGCTAGAAGACGAAGCATTTATTCCAGTGTCTAGAATTCTTCCATCTTCCATGCCAAGACTGAACTCAACACAACCTAAAAATTGAAAAACTATTTAAAGCATTACAACTGACACGGAAAAATAATCAGTAATGAATACAACAAAGGTTTAAGAGGGTAGAGCTCCCAACATATGCATTTAATAATTTTGTCTCTGCAACTCTTTTAAAATTTAGGTAAATTATAATTTTAAAAGGTGAATGGCCACAATTTGGCTACTCATCTTGTCAACAGTCTTCCTTACACAAAGAACATCATAAGTTTAGTTGCAAGCATTTGTTGACAGTCCTAGGTTCCTCTGTAACACTTGGTTTTAAGTTTTCTTTGGCTGTAACTAATTCAGTTGTTTTCAACCATTCAATTTTGTTGCGTTTATCCTCTTTTGTTTCTCAGACCTTTTGTACTGGTCATCTTGAGGTATTACAAAGTACCTAATTTAGTATCCATGAATGCATTTTAAGTGTTGTAGCAGTTATCTCTAAATGTTCCCAAACAAGTTTTCATGAACAATAATGTACTTGTCTGAAAGAGTTTATCAGCACTGTGCAGTTGTCTTAAAACCTCTGTAAGCAGTCACCAAATTTTTGTCTTCAAACAAGGATGACTTGGTATTGTGAAGAGTTCAGGGCACTACAAGTCATTACCCCACATGACCTAAACATAGTCTTATGGTTAGCTAAGAAAGACCCTGGCCTAGAATGGGGGCTCATGGCTGTTTTCTAAGGATTTGACTGCTATGGGGGCCATATTTCATTTGAGGCCTGCCTGGATACAGCGGTAGCCCCCTAGATATCCCTAGCACTTGTCTTCAACAGACATGTATAACTATACTACAACACTGAATATTATGAACCAGAAATGAGCCACCTTGGTTACTGCAAAAGTACTTATAAAAACTTGGAAAGTTCAAATCAGGCAATAAAACATTAAAGTTCTGTTAGAATATACTTTCTCATAAACAATCAGCTCATAAGTTTTTTTGCTGTTGCTACCATGCAGACTAAGTCAAAAAAGACTTGAACATTGCTTTAAAATTCTTACCATCTTTCGTAGTTCTCACCACCACTAAAGGAGAACTCCTTGGTCCATCACCAACTGAAGTAAAGGCCAACACTTCAAATTCATATTCTGTGTAAACATCAAGCTCAGTGACATCTTTACTTAATGTGGTTCTATTGTTAATGGTCAGGGTGGTTGCTCGTCCAGCAGAGCCTCTCTTTTTGTAAAACAATTTGAATCCTATAATTATTCCATTTCTGGAGTCTGCTGGTGGTAACTGCCAGGATGCTGTAATAATTGTAGAAGTAACTGCAGTCACCCTGAAGCTGCTTGGGGCTTTTGATGGAGCTGCAATTGGAAAGATGTAGAACTTAATGCCTATAACTGGTCCCCGTAAATGTTACTGCCAAACAAAGAACCTTCTATCTATTGTCTGGCTCCCAATTGCTTACAATTGCAGCCCATATTGGAGGTTTGTTTCTCTCCTTGCAGGTCTAATGAAATTTATTTCATCAGAAATTGTGATAATCTTTTATCCTTTACCTTCACCGTCACCTTCACCTTCACCTATCACATACCAGCTTCCTTTGTTCTCTCCACCTCAACAGGGCTCTTTGGTCCACCACCATCAGAAGTGAGTGCCAACACTTGAAATTCATATTCCGTGAACTTATCAAGCCCAGTGACATTTCTACTTAATATTGATCCGCTGCCAATTAACAATGCTTTTGCTGATCCACCACCTTTCTTTTTATAGAACAGTTTAAAACCTGATATGCTTCTTCCATGTCTGGCAAAGACTGGTGGTAATTGCCAGGAAGCTATAATGCTGGTAGAAGAGCTTGCAGTCAACTTGAAGGCAGTAGGAGGTTGTGATGGAACTGAAATAAGGATATTAAAGATATGCACAATGTATGCCTCCATGCTGAGATGATAATTAATGTGAAATTTATCAATGATATCTGAATTTTACAAAGCTATTTAACTTTCCTGCTGACAACAATTCATTTAACAGTGCAGAACTTCATTGCCATTCATGGAACAATAGTCCAGTCCACCACATAATTATGTAACAAAGTTAAACTGTATCTTTCTTTTCCAAAAGCTAGCTGTGGGAGCCATTCATACTTTTGTATAACTACAATCATTACTGTTCTGTAAATTGTCCAATTTCACCTTAATTTCTCCACTGTTATTGTGACTTCAGTTTGGATCAGCGGGACAAAAATGAGAACAAATAAATACCTTTAGTGAAAAGTATTCCATAAGCCTCCACTCTCAAAACCTTGAACCTATTATACTTTGTTGGCAAAAAGCGTATAAACTTTGCACTTGCAAATTCCTTTAGACTGTTTTTCACTGTGTCAGTTTTTCCTGAATTTCCTGGAAAGGCCTGTTAAACAAAAAGTGATATCAACGTATTGAAACTTGGCATAGTTAATGGTTTACTGTAATTTGTGAAATGAGATCAATTAAAACCTGCAACTTGAATTTGGAAAATGACATCTGTAATTTGCAAAATGAAAATCAGTAGTTTTGTAACACAAGTACTAATTTTCGCTGTTGTAAATACTTGTATATATGAGCATGCCATACCAACCTTGTCAAGTTTGTTTTCTTTATAAGGGAGAAAGGTGGTACCGTTGAGTGAAAATCTCAGTTTGTACTCTGTGGTCCATTCTTGAGCCCCTATTGATTGGGTTGGTGGATTTCCTTGAGTAGCTACAGCACAGATAACATACTCATAGAGAAGGTCAATTTGTAGGTAGTCATCAAGATCATTAGTCTTAGGTTCCCATGCCCGTCTTCCATTAAGACGACCATATTTAGCTGCATATATGGCTTTAAATATTGAACTGGCTGAGAAGCTGCTATCTGGAATTCTACCACCACTGGCCAAACCAATTGCCTGTGAATCACATGCTGCAAGGTAACAATTTTAAAGTTAACCTTCCCATCCTAAATATCACATGTATGTTTTTTGTGTAATTCATTGAATACACTTCTAAACAATCTGTAGGAAATAATTGCAGAAATACAGAAAAAGAGCAATGGAAAAATAGTGATGAAGCCATAATTGATTGTTTGGAAATAACCAAGTGAATGCTGCAAACAGCTATCATTACATATGATATACTGTGCGGCTGCTCAAATGAAGCGATTGCCCAGAATGGATCCCTAACGTTTCTGACTTTGATTGTAACAGAAGTGAAGCTGTGACATGAGGAACTCCATTTGTGGTAATTGAATTTTCTCTTGCAATCCTCAGCTCATAACGCTAAGAGCCTTGACAATCCACCACTAAACATCAAACACAAATTGCTTCATCCTATCACTTGGAAGTTTTAAATTAATGAGTGTCATTAAGAGTGCAAGTTTCAGCTTATACAGTGTGGGTTAGTCGCTATGCCTGAGTGTTCAAAGAGTGATTTGTATCATCAAAGCTACATGTACTAATCCAAATAACAATTATCAACATAATAAATTAAAATGGCCACTAAATTTAGAACCTTAAGAGGCCGTGACTGTAAATATCGAGAATTGTTGGCCAGGCTAAAAAAATCGAAAATTCCGATAATTTGCCTGGAAAACACTTTTAGGGAGATATATTCAAAAAAATTATTTCAAAGTTTGAAAAATCAAATGTGTCCGAGGAAATGGGGAAAAACGAAAATTCGGGTTTTTACCTTATTAATTATGCAAAAAATACAGTAAAATTGACCAACTTTAGTGTGCGAGTACTGAAGGAGGATGTTTGGTAAGAAATCGGGGGTATCACATGATTTTTTAACAAAGTGCTGTCAAACGCTTGTTGCAAAAAGCGAAAAATCGAGCAACTTCAAGCCTTCAAAACGCGTCTTGGTATGTGTGACATCATGTCAAACTACATGCTGGCACAAAGTTTGGTCCTTATACTAACACAATATGAAATAAAAAATCTGGGTAATTCAGAAATGTGCAGGCAAAACATAAAGGTTTGCGACGCACTGTGGCCAGAGGTCACGAATTTGCATAGTTGTAGAAATCGTACCGCCTAACGGTTCTGGTGTAGGAAAGGCTCTTTTGACGGCTACAACATGAAATTTACAAGAATAATGACCATCATTTAATAGCGTTTAATTCGTTTTTTAAGCCAATGAGTTTTATGTTTCACTTCTCGCAACTGTCTTGACGAAAAGCAAAATGTTTCAATTGCGTGACAATTGTCACGTTGGATCAAAGGTGAAGTTGCCGAGTAAAGCGGACACAATCCTTTTTTCGTCAAAACTCCATTCTAAAGCATCCAGTCCTATATATCTCGTTTTATATTACTTGTATAAATTCTTTTATGAGGCTATATCGAAAAACATCCAGCCGGCCTGATCCTGTCTGACTGCCAAGTGCGGTTCGAAGGGGACTTTTTCATTTCCGGTTTGCGCCTTTAATACTGGGACCGCGGAGCTATGGGGTTGAGTGGGCTGTAGCCCCACCAAGAACAATTTGTTATTATCATTATTATTTATTTTAATCTTTGTATTAAAAATTGGACAAATTTTTCTTTGGATTGAAACTCGTTTCCGGTGATTTCAGAAGCTCTAGATTTCAAAATTTTCCGGGGGAGCATACCCCAGGACACCCTGTCAGCAGTCTTTCTGTACTAAGAAAGGCGTACTAAGAAACAAACAAAAGGAAGCCCTCCTCGGAGGGGAGGCCCCAGGGCCCTCATAGATAATTATAAGTTGGTGCCAATGAGCTCACAGTACGTGGGAACTGCAATAGCTCCTCCGATCCAAAATATGCTCCACGGCCCCCGTTTTATATCAACGTTCATATAGAACTCAATTTTTTGAAGCAGCCTTTTGCCATTTGCCTTTTAAACTGCACTGCAAGAGCAGCATCTAGCAAGGTCTTCGAGCAGAGCGACGTAAGATGTCTTTTTTCTATGATCAACCCCAGGTGGTAATGCAAGATTGAAACTCTCGCAAAGGAGTTTTAAGACTGCGAGTTCGAGATTTTTGAGTGTGTTATTCTCGACCATGGAACAGTTGTACTATTGGTAATGAATAGAATGAGTTACATTTAACTGCTCAAAAATAGACTCCTTAGCATTTGACAAATTAAATTCTTCCTCCATAGCAACGAGATCTTGCTCAGTTACAGCTTGTGCGCAGGGGGCTGTCTGCTGTTTCACTTTTGCTGTCATTCTGGAAAAAAATGAAGCTACTTGTTAAGTAAAAAACTCAGAGACACTGAACAAGCGCTCCCCGTTCAATTCCTTTGCTCTTCTCATTTCTGTTGCAACAATTTCCGCGTCGACCTTCTTGCCGCTTTCTTGCCCGATGGTAAGTCAGGTACTCTCGTTGCTTTTCGTTAAACCGGTAAACTTTCTTTACTTGTTTTAAAGCGAAGCCTTCAGGCAGTGTTGCATATCCAGTGCTACGAGGACAGGTTTCAGGAGGTAGAGGAATGGTTGGCACGGAACTTGAACCTTCCTCGAGCCTTGCAGTATATTTAACCTTCGCTTTATCAAGAAGTGTCTTCCTTTCAACCGTCTTTGTGCATGTTCTGAACGCGAGATGCTTTTCTAGAGAAGAGTGCCGTTGGAAATTATGCGTGCAGCCCTCTTTTGGACATGGAAACACTTGATCCCTAGTACAGTCTTTCAATTTGACAAAGTCAGCCATGTTTGGATTATCAGAACTTGCACCACAAGCCCCCCCAAGAAGAGAAGCAAAGCTACAGAATGACATCGTTTTCTGTTTATGCTCTATGAAAAACCTCGCACGTGTTTACCTTTAAAAGACCGTGATTGCATCATAGAGAATTATCGCCCGGACTGCAACACGGTATAATTGCTGCTGTGACATAAGTCCTTTTTATCAAGTTTTATGACAGAAATGTGGCCATTTTTCCAAAAAAGATAAGAGTAAATAGCATAAAAATAGTTGGGCTCACTGTTACCTTGAGGTGAAAAACTTCACAGCAGAAGCTTGCGGTGTTGCGTGACTTTGTTTACTCATAACTTTTTCCAAGATATCCAAGATATTTCAAAAGAAATATTATCGCAGTTGCAGAAAACGTAACTATTCAACTAAGAACGATGTCGATAATAAATCACTTGTCAACAAAAATGGTGAACTATACAGCGGCCCTTATCTATAGTTAGGTGTAGGTAGTGCTGTTGAAATTGCGAGTCGACAATAACAGTCTTCTGCAATTCAAATTAAGAGAAAAGTTCGTATCTACACATCAATTTGCAGCCCTCTTCCGCAATATCTGCGGATTTTTTATTCTATAATTTCATATCATTTCCATATCAAAGAGTTTTTTAACCATCTTTAACTATCTTGTTTACTTCGTAGCTCTCAAGTACGATTTCTACAACTGATTTGCATCACGCAAATTCTTGACCTTGGCCACAGTGCGTTGCAAACTCTTTAATTTTGCCGGCACTTTTCTTAATTACCCAGATTTTTTATTTCATATTATTTTCATATAAGGACCAAACTTTGTGCCAGCATGTAGTTTGATATGATTTCTCACATACCAAGACGCGTTTTGAAGGCTTGAAGTTGCTCGATTTTTCGCTTTTTGCAACAAGCGTTTGACAGCACTTTGTTAGAAAATCATGTGAATTTTAAAATTAAACCAAAGCTCCTTAAAATAACACAAATAAAAATCAAACGAATTATACTTTGAAGTAAAAACACCCCCGATTTCTTACCAAACATCCTCCTTCAGTACTCGCACACTAAAGTTGGTCAATGTTACTGTATTTTTGGCATAATTAATTGGGTAGAAACCCAAATTTTCGTTTTTCCCCATTTCCTCGGAAACATTTGATTTTTCAAACTTCGAAATATTTTTTTTTTAATATATCTCCCTAAAGGGGTTTTCCAGGCAAATTATCAGAATTTTCGATTTTTTTTAGCCTGGCCAGCGATTCTCGATATTTACAGTCATGGGCTCTTAAATTGTGACCTACCACAGGAAAACGTCCGTTTTCAAACGGCTTTCCGTTCACTAGCCGTTTGTCAGCCGTTCAGAAAAATTTGCATCTGTTTGAAGGGCTTCGGTCATCCGTTCGATAGAAACATCCATCCGTTCGACCGGCTTGATCATCCGTTCGTCGAAAACATCAGCTCGTTCGAACGGCTTTGTTATCCGTTCTCGGAAACATCAGCCCGTTCGACCGGCTTGGTCGATGTATTATTCCCTATTTATTATTTTTTGTAACTTGTTAGTTCATTTTGTAAAGTTCTTTAAGTCTTTTGCTGAGGGAATATAAAATAATTAGCATGCTATCACATTTCATTTCGTGAGATGGTTGATTATACATGGGACCAGGGAGAGTAAGATTTCAGGGGAAGGTAGAGGTTTCGTTCGATTCTCGTATTTCGTGTACGTGACATGTTGTCGTTTCGCCTTATTTTAGACATTTATGCCTTGTGTTAGATGGTTTTAGATAGTTTGCGAGTGGTTATAGATGTTTTTGAGGTGGTTGATGAAATTTTTGAGGTGGTTGTAGATGGTTGTAGGTGGTTTTAGGTGGTTTGAAGTCGTTCCTCGTTTTAGTACTTACCTCAGGATTCTATAGTGTTGCGTTACCTGTCACACAGGTCCGCTTTACGCAAATGTCGCGAGATTGTATTATAGTAACACCAGAAATGGAATCGTGCGCGGAATAGTTATGTTTGCCGCATCGAATTCACTGTCTAAAGAAAAGATATAGGGAACAATTTGGCAACATGCAAAGCTGCTAGAAAAAAGTTGCAGTCGCGTTTTTGTGCAATAAAGCGGCAATAAACACTCGACACGGCAAAGATAAATAATGACAACTTGACCTTCACAGGTTATTCGAGGTTTGCTTTTAATTAATAGAAGACGCTGAACTAAGTTTCTGTTTAACAAACTTGAATACTTCGTCTGGCAATTTTCTAGCGGCTGTGGGAAGTCAACATTTTATTACATCAGAACAGTTGACTATCCGTTCGAACCTACTTAAACGTGAATCGGACCGGCTCTGTCCATTCGTTCGGAATGATAACCAATCCGTTCGGCTCTTACGGCAATTGTTTCTCATGAAATTAATCGTAAATACATTCATCCATCTGTGTCAACCCGTTCGAAAATTTTCACAAGCCGTGCAGTCGTTTGTGTTACCCGTTCGATAATTTTCACAAGCCGTGTAGTCGTTTGGGTAACCCGTTCAAGAATTTACACAAGCCGTTCGGAATACTTGATAGCTCGTTCAGCCGTTCGATAGCATCCGTTTGATAGCATCCGTTCGAACGGGTAAGTTACCCGTTTGGTAGACGTGCGTTTCACCCGATTAACGAAAAGCCGTTAGTGTACGTTTTCCCGTGGAAGGTCACCTTTGTTTATAGATAAACAAACTACCACAGATAACTGTGAAATGTAAGGATCAAATTGAGGATGTGTGCAACATTACACAAAAGTTTCTAAACTTACTTGGCTTCTGTTTCACTCCAAACACCTCTGTTCTCATACACACCTCACCCTGGTGTTTTTGTGGCAGGAATCGCAAATATCTTGTCAACACTCCATATAGAACATGTTTGACATTTGAGTTTCTATCCTTATTTCCCTCTAAAACCTTAGGAAAATAATTATAACTCATTATAGAGTTCCAGGTAGAATGTAAAATGTAACTATAATTGTAACTCTTCATCCTGGTGAAAGTAATCATCCCTCTTGTTTTATGACAGGAAATACTTTTATTGTTGTCACAATGGTTGGGCTAGGTGGCTCAGTTAATCTTCATAAAAACAGAGAAATATAAATGTAGGTGTAGGAATAAGGCCCGACATTTAGGGAAGAGGCCCACTGGACTAAGCATACATGAATATATCATGATTTGACCATTGGATTATAAAAAATAGCACACTGACCCTCGAAGGTGAACTCTAGCTGATTTCTACAACTGCAGTTTACCTGTGACAATCAATTTTTATTACTTCTTGGATTGAGAGCAGCAATCTCTCAGCAATTAGATATCATTTGTTCTGCACTCCTTTGACAACCCTTTTTGTACCATAAATATTTGGTGCAATAACATAGTTCAAAACAATTTGTTAGATTCCCTGTCCATTTCTCCTTTGTGTTCTTTATGCAACCTTGACTTCAAATTCAGGCATGCAAAATATAATTTGCTGAATGAAAAATAATTACTCAAAATTCATGATATTTACTGAGCATGAGGAGAATACTTGTTGAATGTTCATAGTTCAAATAATCCTCTGCATACCTATAACTCCTTTGGTGGCCATTTTGATATACATATATATGTAAATGCATCAACATTGTCAAAACTCAGGAACAGTGATTGAGGCAAGATATCATATAATTCTCAACAAGCCCATGTGGCATACCTTAACCTGCCCACTGAATTCCATATAGTCTGTCCAAGTTATCCCATTTGTAGATAATTGTAGCGTGTAGTTCTTCACCCACTGATCTGCTTGAGAATTCCCTTGAGTAGACACAGCACAGATGATATGAAGTGTCTGTAGATCAATCTGTAGATATGGGTTAGTGTCACTTGTTCCTGCACACCAGGATGAACCTGATGTGAAGTTCAGTCTACCATTCTTGGCTGGTGTGCTGACACTTTGTTCTGAAGAAGCAGTTATTTTACCATCTGGAATAGTTCTACTTCCCATTCCAAGATCTAAATCAACACAGGCTCCTACAGAAATAAAATTTACATTTGCACTATAACACAGTTATAATAATCATAGTAACATTCAAGAATGGTTGGATGTGAGAGACATATGCATGTCTTGAATCTCTCTATAAGGTATGTCTCATACAAAATCCATGTCACAAATAGGGACAATTAGAGCTGGTCTGCCTCTAAAAATATTTTTCAATTTGATTACAAATTTGGAGGAAATCTAAATCTGATCATTAAAACTGCAAATGGAAATACATCGGGTCTCATTTTTGACGGTGTCCATTTTTAGAGAAAATGAGGAAAGATTCAAGTTTCGAAAAACTGATGTGCTGCATCAAAGAAAAATAAATTGCTGCTGCGAATTCGAGAAACCTGGGTCGTTAGCCCTTCCTTGGAGCAAGGAGAAGTTGACTTTCAGTGTAAATGTACAATTTTGGGTTCGCAAGGTAGATATGTATTAGACTGGTCCAAATTCAAAGCTTTCAGTAGATAGGAAAAGTGAAATAAATTTCAAGAATGCTTTAACCTAAAATTGATGCAGATGTTACCACTCAATTTATTCGTTGAAACAGGAATTGAGCTTGATGTAAAAACAGGTAGATTCTTAACCGTACTATTCTTTTAAGATGACATTTTAATTACGAAAAAACAACGAATCCCGAGGGACCCTCGTTTCTTTCTGACATTGATTATGTTCGCAATGAGGATGAACCTGTGACCGTACGGCTACACTACTCACGACTGAAAGAAATCTCCCACAAAAGTACCCTGAATGTAAATTTTAACATAAAATAAACCTTTCTAATTGATTTAAGATTGTATGGTACTCACCTGAAGTCAGTGGAAAAAGTACAGCGAGAAAAGCTACCCGGAAACAATGATTAAAGTGCGTCATCTCGATTGAGTCAGTCACGGTATGCGTGTATCACGATCGTTTTGCTTGACCGGTCTTCTGTAAACGAAAGTTCATCCGAAAAAAGATTGTCTCCTCACTATTTAAACTTGGCCTTGTATGATTTGTAGAAATATCGTCCGCGGTTTCAGAAAAACAATCAGTCTCTTCGTAGGCCGAGTAGTTTCGCTCGATAACAAGATGACATAAGCCTGAAGTTGTTGATATTTCCCACAATGCCGTGGGCTGCAGCTCAGAAGTCATCATATTTCAGCTGATTTCAGTACGTAACAGCTTATAAGTTAAAATTTAACCACCTTCTCAGAGATGAGAAGGAAGTAAGTTTACATTCTCAGATCTTCTCATACCCATGTACATAGGAAAAGGCAGAAGAACTCAAAAACGACTTCATTATCGACAGACATAAAAATTACGTCGAATTCCCTAACTACGCCCGCTGACGCGCTTTTTAGTACACAGAAAAGTTTTTTAAGAATACGAACGAAAAGTAAACAACAGCCAATAATATGCCTAGTAAACCTCTCTACCACCCTATGACATCACACAAAATCACCCAGGGTGGGAAGGTGGGTGGGAAGAAAAACGAACCAGTACAATACAAAATCTCTGGTGTACGCTCGAAGTGAAAACTGACGCGATATGAAACACGAAACTCTTAGAGCCTGATACTAGAGGGTGTGTGTTGCGCAATTAATCCCTTTGAACACGTGTTCGTCCACAGGGGGGTAACAGACGAGACGCTCCACTATGGCAGGGTCAGCTATTGTTTAAGACATAAATTCTTGAAATTTTAGTGTTTCCCGCGCGCAATTACTTTCTTCAAACAAATCCTAAAAATAAGAAGTAAAACGAGCTCAGTGACAAGGATGGAGAAAGAATAATTGTCTTTTCTGCAAGAGCTGCTGAAAAATCTTATTTTGATTAGATTTCTCGAAGAGAGTTTTACAGTTAGCGTTTTCGAGAAACCTTATCAGAGTATTAAATGCAGCAATAATCAGACAAACTCCACGATAGGTCACAACCTTCAAACTCGCTTTTATACGTCAATAGAGTTGCTAACCATCAATTATTCAGAACAAGAGTATAATTAATGTTCTTTTGTGACAGTACTTAGCAAGCAGAGGTCAATAGTACTAAGACAAGAGAAAAACTGTGTCTAGTAATATCGAAAAGGTTCAAGGATAGGTCACAGTAGAGTCCTTCGATTGTAGCGATGCTGCTAGCGCTAACCGCTCGTGCAAATTCCCATGGATCTCTACCAAAATAGTGAACCTCATCAAATGTAGAAAATAAGGGTTATGACTGGATGATATTACATCCAAACTATTAACGGTATTTGGCGCAGTAATTGCTTAGGGGTTAGCCTGCGTAGCAGGCAAAACGTGTGGCCAGTAGAAGTGCGACGGTGAATATTTTCAGCAACTGAACCCTGGCTAAGACTGAATATTAAATGAGCGCATTTTGTGTCGCATGTCTGGTTTTCGACTAAAAATACTAAACAAGTGGATAAAAAAGATATGACATACCAAGGTCAGGCACATCTTTTTGTGAAAACACTTTATTCCATTAGCTACAACTATTCTGTTGCTCAAGTTCTGTGCATTTTAAATGCTTACTAAAATGCTTCGGAAAAACTTCTCCAAGCATTTTCTTCAATCAGTAAATACTCTATAAGTTAAAAATTTCTGATGGAGCAAAAATATTGTACTATCTTCCATTCTCTTATCTACCAACACCTACCAATAATACTCTGTTGCTTAACATTTTCCAATTGCAATATATTACCTTTACAGTTAAGAAGAATTTACTTAAAAATATAATGAAAACGTTCCTTATGTCCAACAAATGACTCAGAAAAGAGAACCCTTTTAAAAGGGTAAAATATAAGGAACAACTTTCAGTACTGGTAAAAAAATATGACATTTTTACGCTTCATTCTATGTTTACATCTAGGGACTCTTTAAAAAAATGGTATAATTAATCCTTTTATTTTTACTGCTGGTTCATTCGAATTCTCGTGCTGCTGCCGGTGTAACCGGTGTAAGATGTTGTAGATTAAATCTAACTTAATAACATGGATTCATTAAGAAAAGGAAGTTTATGTAAATATGCCATCGTCTTTAGAGGTTTCGTTTAGCTTAGGGACCTCGCCCAAAGTTATGAATTTCATTTACTTCTCATTCGAGGTTATAACTAAATGTTCAGATCTGGCTATACGCGATTCCATCGTAAGGCATTTCACATGCATCAATAATAAAAGATACAATTATACCGATACATGTAATATATAAGACAGATGTAAGAAATTAATTTCAAATGGACCAAATCAAAGGTTACTGCACGTTGAAGAAGTCTTTAAGGTCTTACTTTAAAACAAAAAGGATCTATTGAGTAAGCTAGTGTTACCAGTGTATCTCGTAAACTTTCCTTACAGCTATATTAGATAACCGCACTCTATGCGACGCTACGATTGTAAGAGTGATCATGACGATAATGAGGAGGAGAAGATTTCAAACGTATGCATTTCATTTCCAAATTACCAAGTGCTTCTTTGAGCGAGACACGAACAATGTCTTTCACAAACCGAACTACCGCCTCTACTTACCAATCAGATTCCATGTAAGCATGTGTCTGTTCTGTTATGGATCACAGATGACGTCAAAATGTGGTGAGAACTACAGTGTGGCATACGAAGCGCAGTCGAGTCTGGCACTGATCTTCTTAGCACATTTTGACGTCTTCTGTGACTTTTAACAGAACAGACTCACGGCAACATGGAATCTCTTTGTTTTTACAATGAAGAAGCAAGATGTTGTTAATAGTGACGTCATCAATGCATCTGTCTTCTATTAGATCATACATGTAAGGAAGACCAAATTAACATGCGCATATAACTAAGCATAGTATATAACACAAGATGGACAATCTGAACTAGAAGGATACAAATTAGTTGAGGATTAGCATAATTCCTCATACACTTCTTCATTTTGTTTTACGCCATTTTCTTTCTGAAGCACCATATTGTAATATCCGGGCTTCTCGGGTTCTTCCTGTAACGACTGATACTCAGAAGGAACATGAGACTCCTGGTTCGAAGGCCTGGGTTTGAGTTCCATGTATAAATCTGGGTCTGAAGCGTGCTGATCACGTAGCTGTTGATCAGGTGAAGATTTGACGCCATCAAAGTCAACTTTTTCGTTACCCTGTGTCCTCCTACTAGGAACAGCTCGTCTCCGCTGCCATATCAGCCCACAAATTATAATGAGCAACACGACCACAATACAAGAAAATGCGATTACACTAGCAAGGAAGATGCTTTGAGTATCTGGTGAAAGAAAACAAACGACTTTCAAACCAACTATCAAACACTGAAGACTGCTTAGTTACTTTGTTTCACTGCAATGATGTGATTTTTTTTTCAAGTATATTTACCCTAAGGAATAATGAACACAGTTCCCAACTCTCTGTTGCCTTGTCTCTTGATCTTACTTCATTAAATGCCAGATATTCCCTATGCCTATGAACTCGAAATTTCGTTATCAAGTCACATATATGACCTTCAGTAATCTCGAACCAGTAGGAAAATTAATTGGAGAAATACAGACATATTTTAGCTTTGAGCCTTTCTAAACTTAGTTCATGTAGCTCTGTTTTGATTAAGTTACAACCTAATAGACCAATTACGATATATGGAATGATTACACTATAATTACACTATTATAACTTTCTAATTAAAGAAAGAAAATGTAACTTCACACAGAAAAACGTAGGCGTATGAGACCACCACATAATATTGCTTTTGATACATAAATGGTTATACCAGACAACAGTAATTAGAAGCCACAAACTCCTCGCTGGACTTCAAAGTTCTAAGATTTCCAAATTTTTTGAGAAGAAAACATTTAAGCACGTTCGAATATTAAGGATTATTTACCGTTTTGAGAGCATTTACCGCCATCATCGTCATTATCCTTAAGAGAAAGCAGAGTGATTTTATACTCTGTTGAACCAAAGCTGTTTGTAGCGTGACACACATACTGCCCATAATCTTGTGCATTCCGTGGCGTGACAATGATACTGTTATTCATTAACTTGATGCCATCACCAGTTGGAACCTGGCCATCTTTAGTCCAAGAGTAGTTAAACGGAATATAGCTTGTTGCTTGACATGAGAGCAAACACGGAGTTTGCTTTGCACACATCACTGAAGAAGGGGAAATTTCTTCGATAATTATGGGTGGTACTGTGTGAAAAAAAAGGAAAACGTAATGATAACAAAACAAGTTTAGACAAAACCATGCTCAAGACAACGGAACAGGGGTGTGACAAACATGTGCCAACACTATCATGACCTATTTTTGGTCTAGGCGCTGAGTGGTGGTTTTTTTAGTTGTTATCAGTGTTGTCTTAGTTTTTTCACCCCTCTATCACAAATTTCTAACATTTGTTTAGTACTCAGTACACACATGAATTCGTCAATAACTTATTAATAAGTGGTTGGGGTAAGGTTGAGACTAGTTGCAATGGTGATTATCGTGGTGCTTTAAAGAACCATGATTAGTTATTAATTCAGGCAGAGGTTGGCAAATTTCTATAACTTAAAATAGTAAAAAAAATACACTAACTCCTTCACAGATTTATTTCACGAAAGGAAATGAAAATGTTATTGCTTCCCAATATTCAATGCAAAAGTAGTAAACTTTCTACTTACCAGCGACAATGACTATCGTAGCTGTACGGCTCTCTCCAAACATATTCATTGCTTTACACTCATAAATGCCACTGTCACCAGGAACAACATCTCTTATAATGAGTATCTTCTTGTTGTTCTCGAACTGAGCGCGAGGTATACTGCCAAGTCCATCTTTGGTCCAGGTAACAGAAGCCTTTGCGTCTCCACTAACCTCACAACTCAGCACTGCCAGTTCGCCAATTTCTGTAATGGTTGTCTTTGGGAGACCTTTGATGATAGGTTTACCTGAGTTTTTATAAACATAAAGTATTTTTCCTTAACAAAGAGCAAGGCACAAATACAGCATTGAGGCTTTGCAGCTTATCCCTTACCGACAAAAATATAATTTAAAAGCTTGAATTTGATTGAAACTTACAAACTAAGAAAGACAATTAACACAGCATGAAAGTCGTATATTAATAAAAAAGCTCACAGATCAGACGACATTGAGTTAACTTTGATTGCTGAATGCTAGATGCCTCTGACAAAGGAAAAGTATAAAAATAAAACAAAAAAACAAAAACAAGACAAAAAAACATTACCTTTAGTGTCGATGCTTACAAAGTTACTAGAGACATAAACCGTCTGCAAAATATAACCATAAAAAACAAATTACTCATCTGCAACCTTTTGCTGCATTTTGGTATGGCATAGTGACCCAGACCTCTTGAGCATTACAAGCCTCTTAAAACCTGCTGTTATTGCACTGCATTCACTAAGACCAAAGAGCTGGTAAACAACGGCAAGATAATAGTTTGGGAGTGGAAAGTTCCTGAGATATCTGGGTGCAGATTCGGAGTACATAGATGGGTCAGTTTTGTCACTCAGTTCTTACATGGAAATAATAGGACATCCCTCTCTTATGACAAAAGTTTTGTTAGAATACCTCGGAGTCAAAAGCCCTGAGGAACACTTTGTAGTTGGTATTCGGCTGCAATGGTTTGTTGTAATAAAACTGATCACCACTACTTCTCTTACTCCTTTCTTTACTGCTGGATTCCGCTCCATCTCCGACAACAAATTCTCGATTTTTATCAAAATCATTTCCTCCAAACTGAAAAGCGACATAAGCAGCAGGAAAGGTAGATTTGTGCGCTTCTTCATACGTCATCATGTCTTGTGTTGTAAATCTTTCCGGTAGGTTAACAGCACCAGTATAATTTGAGCTGTATGTAATGATGATAACTTGGAAAAACCTGCAAGGTAAATCACACGATATTTTTTACGTAAACAGTATCTTGTAGTGTCAATTGTTAATTAAATTTTTTTTCGAATCAGCACATAGCAATGCACAAGATGTCTCATGATTATAACTGTAAAAAAGATCAAAGTGCTCTGTGAGCAAACTCGTGAATTGACACATGATTTTTTGGATTATGTTTAATGTTATCTGGTTTAGGGAATCTTGTGGTTGATTTTCACATCTAGAGTACGAGCAGTAGTTCAGTGTTCGCTAATGTAGCAAAGAAACAAAGTAACGTTGGGATAAGAAGGCATTACAATTGAAATGATCATGCTATTACATTTGACAAGGGTGGATGATGTCACGTGTTTTAAACGGATATCATTTTTGTTTCTGGCTTAAAAGAAAAGGTTGGAAGTAAATGAGGGTGAAAAGTGAAATTTACTGTCTATCATAGTAAATGTTGGAAAATCAAGGCAGTACTGTCATAATGAAAACATTAACGATTCCCTCTTTATAAAATGAGACAAACGGGAACGAGTTTTGAGTGATATAACTAAGCCAAGACTGCCACCGTCATTTTGGACTCCGCCTGGGTAGATTTTAGTCACGTGCTAGGCAGCGTATAATGAAGAACAAGATAGAATTTCATTTCAGGCCTATTTATCAATTTTGTGGTGTATGACTTTCGCATTTTAGTACGTCATATTTATTTTGAATCTTCAAGTTGTCTTGAAACTCAAAAGAAAATTGTTCTTTAAGAATTCACTGAAAATCGGTAGCTAAAATTGTTTGTTTAGGTGTTATTTGATTTTCGTGTTAACTTGTAATTTCGTCAGTCGCCGGCATCTTTTGTTGCTTCAGACAGGAGAAACACACGATACGAAACGTAATGATCGATTTTGTCCTCAATCTCACGCCATAACTGACAAAGCTTTTGAACATCTGTAAACCCCGAGCGCTTCGCAGTAAGTGATATTTTCAATGAATCTTCGGATTGTTTTCAAGTTCAAGGATTGTAAATTACAATTTTATGAAAAACGAAGGTTGTTCTGTTATTTCAGTGTGAATCCTTGCATGCCTGCCAGTCGCTGGCAACGCTTGTTGAAACTAAAACGAAAAAAAAAACTCTTTTAAGATTATCATTGGCTTCTTTTTCACCCCACCACTATTCTTAACTACAAAGGTCGACATTTCGTTTGTTTATTGCTCGCCAAAAAGTATCAAATGCACTCAAAAGCCTAAAGTCGAAAAAAAGTTTACAGGAATCGACCAATCGAGCGAGGGAATGCCATTTTCCACACTTTATCTACAACTCGCTCTTACGCATGCGCGCAATTCACGAATTAAAAATGAACATTGTATTACATCATGGATATTGTAATAGAGGAATACAGCCAAAACTAGCGTGAAATTGCATAGTCAACCGTACCTCGCATTTCCAGGAAAACGTGGAAGCGTGACTTTCACTGAAATTCCTTCTTCATCTGAATTTGCAGAAAAAGAAGGCGAAGATGGCGTTTCTTTAGACCAAACCACAGCTGGGGAGAAGGGAAAGAAGGCTCTGTTAAGTCAGGCTTTGAAAACCACTATGTTCTTTATGTGTATATATAAAAAAAAAATGATTTTTCCAATTGTAGGCATCCAAAGCTGAAAACATTGAAAACAACAGCGGAGGTAAGCCTATTTTGCCCGTGGACCTTTGCAATTGCATGTACAAACTAACTGAGATAAAAAAAAAGGACAAAGCAGACGCAATTAGTTGCCATCCTGTAACAGTCGTAAGGTTGTGGCAGCAACAGCAGAAGTAGTTCTTGCTTTGGAGGAAAATGTTGAAGTTACATGTACGTTTTTATCACACACTCAAAGAACTCTTTAATCGCTTGCCTTCGCTCAAACCCTACATAATTTGTCTGAGTTTCCCACACTTTGTTACAACTTTTTACCGCCTTTCAATTCTACTTCCTCCCTAAACATTGCCTCATTACAGCTGCCCACAGACTTTCTTACCCAATGTCTGCACCATTACAGGGTTGCTGTAGGGTCCAGGCCCCACAGCAGTGTAGCCTCTAACAGACACCTCATACTTGGCACACAAAGAGAGTCCAGTCACGATAACATAAGTAGTGGTCGTGTTAATGGTTGAATCATAGAAAGATTTGATCTCTGTACAGTTTTCTACTACACTGAGCCTGACTTCATAGTTTATGATAATGCCATAGGCTACGTCTCTTAGTAGTCCAAGCCAAGTTATATTGAATTTTTCAGAGCTCACTGCAGAGGAAGATATGTCTGCTGGTCCACGACTGGGCTCTATTTGATAAAAAAAAATCAATAGTATAAAACTACTCTAGGATGAAAAGCTAAACTGACGCGAAATTACACAACCACAGTCCCAAAATACATGTATTCAACATATCGCATGAAATGTTAAAAGTGGGCTTGTTCACTAGAGAGGGTAAAGGAGGTTCTATTCTATTTACAGAGGGGAATTAATTTATCTCAATGTGAAGAAAAATAACAAGAATTTACCATAAACTTAAGTCGCAGTTGAACCTTTGTCACCTAAAAATGTACCTGCAAAAGTCTAAAATCTAAGATATTTCCTTCTCGGTAGTAATTAGTTGAACAATTAGGATCGCTTTAATCTTCAGCTAACAAAGAACAGGACATTTTGTTAATTGATTCACAGCAAATGGCAGTCATCTATACCTAGTTACTCGTTTTCAACGATTCTCATCTTATTTCCTGATATTTTTATTACTTCATATATGTAAAGTAGTGTATGTGAATAATTTTTAGATTATTTGTACTTATAGGTAATAATATCAATGAAGATACGTGCAGAAATAATTGAGCTGGTAGCAGCTTTTTTCCCTACTTTTGTCTTTATTCCAATTGATAAATAGGAGTCTCCCACTAGCCCTTAAGTTATTTTGGGTGACCAGCTACTGCCTGTTTTTTGAATTTACAGAATATGTAAGAATTTATTTTAGTATGGTAAAATTAACTTTATAAAGTTAATGGTTGAAACCTGGGGGTAACATGTAATAGTGCACTTTGATCGTCCGGGTGAGTGTAGTCCTGAGAAGGACTGTTGTCGGTAGTGGTCACTAACGTTTCGACAACCTGAGCGGAAGTCATCATCAGAGTCAAGACTGACTTCCGCTCAGGTTGTCGAAACGTCAGTGACCACTACCGACAACAGTCCTTCTCAGGACTACACTTACCCGGACGATCAAACTACACTATTACAAATATTTTTTCATTCTTGTTCATGTTCTTCTGAAAAGAAGTCATTTCAAAGATATGAAAGTAAATTTACCGTATTCCTTGGTAGTTAATGTTTTCGTGGCATTTTTTCCAGGTTTAATAGTGACAGCTCGAACATTAAATTGATAAGTCACTCCACCTAACACATCGACTGTGTGAGTTAATGTATCTTTCTCTATTCCAGAAATCTCTTTTGGTGCAACTCCATCGTGACTGTAAAACAAAGTGTAACTTCTGATAACTCCATTTGGTTCTTGGGGCTTACTCCAGGTCAGGGTTATTCTTGGACCATGTGATTTGTTTGGTGATAGATCAGAATATGACAAGAAGGTGGGTGCATCAGGCGCTGGCAGAATAAAGGAAAATGTTAGCACTAATTAAGAGTGAACAAATAAACAATAACTGCAAGCTGTTTCAAAAAATAATACTCGGGATTGAAAAAAACATATATAATTCAAGAAGCAGTTTGGGTATCATCTTCACACAAGTTTTAGTGTGAGATATATTATGAAGGATACACTTATAAACTTCCCTTTTAATGTCAAGGTACTAACTACTATACTTCTTCAAAACAGACGGTTGAAGCATCTCTGAAACTCCTGAAAATTACAGAACGGATCATTTCAATTTCTTACCATCTTCTCTTGTTCTCACCACCTGAGAGGGACTCTTTGGTCCATCCCCAGCAGAGGTAAAGGCCAACACCTGTAATTCATACTCTGTGTATTTATCAAGTCCAGTTACAATTTTACTTTGTGTAGCTCCTCCGCGAATATTCAAGGAGGTTGCTGAATCGGAGGAGCCTTTCCTTTTGTAGAATAATTTAAACCCTTTGATGATGCCATGTCTGGAGTTTACTGGTGGTAAGAGCCAGGATGCTGTGATACTGGTAGAGGAGCTTGCAGAGACACTGAATTTTGTGGGAGCTTGTGAAGGAGCTGCAATTGAGCAGAAAAGCTGTACTTGCCATTTTCAATAAAAGAATCAGACTAAGTATTATCAATCTAAGAGTGTGACAGAAAAAGGCGTGAGGCCCACTTCCAAACATTTATTTGCTCCAACTATTTTTAACGTTATGTATCGTTTTTACCTGTCAATTTCAAGGTGGCTGTATAGAACTAGCTCTTACAGCACTACAGGCCGGTTTATCAGTTCTCATTTATGTGAAAAGAGTTAAGCCAAAAAATTGACGCTCCTGTTGTGGCCTTGTATCAGAAAGGAGAACTTCGGAAAGTATGTCACTTTCATAGTTCTTTTTTACTATCCAATTTTGAAGGCCGCACTGTAAGTTTCTGAGTGAGTTTTTTCCACTCCGATTTTCAATTAAATGATCTTCTCTCAGATTAACTCATTATAAAATTGAACGTATCTAGAGCAAATGAGTTATACGTACTTGTTCATATATAAGTAGGAACAGGTTTTTTACGGTCAAACTCTTGAAACCATGAACACCTGAAATACTGCTGTGTGTTTGAAATGTTTGCTGTATCAACATCAAATTTTTCATGACTCTGAATTGATCCCTAGGATTTGTATTTTGTTGAAGAAGTCATGGAAGTGCTTTGTAAACTGGCAAGGGAAACTAAAGCCATTTTTGGCCTATGCAGTACACATGTAAGTAAATTGATTTATGGTACCGATATAAACAACTTGAGAGAAAATTACAAACAAGACAGACTATTTCAAACTAGGAGTAAATTGCAGTCGCAGAATCTGTCGTAAAACTATGTTAGTTCAAGCAAGACCTGTTTTTTTTTCTCTGAAAGAGAATTTAAAACAAACTAAAAAAAATTCGCAACTTCTACATTGTGAGACTTGTGAGTAAAATACCACACCCTCGTCTTGCCACGCATTGATTGAAAACGAGAATAACTAAAAAAATAGATGTTCTATCCAAAACTAGATATAATTTCCTCGATCAGTGCATCTTGTGTCATCAACATCGTTGCAAGAATTCTGTGCTTTTGTAAAACAGGAATCCTCTTCTTAGGTAGACTTGTTGGTTCCAGAAAGTGAGCGCCTGATTAGAAAACAGCTGTGTGCCAGCGTCTGCTCTCTGCGAAAATTGGAGAAGCTGCTGACAGCTCCTTACTTTTAACAAAGATTGTTAAAATCCGCTGTAAAACTGTTATAGTTTTTAATGAGAGAGACTTACTTTTAAGCAGGACCTGCTTTTTTTGGCAAAAGATAATTTAAAAAAAACTCGCACCTTCTTCATTGTGAGACTTGTGAGTGAAAAAATTTCACACCCTCATATTGCCACGCGTTTGATTGAAAACGAAAATAACTCAAATACATGCTCTCGCAAAAACTAAAAATCATTGCTTTGATCAGTATATCTTGTATCATCAACATAGTTACACGAATTTGGCGCTTTTGCATAGAAAGATCCTCGCGTTAGGTAAACATGTTGGTTCTAAAAATGATGAGCGCCTCGTTTGAAAACAGCTGTGCACCAGAAACAAGGTCTTTAATCGCCTCGATGCTCTCCACAGAAAACCGTCAATTTCGATTGTATTTAACACCAGTAGTAGGATCAAAAAATATATTTGTACGTTGACTTTTACCAGGCGACTTGACTTACATATAGTGAGAGGTGGTTTAAATGAGTCACTGCAATACTGATAAATTTAATTATTTTTGAATTTGCGAACCTTTGGCTCGATGCGTTAAACGAGGGTCAAGTCTACCCTTGGGTACACCGATGGAGAATGATTTTACTACTGCATATTTACACTACCCACTCCCCCAGTGCGGCAAAATTGTCACTCCGATAATTTTCTCGATCAGTTACGAGCTTTTCCGCCTCCCCTCGGCCAAAGTCCCTCAGGACTACCAATTACTCAGGACTTTTGTTTGATGCTTGATGGAAAAGTTGACCCGGAACAATGGGCCATTTCTTGATACGTTTTGGTTATTTAAAAGATACACTAAATATCCTAACCATATTACGGGAACTACTTGGTTTAGAAGGTACATATAGCTTCCACCTAATACTGATCACGTGATAGGGAACACTACACCCAGATACAAATATTACTAGTACCATTTTTATATAGGGTAATTTGGTATGATCAACTGAATTGATAACGTAAATTGGCAACCTTTAAGAGTTTAAAGGCTGACGTTCCTAGCGTTAGTCCTTCGTCAGAGCGATTGGAGGAATTGTGGGTCGTGTGTAGGTTTAAATGCAGAAAATGGAGCTACCCTATTGGTGGGAATATGGTGAGGAGAAAACAAGCGTAAATTAGTTGAATGAAAAGCGCTCGTTGATACCGCGGGGATTAAGAGTACCGATTTGGAAGATAAATTTTTGTTCCAGAGGTTTTTCGGCTTCCCGAACTGCCTAGATGTAGGGAAAGGCCGCAAACTGCCATATGATATATGCTACTTAGAATGATTAGGGAGATTTAAGTGTCAAGCCACTGATTTGGATGCGTCCTTGTCATTTGTCTCTACGTCGCGAAGGTGTTCTCGTAACCGGTCACCTTGTCGTCTTCCTGTTTTACCAATGTATAACGTTTTTGTAGCGAGGGGAACGTAAAGGGATCAGTGATCTTAATGGATCTCTTCCTGACATTTTCTGCACGTTATGAATGAAAGGACAAGTTTTGCATTGTGAGTGAGCGCATTTGAAAGTTCCAGGTTGGTCACCGGTTTGAAATGAACTTCTGACCAAAAAGTTGCCTATTTTTTTTTCAAGTTTGAATGAAATTAGTGGAGGTCGCTAAAAGATAGTACCAGTCATTTAACGTTTGTAAGAATGATAGATTTAACCGTGTGGTTGTGAGGGTGAAATGTGAGAGTGAATAAAATGCGATCAGTGTTTTACTTCTCAGCCATTTGTAGTGCTACCTGTCGATCAATTTGTTGAGCACAGTGGTCGCCCGCTAGAACAACAGAAACAGGATAGCCACGTTTATCGAAAATCTAGCACATTGCCTCTGATTTTTAGTAAAAATCAGAGTTGTCACTACCTAAACTAGGAAGTCTGAGAAACTTTGAAAAAGGTATAGAATTCTTGACGTGTGATGGATGCGAAGATGAATACAACAAGTAACTATGTGAATCTGTGGGTTTGTAGTTAACACTAGTGCATAGACCATTACACTGATCATAATTCTTACCAGCCTCCTATGTTTTCTTAAACAGCTGTTCTATTAATATTATGAAAAGAAAGAAAGGTTCATATAGGAGGAAATTCAAGCAAGTATGTAGGCAACATTATTAATTTTCTACGTCTCACCATCTTCTTTTGTTCTTTCAGTTAAAATGGAACTCTTTGGTCCATCACCAACAGAAGTGAAAGCCAGTATTTCAAATTCATATTCTGTGTACTTGTCAAGGCTAGTGACTTCTTCAATGCGCTTTGCCTGATCAGTTATATGCCGCATCAATTCTGACCCAGCAGAGCCTTTCTTTTGATAGAACAATTTAAATCCTTTGATTATTCCATTTCTGGACGTTTCTGGGGGTAACTGCCAAGATGCTGTAATACTAGTAGAAGAGGATGCAGTCAGATTAAAGCCACTCGGAGGCTTTGAAGGAACTACAATAAGGAAGATACATTTATGTTACGATAACAATCATAACAAAAGCTATTTCATATTTATTACATAATGAAGATATCATATCATCATCACCTTTCCCTCATTATGAAGCAGAAATCTTTCCGAGTGCTTAATTATACAAATGTTGAGAAAAATTGGTATTTGGTACATGATTTAGCCTGTTAAATTCGGGCAAGCTTTCAAAACATATTATTCAAAATAAGGTAATTCAATTGCAATGAAATCTGTTTTGAGACAAAATTTTCGAAAGAAAGGGAATCTGATAACATTTCATCTCTATTGCTCAAAACGCTGGAGAAGAAAATTGATCTAAAAATGGATGAGGTTCCAAAAAATGATAGTCGTGGACCCTCATCCATAAATTATTATTGATCTCTTATACAAAATAGGGTGCACCTTTGGGGTCTAAATGCATATGGAAGGCTGCCAATGGCAAAAACAATCAGAATCACCAACATCCACCAGCATGCATAATTTCATGAGTAAATTTACATGCATTAAATGCTAATTATGATGCAATGCATGTTGAAATAGTATAATATAATTAAGTCATGGTCTTTCCCCCTCATAAAACTCTGGTTACATATCTATTTTCAATATTCTCTTAATAACTGTTCAGAACACATGTCTAGCCTTTTATTAGATGACAAATGAAAGCTCTTACCATCCTCTTTTGTTCTCTTAACAACCACAGAGCTCTTTGGTCCATCACCAGTAGAAGTAAAGGCCAACACTTGAAATTCATATTCTGTGTACTTATCAAGACCAGTGACATTTCTGTTTAACGTTGATTCACTATTGATTGAAAGGACGGTTCCTGGCACTGAAGAGCTTTTCTTTTTGTAAAAAAATTTAAATCCTTTGATTATTCCGTTTCTAGAATTTTCTGCTGGTAACTGCCAGGATGCTCCAACACTGGTGGAAGAGGTTGCATTGACCATGAAGTTAGATGGAGGTTGTGAAGGAACTGCAATTGGACAGTGTTTTCATCAGTATACTCATTTTTAAAAAAAATTGTAAATACTTGGTGTAAAATCTTCACTTGTCAATTCATATTTATTGTTGTTAGATTTCGAAAGTTTTGATAGAGTAAATAATTGATTTGATCCAAGGTAACTGTATGGTTATCCATTCCTTTGGTCACCTAATCAACTTCTAACCTGTCACATACCATCTTCCATTGTCCTTTCCACCTCAACAGAACTCTTTGGTCCATCACCATCAGAAGTAAAAGCCAGGACTTGAAATTCATATTCTGTGTACTTATCAAGCCCTGTGACATTTTTACTCAATGTTGATTCCCCGCTTATAGTCAAGATTGTTACTGACACACCCGAAACCTTCTTTGTGTAAAACACTTTAAACCCTATAACAGTTGCATGTCTGGCATAGACTGGTGGTAACTGCCAGGAAGCTGCAATGCTGATGGAAGATGTTGCAGTCAGCTTGAAGGCAGTAGGAGGCTGTGATGGAACTGAAATAAACATAAAGAGATGTAAAATGTATGTTTCCATGCTTAGCTGATAATTGATGAGAAATTTATCAATAACATCTGAATAATACTTCATTTAACAGTGCAGAACTTCATCACCATTCATATGTGGCAACTTAGGGTACAATAGTCTAGTCCTCCACATATGTAACAAAGTTAAACTGTATCTTTCTTTTCCAAAAGCTAGCTGTGGGAGCCATTTATATTTTTGTATAACTAGTCATTACTGTTCTGTAAATTGTCCAATTTCACCTTAATTTCTCCATTGTTATTGTGACTTCAGTTTGGATCAGCGGGACAAAAATGAGAACAAATAAATACCTTTAGTGAAAAGTATTCCATAAGCCTCCACTCTCAAAACCTTGAACCTATTATACTTTGTTGGCAAAAAGCGTATAAACTTTGCACTTGCAAATTCCTTTAGACTGTTTTTCACTGTGTCAGTTTTTCCTGAATTTCCTGGAAAGGCCTGTTAAACAAAAAGTGATATCAACGTATTGAAACTTGGCATAGTTAATGGTTTACTGTAATTTGTGAAATGAGATCAATTAAAACCTGCAACTTGAATTTGGAAAACGACACCTGTAATTTGCAAAATGAAAATCAGTAGTTTTGTAACACAAGTACTAGTTTTCGCTGTTGTAAATACTTGTATATATGAGCATGCCATACCAACCTTGTCAAGTTTGTTTTCTGTATAGGGGAGAAAGGTGGTACCATTGAAAGAAAATCTCAGTTTGTACTCTGTGGTCCATTCTTGAGCAGTTGGTGATTGGGATGGTGGATTTCCTTGAGTAGCAACAGCACAGATAACATACTCATAGAGAAGGTCAATTTGTAGGTAGTCATCACGATCATTAGTCTTAGGTTCCCATGCCCGTCTTCCATTAAGACGACCATATTTAGCTGCATATATGGCTCTAAATATTGAACTGGCTGAGAAGCTGCTATCTGGAATTCTACCACCACTGGCCAAACCAATTGCCTGTGAATCACATGCTGCAAGGTAACAATTTTAAAGTTAACCTTCCCATCCTAAATATCACATGTATGTTTTTTGTGTAATTCATTGAATACACTTCTAAACAATCTGTAGGAAATAATTGCAGAAATACAGAAAAAGAGCGATGGAAAAATAGTGATGAGGCCATAATTAACTGTTTGGAAATAACCAAGTGAATGCTGCAAACAGATATCATTACTGGAATACCTGTGGTAGCCCAGTCATAAAATGCCTTCGTTTTTTTGTCGTCTTTTTTTTTTTTTTCCCTCCGCCACAAAATGGAAAAATTGCGCAATAGTACCCAGAGGTCATTGGGCCCTCAACACCATGACAACTAACTGTGATCCAATGAGGTGTTCACATGCTGATCACGCGTGTTATCACTCAACACCATGACAACGAACTGTGATCCAATGAGGTGTTCGCATGCTGATCACGGGTGCTATCTTGATGATGATTGACGTTGTCATGCACAGACAAGGCCGGGTCACATGACGAATCACAAGATTTTGCTTATAAAACTCTTTGGTCAGTTATTTTGTATTTCAACGTATTTGGATTGCGATCTCCTGGGGCATTATGGTGCAAACGCGCAAAATACTTACAGACGCATATATAAGTCGTATTAATCGCGGCTAATCCACACTGAAAGATGTTATTGAGCGGTAATTTTGGAACGGATTGAGTCGCGAACGCTTGAAAGCCTTGAATGCCTTGTATGCTAAGTATGCCAATGTCTTAGTTGAAAAACGTTCACTTGTTGTAAAAAGCAAAATCTGAAATCTGAAACCAAACTGCATATACTCTATGCAATCTATTGAACAACACTACTACCGTGAGACTGAAGAACATAACTATAGTGGATGCAAAGTGCTAGTGAAGAAAGACGACATGTTGGATTCACTTGATGGCAAGGAACGTAGCTACGATAACAGTACGAATGGTATTAATTTCACGATCAGAAAGGTGAATCTTATGTTTGTTTTCATTGTAGTTGTATGGATATTCTTTTTTAATAAACACGAGATCCAAAACCCTGTGTTTTTTTGTGTATAATGTTATTATGTTAAATATTGTTTACGCAATTGTCTTGTCACAGGCGGCCCAAGCTCACGTCTCGAGAAAAAGCCAACGATTAATTCATGAACGCGTCACGCGTTGTGTGACTCGGTGTTAAGTTACGAGAGGAACTGCACGTTATAAGGAATAGTATAGGGAACGAAGTATGGTCGATTTACAACGATACATATTTCGAAATATGAACATTTTTCTCGTAAAATCAATAAAACTTACTCATACCCTGTGTATCCGTTGTATTTTCTGGCGATTTCTGCCGTTTTAAGCTTGCTTTACCATCACTGTTATTCACGTCATCTACTTTTATTACGTTGGTAAAATCTGTACAGACATCACACCAACCAACTCGCGCGCAAAGTAAGAAGACTATATTGAAGGCTTGAAATAATATTGCGATCGATTTTCATCAAGAAATGGGCCAGGAATATTCCACAATAGTGCAAATAGTCGTGAGGGCGGATCGCAGAAAAGCGATTGCGTGACGCTCGGTAAGCTGTAGATGATATGTTATTATATACCAGACGTAAAAACTCTTCAGATTCTTAGTCTGCATTTTGTACCCAGACTGCAGTCTATATTTTGTATCCGGTCTGCAGTCTGCTGTCTGCATTTTTTACTAACAGGTATCCGTGGCACCAATACAGTTTATTTTTGGTTACATTTATTCGCAAAACACACATAATCTACCACAAAATACCTGTGAGTGAGGTAATTCGACATTTTCGTTCTTTCCCACATTAATATTATTCTCTCCTTTTGTAAGAATGTAGACATCACTCACAATGTTTCAAGTAATCCACCCACCCTACAAAAAAGTAACTCTTGCATGCATAGCATGCCTATGTTTTGAAATAGGTGTATGCCCTTGGCCAGACTTGAGCGCACTATTTCAGTATACTAGTCCGACACCCGTAGTATCACTACACTTAATTCCAAGGATCCAGTACCATCCAGGTATCCCAGTTACCCTGCTCACAGGGTCTAGTTACATATGATATGTTGTGCGGCTGCTCCAATGAAGTGATTGCCCAGAATGGATCCCTAACGTTTCTGACTTTGATTGTAACAGAAGTGAAGCCGTGACATGAGGAACTCCATTTGTGGTAATTGAATTTTCTCTTGCAATCCTCAGCTCATAACGCTAAGAGCCTTGACAATCCACCACTAAACACGAAACACAAATTTCTTCATCCCATCACTTGGAAGTTTTAAATTAATGAGTGTAATTAAGAGTGCAAGTTTCAGCTTACACAGTGTGGGTTAGTTGCTATGCCAGAGTGTTCAAAGAGTGATTTGTATCATCAAAGCTACATGTACTAATCCAAATAACAATTATCAACATAATAAATTAAAATGGCCACTAAATTTAGAACCTTAAATTGTGACCTACCACGGGAAAACGTACTCTAACGGCTTTCCGTTTTCAAACGGCTTTCCGTTCACTAGCCGTTTGTCAGCCGTTCAGAAAAATTTGCATCTGTTTGAACGGCTTCGGCCATCCGTTCGATAGAAACATCCATCCGTTCGACCGGCTTGATCATCCGTTCGTCGAAAACATCAGCTCGTTCGAACGGCTTTGTCATCCGTTCTCGGAAACATCAGCCCGTTCGACCGGCTTGGTCACCCGTTCGTCAAAAACATCAGCCCGTTCGAACGACTTGGACTATTTTCCGTCAAACGACTTGTATCATCCGTTTGGAAGGTTCAGGATTCCATAGTGTTGCGTTACCTGTCACACAGGTCCGCTTTACGCAAATGTCGCCAGTTTGAATTATAGTAACACCAGAAATGGGATCGTGCGCGGAATAGTTATGTTTGCCGCATCGAATTCACTGTCAAAAGAAAAGATATAGGGAACAATTTGGGAACATGCAAAGCTGCTAGAAAAAAGTTGCAGTCGCGTTTTTGTGCAATAAAGCGGCAATAAACACTCGACACGGCACAGATAAATAATGACAACTTGACATTCACGGGTTATTCGAGGTTTGCTTTTAATTAATAAAAGACGCTGAACTAAGTTTCTGTTTAACAAACTTGAATACTTCGTCAGGCAATTTTCTAGCGGCTGTGGGAAGTCAATACTTTATTACATCAGAACAGTTGACTATCCGTTCGAACCTACTTAAACGTGAATCGGACCGGCTCTGTCCATTCGTTCGGAATGATAACCTATGCGTTCGGCTCTTACGGCAATTGCTTCTCATGAAATTAATCGTAAATCCATTCATCCATCTGTGTCAACCCGTTCGAAAATTTTCACAAGCCGTGCAGTCGTTTGCGTTACCCGTTCGATAATTTTCACAAGCCGTGTAGTCGTTTGGGTAACCCGTTCAAGAATTTACACAAGCCGTTCGGAATACTTGATAGCTCGTTCAGCAGTTCGGTAGCATCCGTTCGATAGCATCCGTTCGAACGGGTGAGTTACCCGTTCGGTAGCCGTGCGTTTCACCCGATTAACGGAAAGCCGTTAGTGCACGTTTTCCCGTGGAAGGTCACCTTTGCTTATAGATTAACAAAGTACCACAGATAACTGTGAAATGTAAGGATCAAATTGAGGATGAGTGCAATATTACACAAAAGTTTCTAGACTTACTTGGCTTCTGTTTCACTCCAAACACCTCTGTTCTCATACACACCTCACCCTGGTGTTTTTGTGGCAGGAATCGCAAATATCTTGTCAACACTCCATATACAACATGTTTGACATTTGAGTTTCTATCCTTATTTCCCTCTAAAACCTTAGGAAAATGATTATAACTCATCAAAGAGTTCCAGGTAGAATGTAAAATGTAACTATAATTGTAACTCTTCATCCTGGTGAAACTAATCATCCCTCTTGTTTTATGACAGGAAATACTTTTATTGTTGTCACAATAGTTGGGCTGGGTGGCTCAATTAATCTTCATAAAAACAGAAAAATATAAATGTAGGTGTAGGAATAAGGCCTGACATTTAGGGAAGAGGTCCACTGGACTAAGCATCCATGAATAGATCATAATTTGACCATTGGATTATAAAAAATAGCACACTGACCCTCGAAGGTGAACTCTAGCTAATTTCTACAACTGCAGTTTACCTATGACAATCAATTTTTATTACTTCTTGGATTGAGAGCAGCAATCTCTCAGCAATTAGATATCATTTGTTCTGCACTCCTTTGACAACCCTTTTTGTACCATAAATATTTGGTGCAATAACATAGTTCAAAACAATTTGTTAGATTCCCTGTCCATTTCTCCTTTGTATTCTTTATGCAACCTTGACTTCAAATTCAGGCATGCAAAATATAATTTGCTGAATGAAAAATAATTACTCAAAATTCATGATATTTACTGAGCATGAGGAGAATACTTGTTGAATTTTCATAGTTCAAATAATCCTCTGCATACCTATAACTCCTTTGGTGGCTATTTTGATATACATATATATGTAAATGCATCAACATTGTCAAAACTCAGGAACAGTGATTGAGGCAAGATATCATATAATTCTCAACAAGCCCATGTGGCATACCTTAACCTGCCCACTGAATTCCATATAGTCTGTCCAAGTTGTCCCATTTGTAGATAATTGTAGCGTGTAGTTCTTCACCCACTGATCTGCTTGAGAATTCCCTTGAGTAGACACAGCACAGATGATATGAAGTGTCTGTAGATCAATCTGTAGATATGGGTTAGTGTCACTCGTTCCTGCACACCATGATGAACCTGATGTGAAGTTCAGTCTACCATTCTTGGCTGGTGTGCTGACACTTTGTACTGAAGAAGCAGTTATTTTACTATCTGGAATAGTTCTACTTCCCATTCCAAGATCTAAATCAACACAGGCTCCTACAGAAACAAAATTTACATTTGCACTATAACACAGTTATAATAATCATAGTAACATTGAAGAATGGTTGGATGTGAGAGACATATGCATGTCTTGAATCTCTCTATAAGGTATGTGTCGTACAAAATCCATGTCACAAATAGGGACAATTAGAGCTGGTCTGCCTCTAAAAATATTTATCAATTTGATTACAAATTTGGAGGAAATCTAAATCTGATCATTAAAACTGCAAATGGAAATACATCGGGTCTCATTTTTGATGGTGTCCATTTTTAGAGAAAATGAGGAAAGATTTACGTTTCGAAAAACTGATGTGCTGCATCAAAGAAAAATAAATTGCTACAGCGAATTCGAGAAGCCTGGGTCGTTAGCCCTTCCTTGGAGCAAGGAGAAGTTGACTTTCAGTGTAAATGCACAATTTTGGGAGCGCAAGGTAGATATGTATTAGACTGGTCCAAATTCAAAGCTTTCAGTAGATAGGAAAGGTGAAATAAATTCCAAGAATGCTTTAACCTGAAATTGATGCAGATGTTACCACTCAATTTATTCGTTGAAACAGGAATTGAGCTTGATGTAAAAACAGGTAGATTCTTAACCGTACTATTCTTTTAAGATGACATTTTAATTACGAAAAAACAAGGAATCCCGAGGGACCCTCGTTTCTTTCTGATATTGATTCTGTTCGCAATGAGGATTAACCTGTGACCGTACGGCTACACTACTCACGACTGAAAGAAATCTCCCACAAAAGTACCCTGAATGTAAATTTTAAAATAAAATAAACCTTTCTAATTGATTTAAGATTGTATGGTACTCACCTGAAGTCAGTGGAAAAAGTACAGCGAGAAAAGCTACCCGGAAACAATGATTAAAGTGCGTCATCTCGATTGAGTCAGTCACGGTATGCGTGTATCACGATCGTTTTGCTTGACCGGTCTTCTATAAACGAAAGTTCATCCGAAAAAAGATTGTCTCCTCACTATTTAAACTTGGCTTTGTATGATTTGTAGCAATATCGTCCGCGGTTTCAGAAAAACAATCAGTCTCTTCGTAGGCCGAGTAGTTTCGTTCGATAACAAGATGACATAAGCTTGAGGGTGTTGATATTTCCCACAATGCCGTGGGCTGCAGCTCATAATTCATCATAATTCAGCTGATTTCAGTACGTAACAGCTTATAAGTTAAAATTTAACCACCTTCTCAGAGATGAGAAGGAAGTAAGTTTACATTCTCAGATCTTCTCATACCCATGTACATAGGAAAAGGCAGAAGAACTCAAAAACGACTTCATTATCGACAGACATAAAAATTACGTCGAATTCCCTAACTACGCCCGCTGACGCGCTTTTTAGTACACAGAAGTAACCCCTAAGCAAAGTCCGTGTTTTCTCACTTGTCAAGCAACAAGTTATATTCCGTTTAACTACTCTTGGACGAAAGATGGCCAGGTTCCAACTGGTGATGGCATCAAGTTGATGAATAACAGTATCATCGTCACGCCACGGGATACACAAGATTATGGGCAATATGTGTGTCACGCTTCAAACAGCTTTGGGTCAACAAAGTACAAAATCACTCTACTTCCAAGATGCTTTGTGCACCTGGTGAAAGAAAACAAACGACTTTCAAACCAACTATTAAACACCAAAGACCGCTTAGTTACTTTGTTTCACTGCAATGATGTTTTTTTTTTCAAGTATATTCACCCTTAAGAACACGACGTTGTTTTTTAACCCCGAAACATGAACACCCTTCCAAACTTTCTGTTGTCTCGTCTCTTAGCCGTACTTCATCAAATGCCAGAAATTTCTTATGCCTATTAACTCGAAGTCACATACATGACCTTCAGTAATTTCGAACAAGCAGGACAACTAATAGGAGAAATACAGGCATATTTTAGTTTTGAGCCCCCTCAAAATTAGTGTATAAAGCTCTGTTTTGATTATGTTACAACCTAACGGGCCAATTATGATATATGGAATGATCTACCTGTATTGCACACTCTTATAACATTCTAACTGAAGAGAGAAAATGTAACTTCACACAGAACAACGTCGGCGTATGAGACCACCACATAATATTGCTTTTGAAACATAAATGGTTATACCAAACAACTGTAAATAGAAGTCCATAAACTCCACACTGGACTTCAAAGTTCTAGGCTCTCCAAACTTTTTAAACGAAAACATTTGAGCACGTTCAAATATTGAGGAAGAATATTTACCGTAATCATCTTCATTATCCCTTGGAGAAAGCAGAGTGATTTTGTACTCTGTTGACCCAAAGCTGTTTGTAGCGTGACAAACATACTCCCCATAATCTTTTCCATCCCGTGGCGTGACGACGATATTGTTATTCATCAACTTGATGCCATCACCAGTTGGAACCTGGCCATCTTTCGTCCAAGAGTAGTTAAACGGAATATAACTTGTTGCTTGACAAGTGAGAAAACACGGACTTTGCTTTTCACATATCACTGAGCAAGGGGAAAATTCTTCGATAATTCTGGGTGGCACTGTGTGAAAAAAAGGGAAAACGTAATGATACCAAAACAAGTTCAGACAAAATTATAAAATTATAGGTAGAGGTAGGTAGAATCGATGCGTCCTCTTTGATTCTTTCACTTATATATACTCAGCTCTGCTACCACAGCATTGAGCACTTTATGTCAAGGCAGACTCTACCCCCACATTTATGTAGATATATGTGTATAAAAGTTCAAGGGTAGGTCACACATCTTTCGCTTGCAGCAAGGCAGTGCTATTCTTGATGAGCGCGCGGGCTGTGACGAAATATTTTCGCATTAACAGGTCTTTGCGGGGTAAGCAACAATAATGGGGGAAAATAGCTCGGTAGAGACCATTTGCAGCAGGAACGCAAACTCTTCACGGTTTCCTGGTACACGGAGATCTGCTTCAAGCGAACTTGCTACGAACGTCAAGAATTAGACAGCGTTTGGTTCCACAGTAACTTTATTTTAGTTCATGTCGACAACCGAATGACAAAATTCTATTAGTGAATGAAAAGAAATAGACAGAAGAGACATGGTATACCAAGGTCAGATACATCTTTTCGTGAAAACGTTTTATTCCATTATCTACAACTATTTTGTTACTTCTGTACATTTATTACTTATTCATATGTTATTGCCTTGGAAAAATCTTACCAATCATTTTCTTCAATTCGTAAATACTCTATTATCTTGAAAATTGTTTGAGGCGCAAATACTCTACAATCTTCTATACAGTTATCTACAAACACAACACAGTAATATTCTGAAGTCTAAAATTATTGCATTACTTTAGGGTAAAAGTGAACAACAATATATTGTGTTTACAGTTAAGAAGAATTTACGGTTTATAAAAATACATTGAAAACGTTCACAATTTCCAATAAATGACTCAAACAATAGAAACCTCTTTAAAAATATAAAATATAAGGAACAACTGTCAATTATAGTTGAAAATATCAAGTTTTAACGCTTTGCTCTATGTTTACATCTGATGACTCTTAACATATCCAAAAATAATTTTCTATTTTTAATTGTTACTTCTGGCTCAGAACCCACCTTGAACTAAATTCAGGCCCCGTCCACACGTATCCGGATAAATTTGAAAACGGATAAATATTTATACGGTTACGGGTTCCGTCCACACGTAAACGGCGTTTTCACGCACCGAAAACGGATAAATTTGAAAACGCTCTCCAGAGTGGATAAATTTGAAAACGCTGGCTAAGCGTCTCCGTGTGGACGCCTTATCCGGATAAATTTGAAAACGATTTGAAAACGATGACGTGATGATTTTGATTTTGATTTTTATCAGTGATGGGGTCAAAGTCACTGTTTCGATTCAGGAAATCAGAGATATGTACGTGTGATCGTCTTTTAAGAGTCTCACACAAAGTTTAGAATTTCATTTATCTCTCGTTCGAGGTTATAACTAAATGCTCCGATCCAGGTATATGTGATTCCTTGTATAGCATTTTACACAAATCAAATGCAAAATATATACCGTAGTTACATGGATACATGTAAATATAACAAAGATGTTAGTATTGAATTCGAACTGACCCAATCAAAGGTTGTTACAAGCTAAGGAGGCCCGTAAGGCTCCACTGCCTTAAAATGACCATTAAAGTACTTTGATGAGAAACCAATTGCAGCAATGTCTGTTCTTGAAGTAAACAGACTGCAATCCCTAGCTGCATCTACTGAGGAAGCAATTGTGATCATATGTTTTTTCTTCATAGATGATAGATAACCGCACCGTACGCGAAATCATGATAGTAACAGTAACCGTGACAACGGTGAGTAGGTCGAAACTTCAAATGCGTGCCGTGTATAGTATTGCCAAAGTACTCAAAGCTCCTTTTAGCGAGACAAGAACATCTTCTGCAGGGTTTTCATATTTCCTCATAAATTTCATCATTTTGTTTCCCACCGTTTTCTCTCTGAAATACCACATTGCAATATCCGGGATTTCCGGGTTTTTCCTGTAACGACTGATACTCAGTTGGTACATGAGACTGCTGGTTCGTAAGCCTGGGTTTAAGTTCCATATATAAACTTGGAACTGAAGCTTGTTGATCACTTGACTGTTGATCGGGTGAAGATTTGACAGCTCGTCTCCGCTGCCATATGAACACACCATTCATAATGAGTGACACAATCACAAGGCAAGACAATGCGATGACAATAGCTAGAAGGATGCTTTGTGTACCTTGCCAAAAGGGAAAAAACCAAACTATCAAACACTAATAACCTAGACTAAGTAAATTAAAAATTCCTAATGTTCTACTTAGTTTCTTGTTTCGAGGCAATAATGTTCTCTTTCATATTATAAAATATGACGTTTCTCTTACCTCGAAACGAGAACACAGTTTCAAACTTTCTCGAATCGTCCCTAGAGATCGTTCTTAATTGTTTCGTACAAATTTCCTAAAATCAAACAAATTTCGTTGTATGCTACAAATTTCTCGAACATCTCTTCGGGTCAACTACAGTGTATATCACCCCCAAAAATATAGAACCTGTATTATGTGGAAAGACACGGTCAGATTTTACTTTTGAGTCTTTAAACATTGGTAGCTGTATTTCGCCTTAGTTACAATCTAACAGGCAAACTTTGATACATGCACCGCGTACCAAAATCATGTTCTTACGGAAGAGACAAAAGTACCTTCACACTGAACAGCGTTGGCGTCTGAGACCACCACATAATTTTGCTTTTGATACCAATATGATTAAACCTGTACAAACAGTTATCATCAGCAGCTCGGAAAACGCCAGCTCAGACCTCAGAGTGCTAAGCTTTCCAAACTTTGTGAGACGAAAAATTTTAAGCGCGTTTGAATTGTGAGGAGGGATATTTACCGTCATTATATTGAGTATCCTTAGGAGCAATTAGAGTGATTTGGTACTTTGTTGATCCAAAGCTGTTTGTGGCGTGACACACATACCGACCATAATCTTGTGCATCCCGTGGCGTGACAATGATACTATTATTCATTAACTTGATGCCATCACCAGTGGGAACCTGGCCATCTTTCGTCCATGAGTAGTTAAATGGAATGTAACTTGTTGCTTGACACGAGACAAGACACGGAGTTTGCTTTTCACACATCACTGAAGAAGGTGAAACTTCTTTTATAATGCTGGGTGGCACTGTGTGTGAAAAAAAGAAAGAGGCCAAAATAAATTCAGGCAATGTCACTTGTATCTAAAATCCTGCAAGGAAAATCAAAGAAATCCATCATGATGTGCTTTTCGCTTGCACATTAGTTAGTTCTCTCTGTCGTCGTTGTTGTGTTTTTTCACCTTTCTTCCCATTTTCAAACATTTGATTAGTTTGAGTTCACAGAGAGATACATCAGTGACCTGCCAACAACTGCCTGAAGACGGGGTGCAAACAGGTTGTCAAGGTGATGATATTAGTGCTTTGTAGAACATTTGTAGGTCATGACCTTTGGAAAAACTTTGCTACCTCTTTCACTTAATACCTAAAAAGACACCTGCTCTTCCACGGATTTACTTAAAGGAAGTAAATTATTACGCAACTAATACGCAATTTTTTATGTAAGTCAGTTTCTACGTACCAGCGACAATGAGTGTCGAAGCTGTACGGCTCTCTCCAAATATGTTCATAGCTATGCATTCATAAACGCCACTGTCACCTGGAACAACATTCTGTATAACAAGTATTTTGCCACTGTTTTTGAACTGAGCGCGAGGTATACTGGTGAGTCCATCCTTAGTCCAGGTTACAGAAACTTCAGAGTCTCCATTTACCTCACATGTCAACACTACCAGTTCGTTAAGTGCTACAACGGTTCTTTTTGGGAGGTCTTTGATGACGGGATTACCTGAGTTTCGATAAACATAGATTAAATATTCCTTCTTAAAGCTCAACCTGAGGATAATAAGCAGCATCAAGACATGTTACTGAATTACTTACGAAATATCTGTTCCATAACAGATCTGCTATAAGGTCCGGGCCCCACTGCAGTGTAGCCTCTTATAGACACTGCATACTTGGCACACAAGGAGAGTCCAGTCACGAGAATATAAGTAGCGGTGGTGTTAATGGTTGAAGGATAGGAGGACTGAATCTCTGTACAGTTTTCTTCTACACTAAGCCTGACTTCATAGTTTATAATAGTGCCATAGGCTACTTCCCTTGACAGTCCAAGCCAAGTTATATTGATTTTTCTGGAGTTCACTGCGGATGAGGATATCCCTTCTGGTCCACGACTGGGCTCTATTTCACAAACACGAGAAATAATTTTCATAAAGTAAAATAACTCCTAGATGAAAAATTAACCCAACCTAAGACTAGAATGGAATTCTTCTTTCTTCCAATATTCCCATGTGAAAAATACACAACAAAATGTTAGACATAAATACACTCTGGAGCAGACACTTAAATATTCTAGTCCAAAAAGGTAATAAAAAAAAAAGAAGGGAAATCAGCAAAGAAAAAACATACTACTATGCCTCAGTTAAAACTTAAGTTATTGTACCTGCGTTAAAACTGGAGTTGATCGGTAATCCGTGCTACCCAGCATTTTAACTCATAGGAAGAACGTTTTTATGTATTAGACACACTTTAAGAGTTTTATGGTAATGCAAGACAATACTTTTCAAGGTGAGCAGATCAAATAAAACAGACAAAGTAGATGTTTGAAATCAAATTATTTTTCAATACGAGTGATAATCAACCAGATGAGGTCTTTTCGTGTTGTTATACAATGTCGTGTAAACGTGTTAAAGTGCTTTGAAATTCACTTAAATATAACAAGCTTACCATATTCCCTGGACATCACAGTAATCGTCCTATTTGGTCCAGGTTTAATAGTCACAGCTCTGACATCAAACCGATAAGTCACTCCACCTAACACATCGAGCGTGTGATTCAATGCATCTTTGCCTATTCCAGAAATCTCTTTTGGTGCAACTCCATCGTGGCTGTAAAACAAAGTGTAACTTCTGATAACTCCATTTGGTTCTGCAGGCTCACTCCAGGTCAAGGTTATTCTTGGACCATGCAAATTGCTGGGTGGCACATCAACAGAAGACAAAGATATAGGTGCACTAGGAGCTGGAAGAATACAGAATGATACAGAAAATAATAACGATTTATGTGTATTAAATAACAATTAATTCCAGCCATGTTGCAGCATTTGGGACACATTTAACGTGAAGATGTACTGCCACCATATTTTTGTGTGAAAGGAACTGGTGCTTCCTTAAGGATCATCTAAAAATTACTATACATCTCAGGTCTTCAAAAGAAGCTGTTAAGAGTTGATTTAATCCAACGCATGAAAAAGGAAATCTTCTTAGTATCAAGAAAAAAGCAATTGAAGAGGCGAGGTGAACTATTTGAGCCTGGAGTCTACATTTGAAAGGTAGCAACTTGAATCGATCAGTAAAATCAACCTTATCTCAACAAGTACAATGGTAGAGTTTATTAAAATGTTGGTTAAAGAGTTAACAGTTCCCACCATCTTCCATTGTTGTCCTGAAAACAGAAGAACTGTTTGGTCCATCACCAGCAGAAGTGAAGGCCAACACTTGAAATTCATATTCAGTGTATTCATCAAGTTTGGTAACTCTTCTTGATGTGTTTCCATTGTCTAGTGTCAGGGTGGTTGCAAAACCTGAGCCTTTCTTTTTATAGAATATTTTATATCCTTTGACGATTCCATGTCTGGAGCCTACTGGTGGTAACTGCCATGAAGCTGTGATGCTGGTTGAAGAGTTCACAAATACAGTGAACTGAGAGGGCGGTTGTGAAGGAGCTGCAATTGAGCAATCATGTTTTAATTACGAACTTAAATTAGTGAATCAGACTGACCTTCATTTTCCCTAATAACTGGACTCTGCAGCCTCAACCTTTAACACTTAAAACCTGTTTTTTCTTCTAATTGACACACCTTACATGGCAATGTACAACTCAACTGCAGGATAAAAGAATTTCTAACCAATTCTTAAACTGAAAAAAATACATTATTAGAAAAATCGCCGCTCTTCCCTTGCATGGGTATTGCAGCTAAAAGTAATAATTATGTTCCTATGTTTTTAGATAAATGAAACCTTCGTATTTAAGGTCTTTAAGCAAGGCAATAAAAGCTACGACCTCGCGGTGAGAGAATCCGATTGCCATAAAATGGAGAAAAAACTATCTCTCTTATTTATCACTTTCAACATTGCCAACACCACACCTAACTGGTATCCTAATAGATGCTTCATGAAATTAACGTAAACGTAAATTGGCCACCGTAAAGGGTTACAAAGCTGCCGTTTCCAGCATTAGCCTTTCGTCACAGCGAAAGAAACTGAAAAAAGTTTGACATGTTCCTTTGCAACGAAGCAGAGCTATACATGAGTGCATAACACCATTTATTCACACCTACAACTGAAGGGTATTGCTATATTCTTGGAAAGGATCCTCAAGAGGAATAGCCGAATCCTCTTTTACTAGCCCGAGAACTCCTGCTTTCTGCTTCCTTTTGGCAACGTATCACTTTTCCTAACTACCAAGTATCTTAAATGCGAGTCTTTAATTTATTGACATTTTGAACTTCAAAAAATTACTTCCGAGACCCATGAAAATGGTTAAAAATAGGGTATTTTGTAATAATATCAATAACATGGATGCGCATGGCAAGGTGTCTCACTATAAAATTCAGAAAACCATATACACTTGAAAAATTGCAACTTTGGAACGCTAACTGTGTAAAGATTTATCAGATCCGAGATCAAGCAAACAAACGTATCTTATAAGTTTTTTCAAGACTGTTTGATCACTACTTTGGGGCTGAGTAGCATTAGTTGAGTAACATTAGTTAAACAATTAGGATCGCTTAAGTCTTCAGTTAGCAAAGAAAAAGACATTTTGTTAATTGATTCACAACAAATGGCAGTCATTTATGCTTACTATTCATTTTCAACAATCCTCATCTTATTTCCTGACTTTTTTATTACTTCATATATGTAAAGTAGTGTAGGTGAATCATTTTTAGATTATTTGTACTATAGTATTAATATTAATGAAGATACCTGTAGACTGGAGTAATTTAGCTAGTAGTGGCTTTCTCCCCTACTTTTGTGTTATTCCAATTAATAAATAGGTGTCACCCACTAGCCCTTAAGTTATTTTGGGTGACCGGCTACTGTCTGTTTTTTGAATTTACAGAATATATTAAAACTTATCTTAGTATGGTAAACTAACATTATTGTCATTCGTGTTCTTGTTCTTCTGAAAAGAAGTCATTTCAAAGACATGGACGTAAAGTTTACCGTATTCCTTGGTAGTTACTGTTTTCGTGGCATTTGGTCCAGGTTTAATAGTCACAGCTCTAACGTTAAACTGATACGTCACTCCAACTAACACATCAACTGTGTGATTCAGTGCATCTCTGCCTATTCCAGAAATCTCTTTTGGTGCAACTCCATCGTGACTGTAAAACAAAGTGTAACTTCTGATAACTCCATTTGGCTTTGCAGGCTCACTCCAGGTCAGGGTTATTCTTGGACCGTGTGACTTGCTTGGTGGCATATCAACAAAAGACAAAGATAAAGGTGCAGTAGGAGCTGGAAGAATAAACATAATGAAATTATTAAAAAAAGAATTATACAGAAAATCATTACATATTAATAACAATTAACCCCAAGTGTATTGCAGTTAGTTGTGAAGGACCTAACTTTTTCCTAGGAATAATACAAAAACTAAATAAACCACTAGCTCATCTGAGCAACTGAACAACTCAAGTCATGAGAACAAACTTCTAAGGACTGATTATTCCCAACCCATGACAAAGGAGACCTTGTTCATGACAAGAAAAAAAATTAATTGAGGAGACAAGCTGAATTATCGAGGCTGGGGTCCACATTTAAAAGCTATCACCCTTAATAAGACACACGAGGAAATTACTTAGTTCTGTTACGTTACGATAAATGCAGGGTTAATTCAGAGCAAAGAAGTAACAAACCAGACTGACCAGTTCCTTGAACTGTTTAGCCGGACTTTGAACTTTTTTGCGCCTTAAAGATGTGAAAACATCGTTATATATTGTTGTTTTGATCGTACGCGGTTGTTTTACCCAAAGCACAATGTCACTTGCAGGGTTTGAATAAATTATTTCTGAACTTGATGCGTGCTATGCTTCTGCATAATTATGATAAGCTTTCGCGAATTTTTTTATGTATATTATTGATACGTAATCACATCATTTTTCTCGTGCAATTTGGAATAAATATGCACTTCTAAATTTTTTTTCAAAGACTACAAATTGCACTCGCCCCACGGGCTCGTGATGATGATGATGGTATAACTAATTCAAATGTTGGTTAAGGCACTTCTGATTCTCACCATCTTCCATCGTTGTCTTGAAAATAGTAGAACTGTTTGGTCCATCACCAGCAGAAGTGAAGGCCAACACTTGAAATTCATATTCAGTGTATTCGTCAAGCTTAGTAACTCTTGCTGATATGTTTCCATTGCCAAGTGTCAGGATGGTTGCACAACTTGAGTCTTTCTTCTTATAGAACAGTTTATATCCTTTGATGATTCCATGTCTGAAGCCTACTGGTGGTAACTGCCATGAAGCTGTAATACTGGTTGAAGAGTTCACAAATACAGTGAACTGAGAGGGAGGTTGTGAGGGAGCTGCAATTGAGCAGTCATATTTTAGTTTGCATCTTTAAATAATGAACCGGACTGAGTGTTATTTTCCTAATTACAACAGCCTCTGTAAATGGCTAACCTGCAGCTACAACTGAGAAGTTTTCATCCAGAAAGATATTAATGTCTCTCTGAGAAGGAGGCAAATTCACATTTACACATGTCTGAATTGTAAATGCAATTACATTATAAATAGTTAGTCTCAGAATCGGCCCAGCTGATTTTAATTTTCCGTAGCAGTAGTTTCTAATAACACTAAACAAAACCAATTACTGTACCAAAACGAAACTGAAAACAGTTTAACATGGACCTTTTCACTAAAACAGTGCTACAGATGAGTACATGACACCGTCTACTTGCGCTTACAGCTCAAGGATATGGTCAATTTTTTCAAATAGATCCTCAAGAGGAACTGACCCTTTCCTACCTCAGTGACTCCTGATTTCTCCTACCTTTTGGCAACATAACGCTTTCCCTCACTGCTTGTCAGTATATTAAGTTTTGAGTGGTTAATGCTTGCGAAAACAGGTTTACGCGGTTCCCTAATCTCACGATTTTTTGAAAGTCAAAAGATTAATGGGTAACAATATGGTATGTTGTAATATTATAACCATGCATGTACTGGGGCAGGTGTCTTTTTATAAAATTCAGGAAGCCATAGACACTTGAAATAAAATTTTTTCTCTGGAATTTCGATCGTGTTGAGATCTAGCTATTACATCAGAGCTCTGGCAAACAAACAATTAAAGATAGAATTCTATTCCTTACCAGCCTCCTTTGTTTTCTAAAAATAGCGGTACTGTTTGGTCCATCCCCAACAGAAGTGAATGCCAATACTTGAAATTCATATTCTGTATACTTATCAAGCCCAGCGACTTCTTGAGTGTGAATTGCCTGACTGCTAATGAGCTGCATGCTTCCCGCCCCTGAAGAGCCTTTCTTTTTGAAGAACAATTTATATCCTTTGATGATTCCATTTCTGGAGTATTCTGGTGGTAATCGCCAGGATGCTGTTATACTTTCGGAAGTAGTTGCAGCCAGAGTAAAGCCATTAGGAGGCTGTGAAGGAACTGCAATTGAGAAGTTCCATACGATAATGAAAAAATGATAGCTATCCTAACGAAAAAACAAGTCACTAGGATCGTCATCTTCTTATTATTTTTAATAAAATAATCACTTAGTAGCAGCAACCAGTAAACTAAGGCTATCACTCTTATGGTCTCTCTATCTTTAGTACGAACAGTTAAATAAACTTCTCGAGAATTTTGTATGTTCCAATACTTCTGTCATTGCCATTTTGGGACGCCGAGTCTTCCAGACTTTTAGCCAGTTGTTTTTGCTTTGGTAATTGTGAAGAAGAGCTCCCCAAAAAACCTGTCGGCCAACTGTCGGTCAACTGTCGGCTGACAGTTGGCCGCCAGACGGCTGACAGGTTTTGCCTGAAATATAGGCTACCTGTTGGCCGACAGTGGGCCGACAGTGGGCCAACAGTGGGCCGACTGTTGGTAATGTGTCAGTAACCTGTTGGTAGCTTGTCGGTAAAACATTAACACAAACCTTAATGTTTTCTCTCGGTTTTCGCTTGATACAACATCCAACATGTGTAATACACTGGTTAGCTGTTGGTAGACTGTCAGTAACCTGTCGGTCAACTGTAAGCCAACAGTTGACTGAAAGTCGGCTGACAGGTTTTTCGGGGAGCTCTTCTTCACAATTACCTTTGCTTTGTTGGGTGTTCTTGTTTTGAGCACTCTCCTTCAAAATTTGAATTTAAAAGTTGTTACCTTCTGCTAACCTGTCACTCATTTTGTTGTTGTTGCTTTTGTGTTTGTCTTTTTTTAAACATTTATGCCAAAAAAAACCCAAATCAAATCCAAAAACAAACTATAAATTTGCGACGCAACTAAGGGTGCACCATCAAGATCTAAATCCACAAGGAAGGAAACCTATAATAACAGCCAACACAATTGCTACTATACACTTTCATGTAAATTTTCATCTGAAAATAGTTATGATTTAATTGCAAATCAGAATGCTTACTTTATGTTAGTGTATCTTCAAATAATTACCTTCCCACTCATGCCTCACTGATATACCAGTGTGTTAAATCATGGCCATTCCCCTCTCAAAACAGCTTAATTAGATATTTTCACTTTTCATATTACTTCAGAAATTGTATGAAAGGCATGTGTATCTGGCATTCATAGGTCATGATAATTTTAGAATATAAAACAAAAATTTGCTCTAACCATCTTCTTTTGTTCTCTGAACAACAACAGAGCTGTTTACACCATCACCAGCAGAAGTAAAGGCCAACACTTGAAATTCATACTCTGTGTACTTATAAAGCCCATTGACATTCTTGTTTAAAATTGATTCACTGTTGATAGGAAGAATGGTGCCTGAACCTGATGAGTCTTTCCTTTTGTAAAACAATTTGAATCCTTTAATTATTCCATTCTGGAAGTTTGCTGGTGGTAGTTGCCATGATGCTGTTACACCAGTAGAGGAGGTTGGAGTGACACTGAAGTTAGATGGAGATTGTGACGGAGCTGCAATTGGGAAGTAGTGTTTTTAATTAGTTTAATTAGCTGAAAACTTCTACCACTCCTTAACTAAATTGCCACATGAATGTAAATGTTGTTTTGGTAAATTAAAGTAATCAATTAATTCAATTCTTTAGCCTTCTCATCATGAGATTGCTATGTATTCAATAAACCCTCAGTGAAGATGCAAATTAAAAAAATATGGTTCACAGTTTTTTTCATTATCCCTGGACTGTCACATACCATCTTCCATTGTTCTTTTCACTTTCACAGAACTTTTTGGTCCATCACCATCAGAAGTGGAGGCCAAAACTTGAAATTCATATTCTGTAAACTTATCAAGCCCACTAACAGTTTTACTTGATGTTCTTCCATCACTAATAGGCAAGGTTGTTGCTGACCCACCAGAACTTTTCTTTTTGTAAAACAATTTAAACCCTGTAATGTTTCTGTGTCTGGCAAAGACTGGTGGTAACTGCCAGGAAGCTGTGATGCTGGTAGAAGAGCTTGCAGTCAACTGGAAGGCAGTGGGAGGTTGTGATGGAACTGTATTAACAACAAGAAATGTATGCTTGAATTCATGGATGATAATAAATGTAAAGTTTTGAAAGGAACATGTCATTAACAACCATGGGAAACCTAATGGGCATTATATACATGTATTGATTAATAGCAGTGTGGATAATCAGAGGTGGTGACTTTGTTTATCCATTTAACATATTTTCCCCATGATGTTCTTTATGGTTTAGGCTTCACAACTTTGTTGATAGGCATTTCACAGCCATCTTTGACATCTTCTTTTAATATTTGTTAAACAAAACAATGCCCTGGTATATGTAAATTGCCCAATCCTGCCTTAATTTCTCTAATAATTACTTATTGTGACTTAATTTTGCATCAGAGGGACAAAAGTGAGAACAAATAAATACCTTTAGTAAAAAGTATTCCATAAGCCTCCACTCTCAAAACCTTGAACCTATTATACTTTGTTGGTAGAAAGCGTATAAACTTTGCACTTGCAAATTCCATTAGACTGTTTTTCACTGTGTCAGTTTTTCCTGAATTTCCTGGAAAGGCCTGCATGTTATACAAAGAGTTGCTGTATTGAAACTTGGCATAGTAAATGATTTACTGTAATTTGGTAAATGAGATAAAATTAAAATCTGCAATTTGCAAAATGAAAATCTGTAATTTGTAAAATTAAAATATGTAACTTGGAAAAAGCACACAAAATAAGAATCTTTAATGTGCAGAATGGAAACCTGCTATATGTAGGTTACATGCATACATCCTAGGTTAAAAACTAAAGAGATACTTCAGCCAGGGATGAGGACCAGGGATTTTGCCTAAAGGAAAGCCACCAGTTAGATAATGACTGTCAAAGAGATCAGGACCATTTCATTCTCCATCTTTAAATTTTATGGTAATTTTTTTAGAAAGTATGGTTAAACAGTTAGAATTGGTCAGTGTTTGCTGCATCATTGTACACTCATACTACTATGAAAATGTATTTTTAACTAATAGACTACATGTTTTGGGTGTGTGTACTCCACATTGGTCCTTACATGTACAGGTAATTGGTCAGAAAATGTCATTATTAACCCATTAACTCCCATGAGTGACCACAACAGAATTTCTCCTTACAATACCAATACAATATCAACCAGATAAATGATAAGAATTAAGAAAAATTTCAAATTGGGGAAAATCAGTTGATTCAATACTAAATTCTCTGAACTAACATGATAAGAATTGTATGGTTGACAGAAAGAAGAAATAAAAATTTGATCTGGGAGTTAAAGAGTTTATTCTTGAAAGTAATGTCAATATGGTTTCTAAGCAACATAAGTATATTGTGGGTAATGTTAGCATTGGCAAATATTGTTAATATTCTGTCACATGTATAAGCAAATTTGCTGTTCTTTTGAGCAGCTTTAGTGTTGTACCGCAAGTATTAATTTTGGCTGTTATGAATACTTGTATACAAGAGCATGACATACCAACCTTGTCAATTTTGTTTTCTTTATACGGGAGAAAGGTGGTACCATTGAGTGAAAATCTCAGTTTGTACTCTGTGGTCCATTCTTGAGCACTTGCTGATTGGGTTGGTGGATTTCCTTGAGTAGCAACAGCACAGATAACATACTCATAGAGAAGGTCAATTTGTAGGTAGTCAGTAGGATCAGTAGTAGTCTTAGGTTCCCATGCCCCTCCATGTTCCCTCATGCCATATACAACACTGGTTACTGCCAAACAAAGAACCTTCTATCTATTGTCTGGCTCCCAATGTGTGACTTGATACCTCAGTTGGTAGTAACACCCATCTAGTATCTGAGAGGTATGGGTTCAAGTTCCGTCGAGGCCTGAATTTTTTCTCGTTTCTCTTCTGCAATTTCTTACAATTGCAGCCCATATGGAGGGATGGTTTCTCTCCTTGCAGGTCTAATGAAATTTATTTCATCAAAAATTGTCATAATCTTTTATACCTCACCTTCACCTTCACCTATCACATACCAGCTTCCTTTGTTCTCTCCACCTCAACAGGGCTCTTTGGTCCATCACCATCAGAAGTGAGTGCCAACACCTGAAATTCATATTCCGTGAACTCATCAAGCCCAGTGACATGTCTACTTAATATGGATCCGCTGCCAATTAACAATGCTGTTGCTGACCCACCACCTTTCTTTTTGTAGAACAGTTTAAAACCTGTTATGTTTCTTCCATGTCTGGCAAAGACTGGTGGTGATTGCCAGGAAGCTGTAATGCTGGTAGAAGATCTTGCAGTCAACTTGAAGGCAGTAGGAGGTTTTGATGGAACTGAAATAAGGATATTAAAGATATGTACAATGTATGCCTCCATGCTGAGATGGTAATTGATGTGAAATTTATCAATGATATCTGAATTTTAAAAAGCTATTTAACTTTCCTGCTGACAACAATTCATTTAACAGAGCACAACTTCATTGCCATTCATGGTACAATAGTCCAGTCCACCACATAATTATGTAACAAAGTTAAACTGTATCTTTCTTTTCCAAAAGCTAACTGTGGGAGCCATTCATACTTTTGTATAACTACAATCATTACTGTTCTGTAAATTGTCCAATTTCACCTTAATTTCTCCATTGTTATTGTGACTTCAGTTTGGATCAGCGGGACAAAAATGAGAACAAATAAATACCTTTAGTGAAAAGTATTCCATAAGCCTCCACTCTCAAAACCTTGAACCTATTATACTTTATTGGCAAAAGCGTATAAACTTTGCACTTGCAAATTCCTTTAGACTGTTTTTCACTGTGTCAGTTTTTCCTGAATTTCCTGGAAAGGCCTGTTAAACAAAAAAAAGTGATATCAACGTATTGAAACTTGGCATAGTTAATGGTTTACTGTAATTTGTGAAATGAGATCAATTAAAACCTGCAACTTGAATTTGGAAAATGACATCTGTAATTTGCAAAATGAAAATCAGTAGTTTTGTAACACAAGTACTACTTTTCGCTGTTGTAAATACTTGTATATATGAGCATGCCATACCAACCTTGTCAAGTTTGTTTTCTTTATAAGGGAGAAAGGTGGTACTGTTGAGCGAAAATCTCAGTTTGTACTCTGTGGTCCATTCTTGAGCATATTTTGCTTGGGTTGGTGGATTTCCTTGAGTAGCAACAGCACAGATAATATACTCGTAGAGAAGGTCAATTTGTAGGTAGTCAGTAGGATCAGTAGTAGTCTTAGGTTCCCATGCCCCTCTTCCATTAAGACGACCATATTTAGCTGCATATTTGCGAGCAAATATTGAACTGGCTGAGAAGCTGTCATCTGGAATTCTACCACTGCTGGCCAAACCAATTGCCTGTGAATCACATGCTGCAATGTAACAATTTTAAAGTTAACCTTCACATATTACCATAATACATGTATGTTTTTCAGTGTAATTAACTGAATACACTTCTAAACAATCTGTAGGATATTAATGAAAAATACCAAAAAATAGTCAATGGAAAAAAAAAATGACGATGCTGTAACTGTTTACAAAATAACCAAATGAATGCTGCAAACAGGTGTCATGAAACGATGGACTGTGCTGCTCAAACTAGGTGATTGCCCAGAATGGATTTCTAACTTTTCTGACCAGCTTTCACTGTAAAAGAAGTGAAGATGTGACATGAGGAACTCCATGCACTTGTGCAATATCATCAAGGAAAGTTTGTGGTTTGTTGGAATTTTTTTTGCAATCCTTAGCTCAAATTACCCTACAGGCCCCGACAATAAAACTATCCACCACAATATATAAAGCAGAAATTGGTGCATCCTGGCTGAATTGATGAGCATAAGAAGCTCATCACAATGGCTGGGTTTTTTTCCTCAAGCACTCAAAGACTGGTTTGTATTATTAAAGCTACCTATCCAAATAACAAAACCACAAGGTTTGAACCTTTGTTCATAGATTAACAAATGCAAAGATCACATCACACAATAGTTTTTAAACTTACTTGGTGTCTTTTTCACCCCAAACACCTCTGTTCTCATACACACCTCACCCTGGTGTGTTTGTGGCAGGAATCGCTAATATCTTGTTAACACTCCATATACAACATGTTTGACATTTGAGTTTCTATCCTTATTTCCCTCTAAAACCTTAGGAAAATAATTATAACTCATTATAGAGTTCCATAATTGTAACTCCTCATCCTAGTGAAAGTAATCATCATTACTTTACCTCTTGTTTTATGACAGGAAATACTTTTATTGTTACCACAATGGTTGGGCTGGGTGGCTAAATTAATCTTCATACAAACAGAAAAATACAAATGTAGATGCAGGAATTAGGCCTAACATTTACGGAAGAGGTCCATATGGACAGGGTTACTAAGTAAACATGAAAAAATCATATTTTGACCACTGGATTGTAAAAAATATCTCACTGACCATCAAAGGTGAACTCTATCTAATTTCACAGCTGCAGTTTACCCATGACAATCATTTCATTACTTCTTGGATTGAGAGCAGCAATCTCCCAGTAGTTAGAAATCATTTATTCAGCACTCCTTTGACAAGCTATTTCACACTGTAAATATTTAGTGGACTAATATAGTTCAAAACAATTTGTTAGATTCCCTGTCCATTTCTCCCTGGTACTCTTTGACTGCAAATTCAGACATGCAAAATATCATTCGCTGAATGAAAAATATACCGGTATACACAAAACTCATGATATTTTCTGAGCATGTGGAGAATACTTGTTGAATTGTTATTGTAAAAATAATCCTCTGCATACCTATAGCTCCTTTGGTAGCCAATTTGATGTAAATGCATCAATATTATCAAAACTCAGAAACAGTGATTGAGGCAAGATATCATATAATTCTCAACCAGCCCATATGACATACCTTCGCCTGCCCACCTAACTCGGTATAGTCTGTCCAAGTTGTTTCATCAGTGGATAATTGCAGTTTGTAGGTCTTCACCCACTGATCTGCTTTAGAATTCCCTTGAGTAGACACAGCACAGACGATATGAAGTGTCTTTAGATCAATCTGTAGATATGGGTTAGTGTCACCTGTTCCTGCACACCATGATGATCCTGATGTGTAGTTTAGTCGACCATTCTTGGCTGGTGTGTTGGCACTTTGTACTGAAGAAGCAGTTATATCACTATCTGGAATTGTTCCACTTCCCATTCCAAGGTAAAAATCAACACAAGCCCCTATAGAAACAAAATTTACATTTGCACTATAACACAGTCCTAATAAATATAGTAACATTCAATAATGGTTGGATACATTGGGTATCATTTTGGATGGTGTCCATTTTTAAAGAAAATGAAGAAAGATTCAAGTTTTGAAAAACTCCTGTGTTGCATCAAAGGCATTGAAGCAAAATATAAATAAAGGAAAAGAAATTGTTGCAGTGAATTTGAGAAACCTGGGTCATTAACCCTTGGAGCAAAGAGAAGTTGAATTTCCGTGTAAAGGTACAATTTTGGGAGCACAAGGTAGATATATACAGACTGGTCAAAATTAGAAGCTTTAAGGTAGATAGGAAAGGTGGAATAAATTCCAAGAGTTCTTTAACCTAACTCTGTCGACTTCTTCGATTAAACTCAATAGTTTCAGAACTGTCTGTATTTCTGATTGCTGAACAATTCAAAGTTTAATTTCATTCGTATGATTCCCCATGCTTCCAAATTAAGCTTGATGTATGAAACAGGTAGATTTTCAACTGTACTATTCTGACATAATGACATTTTCCTCACAAAATTCCGAGGAACCCTCGTTTCTTTCTGATATTAATGCTGTCCGCATTGAGAACTAACCTGCGACCGTATGAGAAAGCCTTGAGCTACAGCACTCATAACTGAAAGAAATCTCTAATCAAGTATCCTGAAATTTTTAACATAAAAGTAGACCTTTCTAATAGATTTAAAATGATATGGTGCTCACCTGAAGTCAGTGGAAGAAGTACAGCGAGAAAAACTACCCGGAAACAAAGATTAAATTGCGCCATATCGCGATTTGAGTGAGTCACGATATGCGTGTATCACGATCGTTTTACTTGACCTTTCGTTTGTAACAGAAAGCTCATCCGAAATAGATTGTCTCTTCACTATCTAAACTTGGGTTTGTATGATTAGTAGCAATATCGTCCGAGGTTCCAGCAAAACAATCAGACTTTTCGTAGGCCGAGTAGTTTCGTCCCATAACTATATTTCAGCTGATTTCAGTTCTTAACCAGCTTAAGTGTTAAATTTAACTACCTTGTCAAAGATGACATGGCAGTTAGTTTACATTCTCAGATCTCCACATACCCATGTATGCAGAGGAACTCAGAACCGACTAAATCATCGACCGACATAAAAATTACTTCGAATTCCCCAATTACACCCCCTGATACAAATAAATAACAATTCGCTTTTTGGCACACAGAAGTTTATTAAGAATACAAACGAAAAGTAAACAACATTCAATGATATGCCCAATAAACCTCTTTGCAACCCTATGACATAACGCAAAATCACCCAGGGTGGGAGGCTGGGTGGGAAGAAAAACAAAACAATACAATACAACATCTCTGGTGTCAGGCCTGCTCTGGTGTATTCTTGAAGTGAAAAGTGACACGAAATGAAACACAAAACTCCTGAAGTCTGATACCAGAGGGTGCCTATCCAAAGAGGGTAACAAAAAAGAGACTCGACGAAAGCAAGGTCAGCTATAGTTAAGACATAAATTCTTGAAGTTTTAGGGTTTCCGCATGCAATCACTTTCTTCAAACAAATCCTAAAAATAAGAAATAAAACGACAAGGATGGAGAAAGAAAAATTGTCTTTAGTGCGAGAGCTGCTGAAAATTATAATTTAAATTGGATTTCTTGAAAAGGGTTTTTCAGTAATCATTTTCGAGAAACATTATCAGACTATTAAGTGCAGCAATAATCAGACAAACTCCACAGCAGAATAAAAGAGTATAACTAGTGTTCTTCTGTGACAGTATTTAGCAAGCAGAGGTCAGTGGTACTAAGACAACAGAAAAACTGGGTCTAGTAATATCGAAATGAATGTGGAAAAAAGGTTCAAGGGTAGGTAGAGTCTTTCGATTGCAGCTGCTCGCGCTAACCGGTCGTGCAAATTCCCATGCATATCTACCAAAATAGGGAACCTCATCAAACGTAAAAAATAAGGGCTGTTAGTGGATGATATTGCATCCGAACTAGTAACGGTATTTGGCAACAAGCTGCGTAACAGGCAAAACGTGTGACAAGTGGAAGTGCGACGGTGAATATTTTTAGCAACTGAACCCTGGCTAAGACTGAATATTAAATGGACGGAGTTTTGTGTCGCATGTCTGGTTTTCGACAATATTGTTAAAAGACAAAATTGGCATCTAGTAAGAATTTTTATTCTAGGTGATTTTTTACTTATTTGAACGTGAAAATAGATGGAAAAGATATGTTAGTATAAGCTATTCGGTAAGAATTATAATAAGCCAGTTGATAATTTTTTTACTTTTTTAGGCGGTTTTATTTTATAGATAGAGTTTGGTTACTCTTTTTATTATAATCGAGAAATTGACATGGAGACAGATGTTTTTGCGTAAACTGCGGTTTGCAGCTAGTTACCGGTATATTTTTATTATGTTGTTGAAAAAAAATTATTAAGAAAATGACTTTATTTTATAAAAATTGATCTCGTACAGGAATTTCTTTTAACTTTCTTTTAAAAATAAAAGCGAAGTTTTTCGTTTTTCTCACGATGTAGTCACGTGTGATGTAGATCACGACGTTTCGACTGCATACTGCTAGTCTTCTTCAGGCGATAAGGTCGACTGGTCATGCGTGATCTTATAAAGCATGATGCTCTGCTGTGATTAGTTGTTTTTCAACAGCTCTGATTGATGCATTTCGATCCTTGCTGATCAGGGATTTGCTCCCTCGGCGGTCCGCTGTCGCACGGCTCTCCTGTTGTTGTGTTTTTTGATCGTGGGCATCCACGCTCTGGAATTTCTATTCCACTATCCCTGTTGATGTTGTTAGGGTGAAGTCTTGTGTGAATTGCCTCTTTGACCCTGGCGGCGGGTTCGGTACTGTTGTTCGGTTTTCCGCTCTTGGTACGTTTCTACAAGAAAGAAAAAGGATAACCATTAGAAACCGGAATGTTGGCTAAGTAAGCGGATAAATCATATGCAAAGGTGTTTATGCACGACACGATCAGTCTTAGCGATACATCGGCCTTATGGATCTTCGGTAAACCGTAGATTCTAGGCGGCTGTTTGTGTCGGGGTCTGATCTTGTTGTAAACGGCCTCTGGTAGATATCCGCTTCGCTTCAGAGTAAGCAGCTTTTCAGACAACTTGCGGGTCAGACGATCTGTCGGATCTTTGTTGAGGAGCTGGTACGGTCCGTTCTCAATAAGTGTAGACATCTTAGCTCGGTAGGTGTCGGTGTCCATGACTACGCTAGCGCGCCCTTTGTCCGCCGGGAGAACCATGATGGACTCGTCTTCTTTCAGGCTTTTAAGTGCATCTCGCATCTCCTTCGTGATGTTAGGTTAAGACCGATCGTGTCGTGTGTAAACACCTTTGCATATGATTTATCCGCTAACTTAGCCAACATTCTGTCTCCTTTAACAGGAAAGTCAGAGTACACGGTGACTAATTCAGCCCACTTCGTATCCACCGTCAGCAATGAGATGATCTTAGACAACGAGATTATGGTATCTTTCGACGTAGAATCGCGGTTTACCAACGTTCCTATCGACGCCGCTGTACAAACCGCACTGCAGAAACTCGAGAACGACCCAAATCTTGCAGACCGCACCACGCTTACGCCTGCACAGATCGCCGACCTTTTGACTTTCGTATTAAGATCCGCATACTTCCAGTATAACGGATCGATTTATGAGCAAAAATACGGCGCCGCCATGGGGAGTCCGCTTTCCGCTGTTATTGCTAACCTCTACATGGAGAGTTTCGAAGAACAGGCGATAACTACATCGTCCTACGAGCCTAGGATCTGGAAACGCTACGTGGACGATACCTTTACCATCCTGGATCGCGAAAACGTAGATGACTTCTTACAGCATTTAAACAACCAGCAGCCTTCCATCCGCTTCACCATGGAGACAGAGAAAGACAACAAACTCGCCTTCCTAGACACCGCAGTTTTAAGAGAACCTGACGGCCGCCTCACCACCAGCGTATACAGGAAGCCCACGCACACCGATCAATACTTGGCGTATGATTCACACCAACCTCAATCAGTAAAACGCGGTATTGTTAAGTGTCTTTACGAGCGCGCCAAACGTCTTGTAACAAAACCCTCTGTCATCGTTTTTAGGCTAAATCTATGTTGAATTCCCGATCAGGAAAATAGTTTTTAGTTTTAATTTAACATGTTCGACACCTCTTTTTTTTAGAGGTGACTTAAGGCGCAAACGTGAGGTATTTTTATCTTTTGTACTCACTGAATTTGTAATTAGATAACTAATGTGAATAGCACGTAGCTTTCTTAGGGGCGGTACCTTGGGCACGTCCTTTCTTTTCCGAATTTCGCGTTTATTCTGGTGTTATGCAACAGCCTTCGAGACAATTTTCTTTTAGGATACTTTTTCAAGTATGAATTTAATTCTGTTATTAAGTTTATTATAATATTTATATTGTTAATCTTGTTTTTATTTTGCCCAAACTTGACTGTAAGACTAGGAAATTTAAGTTAGAAAGACATTTCGTAAAGCGTAAACATCGCGAAGGTAGTTATTTAATATGCGAACTCCGTTCTGCGTAGCCCAACGTGACTCGCTATTTAAGTGTAAAAGTATGACGAAGGTTAGAGATTGACAGCTCCGAAAGTGTCACCTTTATAAGCGGTGACCCTCATTTTTTTCGAGAGATCAGAGCTAGTCCCCGTTGTAATAACTTGAGTAGTAAGAGTGAATAAAGAAAGGGACAACAAAACAGCGAGTGTTAGGAAATTATTTTTAACAATATATACTTGACAAGGAAATGTTATCGCATGAAAAGAAGTGGATGACATACCAAGGTCAGGCAAATCTTTTTGTGAAAACACTTTATTCCCTTAGCTACAACTGTTCTGTTGCCCAAGTTCTGTGCATTTTAAATGCTTACTAAAATGTTATTGCTTCGGAAAAACTTCTCCAAGCATTTTCTTCAATCAGTAAAGACTTTATAAGTTAAAAATATCTGATGGAGCAAAAACATTTTACTCTCTTCCATTCTCTTATCTACAACCACCTATCAACAATACTCTGTTGCTTAACATTTTTCAATTGCAATACATTGTCTTTTCAATTGAGAAGAATTTACTCAAAAATATAATGAAAACGTTCCTTATGTCTAATAAATGACTCAGAAAAGAGAACCCTCCTCAAGAGGTAAAATATAAGGAACGACTTTCAGTACTGGTAAAAAAAATGTGACATTGTCACGCTTTGTTTTCTATATTTGCATCTAATGACTCTAAAAAAAATGGCGTAATTAATTCTTTCATTTTTACTGCTGGTTCAGAGCACACTTTAAGTTGAATTCTAATTCTCGAGCTGCTTACGATGTAAGATGTTGTAGATTAAATCGCACTTAATATCAGGGATTCATTAAGAAAAGTGAGTTTATGTACATGTGCCATCGTCTTGTCAGAGGTTTCGTTTAGTTTGGGACCTCGTCCAAAGTTATGAATTTCATTTAATTCTTATTCGAGGTTATAACTAAATTTTAAGATCTGGCTATGCACGATTCCGTCTTATGGCATTTCACATGCATCAATAGTAAAAGATACAATTATACAGATACATGTAAAATATAAGACAGATATAGGAAATTAATTTCAAATGGACCAAATCAAAGGTTACTGCACGTTGAAGAAGTCTTTAAGGCCTTACTTAAAACTGCCTTGATCACAAACTAACAAAGTTCTTGTAGTAAACAGAATACATTCGCAAACAGGATCTATTGGGTAAGCTAGTGTTATCAGTGTATCTCGTATATTTTCCTTACAGCTATATCAGATAACCGCACTCTATGCGACACTGCGATAGTAAGAGTGATCATGACGATAACGAGGAGAAAACGTCAAACGTATGCATTTCATTGCCAAATTACTAAGTGCTTCTTTAAGCGAGACAAGAACAAAGTCTTTTACAAACCGAAGCACCGTTTCTAATTAACAATTAGATTCCATGTAGGCGTGTCTGTTCTGTTATGGATCACAGATGACGTCAAAATGCGGTGAGAACTAAAGAGTGGAACACGAAGCGCAGTCGGGTCTGGCACTGATCCTCGTAGCACATTTTGACGTCTTCTGTGACTTATTAAGTAACAGACTCACGGCAACATGGAATCTCTTTGTTTTTATAGTGAAGAAGCAAGATGTTGCTTAAGATGACGTCATCTACGCATCTGTCTTCCATTAGATCGATACAGAACAAATTAACATGTGCATAATTATAACTAAGCAGAGTATCTAACACAAGATGGACAATCCGAACCAAAAGGATACAAAATTAGTTGAGTGATTAGCATAATTCCTCATACACTACTTCATTTTGTTTCCCGCCATTTTCTTTCTGAAGCACCATAGTGTAATATTCGGGGTTCTCGGGGTTTTCCTGTAACGACTGATACTCAGTAGGAACATGAGACTCCTGGTTCGAAGGCCTGGGTTTGAGTTCCATATATAAATCCGGGTCTGAAGCGTGCTGGTCACGTCGCTGTTGATCAGGTGAAGATTTGACGCCATCAAAGTCAACTTTTTCTTTACTTCGTGTCCTCCTATCAGGAACAACTCGTCTCCGCTGCCATATCAGCCCACAAATTATAATGAGCAACACGACCACAATACAAGAAAATGCGATTACACTAGCAAGGAAGGTGCTTTGTGTATCTGGTGAAAGAAAACAAACGACTTTCAAACCAACTATCAAACACCAAAGACTTCTTAGTTACTTTGTTTCACTGTAATTATGTCTTTTTTTTGTCAACTATATTCACCCTAAGGAATACGACGTTGTTTTTTAACCCCGAAACATGAACACTCTTCCAAACTTTCTGTTGTCTCGTCTCTTGGTCGTACTTCATTAAATGCCAGAAATTTCTTATGCCTATTGACTCGAAGTCACATACATGACCTTCAGTAATTTCGAACAAGCAGGACGACTAAAAGGAGAAATACAGGCATATTTTAGCTTCGAGCCCCCTTAAAATTAGTGTGTAAAGCTTTGTTTTGATTATGTTACAACCTAACGGGCCAATTATGGTATATGGAATGATCTACCTACATTGCACACTCTTATAACATTCTAACTGAAGAGAGAAAATGTAACTTCACACAGAACAACGTCGGCATATGAAACCACCACATAACATTGCTTTTGATACATAAATGGTTATACCAAACAACTGTAACTAAAAGTCCATAAACTCCGCACTAGACTTCAAAGTTCTAGGCTTTCCAAAATTTTTGAGACGACAACATTTAAGCACGTTCAAATATTGAGGAAGAATATTTACCGTCATCATCTTGATTATCCCTTGGAGAAAGTAGAGTGATTTTGTACTCTGTTGACCCAAAGCTGTTTGTAGCGTGACAAACATACTCCCCATAATCTTTTCCATCCCGTGGCGTGACAATGATACTGTTATTCATCAACTTGATGCCATCACCAGTTGGAACCTGGCCATCTTTCGTCCAAGAGTAGTTAAACGGAATATAACTTGTTGCTTGACAAGTGAGAAAACACGGACTTTGCTTTTCACATATCACTGAGGAAGGGGAAAATTCTTCAATAATTCTGGGTGGCACTGTGTGAAAAAAAGGGAAAACGTAATGATACCAAAACAAGTTCAGACAAAATTATGCTCTTGACAACGGAGCAGAGGTATAACAAATATAAGGGAACACCACTATGATCTATTTTTTTGGTTTGCACACTGAGTGGTGGTTTGTTTAGTTGATATCAGTATTGTACTATTTTTTCACCCTTCAATTACAAATTTCTAATATTTGTTTAATACCCAGTATACACACTAATTCGCGAATGACTTGTTAATAAGTGGTTGGAGTAAGTTGTCATGGTGATTATCATAGTGCTTAGAAGAACCATGATTGGTCATTTATTTTGGCAGAGGTTGGCAATTTCTCTTCCTCACTTACTTCCTCACAGACTTGTTTCACAAAAGAAAATGAAAATGTAATTGTTACCCAATATTCAATGCAAACATAACAAACTTTCTACGTACCAGCGACAATGAAAATCGTAGCTGTACGGCTCTTTCCAAACATGTTCATTGCTTTACATTCATAAACGCCACTGTCATCAGGAACAACATCTCTTATAATAAGTATTTTCTCGTTGTTCTCGAACTGAGCGCGAGGTATACTGCTAAGTCCATCTTTAGTCCAGGTAACAGAAGCCTGAGGGTCTCCACTAACCTCACAAGTCAACACTGCCAGTTCGCCAATTGCTGTAATGGTCGTCTTTGGGAGACCTTTGATGATAGGTTTACCTGAGTTTTTATAAACATGGAGTAGTTTTTCCTTAACAAAGAGCAAGGCACAAATACAGCATTAAGGCTTTGCAGCCTATCCCTTCCCAACTGAAAAATAATTTAAAAGCCCCTCAGTTGATAAGTAACTTACAAACTCTGAAAGACAACCAACACAGCATGAAAGTCTTATATCAATAAAAAGAAACTCAAGGATCAGACTACATTGAGTTAAATTTCGTTGCTGAATGTTAGATGCCTCTGACAAAGGGAAATTATAAAAAAAGACAAAACAACAATACCTTTGGTGTCGATGTCTATAAAGTTACTAGAGACATAAACCGTCTGCAAAATACAACCGCAAAAAACTAATTATTCATGTGCAACCTTTTGCTGCGTTTGGGTATGGCATAGTGACTCAGACCTCAGGAGCATTACAAGCCTGATAAAAGCTGCTGTTTTAGCACTGCATTCACCAAGACCAAAGAACTTGTGAGCAATGGCAACATGATAGTTCAGGAGGGAAAAGTTCCTGAGACATCTGAGTGCAGATTCAGAGTAACTGGATGGGTCAGTTTTGTCGCTCAGTTCTTACAATCAATGAATAGAACATCCTTCATTAATATTAAAAGTTTTGTTAAAATACCTCGGAGTCAAAAGCCCTGAGGAACATTTTGTAGTTTGTATTCGGCTGCAGTGGTTTGTTGTAATAAAACTGATCACCACTACTTCTCTTACTCCTTTCTTTACCGCTGGATTCCGCTCCATCTCCAACAACAAATTCCCGATATTTATCAAAATCATTTCCTCCAAACTGAAAAGCGACATAAGCAGCAGGAATGGCAGATTTGTGCGCTTCTTCATACGTCATCATGTCTTGTGTTGTAAATCTTTCTGATGGATTAACAGCACCAGTATAGTTTCAGCTATATGTAACGATGATAACTTGGAAACGGCAGCTTTGTAACCCTTTACGGTGGCCAATTTAAGTTATCAACCTTGTTGATAATACCAAATAACCCTTTTTCCAGTTTCGTTTTGTTATAGTATGGTTCTGTTCAGTGTCGTTGGAAACCACAGGTACGGAAACATAAAAATCGCATTTGCCAATTCTAAAAGTAACTGTTTCTTAATGCAGGTCAGTATTGCGACAATTATTGCAAAATTTCCTTTCTTTTAGTTTATGTTTTGGCCAAACTGCAAATTTAAAGTCTGTCGAAATGTGCCCGTTCTATTTTCGCGAATTAAAGTTCTGGTGAAAATAAGTAATAATAAGGTTCGTCCAAATGTTTAATTTCATGAAGCATCTATTAGGATACCAGTAAGGTGTGGTGTTGGCAATGTTGAAAGTGATGAATAAGAGAGATAAGGTCATAATTATATTGAAATTTTTTCCCATTTTATGGCAATCGGATTCTTTTACCTCGAGGTCGTAGCTTTTATTGCCATGCTTAAAGACCTAAAATACGAAGGTTTCATTTATTAAAAAACATAGGAACATAATTATTACTTTTAGCTGCAATACCCATGCAAGGGAAGAGCGGCGATTTTTCTAATAATATATTTTTTACAGTTTAAGAATTGGTTAGAAACTCTTTTATCCTGCAGTTGAGTTGTACATTGCCATGTAAGGTGTGTCAATTAGAAGAAAAACAGTTTTTAAGCGTTAAAGGTTGAGGCTGCAGAGTCCAGTTATTAGGGAAAATGAAGGTCAGTCTGATTCATTAATTTAAGTTGGTAATTAAAACATGATTGCTCAATTGCAGCTCCCTCACAACCGCCCTCTCAGTTCACTGTAATTGTGAACTCTTCAACCAGCATCACAGCTTCATGGCAGTTACCTCCAGTAGGCTCCAGACATGGAATCGTCAAAGGATATAAAATATTCTATAAAAAGAAAGGCTCAGGTTTTGCAACCACCCTGACACTAGACAATGGAAACACATCAAGAAGAGTTACCAAGCTTGATGAATACACTGAATATGAATTTCAAGTGTTGGCTTTCACTTCTGCTGGTGATGGACCAAACAGTTCTTCTGTTTTCAGGAAAACAATGGAAGATGGTGGGAACTGTTTACTCTTTAACCAACATTTTAATAAACTCTACCATTGTAGTTGTTGAGATAAGGGTGATTTTACTGATCGATTCAAGTTGCTACCTTTCAAATGTAGACTCTAGGCTCAAATAGTTCACCTCGCCTCTTCAATTGCTTTTTTCTTGATACTAAGAAGATTTCCTTTTTCATGCGTTGGATTAAATCAACTCTTAACAGCTTCTTTTGAAGACCTGAGATGTATAGTAATTTTTAGATGATCCTTAAGGAAGCGCCAGTTCCTTTCACACAAAAATATGGTGGCAGTACATCTTCACGTTAAATGTGTCCCAAATGCTGCAACATGGCTGGGATTAATTGTTATTTAATACACATACATCGTTATTATTTTTTGTATCATTCTGTATTCTTCCAGCTCCTAGTGCACCTATATCTTTGTCTTCTGTTGATGTGCCACCCAGCAATTTGCATGGTCCAAGAATAACCTTGACCTGGAGCGAGCCTGCAGAGCCAAATGGAGTTATCAGAAGTTACACTTTGTTTTACAGCCACGATGGAGTTGCACCAAGAGAGATTTCTGGAATAGACAAAGATGCATTGAATCACACACTCGATGTGTTAGGTGGAGTGACTTATCAGTTTGATGTCAGAGCTGTGACTATTAAACCTGGACAAAATAGGACGATTACTGTAATGTCCAGGGAATATGGTAAGCTTGTTATATTTAAGTGAATTTCAAAGCACTTAAACACGTTTACACGACATTGTATAACAACACGAAAAGACCTCATCTGGTTGATTATCAGTCGTATTGAAAAATAATTTGATTTCAAACATCTATTTTGTCTGTTTTATTTGATCTGCTCACCTTGAAAGGTAGTTACCATAAAAGTCTTAAAGTGTGTCTAATCCATAAAAACGTTCTTCCTATGAGTTAAAATGTTGCGTAGCACGGATTACCGATCAACTCCAGTTTTAACACAGGTACAATAACTTATGTACTCCTTTTTGGACTAGAACATCTAAGTGTCTGCTCCAGGGTTTATTTATGTCTAACATTTTGTTGTGTATTTTTCACATGGGAATATTGGAAGAAAGAAGAATTCCATTCTAGTCTTAGGTTGGGTTAATTTTTCATCCAGGAGTTATTTTACTTTATGAAAATTATTTCTCGTGTTTGTAAAATAGAGCCCAGTCGTGGACCAGAAGGGATATCCTCATCCGCAGTGAACTCCAGAAAAATCAATATAACTTGGCTTGGACTGTCAAGGGAAGTAGCCTATGGCACTATCATAAACTATGAAGTCAGGTTTAGTGTAGAAAAAAACTGTACAGAGATTCAGTCTTCATATCCTTCAACTATTAACACCACCGCTACTTATATTCTCGTGACTGGACTCTCCTTGTGTGCCAAGTATGCAGTGTCTATAAGAGGCTACACTGCAGTGGGGCCCGGACCTTATAGCAGATCTGTTATGGAACAGATATTTCGTAAGTAATTCAGTAACATGTCTTGATGCTGCTTTTTATCCTCAGGTTGATCTTTGAGAAGGAATATTTAATCTATGTTTATCAAAACTCAGGTAATCCCGTCATCAAAGACCTCCCAAAAAGAACCGTTGTAGCACTTAACGAACTGGTAGTGTTGACATGTGAGGTAAATGGAGACTCTGAAGTTTCTGTAACCTGGACTAAGGATGGACTCACCAGTATACCTCGCGCTCAGTTCAAAAACAGTGGCAAATACTTGTTATACAGAATTTTGTTCCTGGTGACAGTAGCGTTTATGAATGCATAGCTATGAACATATTTGGAGAGAGCCGTACAGCTTCGACACTCATTGTCGCTGGTACGTAGAAACTGACTTACATAAAAAATTGCGTATTAGTTGCGTAATAACTTACTTCCTTTAAGTAAATCCGTGGAAGAGCAGGTGTCTTTTTAGGTATTAAGTGAAAGAGGTAGCAAAGTTTTTCCAAAGGTCATGACCTACAAATGTTCTACAAAGCACTAATATCATCACCTTGACAACCTGTTTGCACCCCTTCTTCAGGCAGTTGTTGGAAGGTCACTGACGTATCTCTCTGTGAACTCAAACTAATCAAATGTTTGAAAATGGGAAGAAAGGTCAAAAAAACACAACGACGACGACCGAGAGAACTAACTAATGTGCAAGCGAAAAGCACATCATGATGGAGTTCTTGGATTTTCCTTGCAGGATTTTAGATACAGGTGACATTGCCTGAATTTATTTTGGCCTCTTTCTTTTTTTCACACACAGTGCCACCCAGCATTATAAAAGAAGTTTCGCCTTCTTCAGTGATGTGTGAAAAGCAAACTCCGTGTCTTGTCTCGTGTCAAGCAACAAGTTACATTCCATTTAACTACTCATGGACGAAAGATGGCCAGGTTCCCACTGGTGATGGCATCAAGTTAATGAATAACAGTATCATTGTCACGCCACGGGATGCACAAGATTATGGTCAGTATGTGTGTCACACCACAAACAGCTTTGGATCAACAAAGTACCAAATCACTCTACTTGCTCCTAAGGATACTCAATATAATGACGGTAAATATCCCTCCTCACAATTCAAACGCGCTTAAAATTTTTCGTCTCACAAAGTTTGGAAAGCTTAGCACTCTGAGGTCTGAGCTGGCGTTTTCCGAGCTGCTGATGATAACTGTTTGTACAGGTTTAATCATATTGGTATCAAAGCAAAATTATGTGGTGGTCTCAGACGCCAACGCTGTTCAGTGTGAAGGTACTTTTGTCTCTTCCGTAAGAACATGATTTTGGTGCGCAGTGCATTTATCAAAGTTTGCCTGTTAGATTGTAACTAAGGCGAAATACAGCTACCAATGTTTAAAGACTCAAAAGTAAAATCTGACCGTGTCTTTCCACATAATACAGGTTCTATATTTTTGGGGGTGATATACACTGTAGTTGACCCGAAGAGATGTTCGAGAAATTTGTAGCATACAACGAAATTTGTTTGATTTTAGGAAATTTGTGCGAAACAATAAAGAACAATCTCTAGGGACGATTCGAGAAAGTTTGAAACTGTGTTCTCGTTTCGAGGTAAGAGAATCGTCATATTTTGTAATGTGAAAGAGAACATTATTGCCTCGAAACAAGAAACTAAGTAGAACATTAGGAATTTTTAGTTTACTTAGTCTAGGTTATTAGTGTTTGATAGTTTGGTTTTTTCCCTTTTGGCAAGGTACACAAAGCATCCTTCTAGCTATTGTCATCGCATTGTCTTGCCTTGTGGTTGTGTCACTCATTATGAATGGTGTGCTCATATGGCAGCGGAGAAGAGCTGTCAAATCTTCACCCGATCAACAGTCAAGCGATCAACAAGTTTCAGTCCCGAGTTTACATATGGAACTCAAACCCAGGCCTATGAACCAGCAGTCTCATGAACCAACTGAGTATCAGTCGTTACAGGAAAAACCCGGAAATCCCGGATATTGCAATGTGGTATTTCAGAGAGAAAACGGTGGGAAACAAAATGATGAAATTTATGAGGAAATATGAAAACCCTACAGAAGATGTTCTTGTCTCGCTAAAAGGAGCTTTGAGTACTTTGGCAATACTATACACGGCACACATTTGAAGTTTCGACCTACTCACCGTTGTCACGGTTACTGTTACTATCATGATTTCGCGTACGGTGCGGTTATCTATCATCTATGAAGAAAAAACATATGATCACAATTGCTTCCTCAGTAGATGCAGCTAGGGATTGCAGTCTGTTTACTTCAAGAACAGACATTGCTGCAATTTGTTTCTCATCAAAGTACTTTCATGGTCATTTTAAGGCAGTGGAGCCTTACAGGCCTCCTTAGCTTGTAACAACCTTTGATTGGGTCAGTTCGAATTCAATACTAACATTTTTGTTATATTTACATGTATCCATGTAACTACGGTATATATTTTGCATTTGATTTGTGTAAAATGCTATACGAGGAATCACATATACCTGGATCGGAGCATTTAGTTATAACCTCGAACGAGAGATAAATGAAATTCTAAACTTTGCGTGAGACTCTTAAAAGACGATCACACGTACATATCTCTGATTTCCTGAATCAAAACAGTGACTTTGACCCCATCACTGATAAAAATCAAAATCAAAATCATCACGTCATCGTTTTCAAATCGTTTTCAAATCGTTTTCAAATCGTTTTCAAATTTATCCGGATAAGGCCTCCACACGGAGACGCTTAGCCAGCGTTTTCAAATTTATCCACTCTGGGGAGCGTTTTCAAATTTATCCGTTTTCGGTGTGTGAAAACGCCGTTTACGTGTGGACGGAACCCGTAACCGTATAAGTATTTATCCGTTTTCAAATTTATCCGGATACGTGTGGACGGGGCCTGAATTTAATTCAAGGTGGGTTCTGAGCCAGAAGTAACAATTAAAAATAGAAAATTATTTTTGGATATGTTAAGGGTCAGCAGATGTAAACATAGAGCAAAGCGTTAAAACTTGATATTTTCAACTATAATTGACAGTTGTTCCTTATATTTTATATTTTTAAAGAGGTTTCTATTGTTTGAGTCATTTATTGGAAATTGTGAACGTTTTCAATGTATTTTTATAAACCGTAAATTCTTCTTAACTGTAAACACAATATATTGTTGTTCACTTTTACCCTAAAGTAATGCAATAATTTTAGACTTCAGAATATTACTGTGTTGTGTTTGTAGATAACTGTATAGAAGATTGTAGAGTATTTGCGCCTCAAACAATTTTCAAGATAATAGAGTATTTACGAATTGAAGAAAATGATTGGTAAGATTTTTCCAAGGCAATAACATATGAATAAGTAATAAATGTACAGAAGTAACAAAACAATTGTAGATAATGGAATAAAACGTTTTCACGAAAAGATGTATCTGACCTTGGTATACCATGTCTCTTCTGTCTATTTCTTTTCATTCACTAATAGAATTTTGTCATTCGGTTGTCGACATGAACTAAAATAAAGTTACTGTGGAACCAAACGCTGTCTAATTCTTGACGTTCGTAGCAAGTTCGCTTGAAGCAGATCTCCGTGTACCAGGAAACCGTAAAGAGTTTGCGTTCCTGCTGCAAATGGTCTCTACCGAGCTATTTTCCCCCATTATTGTTGCTTACCCCGCAAAGACCTGTTAATGCGAAAATATTTCGTCACAGCCCGCGCGCTCATCAAGAATAGCACTGCCTTGCTGCAAGCGAAAGACTCTAATGTGACCTACCCTTGAACTTTTATACACATATATCTACATAAATGTGGGGGTAGAGTCTGCCTTGGCATAAAGTGCTCAATGCTGTGGTAGCAGAGCTGAGTATATATACGTGAAAGAATCAAAGAGGACGCATCGATTCTACCTACCTCTACCTATAATTTTATAATTTTGTCTGAACTTGTTTTGGTATCATTACGTTTTCCCTTTTTTTCACACAGTGCCACCCAGAATTATCGAAGAATTTTCCCCTTCCTCAGTGATATGTGAAAAGCAAAGTCCGTGTTTTCTCACTTGTCAAGCAACAAGTTATATTCCGTTTAACTACTCTTGGACGAAAGATGGCCAGGTTCCAACTGGTGATGGCATCAAGTTGATGAATAACAATATCGTCGTCACGCTCCGGGATGGAAAAGATTATGGGGAGTATGCTTTGTAAACAGCTTTGGATCAACAGAGTACAAAATCACTCTACTTTCTCCAAGGGATAATGAAGATGATTACGGTAAATATTCTTCCTCAATATTTGAACGTGCTCAAATGTTTTCGTTTAAAAAGTTTGGAGAGCCTAGAACTTTGAAGTCCAGTGTGGAGTTTATGGACTTCTATTTACAGTTGTTTGGTATAACCATTTATGTATCAAAAGCAATATTATGTGGTGGTCTCATACGCCGACGTTGTTCTGTGTGAAGTTACATTTTCTCTCTTCAGTTAGAATGTTATAAGAGTGTGCAATGCAGGTAGATCATTCCATATATCATAATTTGCCCGTTAGGTTGTAACATAATCAAAACAGAGCTTTATACACTAATTTTAAGGGGGCTCAAAACTGAAATATGCCTGTATTTCTCCTATTAGTTGTCCTGCTTGTTCGAAATTACTGAAGGTCATGTATGTGACTTCGAGTTAATAGGCATAAGAAATTTCTGGCATTTGATGAAGTACGGCTAAGAGACGAGACAACAGAAAGTTTGGAAGGGTGTTCATGTTTCGGGGTTAAAAAACAACGTCGTGTTCTTAAGGGTGAATATACTTGAAAAAAAAAAACATCATTGCAGTGAAACAAAGTAACTAAGCGGTCTTTGGTGTTTAATAGTTGGTTTGAAAGTCGTTTGTTTTCTTTCACCAGGTGCACAAAGCATCTTGGAAGTAGAGTGATTTTGTACTTTGTTGACCCAAAGCTGTTTGAAGCGTGACACACATACTGCCCATAATCTTGTGTATCCCGTGGCGTGACGATGATACTGTTATTCATCAACTTGATGCCATCACCAGTTGGAACCTGGCCATCTTTCGTCCAAGAGTAGTTAAACGGAATATAACTTGTTGCTTGACAAGTGAGAAAACACGGACTTTGCTTAGGGGTTACTTATGTGTACTAAAAAGCGCGTCAGCGGGCGTAGTTAGGGAATTCGACGTAATTTTTATGTCTGTCGATAATGAAGTCGTTTTTGAGTTCTTCTGCCTTTTCCTATGTACATGGGTATGAGAAGATCTGAGAATGTAAACTTACTTCCTTCTCATCTCTGAGAAGGTGGTTAAATTTTAACTTATAAGCTGTTACGTACTGAAATCAGCTGAATTATGATGAATTATGAGCTGCAGCCCACGGCATTGTGGGAAATATCAACAACTTCAAGCTTATGTCATCTTGTTATCGAACGAAACTACTCGGCCTACGAAGAGACTGATTGTTTTTCTGAAACCGCGGACGATATTGCTACAAATCATACAAAGCCAAGTTTAAATAGTGAGGAGACAATCTTTTTTCGGATGAACTTTCGTTTACAGAAGACCGGTCAAGCAAAACGATCGTGATACACGCATACCGTGACTGACTCAATCGAGATGGCGCACTTTAATCATTGTTTCCGGGTAGCTTTTCTCGCTGTACTTTTTCCACTGACTTCAGGTGAGTACCATACAATCTTAAATCAATTAGAAAGGTTTATTTTATTTTAAAATTTACATTCAGGGTACTTTTGTGGGAGATTTCTTTCAGTCGTGAGTAGTGTAGCCGTACGGTCACAGGTTAATCCTCATTGCGAACAGAATCAATATCAGAAAGAAACGAGGGTCCCTCGGGATTCGTTGTTTTTTCGTAATTAAAATGTCATCTTAAAAGAATAGTACGGTTAAGAATCTACCTGTTTTTACATCAAGCTCAATTCCTGTTTCAACGAATAAATTGAGTGGTAACATCTGCATCAATTTCAGGTTAAAGCATTCTTGGAATTTATTTCACCTTTCCTATCTACTGAAAGCTTTGAATTTGGACCAGTCTAATACATATCTACCTTGCGCTCCCAAAATTGTGCATTTACACTGAAAGTCAACTTCTCCTTGCTCCAAGGAAGGGCTAACGACCCAGGCTTCTCGAATTCGCTGTAGCAATTTATTTTTCTTTGATGCAGCACATCAGTTTTTCGAAACGTAAATCTTTCCTCATTTTCTTTAAAAATGGACACCGTCAAAAATGAGACCCGATGTATTTCCATTTGCAGTTTTAATGATCAGATTTAGATTTCCTCCAAATTTGTAATCAAATTGATAAATATTTTTAGAGGCAGACCAGCTCTAATTGTCCCTATTTGTGACATGGATTTTGCACAACACATACCTTATAGAGAGATTCAAGACATGCATATGTCTCTCACATCCAACCATTCTTCAATGTTACTATGATTATTATAACTGTGTTATAGTGCAAATGTAAATTTTGTTTCTGTAGGAGCCTGTGTTGATTTAGATCTTGGAATGGGAAGTAGAACTATTCCAGATAGTAAAATAACTGCTTCTTCAGTACAAAGTGTCAGCACACCAGCCAAGAATGGTAGACTGAACTTCACATCAGGTTCATCATGGTGTGCAGGAACAAGTGACACTAACCCATATCTACAGATTGATCTACAGACACTTCATATCATCTGTGCTGTGTCTACTCAAGGGAATTCTCAAGCAGATCAGTGGGTGAAGAACTACACGCTACAATTATCTACAAATGGGATAACTTGGACAGACTATATGGAATTCAGTGGGCAGGTTAAGGTATGCCACATGGGCTTGTTGAGAATTATATGATATCTTGCCTCAATCACTGTTCCTGAGTTTTGACAATGTTGATGCATTTATATCAAAATGGCCACCAAAGGAGTTATAGGTATGCAGAGGATTATTTGAACTATGAACATTCAACAAGTATTCTCCTCATGCTCAGTAAATATCATGAATTTTGAGTAATTATTTTTCATTCAGCAAATTATATTTTGCATGCCTGAATTTGAAGTCAAGGTTGCATAAAGAATACAAGGGAGAAATGGACAGGGAATCTAACAAATTGTTTTGAACTATGTTATTGCACGAAATATTTATGGTACAAAAAAGGTTGTCAAAGGAGTGCAGAACAAATGATATCTAATTGCTGAGAGATTGCTGCTCTCAATCCAAGAAGTAATAAAAATTGATTGTCACAGGTAAACTGCAGTTGTAGAAATTAGCTAGAGTTCACCTTCAAGGGTCAGTGTGCTATTTTTTATAATCCAATGGTCAAATTATGATCTATTCATGTATGCTTAGTCCAGTGGGCCTCTTCCCTAAATGTCGGGCCTTATTCCTACACCTACATTTATATTTCTCTGTTTTTATGAAGATTAACTGAGCCACCCAGCCCAACCATTGTGACAACAATAAAAGTATTTCCTGTCATAAAACAAGAGGGATGATTACTTTCACCAGGATGAAGAGTTACAATTATAGTTACATTTTACAATCTACCTGGAACTCTATGATGAGTTATGATTATTTTCCTAAGGTTTTAGAGGGAAATAAGGATAGAAACTCAAATGTCAAACATGTTCTATATGGAGTGTTAACAAGATATTTGCGATTCCTGCCACAAACACACCAGGGTGAGGTGTGTATGAGAACAGAGGTGTTTGGAGTGAAACAGAAGCCAAGTAAGTTTAGAAACTTTTGTGTAATGTTGCACACATCCTCAATTTGATCCTTACATATTACAGTTATCTGTGGTAGTTTGTTTATCTATAAACAAAGGTGACCTTCTACGGGAAAACGTACACTAACGGCTTTTCGTTAATCGGGTGAAACGCACGTCTACCAAACGGGTAACTCATCCGTTCGAACGGATGCTATCAAACGGATGCTATCGAACGGCTGAACGAGTTATCAAGTATTCCGAACGGCTTGTGTAAATTCTTGAACGGGTTACCCAAACGACTACACGGCTTGTGAAAATAATCGAACGGGTAACGCAAACGACTGCACGGCTTGTGAAAATTTTCGAACGGGTTGACACAGAAGGATGAATGTATTTACGATTAATTTCATGAGAAGCAATTGCCGTAAGAGCCGAACGGATAGGTTATCATTCCGAACGAATGGACAGAGCCGGTCCGATTCACGTTTAAGTAGGTTCGAACGGATAGTCAACTGCTCTGATGTAATAAAATATTGACTTCCCACAGCCGCTAGAAAATTGCCTGACGAAGTATTCAAGTTTGTTAAACAGAAACTTAGTTCAGCGTCTTCTATTAATTAAAAGCAAACCTCGAATAACCTGTGAAGGTCAAGTTGTCATTATTTATCTTTGCCGTGTCGAGTGTTTGTTGCCGCTTTATTGCACAAAAACGCGACTGCAACTTTTTTCTAGCAGCTTTGCATGTTGCCAAATTGTTCCCTATATCTTTTCTTTCGACAGTGAATTCGATGCGGTAAACATAACTATTCCGCGCACGATTCCATTTCTGGTGTTACTATAATACAATCTCGCGACATTTGCGTAAAGCGGATCTGTGTGACAGGTAATGCAACACTATAGAATCCTGAGGTAAGTACTAAAACGAGGGGAGTTACTACATCACGGGCGACGAGCGGGGATAGAAAAAACGACCCAAATATGAGCGGTCAGCGGTGAAACAGCTTTTATACTTCATATAGAGACATATAATTTGTTGTTCCAGAGACAATCGTGTTGTAAAGCCGAAATGTTAACAGTTTACTTCACAGTTTAAGCAATTTTTCAAAAGTGTTGATTGAACTCATATCTTTTACTGCTTTAATAAACAATGGAGGCTTCGGAGAGGGAGTCAGTGGCATTTGGAAAGGCACCAAGAATAATTATGTATATGGTTTGTAGCTAGCTCGACCTCGTAAAGCAAAACATAACTAACCTTTCTGAGGTGCAAAGGTCTCTTGATAAATATGTTCGGGAGGATCTATTTTTCGGCCATCCCGAGGAACGAAGGCCAAAGAAAACAAATAGGCGATACTACCCTTGTCGCCAGGACTTGCGAAACCACATTGCCAAGGCGATTTCAGCAGTGAAGTATTGCGATGACGACCAAGAAGCATTGGGTAAAAAAATAGAAGATTGGCAAACTAAGTCTCCCAAAAGCAACTTCTTTTACCGTACCAGAGACGCTGTCATTAACGAAAAAGATGAACCAAGACCTAGATCTCCTGAGGAAACCTTCCTCTTTGTACATCAAGAGCCATGGCAACAACGAATGCTTGAAAGATATGGTAGTGAACTGGCCCTGATGGACGCCAAGTACAAAACGACAAGGTACGCAATTCCATTTTTTTTCGTTTGTGTACATACCAACGTGGGATACAAGGTTGTGGCTGAATTCATATGTCAGTCCGAAGATCAAGCCTCTATAAGTGAAGCACTTGCCATAATCAAGGGATGGAACCCAGCGTGGAATCCGGCGTACTTCATGGTGGATTATTCCAATGCAGAAATCGCTGCCCTCGAACAACAATTCCCCAAAAGTTTGGTGTACATTTGTGATTTCCACAGATTACAAGCAATGCACCGCTGGTCCAAGTCAAAGAAGAATGGCCTTTCGTCTGCTGAGCAAGAGATATTTTTAGAGCTTATGAAGAGCATCACCTATGCTAGCACAGTTGACAAATTCGAAAAGCGAGTGAATGCCTTGAAAGAATCCCGGCTTTATAAAGAAAAACCAAATGTTCAGAACTATCTAAACAACACGTGGCTATCATGCCAAGTTCGTTGGGCACAGGCTTTTCGAAAGCAGCAGGTGACAAACATAGTTAACACCAATAACGGCACTGAGGCGCAAAACAAGCTGTTCAAGTACGAATATCTGCCGAGATCAGTTGACAAATCGGTTTATGGCATTGCAACGATGCTGGTAGAATCGTTCATTCCTGACTCGCACAGAAGATATTTGGAAAAGAACCTCAAGTTCAGCGATGCCTATGGAAGATATCATTCTAGAATACCGACTTATCTTCACAACCGACCACCACAGTTTGTTAAACACTGTTTGGACAGTAGATTTGCCGCTGGTGAATTCACTGAAGCCGACATCTCATCCGTAAACTTTCAGAAAGGCCAATTCAGCGTGAAAAGCGCAGCCAACGTAAACAAAAAGGAGCTAGTGGATTTTTCCTATCCTAGTTGCACCTGTACCTCCTGGAAAAAAAGTAATTACCCTTGCAAACATTTCTTTGCAGTGTTTGCCCGCTACTCTCAGTGGCGATTTGAATCTCTACCCCATCAGTACAGGAGCAGTGTCTTCATCTCTCTTGATCTGGATCATTTGATTATAAATAAGCATGACAGTAATGTACAGAATTGACATACTTATGTAATTGCTGTATTTTGTTTGACTCTGCAGTGCCGTTGCTGATCTCAAAACGGGATGGAATTGCAAGTCATGGCTATGTGTTGAACCACTACATTACACACAGACCGATAGCTATAACTGTGGTGTGATTGTATGTCTTGTGAGTAGCATAATCACTTGCTAAAGCTCACTTTAATAGGACTGCTTCCTGGTTTCGAATGTATTAAATTTCTCTTTGTTTGTTTTAAGTTTGCTCGGTGTTTGTGTGAGGGGTTGGATATCAATGGAAGTTACGATGTGGACATGGAAAGGGAAAGAATAACGTCTGTCATATTTGGCTCGTGTTATGATGACCTTGATTGGTAAGTTTTGATGGTGTCAAATACCATTGTTTCTTAAACGCCGCAACACTCTCTTTGACGTCCCATATCTTTTGTTCAATTATAGGAGAAATACCGCGGTCTGTAAGATTTGCAGAGACGACGATGGAGAGGATTGGCTTGGGTGCGATAGCTGCGGCCAGTTTTTCCATGCAAGTTGTCTGGATGTGCCTTTCGCGGAGACGCTTACGCAACATTTCACCTGCCCTTAGGGTGGCTTCTTGTCAGCACAAGTAGAGTTTAAATTTTAAAGCTGACTATAACAACAAACCAGATGATGAACTTAATGTCATGTACAGACCTTAATTTGCAAGATAAGAAATACAGTCCTTGGTAGTCAATTAAGATAGATTTTCACGAGCGTCAATGGTGCAGAATCGTAACTTGATGGAGCCAACAGTGGACAACATCCCAGAATTCAAACTTTGTGATTTTTTTCTCGGCTTAAACGCTAAGTCAGTTGTTCAATTGAATAGGAAGAAAAACATTTCGAACGGAAAACAGCATTATTTGCACGTGAGGATCTTTTGAGAAAAGGTCTCCTTAACGAGTGGTCTTGATTGTAAATATTTAAGGAATGGTAAATACATTAGCCTTAACATGGCTGTTTCTCGAACCTCAGTGTTTTCCTACTTGCCTTTTTTTTCCCCTTGAATTGGGGGCGATTGAATAGATATAATATGCAATAAAAGAACTTCAGCTGATAGAAATTTTAAATTTCTCATCTTAGGCTGTGGATACAAAATTCAAGTGAAAAGGAAGCCAACTGTGATTAATGCTTTGAACAAGTCAAGATACGTTTTTTCGTCACACAACAAGTTACATAACGTGAATATCATTCTTCTTGATGCCTTTCCCGGTGTCACCAATGCCTTTCCCAATGCCTCCGTTGGTTAATAGAGCATTAAAAGTATTGTTCCAGTTAAAGCTTGAGGAAAATTGCTTAACTTTTTAAGTAGCGAAGTGTAACTTGGTAACATTTCGGCTTTACAACACGATTGTTTTCAGCAACTACAAAACGTACATTTAATTCTTCTTGGTACCTTTCGGATGCCACCGATGCCTTCATTGTTTATTAAAGCAGTAAAAGATATATGTACAATCAACACTTTTGAATTGCTTAACATTTTATTTAGCGAAGTAAACTGTTTACACTTCGGCTTTACAACACGATTGTTTCCTGATACTACAAATGATCTGTCTATATATGACGTATGAAAGTTGTTTCACCGCTGACCACTCGTATTTGGGTCGTTTTTTCTATTCCCGCTCGTCGCCCGTGATGTAGTAACTCCCTAAAACGAGGAACGACCTAAAACCACCTAAAACCACCTAAAACCACCTAAAACCACCTACAACCACCTCAAAAATTTCAACAACCACCTACAACCACCTCAAAAACATCTACAACCACTCGCAAACTATCTAAAACCATCTAACACAAGGCATAAATGTCTAAAATAAGGCGAAACGACAACATGTCACGTACACGAAATACGAGAATCGAACGAAACCTCTACCTTCCCCTGAAATCTTACTCTCCCTGGTCCCATGTATAATCAACCCTCTCACGAAATGAAATGCGATAGCATGCTAATTATTTTATATTCCCTCAGCAAAAGACTTAAAGAACTTTACAAAATGAACTAACAAGTTACAAAAAATAATAAATAAGGAATAATACATGGGCGCGCGTAGATATGGAATTAATCATCGAGTGTTTAACTCGATAGCTCACGAGTGAGCGCAGTGAACGAGTGAGATGTCGAGTTGAACACGAGAAGAGAAATTCCATATTTACAAGCAACCATGTATTATTTTGTTTATCATATAAACACAATAGCCCTTTTCTGGGAAGAAAATCCGACCTCATTAATGAATGCAAATAAATGAATCGACAATCCTCGAACAACAATCGTAGAGTGCGTTGGCGCTGACTCTTAAGATGGAAAATGCTTTGAATCATGATTACAAAAACTTCCATACATACGCGCGCCTATGTATAATTCCCAATGTATTATTTTTTGTAACATGTTACTTCATTTTGTAAAGTTCTTCAAGTCTTTTGCTGAGGGAATATAAAATAATTAACATGTACGTTCGTGTACGTGACATGTTGTCGTTTCGCCTTATTTTAGACATTTATGCCTTGTGTTAGATGGTTTTAGATAGTTTGCGAGTGGTTTTAGATGTTTTTGAGGTGGTTGTAGGTGGTTGTTGAAATTTTTGAGGTGGTTGTAGATGGTTGTAGGTGGTTTTAGGTCGTTCCTTGTTTTAGTACTTACGGGAATCCTGAACCTTCCAAACGGATGATACAAGTCGTTTGACGGAAAATAGTCCAAGTCGTTCGAACGGGCTGATGTTTTTGACGAACGGGCTGATGTTTTTGACGAAAGGGCTGATGTTTTTGACGAACGGGTGACCAAGCCGGTCGAACGGATGGATGTCTTCTATGCCAGCGCGGGTCCGAAATCCAAAACACCCATTTGACTTGAACAGATTATCATAGCTTTAATCACAAATCCACACGCGTAATACATCTCCAAATCGCTTAAGAAGTGAATCTGTCAAACTAGATATACAGATGTACAGTTGGTATACAGAAAACTGGAAAACGGCAAGAAGAAAGGTAAAAACTTACGCCTTTCCGGGCTCTAGCATCGGACCGCGTGGTCAATAACATAACAAAACTAGCGCGCATGAGCAGAAATCCGCGACGCATACATAACGTAAAAAAGGGCGGAACACGGGTGCCGCTACATCTTCGACGAATGGATGACCAAGCCGTCGAACGGGCTGATGTTTCCGAGAACGGATGACAAAGCCGTTCGAACGAGCTGATGTTTTCGACGAACGGATGATCAAGCCGGTCGAACGGATGGATGTTTCTATCGAACGGATGACCGAAGCCGTTCAAACAGATGCAAATTTTTCTGAACGGCTGACAAACGGCTAGTGAACGGAAAGCCGTTTGAAAACGGACGTTTTCCCGTGGTAGGTCACAATTTAAGAGCCCATGACTGTAAATATCGAGAATCGCTGGCCAGGCTAAAAAAATCGAAAATTCTGATAATTTGCCTGGAAAACCCTTTTAGGGAGATGTATTTAAAAAAATATTTCGAAGTTTGAAAAATCAAATGTTTCCGAGGAAATGGGGAAAAACGAAAATTTGGGTTTCTACCCAATTAATTATGCCAAAAATACAGTAACATTGACCAACTTTAGTGTGCGAGTACTGAAGGAGGATGTTTGGTAAGAAATCGGGGGTGTTTTTACTTCAAAGTATAATTCATTTGATTTTTATTTGTGGCATTTTAAGGAGCTTTGGTTTAATTTTAAAATTCATATGATTTTTTAACAAAGTGCTGTCAAACGCTTGTTGCAAAAAGTGAAAAATCGAGCAACTTCAAGCCTTCAAAACGCGTCTTGGCATGTGAGAAATCATATCAAACTACATGCTGGCACAAAGTTTGGTCCTTATATGAAAATAATATGAAATAAAAAATCTGCGTAATTAAGAAAAGTGCCGGCAAAATAAAAGAGTTTGCAACGCACTGTGGCCAAGGTCAAGAATTTGCGTGATGCAAATCAGTTGTAGAAATCGTACTTGAGAGCTACGAAGTAAACAAGATAGTTAAAGATGGTTAAAAAACTCTTTGATATGGAAATGATATGAAATTATAGAATAAAAAATCGGCAGACATTGCTGAAGAGGGCTGTAAATTGATGTGTAGATACGAACTTTTCTGTTAATTTGAATTGCAGAAGACTGTTATTGTCGACTCGCAATTTCAACAGCACTACCTACACCTAACTATAGATAAGGGCCGCTGTATAGTTCACCATTTTTGTCGACAAGTGGTTTATTATCGACATAATTCTTAGTTGAATAGTTACGTTTTCTGCAACTGCGACAATATTTCTTTTGAAATATCTTGGATATCTTGGAAAAAGTTACGTGAGTAAACAAAGTCACGCAACACCGCAAGCTTCTGCTGTGGAGTTTTTCACCTCAAGATAACAGCCCAACCATTTTTATGCTATTTACTCTTATCTTTTTTGGAAAAATGGCCACATTTCTGTCATAAAACTTGATAAAAAGGACTTGTGTCACGGCAGCAATTATACCGTGTTGCAGTCCGGTGTGACGATAGTGTTTCTCTCGCCCAAGCTGGAGGACTGAATCTTCGCGACGGAACAATAACAACTGGGGGAAATAACTCTGTAGAGACGACTTGGCAGCGAGAACGGAAACTCGTCACGATTTCCTGGTACACGGAGATCTGCTTCGAGCGAGCTTATACGGACGTCAAGGATAAGACAATCTTTGGTTCCACAGTACTTTTATTCTAGGTCAGGCCAACAAGCGACATGACCTCTAGCATACTCTAGTTTGTAATCATCAAAGCTGTACAAGGTACTTGCTTAAGAAGTAACTGGTGTGAAGTGCTATTGTTACACAAATCGCAATATTTGAATAAGGACACAAAGGAGCGGAAAAAGTCTCTTTGAAGTTAAACGAAAACTACTTAAATATTCCATCTGTTTCTACGACGGAAAGAATCTCAAAATTAAAAAGACGGATGCAATAAACTCTAGGCCATTAAAGTAGGAAACCTAGGTGCGATTTTACAGCTCTGATATATAAAACAATACCTGTCTTAATTGCAGTAACGCAGCTCAGGAAATAAAAAAACGGAAAAGCAATTAAAGTTTCTGCTTATTTATGAAAGGTTGGTTTGGAAACCATCGCATGAAAAGAAATTAAATTTACGAGTATAAACTCAGCTGCTATCTACCATGAAAACCAATGTTTCCAGAAAGACCATTAACACTTATATTTACCTAAAAAAAACCATGTAATAAATAACTAAAGTGCCGACAAGCAGGTACATATGATGAAAGCGAGTAACAACAAAAATCTATTCAAAAGCTACTGTGGTTTTTATGCATTTTTTGATTTATTGAAATGAAAGGACTTGAAATGGTTAAATGTGAAAGTTTACGAATAAATATGTTCCGAATAACACACACGGGAAAATCAGTAAATTTTCCCGTAACAACCGTGTTGCAGTCCGGGCGATAATTCTCTATGATGCAATCACGGTCTTTTTCTTAAAGGTAAACACGTGCGAGGTTTTTCATAGAGCATAAATAGAAAACGATGTCATTCTGTAGCTTTGCTTCTCTTCTTGGGGGGGCTTGTGGTGCAAGTTCTGAAAATCCAAACATGGCTGACTTTGTCAAATTGAAAGACTGTACTAGGGATCAAGTGTTTCCATGTCCAAAAGAGGGCTGCACGCATAATTTCCAACGGCACTCTTCTCTAGAAAAGTATCTCGCGTTCAGAACAAGCACAAAGACGGTTGAAAGGAAGACACTTCTTGGTAAAGCGAAGTTAAATATACTGCAAGGCTCGAGGAAGGTTCAAGTTCCGTGCCAACCATTCCTCTACCGCCTGAAACCTGTCCTCGTAGCACTGGATATGCAACACTGCCTGAAGGCTTCGCTTTAAAACAAGTAAAGAAAGTTTACCGGTTTAACGAAAAGCAACGAGAGTACCTGACTTACCATCGGACAAGAAAGCGGCAAGAAGGTCGACGCAGAAATTGTTGCAACAGAAATGAGAAGAGCAAAGGAATTGAACGGGGAGCGCTTGTTCAGTGTCTCTGAGTTTTTTTTATTTAACAAGTAGCTTCATTTTTTTCCAGAATGACAGCAAAAGTGAAACAGCAGACAGCCCCCTGCGCATAAGCTGTAACTGAGCAAGATCTCGTTGCTATGGAGGAAGAATTTAATTTGTCAATTGCTAAGGAGTCTATTTTTGAGCAGTTAAATGTAACTCATTCTATTCATTACCAACAGTACAACTGTTCCATGGTCGAGAATAACACACTCAAAAATCTCGAACTCGCAGTCTTAAAACTCCTTTGCGAGAGTTTCAATCTTGCATTACCACCTGGGGTTGATCATAGAAAAAAGACATCTTACGTCGCTCTGCTCGAAGACCTTGCTAGATGCTGCTCTTGCAGTGCAGTTTAAAAGGCAAACGGCAAAAGGCTGCTTCAAAAAATTGAGTTCTATATGAACGTTGATATAAAACGGGGGCCATAGAGCATATTTTGGATCGGAGGAGCTATTGCAGTTCCCACCTACTGTGAACTCATTGGCACCAACTTATAATTATCTATGAGGGCCCTGGGGCCTCCCCTCCGAGGAGGGCTTCCTTTTGTTTGTTTCTTAGTACGCCTTTCTCAGTGCAGAAAGACTGCTGACAGGGTATCCTGGGGTATGCTTCCCCGGCAAATTTTGAAATCTAGAGCTTCTGAAATCACCGGAAACGCGTTTCAATCCAAAGAAAAATTTGTCAAATTTTTAATTCAAAGATTAAAATAAATAATAATGATAACAACACATTGTTCTTGGTGGGGCTACAGCCCACTCAACCCCATAGCTCCGCGGTCCCCGTATTAAAGGCGCAAACCGGAAATAAAAAAAGTCCCCTTCGAACCGCACTTGGCAGTCAGACAGGATCAGGCCGGCTGGATGTTGTTCGATATAGACTCATAAAAGAATTTATACAAATAATATAAAACGAGATATATAGGACCGGATGCTTTCGAATGGAGTTTTGACGAAAAAAGGATTGTATCTGCTTTACTCGGCAACTTCACCTCTGATCCAACGTGACAATTGTCACGCAATTGAAACATTTTGCTTTTCGTCAAGACAGTTACGAGAAATTAAACAAAAAACTCATTGGCTTAAAAAACGAATTAAACGCTATTAAATGCTGGTCATTATTCTTGTAAATTTCATGTTGTATCCGTCAACAGGGCCTTTCCTACACCAGAACCGTCAGGCGGTACGATTTCTACAACTGATTTGCATCATGCAAATTCGTAACCTCTGGCCACAGTGCGTCGCAAACCTTTATGTTTTGCCTGCACATTTCTGAATTACCCAGATTTTTTACTTCATATTGTGTTAGTATAAGGACCAAACTCTGTGCCAGCATGTAGTTTGACATGATGTCATACATACTAAGACGCGTTTTGAAGGCTTGAAGTTGCTCGATTTTTCGCTTTTTGCAACAAGCGTTTGACAGCGCTTTGTTAAAAAATCATGTGAATTTTAAAATTAAACCAAAGCTCCTTAAAATGCCACAAATAAAAATCAAATGAATTATACATTGAAGTAAAAACACCCCCGATTTCTTACCAAACATCCTCCTTCAGTACTCGCACACTAAAGTTGGTCAATTTTACTGTATTTTTTGCATAATTAATAAGGTAAAAACCCGAATTTTCGTTTTTCCCCATTTCCTCGGACACATTTCATTTTTCAAACTTTGAAATAATTTTTTTGAATATATCTCCCTAAAAGTGTTTTCCAGGCAAATTATCAGAATTTTCGATTTTTTTAGCCTGGCCAACGATTCTCGATATTTACAGTCACGGCCTCTTAAGGTTCTAAATTTAGTGGCCATTTTAATTTATTATGTTGATAATTGTTATTTGGATTAGTACATGTAGCTTTGATGATACAAATCGCTCTTTGAACACTCAGGCATAGCAACTAACCCACACTGTATAAGCTGAAACTTGCACTCTTAATAACACTCATTAATTTAAAACTTCCAAGTGATAGGATGAAGCAATTTGTGTTTGATGTTTAGTGGTGGATTGTCAAGGCTCTTAGCGTTATGAGCTGAAGATTGCAAGAGAAAATTCAATTACCACAAATGGAGTTCCTCATGTCACAGCTTCACTTCTGTTACAATCAAAGTCAGAAACGTTAGGGATCCATTCTGGGCAATCGCTTCATTTGAGCAGCCGCACAGCATATCATATGTAATGATAGCTGTTTGCAGCATTCACTTGGTTATTTCCAAACAGTTAATTATGGCTTCATCACTATTTTTCCATCGCTCTTTTTCTGTATTTCTGCAATTATTTCCTACAGATTGTTTAGAAGTGTATTCAATGAATTACACAAAAAACATACATGTGATATTTAGGATGGGAAGGTTAACTTTAGAATTGTTACCTTGCAGCATGTGATTCACAGGCAATTGGTTTGGCCAGTGGTGGTAGAATTCCAGATAGCAGCTTCTCAGCCAGTTCAATATTTAGAGCCACATATGCAGCTAAATATGGTCGTCTTAATGGGAGACGGGCATGGGAACCTAAGACTAATGATCTTGATGACTACCTACAAATTGACCTTCTCTATGAGTATGTTATCTGTGCTGTTGCTACTCAAGGAAATCCACCAACCCAATCAATAGGGGCTCAAGAATGGACCACAGAGTACAAACTGAGATTTTCACTCAACGGTACCACCTTTCTCCCTTATAAAGAAAACAAACTTGACAAGGTTGGTATGGCATGCTCATATATACAAGTATTTACAACAGCGAAAATTAGTACTTGTGTTACAAAACTACTGATTTTCATTTTGCAAATTACAGATGTCATTTTCCAAATTCAAGTTGCAGGTTTTAATTGATCTCATTTCACAAATTACAGTAAACCATTAACTATGCCAAGTTTCAATACGTTGATATCACTTTTTGTTTAACAGGCCTTTCCAGGAAATTCAGGAAAAACTGACACAGTGAAAAACAGTCTAAAGGAATTTGCAAGTGCAAAGTTTATACGCTTTTTGCCAACAAAGTATAATAGGTTCAAGGTTTTGAGAGTGGAGGCCTATGGAATACTTTTCACTAAAGGTATTTATTTGTTCTCATTTTTGTCCCGCTGATCCAAACTGAAGTCACAATAACAATGGAGAAATTAAGGTGAAATTGGACAATTTACAGAACAGTAATGATTGTAGTTATACAAAAGTATGAATGGCTCCCACAGCTAGCTTTTGGAAAAGAAAGATACAGTTTAACTTTGTTACATAATTATGTGGTGGACTGGACTATTGTACCATGAATGGCAATGAAGTTCTGCACTGTTAAATGAATTGTTGTCAGCAGGAAAGTTAAATAGCTTTTTAAAATTCAGATATCATTGATAAATTTCACATCAATTACCATCTCAGCATGGAGGCATACATTGTACATATCTTTAATATCCTTATTTCAGTTCCATCAAAACCTCCTACTGCCTTCAAGTTGACTGCAAGATCTTCTACCAGCATTACAGCTTCCTGGCAATCACCACCAGTCTTTGCCAGACATGGAAGAAAAATAACAGGTTTTAAACTGTTCTACAAAAAGAAAGGTGGTGGGTCAGCAACAGCATTGTTAATTGGCAGCGGATCAATATTAAGTAGAAATGTCACTGGGCTTGATAAGTTCACAGAATATGAATTTCAGGTGTTGGCACTCACTTCTGATGGTGATGGACCAAAGAGCCCTGTTGAGGTGGAGAGAACAAAGGAAGCTGGTATGTGATAGGTGAAGGTGAAGGTGAAGGATAAAAGATTATGACAATTTTTGATGAAATAAATTTCATTAGACCTGCAAGGAGAGAAGCCATCCCTCCATATGGGCTGCAATTGTAAGAAATTGCAGAAGAGAAACCAGAAAAAATTCAGGCCTCCACGGAACTTGAACCCATACATCTCAGATACTAGATGGGTGTTACTACCAACTGAGGTATCAAGCCACACATTGGGAGCCAGACAATAGATAGAAGGTTCTTTGTTTGGCAGTAACATTTAGGGGGACCAGTTATAGGCATTAAGTTCCACATCTTTCCAATTGCAGCTCCATCAAAAGCCCCAAGCAGCTTCAGGGTGACTGCAGTTACTTCTACAATTATCACAGCATCCTGGCAGTTACCACCAGCAGACTCCAGAAATGGAATAATTATAGGATTCAAATTGTTTTACAAAAAGAGAGGGTCTGGTGGACGAGCAACCACCTTGACCATTAAGAATGGAACAGCATTAAGTAAAGATGTCGCTGGGCTTGATATTTACACAGAATATGAATTTGAAGTGTTGGCCTTTACTTCAGTTGGTGATGGACCAAGGAGTTCTCCTTTAGTGGTGGTGAGAACCATGAAAGATGGTAAGAATTGTAAAGCAATGTTCAAGTCTTTTTTAACTTAGTCTGCATGGTGTAGCAACAGCAAAAAAACCTATGAGCTGATTGTTTATGAGAAAGTATATTCTAACAGAACTTTCATGTTTTATTGCATGATTTGAACTTTCCCAGTTTTTATAAGTACTTTTGCAGTAACCAAGGTGGCTTTTTTTCTGGTTCATAATATTCAGTGTTGTAGTATAGTTATACATGTCTGGCAAAGACAAGTGTTAGGGATATCTTGGGGGCTACCACTGTATACATGCAGGCCTCAAATGAAATATGGCCCCCATAGCAGTCAAATCCCTAGAAAACAGCCATGAGCCCCCATTCTAGGCCAGGGTCTTTCTTAGCTAATCATAAGACTATGTTTAGGTCATGTGGGGCAGTGTAGGGCCCTGAACTCTTCACAATACCAAGGCATCCTTGTTTGAAGACAAAAATTTGGTGACTGCTTACAAAGGCTTTAAGACAACTGCACAGTGCTGATAAACTCTTTCAGACAAGTATATTATTGTACATGAAAACTTGTTTGGGAACATTTAGAGATAACTGCTACAACACTACAAATGCATTAATGAATACTAAATTAGGTACTTTGTAATACCTCAAGATGACCAGTACAAAAGGTCTGAGAAACAAAAGAGGATAAATACAACAAAATTGAATGGTTGAAAACAACTGAATTAGTTACGGCCAAAGAAAACTTATGATGTTCTTTTTGTAAGGAAGCCTGTTGACTAGATGAGTAGCCAAATTGTGGCTATTCACCTTTTTAAATTATAATTTACCTACATTTTAAAAGAGTTGCAGAGACAAAATTATTAAATGCATATGTTGGGAGCTCTACCCTCTTAAACCTTTGTTGTATTCATTACTGATTATTTTTCCATGTCAGTTGTAATGCTTTAAATAGTTTTTCAATTTTTAGGTTGTGTTGAGTTCAGTCTTGGCATGGAAGATGGAAGAATTCTAGACGCTGGAATAAATGCTTCGTCTTCTAGCACAGTAGCCAAGAATGGCCGACTAAACTACACATCAGGATCATCATGGTGTGCAGGAACAAGTGACACTAATCCATATCTACAGATTGATCTACAAACACTTCATATCATCTGTGCTGTGTCTACTCAAGGGAATTCGAAAGCAGATCAGTGGGTGAAGAGTTACACACTGCAATTATCTACAGATGGGACAACTTGGACAGACTATACAGAATTAGGTGGACAGGTTAAGGTGTAAAATACATTCTGTTTTGAAGCATTACTTCAGAAACAACTAAGATTTAGCATGCATTGACTTTAACATTTATATCTAATCCCCATAAGCATGCAGGAGGCAGTGACTAGTTCTTGCCCTAGCAAATTATTAATTAACAAATAGAGAAGCCTTGACTGAGCTCTGTTCTGTTATAAAGCACGCAGGAAGCGGCTAGAACACGAAAGAAGTGTAGGGAGAAACACGAGACGTAGTCGAGTGTTTCTTCCCACTTCTTGAGCACTTCTTAACAGAGCACAGTCAAGGCTTCTCTATTTGTTTTATAATAAAGAATCCGTTAAATTACCCAAGCATTACTCTCAATTTTCAAAACAAACTTTATTTCCAAAGCGAACAACAATGTCGTCAGCATGCTCTATACTCTCATAAAGCACGCCACAATAAGCCAATCAGGATCATTGTTAGAATGGTTCAAATAATCTGATTGGCTGTACAAGACTAAAGCTGTCAAAAGTGTCAAACCATCAAAGTTAAAAAACCATCAAAGTTCACATTTTACGATAGTTTACAAACTAGAATAGTTCGGCAAGTCGAATTTAACACTTTTGCCTGAAGTTTTTAATTCTCTAATACAGAATCTTGAAGTGAAATGTTCAGTGAACTTCAGCCGAATTATGGCTCATAAAAACACACGAGTTTTTTTCCACATGACAAGGTAGAAAACAAACTGTTCAAGGCGAGTGTTTTTTGAATGAACGAATTCACCGGAACATGAAGATCGCTCGTGATGATAGCGCCGCAAAACTCGGCTGCAGTGACTGATGTGAATTGCCACTCAACGTATCGTAAAGGATATCAGAGCATGCTCTTTTTTTTTTTATTCGAAGGGCGGCCGGTGTAGTTTCTGAGGCTTGCTTTACTGTGATGATCGGAGATCGCCATGATGAGCGAGCCGCGATGAACTTCAGCATGATCATATTCGCTCAGACACCGTCATGATTAGTATGAGTTTTAACAATTATGCCAGTTTGGTTATATTTTTCATCATTTCTGTTTTGTTCTGTTTTGTTCTTGAACACTGAACTTTATATACTATACGAGTGTTAGCTGTGTTTGATTTTTATTACCGTACGTAAGCTTGCAATCTAACTGAGCGTGAAAATCTTTAAAACTCGGAATGTTTATTTTGTTTTTCCTTTGAGGATTTTCGTATCTGCTCACGTTTTAATAACGTAAATTACGGCGCCTGGTATGTTTACAAACCTTTGTTTGATTCTTCTGTTGCTACTTGCCGGCTCGCTTCAGTTCCAAAATTTCACTTTCAATTATCGGAAAAAAGCTAAAAAGAAGTCCCGGAAAAGGTCGAACATAGTAAAATTGGCAGAGGGCGTGACAGCTGTAGCTCAGCTCTATGCTGGCTAACACTTCTTTTTCATACATGGCAAACCAAATGCCATTATTTGTGAATGAAAATGAGTGTTGCTAGTCCTCAATCATCTACTTGTTGAAAATGGGAAGAATAGATTGTCACTCAAAATTAATGAGGGTGCTTCGTTACTTGTGGTGACCATGTCTTAAGAGCTCAAAGATGTTTCCTTCCCCATCTTCATTTTTATCTCTATCATACAATTTTCAAGGTTTAACTCTTGGCCTTTAAGAGTACTAGCATCTTTTTTCTGGTTACAATAACGGAAATGGTCAGAAGCTTTTTGTCGTGTAGCACCTTAGGGAATGTAAAGATAACAGTTTGAGGAATGTGTCTACTGATGTGAGGGTGTTATAAATGGGTTAAGAAGCAAATGATGAGAGAAATTCAAATGTTATAAGCAGTATGGATATCATTATCACTGCTATTTTCATGTGACTATTGTTTTGTTTCTTTTAAGGTTCTGATAGGAAATGATGACAAAAACTCAGAAGTAAAGCATGTCGTTTATGGAGTGTTGACTAGGTATCTGCGATTCCGGCCACAAACTCACCAGGGAGGGGTGTGTATGAGAATAGAGGTGTTTGGAGTGAAACAAAAGCCAAGTGAGTTTCAAATTTAGTGTTCCATGATTGCTATGATCTGCTACTTTAAGGGCATTCTAAGATACTCTGGCTTAATATGTAGAGAAGGGTTTTAAACTTAATACATCTGTAGTTGTGTTCTTTTAATAATATACACTGAGCTTTTTGGATACAGTTAGTGGCTAAAATGAAACAAACCACATTGTATATAAATTATAGTCTGATGGTACTGGAATGGTTACATGATAACTTGGAAGTTGTATGCTCAACAATTTATTGTCTCTAATTTGCCAAAGAAACACCTTAAATCACAAAGAAAGGAAATGGCTGATAGAAAATGTTGAATATGAATTTATTTTTGGTACCTGAAATTCCATTTTAAACTCTTTAAAATCTCTACTCTTTTGATATGTACATTATTAGATTAATTGTAATTTTTGCAATGTGAAACTCGAATTATTGGCTTTTAAATGATTGGGATAAATACCAACTAAGTTGAGGTAATATTTGATGTTCAAATGCTGTTAGAGTCAATTGAGTAATCATTTCAATTAATAAGAAACTGTATAATTGTTTGTCTTGTGATGTAGTCTCTTGAGATGTAGATCATGGCATTTGAACTGCTTACTGCTAGTATCCATCAGGCAACGGAGTCAACTGCTGATTGGTTACCATTTGTATCACGGCACTCTTATGTGATGGGTGAATTTTGATCCCCATTGTTCTGATGACTGCTGGTTTTCTGAACCCCTCCTCAAGCAAATAACCTGTGATGCAGTTCAAGTCCACAGCGCTTTTGCCCTATGTAAAAGGTGTATCAGTGCCTCTTTGCCATTGCCTACAATGACAAGGCTTCCGCACAGTCTTAAAGTCCAACACGACACTGAGATCACATTTTCTCGTATTTTTCCCTCACTCTTTTCTGTATTTCTGCAATAATATCCTACATATTTTTTAGAAGTGTATTCAATGAATTACACAAAAAACATACATGTGATATTTAGGATGGGAAGGTTAACTTTATTATTGTTATCTTGCAGCATGTGATTCACAGGCAATTGGTTTGGCCAGTGGTGGTAGAATTCCAGATAGCAGCTTCTCAGCCAGTTCAGTATTTAGAGCCACATATGCAGCTAAATATGGTCGTCTTAATGGGAGACGGGCATGGGAACCTAAGACTAATGATCTTGATGACTACCTACAAATTGACCTTCTCTATGAGTATGTTATCTGTGCTGTTGCTACTCAAGGAAATCCACCAACCCAATCAATAGGGGCTCAAGAATGGACCACAGAGTACAAACTGAGATTTTCACTCAACGGTACCACCTTTCTCCCTTATAAAGAAAACAAACTTGACAAGGTTGGTATGGCATGCTCATATATACAAGTATTTACAACAGCGAAAATTAGTACTTGTGTTACAAAACTACTGATTTTCATTTTGCAAATTACAGATGTCATTTTCCAAATTCAAGTTGCAGGTTTTAATTGATCTCATTTCACAAATTACAGTAAACCATTAACTATGCCAAGTTTCAATACGTTGATATCACTTTTTGTTTAACAGGCCTTTCCAGGAAATTCAGGAAAAACTGACACAGTGAAAAACAGTCTAAAGGAATTTGCAAGTGCAAAGTTTATACGCTTTTTGCCAACAAAGTATAATAGGTTCAAGGTTTTGAGAGTGGAGGCTTATGGAATACTTTTCACTAAAGGTATTTATTTGTTCTCATTTTTGTCTCTCTGATACAAACTATAGTCACAATGACTAATTATTGGAGAAATTAAGGTGAAATTGGGCAATTTACAGAACAGTAATGATTGTAGTTATACAAAAATATAAGTGGCTCCCACAGCTTGCTTTTGGAAAAGAAAGATACAGTTTAACTTTGTTACATATGTGGAGGGCTGGACTGCTGTACCATAAGTTGCCACATATGAATGGCAAAATAAGTTCTGGACTGTTAAATGAAGTGTTATTCAGATATCATTGAAATATTTCTTATCAACTATCAGCTAAGCATGGAAACATACATTGTTCATCTCTTTATGTTTATTTCAGTTCCATCACAGCCTCCTACTGCCTTCAAGCTGATTGCAACATCTTCCATCAGCATTGCAACTTCCTGGCAGTTACCTCCAGTCTATGCCAGACATGCAACCATTATAGGGTTTAAAGTGTTTTACAAAAAGAAGGTTTTGGGTGTGTCAGTAACAATCTTGACTATAAGGGGGGAATCAACATTGAGTAAAAATGTCACAGGGCTTGATAAGTACGCAGAATATGAATTTCAAGTCCTGGCTTTTACTTCTGATGGTGATGGACCAAAGAGTTCTGTCGAGGTGGAAAGGACAATTGAAGATGGTATGTGACAGATTAGAAGTTGATTAGGCAACCAAAGGAATGGATAACCATGCAGTTCAAATCAATTATTTACTGTATTGAAACTTTCAAAATCTAATAACAATAAATATGAATTGACAAGGGAAGATTTTACATCAAGTAGTTACAATTTTTTTTGAAAATGAGTATACTGATCAAAACACTGTCCAATTGCAGTTCCTTCACAACCTCCATCTAACTTCATGGTCAATGCAACCTCTTCTACCAGTGTTGGAGCATCCTGGCAGTTACCAGCAGAAAATTCTAGAAATGGAATAATCAAAGGATTTAAATTGTTTTACAAAAAGAAAAGCTCTTCAGTGCCAGGAACCGTCCTTTCAATCAATAGTGAATCGACGTTAAACAGAAATGTCACTGGTCTTGATAAGTACACAGAATATGAATTTCAAGTGTTGGCCTTTACTTCTACTGGTGATGGACCAAAGAGCTCTGTGGTTGTTAAGAGAACAAAAGAGGATGGTAAGAGTTTTCATTTGTTATCTAATAAAAGGCTAGATATGTGTTCTGAACAGTTGTTAAGAGAATATTGAAAATAGATATGTAACCAGAGTTTTATGAGGGGAAAGACCATGACCTAATTATATTATACTATTTCAACATGCATTGCATCGTAATTAGCATTTAAAACATGTCAATTTACTCATGAAATTATGCATGTTGGTGGTTCTGATTGTTTTTGCTATTGGAAGCCTACCATATGCATTTAGACCCCAAAGGTGCACCCTATTTTGTATAAGAGATCAATAGTAATTTATGGATGAGGGTCCACGACTATCATTTTTTGGAACCTCATCCATTTTTAGATCAATTTTCTTCTCCAGCGTTTTGAGCAATAGCGATGAAATGTTATCAGATTCCCTTTCTTTCGAAAATTGTCTCAAAACAGATTTCATTGCAATTGAATTACCTTATTTTGAACAATATGTTTGAAAGCGTGCCAGAATTTAACAGGCTAAATCATGTACCAAATACCAATTTTTCTCAACATTTGTATAATTAAGCACTCAGAAAGATTTCTGCTTCATGATGAGGGAAAGGTGATGATGATATGATATCTTCATTATGTAATAAATATGAAATAGCTATTATTATGATTATTATCGTAACATAAATATATCCTCCTTGTTGTAGTTCCTTCAAAGCCTCCGAGTGGCTTTAATCTGACTGCATCCTCTTCTACTAGTATTACAGCATCTTGGCAGTTACCGCTAGAAAATTCCAGAAATGGAATAATCAAAGGATTTAAATTGTTTTATCAAAAGAAAGGCTCTGCTGGGTCAGAATTGATGCGGCATATAACAGATCAGGCAAAGCGCCTTGAAGAAGTCACTAGCCTTGACAAGTTCACAGAATATGAATTTGAAATACTGGCTTTCACTTCTGTTGGTGATGGACCAAAGAGTTCCATTTTAACTGAAAGAACAAAAGAAGATGGTAAGACGTAGAAAATTAATAATGTTTCCTACATACTAGCTTGAATTTCCTCCTATATGAACCTTTCTTTCTTTTCATAATATTAATAGAACAGCTGTTTTTAAGAAAACATAGGAAGCTGGTAAGAATTATGATCAGTGCAACGGTCTATGCACTAGTGTTAACTACAAACCTACAGATTCACATAGTTACTTGTTGTATTCATCTTCGCATCCATCACACGTCAAGAATTCTATATTTTTTTCAAAGTTTCTCAGACTTCGTAGTTTAGGTAGTGAAAACTCTGATTTTTACGAAAAATCAGAGGCAATGTGCTAGATTTTCGATAAACATGGCTATCCTGTTTCTGTTGTTCTAGCGGGCGACCACTGTGCTCAACAAATTGATCGACAGGTAGCACTACAAATGACTGAGAAGTAAAACACTGATCGCATTTTATTCACTCTCACATTTCACCCTCACAACCGCACGGTTAAATCTATCATTCTTACAAACGTTAAATGACTGGTACTATCTTTACGCAACCTCCACTCTTCATTCAAACTTGACAAAAACATAGGTAACTTTTGGTCAGAAGTTCATTTCAAACCGGTGACCAACCTGGAACTTTCAAATGCGCTCATTCACAATGCAAAACTTGTCCTTTCATTCATAACGTGCAGAAAATGTCGGAACCCAAGAGATCCATTAAGATCACTGATCCCTTTACGTTCCCCTCGCTACAAAAAAGTTATACATTGGTAAAACAGGGAGACGACAAGGTGACTGGTTACGAGAACACCTTCGCGACGTAGAGACAAACGACAAGGACGCATCCAAACCAGTGGCTTGACACTTAAATCTTAAGTAGCATATGGCAGTTTGCAGCCTTTCCCTACATCTAGGCAGTTCGGAAAGCCGCAAAAATCTAGAACAAAAATTTATCTTCCAAATCGGTACTCTTAATCCCCGTGGTATTAACGAGCGCTTTTCATTCAACTAATTTACGCTTGTTTTCTCCTCACCATATTCCCACCAATAGGGTAGCTCCATTTTCTGCATTTAAACCCACACACGACCCACAATTCCGCCAATCGCTCTGACAAAGGACTAACGCTAGGAACGTCAGCCTTTAAACTCTTAACGGTTGCCAATTCACGTTATCAACTCAGTTGATCATACCAAATTACCCTATATAAAAATGGTACTAGTAATATTTGTATCTGGATGTATTTTTTCCCCATCACGTGATCAGTATTAGGTGGAAGCTATACATACCTGTTAAACCAAGTAGTTCCCGTCATATGGTTATGATATTTAGTGTATCTTTTAAATATCCAAAAAAACTTTTTCTGGAAAAATGCGACTGCAATTTACTCCTAGTTTGAAATAGTCTGTCTTGTTTGTAATTTTCTCTCAAGTTGTTTATATCGGTACCATAAATCAATTTACTTACTTGTGTACTGCATAGGCCAAAAATGGCTTTAGTTTCCCTCGTCAGTTTACAAAGCACTTCCATGACTTCCTTTAACAAAATACAAATTCTAGGATCATTTCAGGGTGAACAAAAATTTGATGTTGATACAACAAATATTTCAAACACACAACAGTATTTCAGGTGTTCATGGTTTCAAGAGTTTGACCGTAAAATACTTGTTCCTGTCTATATATGAACATTTACGTATAACTCATTTGCTCTAAATACGTTCAATTTTATAATGAGTTAATCTGAGATAAGGTCATTTAATTGAAAATCGGAGTGAAAAAACTCACTCAGAAACTTACAGTGCGGCCTTCAAAATTGGATAGTAAAAAAATATGAAAGCTGCATTCATCAAGTGACATACTTTCCGAAGTTCTCCTTTCTGATACAAGACCACTACAGGAGCGTCAATTTTTGGCTTAACTCTTTTCACATAAATGAGAACTGATAAACCGGCTTGTAGTGCTGTAAGAGCTAGTTCTATGCAGCCACCTTGAAATTGCCAGGTAAAAACGCTACATAACGTTAAAAATAGGTGGAGCAAATAAATGTTTGGAAGTGGGCTTCACGCCTTTGTCTGTCACACTCTTAAATTTATAATACTCAGTCTGATTCTTTTATTGAAAATGGCAAGTACAGCTTTTCTGCTCAATTGCAGCTCCTTCACAAGCTCCCACAAAGTTCAGTATCTCTGCAAGCTCCTCTACCAGTATCACAGCATCCTGGCTCTTACCACCTGTAAACTCTAGACATGGCATCATCAAAGGGTTTAAATTATTCTACAAAAGGAATGGCTCCTCCGATTCGGCAACCTCCTTGAATATTCGTGGAGGAGCTACACAAAGTAAAATTGTCACTGGACTTGATAAATACACAGAGTATGAATTACAGGTGTTGGCCTTTACCTCTGCTGGAGATGGACCAAAGAGTCCCTCTCAGGTGGTGAGAACAAGAGAAGATGGTAAGAAATGGAAATGATCATTTCTGTAATTTTCAGGAGTTTCAGAGATGCTTCAACCATCAGTTTAAAGAAGTATAGTAGTTCGTACCTTGACACTAAAAGAGAGGTTTAGAAGTGTATCCTTCATAATATATCTCACACTAAAACATGTGTGAAGACGATACCCAAATTACTTCTTGAATGATATGTTTTTTTAAATCCCGAGTATTATTTTTTGAAACAGCGTGCAGTTATTGTTTATTTGTTCACTCTTAATTAGTGTTAACATTTTCCTTTATTCTGCCAGCGCCTGATGCACCCACCTCCTTGTCATATACTGATCTATCACCAAGCAAATCATATGGTCCAAGAATAACCCTGACCTGGAGTGAGCCTGCAGAGCCAAATGGAGTTATCAGAAGTTACACTTTATTTTATAGTCACGATGGAGTTGCACCAAGAGAGATTTCTGGAATAGGAAAAGATGTATTAACTCACACAGTCGATGTGTTAGGTGGAGTGACTTATCAATTTGATGTTCGAGCTGTTACTATTAAACCTGGAAAAAATGCCACGAAAACATTAACTACCAAGGAATACGGTAAATTTACTTTCACATCTTTGAAATGACTTCTTTTCAGAAGAACAAGAACAAGAATGAAAAAATATTTGTAATAGTGTAGTTTGATCGTCCGGGTGAGTGTAGTCCTGAGAAGGACTGTTGTCGGTAGTGGTCACTGACGTTTCGACAACCTGAGCGGAAGTCATCATCAGAGTCAAGAGTGACTTCCGCTCAGGTTGTCGAAACGTCAGTGACCACTACCGACAACAGTCCTTCTCAGGACTACACTCACCCGGACGATCAAAGTGCACTATTACATGTTACCCCCGGGTTTCAACCATTAACTTTATAATGTTAATTTTACCATACTAAAATCAATTCTTACATATTCTGTAAATTCAAAAAACAGACAGTAGCTGGTCACCCAAAATAACGTAAGGGCTAGTGGGGGACTCCTATTTATCAATTGGAATAAAGACAAAAGTAGGGAAAAGAGCTGCTACCAGCTCAATTATTTTTGCACGTGTCTTCATTGATATTATTACCTATAAGTACAAATAATCTAAACATTATTCACATACACTACTTTACATATATGAAGTAATAAATATATCAGGAAATAAGATGAGAATCGTTGAAAACGAGTAACTAGGTATAGATGACTGCCATTTGCTGTGAATCAATTAACAAAATGTCCTGTTCTTTGTTAGCTGAAGATTAAAGCGATCCTAATTGTTCAACTAATCACTACCGAGAAGGAAATATCTTAGATTTTAGACTTTTGCAGGTACATTTTTAGGTGACAAAGGTTCAACTGCGACTTAAGTTTATGGTAAATTCTTGTTATTTTTCTTCACATTGAGATAAATTAATTCCCCTCTGTAAATAGAATAGAACCTCCTTTACCCTCTCTAGTGAACAAGCCCACTTTGAACATTTCATGCGATATGTTGAATACATGTATTTTGGGACTGTGGTTGTGTAATTTCGCGTCAGTTTAGCTTTTCATCCTAGAGTAGTTTTATACTATTGATTTTTTTTTTTTATCAAATAGAGCCCAGTCGTGGACCAGCAGACATATCTTCCTCTGCAGTGAGCTCTGAAAAATTCAATATAACTTGGCTTGGACTACTAAGAGACGTAGCCTATGGCATTATCATAAACTATGAAGTCAGGCTCAGTGTAGTAGAAAACTGTACAGAGATCAAATCTTTCTATGATTCAACCATTAACACGACCACCACTTATGTTATCGTGACTGGACTCTCTTTGTGTGCCAAGTATGAGGTGTCTGTTAGAGGCTACACTGCTGTGGGGCCTGGACCCTACAGCAACCCTGTAATGGTGCAGACATTGGGTAAGAAAGTCTGTGGGCAGCTGTAATGAGGCAATTTTTAGGGAGGAAGTAGAATTGAAAGGCGGTAAAAAGTTGTAACAAAGTGTGGGAAACTCAGACAAAATATGTAGGTTTCGAGCGAAGGCAAGCGATTAAAGAGTTCTTTGAGTGTGTGATAAAAACGTACATGTAACTTCAACATTTTCCTCCAAAGCAAGAACTACTTCTGCTGTTGCTGCCACAACCTTACGACTGTTACAGGATGGCTGCTAATTGCGTCAGCTTTGTCCTTTTTTTTATCTCAGTTAGTTTGTACATGCAATTGCAAAGGTCCACGGGCAAAATAGGCTTACCTCCGCTGTTGTTTTCAATGTTTTCAGCTTTGGATGCCTACAATTGGAAAAATCATTTTTTTTTTATATATACACATAAAGAACATAGTGGTTTTCAAAGCCTGACTTAACAGAGCCTTCTTTCCCTTCTCCCCAGCTGTGGTTTGGTCTAAAGAAACGCCATCTTCGCCTTCTTTTTCTGCAAATTCAGATGAAGAAGGAATTTCAGTGAAAGTCACGCTTCCACGTTTTCCTGGAAATGCGAGGTACGGTTGACTATGCAATTTCACGCTAGTTTTGGCTGTATTCCTCTATTACAATATTCATGATGTAATACAATGTTCATTTTTACCTCGCATGCGCAAGAGCGAGTTGTAGATAAAGTGTGGAGAATGGCATTCGCTCGCTCGATTGGTCGATTCCTGTAAACTTTCTTTCGACTTTAGGCTTTTGAGTGCATTTGATACTTTTTGGCGAGCAATAAACAAACGAAATGTCGACCTTTGTAGTTAAGAATAGTGGTGGGGTGAAAAAGAAGCCAATGATAATCTTAAAAGAGTTTTTTTTTTCGTTTTAGTTTCAACAAGCGTTGCCAGCGACTGGCAGGCATGCAAGGATTCACACTGAAATAACAGAACAACCTTCGTTTTTCATAAAATTGTAATTTACAATCCTTGAACTTGAAAACAATCCCAAGATTCATTGAAAATATCACTTACTGCGAAGCGCTCGGGGTTTACAGATGTTCAAAAGCTTTGTCAGTTATGGCGTGAGATTGAGGACAAAATCGATCATTACGTTTCGTATCGTGTGTTTCTCCTGTCTGAAGCAACAAAAGATGCCGGCGACTGACGAAATTACAAGTTAACACGAAAATCAAATAACACCTAAACAAACAATTTTAGCTACCGATTTTCAGTGAATTCTTAAAGAACAATTTTCTTTTGAGTTTCAAGACAACTTGAAGATTCAAAATAAATATGACGTACTAAAATGCGAAAGTCATACACCACAAAATTGATAAATAGGCCTGAAATGAAATTCTATCTTGTTCTTGATTATACGTTGCCTAGCACGTGACTAAAATCTACCCAGGCGGAGATCCAAAATGACGGTGGCAGTCTTGGCTTAGTTATATCACTCAAAACTCGTTCCCGTTTGTCTCATTTTATAAAGAGGGAATCGTTAATGTTTTCATTATGACAGTACTGCCTTGATTTTCCAACATTTACTATGATAGACAGTAAATTTCACTTTTCACCCTCATTTACTTCCAACCTTTTCTTTTAAGCCAGAAACAAAAATGATATCCGTTTAAAACACGTGACATCATCCACCCTTGTCAAATGTAATAGCATGATCATTTCAATTGTAATGCCTTCTTATCCCAACGTTACTTTGTTTCTTTGCTACATTAGCAAACACTGAACTACTGCTCGTACTCTAGATGTGACAATCAACCACAAGATTCCCTAAACCAGATAACATTAAACATAATCCAAAAAATCATGTGTCAATTCACGAGTTTGCTCACAGAGCACTTTGATCTTTTTTACGGTTATAATCATGAGACATCTTGTGCATTGCTATGTGCTGATTCGAAAAAAAATTTAATTAACAATCGACACTACAAGATACTGTTTACATAAAAAATATCGTGTGATTTACCTTGCAGGTTTTTCCAAGTTATCATCATTACATACAGCTCAAACTATACTGGTGCTGTTAACCTACCGGAAAGATTTACAACACAAGACATGATGACGTATGAAGAAGCGCACAAATCTACCTTTCCTGCTGCTTATGTCGCTTTTCAGTTTGGAGGAAATGATTTTGATAAAAATCGAGAATTTGTTGTCGGAGATGGAGCGGAATCCAGCAGTAAAGAAAGGAGTAAGAGAAGTAGTGGTGATCAGTTTTATTACAACAAACCATTGCAGCCGAATACCAACTACAGAGTGTTCCTCAGGGCTTTTGACTCCGAGGTATTCTAACAAAACGTTTGTCATAAGAGAGGGATGTCCTATTATTTCCATGTAAGAACTGAGTGACAAAACTGACCCATCTACGTACTCCGAATCTGCACCCAGATATCTCAGGAACTTGAATGAGTGAATGCAGTGCAATAACAGCAGCTTTTAAGAAGCTTGTAATGCTCAAGAGGTCTGGGTCACTATGCCATACCAAAATGCAGCAAAAGGTTGCAGATGAGTAATTTGTTTTTTATGGTTATATTTTGCAGACGGTTTATGTCTCTAGTAACTTTGTAAGCATCGACACTAAAGGTAATGTTTTTTTGTCTTGTTTTTGTTTTTTTGTTTTATTTTTATACTTTTCCTTTGTCAGAGGCATCTAGCATTCAGCAATCAAAGTTAACTCAATGTCGTCTGATCTGTGAGCTTTTTTATTAATATACGACTTTCATGCTGTGTTAATTGTCTTTCTTAGTTTGTAAGTTTCCAATCAACCGAGGGGCTTTTAAATTATATTTTGGTCGGTAAGGGATAAGCTGCAAAGCCTTAGTGCTGTATTTGTGCCTTGCTCTTTGTTAAGGAAAAAATACTTTATGTTTATAAAAACTCAGGTAAACCTATCATCAAAGGTCTCCCAAAGACAACCATTACAGAAATTGGCGAACTGGCAGTGCTGACTTGTGAGGTTAGTGGAGACGCAAAGGCTTCTGTTACCTGGACCAAAGATGGACTTGGCAGTATACCTCGCGCTCAGTTCGAGAACAACAAGAAGATACTCATTATAAGAGATGTTGTTCCTGGTGACAGTGGCATTTATGAGTGTAAAGCAATGAATATGTTTGGAGAGAGCCGTACAGCTACGATAGTCATTGTCGCTGGTAAGTAGAAAGTTTACTACTTTTGCATTGAATATTGGGAAGCAATAACATTTTCATTTCCTTTCATGAAATAAATCTGTGAAGGAGTAAGTGTATTTTTTTTTATTATTTTAAGTTATAGAAATTTGCCAACCTCTGCTTAAAGAAATAACTAATCATGGTTCTTTAAAGCACCACGATAATCGCCATTGCAACTAGTCTCAACCTTACCCCAACCACTTATTACCAAGGTATTGACGAATTCGTGTGTGTACAGAGTACTAAACAGATGTTAGAAATTTGTAATAGAGGGGTGCAAAAACTAAGGCAACACTCATAACAACTAAACAAACCACCACTCAGCACCCAGACCAAAAATAGGTCATGTCCAGTGTTGCCACATGTTTGTCACACCCCTGTTCCGTTGTCTTGTGCATGATTTTGTCTAAACTTGTTTTGTTATCATTACGTTTTCCTTTTTTTTCCACACAGTGCCACCTAGAATTATCGAAGAAATTTCCCCTTCTTCAGTGATGTGTGAAAAGCAAACTCCGTGTTTGCTCTCATGTCAAGCAACAAGCTATATTCCGTTTAACTACTCTTGGACTAAAGATGGCCAGGTTCCAACTGGTGATGGCATCAAGTTAATGAATAACAGTATCATTGTCACGCCACGGGATGTACAAGATTATGGGCAGTATGTGTGTCACGCTACAAACAGCTTTGGTTCAACAGAGTATAAAATCACTCTGCTTTCTCCTAGGGATAATGAAGATGATGGCGGTAAATACCCTCAAAACGATAAATATTCCTTAATCTTTGAACGTGCTTAAATGTTTTCTTCATAGAAATTTTGGAAAGCTTAGAACTTTGAAGTCCAGCGTGGAGTTTATGGGCTTCCAGTTACTGTTGTCTGGTATAACCATTTATGTATCAAAAGCAATATTAGGTGGTGGTCTCATACGCCGACGTTTTTCTGTGTGAAGTTAGATTTTCTTTCTTTAATTAGAAAGTTATAATAGTGTAATTATAGTGTAACCATTCAATATATCATAATTGGTCTATTAGGTTGTAACTTAATCAAAACAGAGCCATATGAACTAAGTTTAGAAAGGCTCAAAGCTAAAATATGTCTGTATTTCTCCAAGACCACGAGACGAGGCAAAAAAAAGTTTGGAACTGGTTCATGTTTCGGGGTTAAAAAACAAAGTCGTATTCCTTAGGGTAAATATACTAAAAACAAAACAAAACAAAACAAAACAAAACCACATCATTGCAGTGAAACAAAGTAACTAAGCAGTCTTCAGTGTTTGATAGTTGGTTTGAAAGCCGTTTGTTTTCTTTCACCAGATGCTCAAATCATCGTCCTCGCTAGTGTAATCGCATTGTCTTGTATTGTGGTCGTGTTGCTCATTATAATTTGTGGGCTGATATGGCAGCGGAGACGAGCTGTTCCTAATAGGAGGACACGAAGTAAAGAAAAAGTTGACTTTGATGGCGTCAAATCTTCACCTGACCAACAGCGACGTGATCAGCACGCTTCAGACCCAGATTTATACATGGAACTCAAACCTAGGCCTTCGAACCAGGAGTCTCATGTTCCTACTGAGTATCAGTCGTTACAGGAAGAACCCCAGAACCCCGGATATTACAATGTGGTGCTTCAAAAAGAAAATGGAGGGAAAAAAAATGAAGAAGTGTATGAGGAATTATTCTAATCCCTCAACTAATTTTGTATCCTTGTAGTTCAGATAGTCCATCTTGTGTTATATACTATGCTTAGTTATATGCGAATGTTAATTTGGTCTTCCTTACATGTATGATCTAATGGAAGACAGATGTATAGATGACGTCACTATTGCTTGTTAATTGTAAAAACAAGTAGATTCCATGTTGCCGTGAGTCTGTTCTGTAATAAGTCACAGAAGACGTCAAAGATCAATGCCAGACTCGACTGCGCTTCGTATGCCACACTGTAGTTCTCACAACATTTTGACGTCATCTGTGATCCATAACAGAACAGACACACGCCAACATGGAATCTAATTGTTAAGTAGAAGTGTTACTTTGGTTTGTGAAAGACTTTGTTCTTGTCTCGCTTAAAGAAACACTTAGCAATTTGGCAATGAAATGCATACGTCTGAAGTCTTCTCTTCCTCATTATCGTCATGATCACTCTTACAATCGTATTGTCGCATAGTGTGCTGCTATCTAACATAGCTGTAAGGAAGATATACGAGATACACTGGTAACACTAGCTTACTCAATAGATCCTTTTTGTTTTAAAGTAAGGCCTTAAAGACTTCTTCAACGTGCTGTAACCTTTATTTGGTTCATTTGAAATTATTTTCTCATATCTGTGTTATATTTTACATGTATCGGTGTAATTATATCTTTTATTATTGATGCACGTGAAATGCTTTACGATGGAATCGCGTATAGCCAGATCTGAACATTTAGTTATAACCTCGAATGAGAAGTAAATGAAATCCATAACTTTGGGCGAGGTCCCCAAGCTAAACGAAACCTCTCACAAGACGATGGCACATGTACATAAACTTACTTTTCTTGATGAATCCATGTTATCAGGTGAGATTTAATCTACAACATCTTACACCGGTAGCAGCACGAGAATTCGAATTTAACTCAAAGTGTGCTCTGAACCAGCAGTAAAAATAAAAGAAATAATTATGCCATTTTTTAAAGAGCTCCTAGATGTAAACATCGAATAAAGCGTAAAAATGTCCAATTTTTTTTACCAGTACTGAAAGTCGTTCCTTATATTTTACCCCTTGAGGAGGGTTCTCTTTTCTGAGTCATTTATTGGACATAAGGGACGTTTTCATTATATTTTTAAGTAAATTCTTCTTAACTGGAAAGACAATATATTGCAATTGAAAAATGTTAAGCAACAGAGTGTTATTGGTAGGTGTTGAAGATAAGAGAATGGAAGATAGTACAATATTTTTGCTCCATGAGATATTTTTAACTTATAGAGTATTTACTGACTGAAGAAAATGCTTGGAGAAGTTTTTCCGAAGCAGTAACATTTTAGTAAGCTTTTAAAATGCATAGAACTTGAGCAACAGAATAGTTGTAGATAATGGAATAAAGTGTTTTTACAAAAAGATGTGCCTGACTTTAGTATGTCATGTCTCTTTTATCCACTTCTTTTCATGCAATATCATTTCGTTGTCGAGTATTTTTTGTCGAAAACCAGACATGCGTCACAAAATCCGTTCATTTAATACTCAGTCTTAGCCAGGGTTCAGTTGCTGAAAATATTCACCGTCGCACTTCTACTTGCCACACGTTTTGCCTGCTACGCAGCTTGTTGCCAAGTACCGTTATTAGCTTGGATGCAATATCATCCCGTCGCAGCTTTTATTTTCTACGTTTGATGAGGTTCCCTATTTTGGTAGATATGCATGGGAATTTGCAGCATACCCTTAAACCTTTTTTCACTTTCATTTCGATATTACTAGACCCAGTCTTTCTGTTGACTTAGTACCACTGACCTTTGCTTGCTCAGTACTGTGACAGAAGAACATTAGTTATACTCTTTTGTTCAGAATAACTGATGGATAGAAACTTTATTAACATTTGGAAGCGAGTTTGAAGGTTATGATCTAATGTAGAGTTTGTCTGATTATCCTCTGGATAGCGATTTATTTGTTAGATAGAGTAATCCGCCCTTTACACCACTGGGCCCAATGTGCATTGTGACTATCCTTTGGCCTGTAACACTTCAAGACATTGCATTATTTCTGAAATATGATTGTGCACTCTCTACTTGCTTTTAATATCACATTGAGTCGGAGAAAACCAAACTAGATCCAGTTTTTCTGCTATCATATTACTACTGACCTCTGCTTGCTAATTACTGTCACAGAAGAACACTAGTTATGCTCTTTTTTCCAGAATAATTGATGGATAGAAACGCTATTGACATATGTAAGCGAGTTTGAAGGTTGTGATTATTGCTGCATTTAATACTCTGACAAGGTTTATCGAAAATGCTTATTAAAATTAGATTTTTCAGCAGCTCTCGCACAAAAGACAATTCTCCTTTCTCCATCCTTGTCACGGAGCTCGTTTTACTTCTTATTTTTAAGATTTGTTTGAAGAAAGTGATTGCATGCGGAAACCCTAAAATTTCAAGAATTTATTTCTTAAACTATAGCTGACCCTGCCCTAGTCGAGCGTTTTTTTGTTACCCCCCCCTGTGGACAAGGGATTAATTAATTGATCAAAGAGATTAATTGCGTAACAAAGACCCTTTAGTATCAGGCTCTAAGAGTTTCGTGTTTCATTTCGCGTCAGTTTTCACTTCGAGCGTACACCAGAGCTTTTATATGGTACTGTTTCGTTTTTCTTCCCACCCACCCTCCCGCCCTGGGTGATTTTGCGTGATGTCATAGAGTGGTAGAGAGGTTTACTAGGCATATTATTGGCTGTTGATTACTTTTCGTTCGTTTTCTTAATTAAAAAAAACTGCTCTGTGTGCTAAAAGGCGAATTGTGTTTTATTTGTATCAGCAGGCGTAGATGGGGAATTCGATATACTTTTTATGTCGGTCGATGGTTTAGTCGTCTTTGAGTTCCTCTGCCTTTCCCTATATACAGGGTACGAGAAGATCTGAGAATGTAAACTAACTGCCATCTCATCTTTGACAAGGCAGTTAAATTTTAACTCATAAGCTGGTTATGTACTGAAACCAGCTGGAAGATGCTGAAATGTGAGCTACAGCCCACAGCATTGTGGGAAATATCAACAAATGCAGGCTTCTGTCATCTTGCCAATGGACGAAGTTACTCAGCCCTACGAAGAGTCTGATTGTATCGCTGGAATCGCGGACGATATTGCTACAAATGAGACAAAGCCAAGTGTAACTAGTGAGGAGACAATCTTTTTTCGGATGAGCTTTCTGTTACAAAAGACCGGTCAAACAAAACGATCGTGATACACGCGCACCGTGACACACTTAATCGAGACATGGCGCGATTTAATCTTTGTTTCCGGGTAGCTTTTCTCGCTGTACTTCTTCCACTGACTTCAGGTGAGCTCTGCATAACTTTAAATCAATTAGGAAGGTTTAATTTTTTTATGTTGAAATTTACATTTAGGGTACTTGGGTGGCGATTTCTTTTAGTCTTGAATACTCTAGCCGTGGGCTTTTTCCCATGGTCGCAGGTTAATCCTCAATACGGACCGAATACACATCAGAAAGAAACGAGGGTCCGTCGGGATTCCTATTTTTTAAATTAAAATGTCATCTCAAAAAGAATAGTACAGTTGAAAATATATTCGCTATTACATCAAGCTTAATTTGGAAGCGTGGAGAATTATACGAAAGTAAAATTAAACTGAATTATTCAGCAATTCGAAATACAGACGGTTCTGAAACTATTGTTTCAACGAAGTAATTGAGTGATAAGATCTGCTTCAATTTCAGGTTAAAGCACTCTTGGAAATTTATTCCACCTTTCCTATCTACTCAAAAGCTTTGAATTTGGACCAGTCTGTACATTTTTGCCTCCCGTCCCCATATTGTACATTTACACTGAAAGTCAACTTCTCTTTGCTCGAAGGAAGGTTAATGACCCAGGTTTCTCAAATTCACTGCGGCAGTTTTTTTCCTTTATTTATATCTTGCCTTTGATGCAGTACAACAGTTTTTTGACTCTTGAATCTTTCCTCATTTTCTTTAAAAATGGACACCTTGAAAAATGGTATCCATTGTTTACAATTTGCAGTTTTAATGATCACAGATTTCTTCCTAATTTGTAATTAAATTGATAAAAAATTTTTTGGAGGTAGACCAGCTCTAATTGTTACTATTTGTGACATGGACTTTGCATGAGACATACCTAATAAAGAGATTCAAGACATGCATATGTTTCTCACATCCAACCATTATCCATGTTACTATAATTATTATGACTGTGTTATAGTGCAAATATAAAAATTTTGTTTCAATAGGGGCTTGCGTTGACTTTTACCTTGGAATGGCAAGTGGAACAATTCCAGATAGTAATATATATGCTTCTTCAATACAAAGTGCCAGCGCACCAGCCAGAAATGGCCGACTAAACTACACATCTGGATCATCATGGTGTGCGGGAACAAGTGAAAAGAACCCATATTTACAGATTGATCTACAGACACTTCATATCATCTGTGCTGTGTCTACTAAAGGGAATTCTCAAGCAGATCAGTGGGTGAAGACCTACACTCTACTATTATCTACAGATGGGATAACTTGGACAAACTATAGCGAATTAGGTGGACAGGCTAAGGTATGCTACATAGGCTGGTTGAGAATTATATGATATCTTGCCTCAATTTATATCAAATTGGCCATCAAAGGAGTTATAGGTGTGCTGAGGATTATTTGTACAATAAAAATTCAACAAGTATTCTCCTCATGCTCAGCAAATATCATGAGTTTTGGGGTAATATTTCTTCATTAAGCAAATGATATTGTAGATGCGTGAAGTTTCATTTGCAGAAAGAGTACCAGGTAGAAATGGACAGAGAATCTAACAAATTGTTTTGAACTACGTTATTCCACCAAATATTTATGGCGTGAAATAGCTTGTCAAAGGATTGGAGAACAAATTATTACAAATAACTGAGAGATTGCTGCTCTCAATGGGAAATTATTTTCATGGGAAAACTGCAGTTGTAGAAATTAGATAGAGTTCACTTTTGAGGGTCAGTTTGCAATTTTTTATAATCCAGTGGTCAAATTATGATCTATTTATTTAAACTATGCTTAGTAACACTGTCCGTATCGACCTCTTTCATAAATGTTAGGCCTTATTCCTACACCTACATTTATATTTTTCTGTTTGTAGAAAGATTAATTTAGCCACCTAGCCCTAACAATAAATTAAAGTATTGGTAATTGTGAAGAAGAGCTCCCCAAAAAACCTGTCGGCCGACTGTCGGTCAACTGTCGGCCGACAGGTTACCGACAGTCTACCGACAGCGAACCAACAGGTTACCGATAGGTTAAGAAAAAAGAAAAATTGTGTTAAAAACGAACAGTTAACGTGACATAACAATCCGTAATGGTTATGTATGACTGGACAGACTTCACCTACTTACCGATCGACGGCCAAGTTGAAAGTATGTAAAGAAACGTTTCTTCCAAAATGTTGTTATCAGATGCGTATAGGATATATCACTTGCGTAATTTACAACACACCAGACAATCTAAGAATCGCATTGGAAGATAATTTAATAGAAAACTCAGCCAAAAACTCTGATAACCATAAGCTACGTATCAATACAAACACTTTCGTTCAAATCGCCCAACAATGCAACGCTGCCTCTTATGGTATGTTATGTATGTATCAATGATGTTTACCTTGTGCATTTGTGTTGCTAACATCGTCCTCTTTCTTGCAGGTTTGGGATGAATAGCTATTTCGAATTTCAAGTTTAATAAATGATACAACTGTGAATCTTTTTACTCGTTATGTTAAGTAATAAATTACTATACGCAACAATTCGATAATTAGACTTGGATGCGTGATGCGATAATTGATTTAGGCGCGTGCCGCTAAAATCACGATTCTACGAGTGAAGTATCTTGTATATTTCACCACTCACAAAACGGCTCCTTTAGGAGCCACCAAATCTTGAAAGTCAATTGTCAACGTATTACACATGTTGGATGTTGTATCAAGCGAAAACCGAGAGAAAACTTTAAGGTTTGTGTTAACGTTTCACGGACAAGCTACCGACAAGCTACCGACAGGTTACCGACACATTACCAACAGTCGGCCGACTGTCGGCCGACTGTCGGCCGACTGTCGGTCCACTGTCGGCCGACAGGTAGCCTATATTTCGGGCAAAACCTGTCGGCCGTCTGTCGGCCAACTGTCGGCCGACAAACGGCCGACAGACGACCAACTGTCGGCCGACTGTCGGCCGACAGTTGACCGACAGTCGGCCGACAGGTTTTTTGGGGAGCTCTTCTTCACAATTACCAAAATTTTTACACTTACCTGGCTTCTGTTGCACCCCAAACACCTCTGTTCTCATACACACCTCACCTTGGTGTGTTTGTGGCAGGAATCGTAAATATCTTGTTAACACTCCATATAGAACATGCTTGACACTTGAGTTTATATCCTTGTTTCCCTCTAAAACCTTAGGAAAATTATCAGAGCTCATCATTGAGTTCCACAAAGATTGTGCAATGTAACTATAATTGTAACTCTTCATCCTGGTGAAAGTAATCATCATTACTTTAGCTCTTGTTTCATGACACGAAATACTTTAATTTATTGCTGTCAAAAAATTTGAGCTAGGTGGCTAAATTAATCTTTATACAAACAGAAAAATATATAATGTAGGTGTAGGAATAAGGCCAAACATTTATGGAAGAGGTCCATGTGGACAGTGTTACTAAGCGTATATAAATAGATCATAATTTGACAACTGGATTATAAAAAATAGCACACTGACCCTCAAAGGTGAACTCTATCATTTCATTACTTCAATTTTTGGATCGAGAGCAACAATCTCTCAGTAATTAGAAATCATTGGTTCTGCACTCCTTTGACAAGCTATTTCACAGCACCGTAAATGTTGGGTGGAATAACGTAATTCAAAACAATTAATTAAATTCCCTGTCCATTTCTCCCTGGTACTCTTTCTGCAGTCTTGACTGCAAATTCAGGCATGCAAAATATCATTTGCTGAGTGAAAGGTATTCACTCAAAATTCATATTTGCGGAGCATGACATAGAGGAGAATACTTGTTGAATTTTTATTGTACTAATAATCCTCTGCATACCTATCACTCCTTTGGTAGACATTTTGATATTAATGCATCAATATTATCAAAACTCAGGAACAGTGATTGAGTCAAGATATGATATAATTCTTGACCAGCCCATGTGGCATACCTTAACCTGTCCACCTTCCTTATAATCTGATTAAGTTGTCCCATCTGTGGATAATTGTAGAGTGTAGGTCTTCACCCACTGGGGTTGTAAGATTGCATGTTAACGCGTTCTATTTTTCGACCACGGCTAGGCGGGTTGCCTCACCTATCTGGGGTCCCCCACCTGCATGTAAACAGGCCCTTATTCAGCTTACGAGTTAGAATTGAACTGCCTTGTCAAAGATGAGAGCTGTGAGTGAATGATATTGCATCCGAACTAATAGCGGTATTTGGCAACAAGCTGCGTAGCGGGCAAAACGTGTGGTAAGTGCGACGGTGAATATTTTCAGCAACTGAACCTGGCTAAGACTGAGTATTAAGTAAACGGAGTTTTGTGTCGCGTGTCTGGTTTTCGACAAAAAATACTTGACAACGAAATGTTATTGCATGAAAAGAGGTGGATAAACGAGACATGACATACCAAAGTCAGGTACATCTTTTGGATATTTCTTCTCTTACTTAAGATATTTCGTCTCTTACTTAAGTTCTGTGCATTTTAAATGCTTACTAAAATGTTATTGCCTCGGAAAAACTTCTACAAGCATTTTCTTCAATCAGTAAGTGCTCTGTAAGTTAAAAATATCTCACAGAGCAAAAATATTGTACTATTTTCTATTCTCCTATCTACAAACACCTACTAATAATACTCTGTTGCTTAACATTTTTCAATTGCAATACATTGTCTTTACAGTTAAGAAGAATTTATTTTAAAATATAATGAAAACGTTCCTTATGTCCAATAAATGACTCAGAAAAGAGAACCCTTTTAAAAGGGTAAAATATAAGGAACAACTTTCAGTACTGGTAAAAAAAATATATGACATTGTTACGCTTTGATCTATGTTTACATCCAATAACTCTTTAAAAAAATGGCATATTTAATTCTTTCATTTTTACTACTGGTTCAGGACACACCTTAAGTTGAATTCGAATTCTCGTGCTGCTACCGGTGTAAAATGATGTAGATAAAATCTCACCTGATAACAGGGATTCATTTAGAAAAGTAAGTTTTTATACATGTGCCACTGTCTCCTAGGAGGTTTCGTTCAGTTTAAGGACCTCGCCCAAATCTATGAATTTCATTTACTTCTCATTCGAGGTTATAACTGAATGTTCAGATCTGGCTATACGCGATTCCATCTTATGACATTTCACATCAATAGGAAAAGATACAATTATACAGATACATGTAAAATATAAGAGAGATATAAGAAATTAATTTTAAATGGACCAAATCAAAGGTTATTGCGCGTTGAAGAAGTCTTTAAGGCCTTACTTCAAAACTGCCTTGATCACAAACTAACAAAGGTCATGTCTGTTCTTGTAGTAAACAGAATACATTCGCAAACAGGATCTACTGGGTAAGCTAGTGTTACCAGTGTATCTTGTATATTTTCCTTACAACTATATCAGGTAACTGCACTCTATGCGACACTGCGATAGTAAGAGTAATCATGACGATAATGAAGAGGAGAAAACTTCAAACGTATGCATTTCATTGCCAAATTACGAAGTGTTTCTTTAAGCGAGACAAAAGCAAAGTCCTTCACAAACCGAAGTACCGTTTCTAATTAACAATTAGATTCCATGTAGGCGTGTGTCTGTTCTGTTATGTATCACAGATGACGTCAAAATGTGGTGAGAACTTAAGTGTGGCACACGAAGCGCAGTCGAGTCTGGCACTATTCTTTTTAGCACATTTTGACGTCTTCTGTGACTTATTACAGAACAGACTCACGGCAACATGGAATCTCTTTGCTTTTACAATGTAGAAGCAAGATATTGTTAATGGTGACGTCATCTATACGTCTGTCCTCCATTAGACCATACAGAACAAATCAACATGCGCATATAACTAAGCATAGCATATAACACAAGATGGATAATCTGAACTACAAGGATACAAAATTAGTTGAGAGATTAGCATAATTCCACATACATTTCTTCATTTTGTTTCTCGCCATTTTCTTTCTGAAACACCACATTGTAATATCCGGGGTTCTCGGGTTCTTCCTGTAACGACTGATACTCAGTAGGAATATGAGACTCTTGGTTCGAAGGCCTGAGTTTGAGTTCCGTATATAAATCCGGGTCTGAAGCGTGCTGGTCACGTCGCTGTTGGTCAGGTAAAGATTTGACGCCATCAAAGTCAGTTTTTTCTTCACTCTGTGTCCTTTTATTGGGAAAAGCTCGTCTCCGCTGCCATATCAGCCCACAAATTATAATGAGTAACACGACCACAATACAAGACAGCACGATTACACTAGCAAGGAAGATGCTTTGTGTATCTGGTGAAAGAAAACAAACGATTTTCAAACTATCAGCTATCAACTATATTGCATATAGCTCTGTTTTGATTAAGTTACAACCGAACAGGCCAATTATGATATATGGAATGATCTACCTGTATTGCACATTATTATAACTTTCTAATTGAAGAAAGAAAATGTACCTTCACACCGAGAAACGTCGGCGTATGAGACCACCACACAATATTGCTTTTGATACATAAATGGCTATACCAAACAACTGTAATTAGAAGCCCATAAACTCCACACTGGACTTCAAAGCTCTAGGCTTTCCAAAATTTTTTGAGAAGAAAATATTTAAGCACGTTCGAATATTAAGGAATATTTACCGTTTTGAGGGCATTTACCGCCATCATCTTCATTATCCTTGGGAGAAAGCAGAGTGATTTTATACTCTGTTGACCCAAAGCTGTTTGTAGCGTGACACACATACTCCCCATAGTCATGTGAACTCTGTGGCGTGACGATGATACTGTTATTCATGAACTTGATGCCTTCACCAGTTGGAAACTGGTCATCTTTCGTCCAAGAGTAGTTAAAGGGAATATAACTTGTTGCTTGACATGAGAGAAAACACGGACTTTGCTTTTCACATATCACTGAGGAAGGGGAAAATTCTTCGATAATTCTGGGTGGCACTGTGCGAAAAAAGAGGAAAACGAAATGATACCAAAACAAGTTCAGACAAAATCATGCTCGTGACAACAGAGCAAAGGTGTAAAAAACATGTGGGAACACTACTAGGATCTATTTTTTGGTTTGCGCGCTGAGTGGTGGTTTGTTTGGTTGTTATCAGTGTTGTCTTATTTCTTTCACCCCATCTAATATTTGGTTAGTACTCAGTACACACACTAATTCATCAATGACTTGTTAATAAGTGGCTGGAGTAAGGTTGAGACCAGTTGCCATGGTGATTGTCGTGATGCTTAGAAGAACCATGATTAGACATTCATTTTGGTAGAGGAAGGCAATTTCTGTAACTTAAAATAATAAAAAAATACTCTTACTCCTTCACAGACTTATTTCACGAAAGGAAATGCAAATGTTATTGTTACCCAATATTCAATACAAAGGTGACAAACTTTCTACGTACCAGCGACAATCACTATCGTAGCAGTACGGCTCTCTTCAAACATGTTCATTGCTTTACACTCATAAACGCCACTGTCGCCAGGAACAACATTCCTTATAATAAGTATTTTCTCGTTGTTCTCGAACTGAGCGCGAGGTATACTGCTTAGTCCATCTTTGGTCCAGGTAACAGAAGCATTAGCGTCTCCACTAACCTCACAAGTCAACATTGCCAGTTTGCCAATTTCTGTGATGGTTGTCTTTGGGAGACCTTTGATGATAGGTTTACCTGAGTTGTTATAAACATGGAGTATTTTTTTCCTTAACAAAGAACAAGGCACAAATACAGCAGTAAGGCTTTGCAGCCTATCCCTTCCCGACTAAAAAATAATTTAAAAGCACCTCGGTTGAGAAGTAACTTACAAACTCTGAAAGAAAACCAACAGAGCATGAAAGTCTCATACCAATAAAGAAACTCACAGACTACATTGAGCTAACTTTGGTTGCTGAATGCTAGATGCCTCTGAAAAAGGAAAAGTATACCAAAAAAGACATTCAAAACATCAATACCTTTGGCATTGATGTCTATAAAGTTACTAGAGACATAAACCGTCTGAAAAATACAACCACAAAAAACCAATTATTCATCTGTAACCTTTTGCTACGTTTGGGTATGGTGTGGTGACTTAGACCTCTTCAGCATTTCAAGTCTACTAAAAGCTGCTGTTATAGCACTGCATTCACTAAGAACAAAGAGCTGGTAAACAACGGCAAGATAATAGTGTAGGAGGGGAAAATTCCGGAGACATCTGGGTGCAGACTCGGAGTAAGCGAATGCAAGAACCTTAAAACCATGGGTCAATTTTGTCACTAAGTTCTTACACTGAATTCATACTACATCCCTCTCTTATGACAAAAGTTTTTTTCGAGTACCTCGGAGACAAAAGCCCTGAGGAACACTTTGTAGTTTGTATTCAGCTGCAGAGGTTTGTTGTAACAAAAGTGATCACCACTACTTCTCTTATTCCTTTCTTTACTGCTGGATTCCGCTCCGTCTCCAACAACAAATTCCCGATTTTTATCAAAATCACTTCCGTTAAACTGAAAAGCGACATAAGGAACAGGAACTGCAGATTTGTGCGCTTCTTCATACGTCATCATGTCTTGTGTTGTAAATCTTTCCGGTGGGTTTACAGCACCAGTATAGTTTGAGCTATATGTAATGATGATAACTTGGAAAAACCTGCAAGATACGTTACACGATATTTTTTATGTCAACAGTATCTTGTAGTGTCATTTGTTACTTATATTTTCTTCCGCATCAGCACATAGCAATGCACAAGATGTCTCATGACGATAACCGTAAAAAGAAAATAAACTTTATGTTACCCCTTGAATATTGTGAAATAGGAATACAGCCAAAATTAGCATGAAGTTGCTTAGTCAATCGTACCTTGCATTTCCAGGAAAATGTGGAAGCGTGACTTTAACTGAAATTCCTCCTTCATTTGATTTTTGCAGAAAAAGAAGGTGAAGATGGCGTTTCTTTAGACCAAACCACAGCTGGAGAGAAGTGAAAGAAGGCTCTGTTAAGTCAGGCTTTGAAAAACATTTTGCTTTAACGGCTCTTTGAACATTGCAGGAGTACTTGAGAAGTTGGATTCTGTGTGTGCCTCTATGTACAGAGTTGGACGCCATGGTAAGAAAACTGATGATCTCCTTGATCTGTTTTAATATTTTTCAATCATAGTGATATCGGAATGCTCTAATTGGTGTGCCGAACGATAAGAGTAAGCTAAGAGAAGACTGTTTATATTTATTACTTCAAAGAGGTGTACATTATATCACTTTGTTTATTTATCTCTGTTTTATGACGCGAAATGAATCACGAAACTCCTAGAGCCCGATACTAGAGGGTGAGTGTTGCAACACAAACAAATACAAACACAACACTAAAAATAAGAAGACGAGCTCCGTGACAAGGAAGGAGAAAGAAAAGTTGTCTTTAGTGCGAGAGCTGCTAAAAAAAAACCAAATTTCAATCAGATTTCTTGAAAAAAGTTTTTCAGTAATTATTTTCAAAACCTTATCAGAGTTTCAAATGCAGCAATAATCAGACAAACTCCACATTAGGTCATAACCTTCAAACTTGCTTACATACAACAATAGAGTTTCCATCCATCAATTGTTCTGAAAAAAAGAGCATAACTAATGTTCTTCTGTGACAATAATTAGCAAGCAGTGGTCAATAGTACTAAGAAAACAGAAAAACTGGATCTAGCTTGGTATTCTCCGACCAAATGTGATATAAAATGCAAGAAGAGAGTGCACAATCATATTTCAGACATAATGCAATGTCTTGAAGTATCATAGGCCAAAGGATCGTCACAATACAAATTAGGCCTAGTTGTATGAAGGGTGGATAACATTATCCAACGAATAAATCGCTATCCCGCGGATAAGTGATAGCAAAACGTCACGTAATTCGCTATCCATCGTATAGAGATTTATCCACTGGATAGTGTTATCCAACCTTCACACAACCATGGCTTGGTAAATATTCTCCATTAAAGGTAAAATTAAATCGAATTAAAAAAATTCATACGCGTGGTTTCCTACAGCGGTGTTACTGACGTCAGGCGCACGTGCAAAGTCCTATATCTAAAGTTCCCTATCAAAAGTAAAAAAAAATCAAATAAAATCGAACAAAATAAAATTACACAAAAAACGGCTTCGTATGGACGACCGTACGTCTTTCCCAAGAATGGCATTTCCCTTCAAGCTGCTTTGCGGGCACAACACAAGGCCACGATTGAGGTGGGCGGGTAGATGCGAGGTGAATACTCAATATTGAGTACTCAATTAATAGACTATAAATGAGATATGGAGTATCGAACTCGGACACATCTTTTCATGACGACCTTTTATTCCACAATGTCGAGCAATCATGTTCCATCAAATACATGCTAACCTTGGAATAATCTTTTCCAACCATGTTCTATACTTCTAAAATACTCCGTTATTGAAAATCTTTTATCCCTTGAAAATACGAAAAAAATACGAAGCAATTTACTGTGTCGACTGCTCCGGGGAAACTACGGAGTAAACAAAATATTCTGGAAACATTCCTTAGGTCCAGAAAACTACTAAATAATGGGGTTTTTGAGGATTCAATCTTCTCTTTTCAATCTTCTCTTTTGGTATCCAGTCTGAGTCAGCATCCCAGCTTATGAAGATCTCCACATAGGCCAGGGCAAAGGTGGAGTTCAATAACGGATATCACACACGAAGCTGAAACAACACGTTTATTGTACCTTTTGTGAGCTCGGTTTCATTCTTTTGGGTGGCCAAAAATGCTGCACTGGCCATGAAACACTTCCTCACTTAAATGATACCACTTTCTTACTTAAATGATGAGGAGTTGCTCGTGATAAATTCAAACGAAGTCTGAAAGGTTGAGTTCAAAGGGAAAAAGATGTGCAGCCAAAACCGTCTTTCTGCTGTAAAGGTGGTCCAGAACTTCTATCTGTTTCAGATAAAATAGTATTAAGATCATGCGCTTAAATGTTCGTTTGCAAGTGAAACTTGACAAGAGAAAGTGAAACCGAATCAATCTGTATAATGGACTCCTAGAGATCCCACTGCGTAGCAGGGATGATATATTCTGCAGATCACTCAATAACACAACCAACCAAACAAACAAACAAAATAAAGTAATGAAATAAGATACCGTGAAAGAATGAGAGCGCAATTAAGAGAAGGAGAGCCTATTTAAAATTGCGACCACAAGGAGAGGCACTTATTGGAAGGAGGGCATTTATAAAACCACCACCTGTACTGAATCTGCTGTTGTTGAAGCTATCGGTAAAGTTGCAATCGAAATAAGTTTTCTTATTATCCCTTCGATATAATTAATAAAGTCAGGGAGGAAGGGGAGTGCTTATTGGAAGGGGCGCTTGTTTGATATCACGGCCTTGTGGGTGGGTGCTTATTCGGGAGAAGGGGAGAGGTGCTTATCTGAGGAAATACGGCGATCATAACTCTAAATCAATGAGAACAAAACAAAAATACATATTGCATCGTCAGACAACGAGGCATCCAAGAATCGATGAAGTCGGACTTTGGTCGTGTTGGGGTGTTGAGTATACATAGCCAACTGTCATATACCAGAATGTATTTTTACATCTTTCCTAGCTCTTTCAAGACTTGGAGTACCTTTGTCAAAATTAATCGGTAAAGGAATCATACTCGACGAAAGAATCTAAGCAGCTGAATTTCAATTAAAATATACAGAAATAGGAAAAGGACCACAAATTCAAATCTGCATAGAAATACTCTAGCCAATAACAGCGCAAAAAACAACTTAATAAATAATTTACACAAGTTAAAGAGTAAAATATTAAGGAAACATTTATAACCATGGCAAATAAGGTTTACTGGAGGCAACAAAGTAGGTAGAAATTGGAGACCATTGGTTACCCTTGAGATTCAATAATTCAAAGTAACTACAGTCTAGCTGACCTGGATGATTAACTCCTCTTGTTTAATAAGTCTCTGTATCGTCCTCCCTGATTCAGTCTCGTATTTCCTTTCGCTGAAAAATAAAGAAAAAAACTCCCACGCCGAGAAAATGAAAATATAGGAAAAAAAGAAATGAGAATGAACACAGGAAAAAAGAAAATATATTGAAGGAGACAATAACAAAACATCCCTATCCTTGGTGTAGTAATCTTAGAAACTCCTTAACAAAGGAATTTTAAAGGTAGATTAGAAGTCCTTCATTTGTGAAACAGACATGACCACTTTAACGATTCTGACGAGTTCGGTAAAGTAGCCATGAAAAGTCGTAAAAGGCCATTTCAAGGAGTAAATTGACTATTGAAATGGCCATTTCATCAGCCCTCTACATGCAACTATCAGTTCACTAAAGCTGTGAAGTGATTAAGTTCAAAGGATTGTGGATTTTCAAGAAGCTTGAGTGGCCAACTTGAAAATGAACACGCGTCCTGAAGTCACCAGTTAAAAGAATCTTTAAATGGCCACTTTTCAAGTAAACAAAGTCCCCACTTTCGAGATCTACCTAAAGTGGTTACTTCGGGCAGCATTCAACCGGCCTATCTGAGAGCTCTTGGTAGGATGACCTCATGCGGTAATTTTGCTCTAACAGGATTGAAAAGACAACGAGCTAAAATGACGTAAGAACGCCCTTCCAGACAAGAAATCTATAATTTATATACAAATGTAATGCAGTGGAACTCTTGCCTGGACTGATGGTTATTTTTGCAACTTTACTGGCTTTTCCTTCTAAAATCACCTGTGAAAATGCAGAAAAATGCGACACTTAACTGTACTAGAAGATACAGAGAATACCACTGTCTCGTGGTAAGCACAAGGTTTTTCACTCTTAGGGAACTATTCTTAATGATTTCCTCTCAAGAAATCAGGTGCACAGGAACTTGAAGTATGACTGCTTTCAGTTAGTTTAGAAGTCAGCTCGTTCTTAATACAAAAAGGGAGTAACATCTATTAAAATAACTGGTATACTTACATTCTCGGTTTTAGTTAAAGCTCTTTCATACACAATGTAATTCTCTCCGCTTTCAAGTCTTCCATTAATATAATTTGCAGTTTTTTTACCGTCACCAACAGTAAATTTCCAAGGCTTGTCAATCACTGGTGCATTTTCTTGCTCGGCAGCAATATAAAAGTTTAAATCTTCCTTCTTTGCATCACTGGCAGACTTAAGTCGAAAACCATAATCACCCGGCAGCTCTTCAATACCTTCAGCGACTTTCAGAACAATAACCTGATAGGCACTGAAAGGTATAGAACAAAATGTCTGACTAATGAGTGACATCTTGAAAAGAGGCCATTAATATAGCATTTAAGAGCCACTGACCATAAACATCGAGAATCCACCGACAGTTTCGTAATTCATTTTTTTTTCCTAAAAGACCCTTTGAATAAACCTTTTTCAAAAATTATGAAATATCTAACGCCTATTAAGTTTAATTTCCGCCGCACGCACGAATCTAGCCTTCGTGGAGGGAGGGTGAAATCATTTCTCGAGCAGCGGCAGGTAATCTTACCTTACATCTTAATGAAGGATCTATTCTACCGCTGGTTCTAGAGAAAATTACCTTCGTATTGATAATTACCTTACTGGACCATATTTTTGTTCAACAGGCCACAGATAAATATCCACAGCTGTGTGAGAAACCTCGACATCGGTTATATTATGTGGAAATGGGGCTTCAGGAGCTGGTAAGGAAAAAAATAACTTCTGAACCACAACAACACTTTAGTACAGAAAGGGTTCTCATTAAATGAGATAATATAGCTGTATGATTACAAGTTCAGAAGGTGATTCAGGACTCTACGCAGAATCTTATTAGTGAATTAAAATAACTCAACTGTTCAAGAGGTAACTTGATCAAAAGGACGGCAAGATATTAATAATTCACTTTTGTTTGACAGAATTTCATGGCATTACCAATTGATGGTCGCAATTTATTGTCTTTTCGGAAGATCAATGTACATGTAACTCGATGTTCCTATAAGAACTATTTCTTAAAAGACATTGGGCACTTTTGATTATCACCAGTCAGTTTTAATATTATTTTCTTTTACCAGCAGAAAAAAAAAAACTTTCACCGATTCATTTCGAAAGCAGACAAACATCAAAAACAAGGTCCATTCAAAGGGCATATCCAACGCTTAAATCGCTATCGATACTCTACACTAGGAACCAGAGGATAGAGTGAACTCTCTTCAAACAAACGGGGCCAGATCTATCTAAAACAAAACTTTACAAAAATTTGATATCATTGGTTTTCACTAAAATGGAAAGGTGACAGTTTCATTGGTAAATGATCGAAGGGGCTAAGTTTCTAAAGAAACTGTGGTGCTGCGTCGGTGGGAGAGTATAACAGGGTGATTTTGTATTGTCAACTGAGAAGATAACGTAAATTTGCCACCGTTAAGAGTTTCAAAGCTGAAGTTTCGAGCGTTAGCCCCTCGTCAGAGCGAATGTTTTCTTAGATAGTTTCATAGATAACCTATTACAATGATTGGTTAGCCTCAAAGAATTTGGAAACTTACCTATCATATCTGTCATTTTTGAGACGACTTTGGAAGCGCTCTCGCCACAAACAGAGTTGCCATGAACACTAAATTCATATGTGGTGCCTGGAATCAACCCTTCTACCTTCTGTGTTGTTGCCTTTATTGCTTCTATAATCTTCTCAGCATCTCTGAACGTTTTATTATAGGACTTTGTTCCAGTGTACTTCACCTACACGATTAAGTACAAAAGGCTCCGATAGAAAATTACTTCAAATTTAATGTTTCTATAATTCAAGCCTCATTATAGGATCTACGTTAATCTGCTAAAAAAACCCTGATAGGGAGTAAACTTGGACAAAATTATACAAAGCTTTTTATACAGCAATTGTGAATTTCGAGGAACAGTTAATGTTCAGATAAAATAAATAAGTTTTGTAATTTTGACTTTTTATTTTGGTACAAATTATTCGATTTCAAGAATGGGATTTAACCAAAGTCAATAGTTTCCAGCTGAAATAATGACTCCGGTCTAATTTTGGGTGACTTGCCTGATTACTTTTGTGATATAAATTGAAATTGAGTCAAAATATATAAAAAGGACCTCCCTTTTGTAAACATATGACGTTGTGACTAAGATATAATTGGTCTGACTTGGAATCAAGCCATTCCCAAGGGTTAAAGTTTCTTGAAAATCTAGCAAAGATAAGAGTTGTTTTTTTCTTTTGAAAAATAAATTTCAATTGAAACAAAATCCTATTGATGAAATATATTAAGAAATTCTCGTTGGCATCGTCATTACACATTTATTAGTATCAGCACTAGAAATATGAATATACATAAAACCTCTCACACAAACATTAAGTTTGAAATTAGAGGACTATAGGTACTATCTATCTAGATAGTACTATAGGCACCATCTTATATATATTTTAATAATTTCATATTTCTTAGTTTTAAATTCTTAATCAGCAGAACCCCGTTACTAACAGTACTTTTGTATTGAAGGGTTACCCTGGATAAATATTTCGATTATTGTTATTATTTCAAGACATGTCTAACTATGTACGGTATACGTACTACTTATAATTACATGCCAAATAATTGCACCCAAAGGGCAGAAATACGGTAATTTTAATCCAACTTACAGTATAGACAATTTTTTCCTTTTCATCATATTGTTTCCACGCCAGGGTAATCTGTTTTGTTCCAAAGTCTGTTACTTTAAATTCCCCGGGTGCTTCAGGTCCTATAGTGTTACGTTAGAGAACAAAAAAGTTAAATAAAAGCCTTGTTTATTGAAAAAGTTATCGAGTCAGAATAACTTGAGGAAAGAATCTAATCATATAATGAAAGTTGTGCTTTTTTTAAATTGTCAATTATTATAAAATAAAACAAAATTATTTTTTTAGGTTTTTTTTGACACCAATCATGTCACAAACCAATAGCATTTTCATAATAATCTCATCACACTCACTTGATGTTTCCAGTTCCAAAGGTTCGCCATAAGGTCCAGGCCCTTCTGCTGTGTAAGCTCGAACAGAGACATTATATTTAGAACAAAGCTCTAAGTCAGACAGGACAACAAATGTCACTGAGGTATTGACAGGGCTGTAAATTACAGATCTTTTGCGCAAATTTCCTTTCTTCAAGAAGATGGCCTTGACTTCATACAAAATAACTTTTCCATAACTCTTTTCTCTTAATAGAGGTTCCCATGATATGTTAAAAGTCGTCTTGTTCACTTGAGCGGATGAAGGAAGTTCTGGGCCAGCTCCGGGTGCTAAGAAATAGAGTAAAAACCTCACGCTATCAGAAGACAATATTATTAGTTTTAGAAAAAAATGTTTGAGTATCCTATTCACAAAGGGGAAATATTTTTACCACAACTTGGAGAAAAATACTAAGAATTCTTTATAAAGTAAAGTGGCAGTTGAACCTTTGTCACCTAAAATGCACCTGCAAGTCTACAATCTAAGATATTTTCTTATTATTAGTAATTAGTTGAACAATTGGGATCGCTTAAATCTTCAGCTAACAAAAAACAGGACATTTTGTTAATTGATTCACAGCAAATGAAAGTCACTTGTACTAATTTGCTCGTTTTCAACAATACTTATGTTGTTTCCTGACTTTTTTTTATTATTTAATACATGTAAAGTAGCGTAGGTAAATCATCTTTAGATAATTTGTACTATAGGTGTCAATATCAATGAAGATATGTGCAAAAATAATTTAGGTAATTGCCGTTTTTTCCCCTACTTTTGTGTTTTCCCAACTAATAAATAAGAGTCACCCAAGTAGTTTAGCCCTTAAGTTATTTTGGGTGACCAACTACTGTCTGTTTTTTGAACTTACAAAATATATAAAAATTTATTTTAGTATGGTAAAAATAAAAAGCGGTCCTTTCAAAGATATAAAGGTAAAGTTTACCATATTCCTTAGTAGTTACTGTTTTCGTGGCATTTTTTCCAGGTTTAATAGTCACAGCTCTGACGTTAAACTGATAAGTCACTCCACCTAATACATCAACAGTGTGACTAAGTGCAGCTTTGCCTATTCCAGAAATCTCTCTTGGTGCAACTCCATCGTGGCTGTAAAACAAAGTGTAACTTTTGATAACTCCATTTCTTTCTGCAGGCTCACTCCAGGTCAGGGTTATTCTAGGACCATGTGACTTGCTTGGTGAAACATCAGTATATGACAAGGAGGTAGGTGCATCAGGCGCTGGCAGAATAAAGGGAAATTGTTAACACTAATTAAGAGCGAACAAATCAACAATAACTTCATGCTGTTTCAAAAAAGATTACTTGGGATTCAAAAAAATATATATCATTCAAGAAATAGTTTGGGTATCATCTTCACACATGTTTAAGTGTGAGATATATTATGAAGGACACTCTTGATAGCCTTACATAAAAGCAATCACCCTAAAAAAGTAACATCCCTTTTATGTTCAAATGTTAGTTAAAGCACTTCTGATTCGCACCATCTTGCATCGTTGTCTTGAAAACAGTAGAACTGTTTGGTCCATCACCAGCAGAAGTAAAGGCCAACACTTGAAATTCATATTCAGTGTATTTATCAAGCTGGGTAACTCTTTCTGATGTTTTTATATTGTTCAGTGTCAAGAAGGTTGCTGAGTCTGAGCCTTTCTTTTGATAGAACAGTTTATATCCTTTGATGATTCCATGTCTGGAGCCTTCTGGTGGTAACCGCCATGATGCTGTGATACTGGTTGAAGATTCCACAGTGACATTAAACTGAGAGGGAGGTTGCGAAGGAGCTGCAATTGAGCAGTCACATTTCAATTATTATCTTTAAATAATGAATCTGACTGAGTGTTATTTTCCTTTTTACTACAGCCTCTGTAAATAACCAACCTGCAGCTACAACTAAGAAGTTTTCATCCAGAAAGATATTAATGCCTCCTTGGGAAGGAGGCAAATTCAGATTTAAACATGTTTGAGTTGTAAATGCAATTACATAATAAACAGTCTCAGAGTCAGCAAAATTGATTTTAATTTTCCGCAACAGTAATTTCCAATAGCACTGAACAACAAATTACTATAACAAAACAAAACTTAAAACAGTTTAACATGTACCTTTGCAACAAAGCAGTGCGTACATGAGTACATGACACCGTCTATTTACGCTTACAGCTTAAGGATATGGTCAATTTCTTCAAACAGATCCTCGGGAGGAGCTGACTCACCCTTTCCTACCCCAGCGACTCCTGTTTTCTCCTAGCTTTTGGTAACGTAGCGCTTTCCCTAACTGTTAGTCATTATATTAAATTTTGCGTGGTTAATGCTCGCGAAAAGAGTTTTACGCGGGTCTCTTACTTCACGATTTTTGAAAATCATATGATTAATAGCTAACAATAAGGTATGTTGTAACATTACAAACATGCATGTACGGGGGCAGGTGTGTTTTTATAAAATTTAGGAAGCCATAAACACCTGAGATAAAATTTTGACTTTGGAATGTTGATTGTGTTGAGATATAGCTATCACATCACAGACCTGACAAGCAAACAATTAAGTTATATACGTTTTCTCAAGACTGCTTGATCTCTCTTTAGGCGGAATACCATCTCAGAGACATTTGTGGCATCCATGTTTTTCTGAGTTTCATGGAGATAGGACTTAGATAAAATCCTATTTCTTACCAGCCTCCTTTGTTTTCTCATAAACAACTGTACTTTTTGGTCCATCCCCAACAGAAGTGAATGCCAAAATTTGAAATTCATAATCTGTGTACTTATCAAGCCCAGTGACCTCTTGAGAGCGAGTTGCCTGACTGTTAATGAGTTTCGAGCTTCCCGCCCCTGAAGAGCCTTTCTCTTTGTAGAACAATTTATACCCTATGATGATTCCATTTCTGGAGTCTTTTGGTGGTAACTGCCAGGATGCTGTTATACTTTCAGAAGTGGTTGCAGCCAGAGTAAAGCCACGAGGAGGTTGTGAAGGAACTGTAATTGAGAAGTTGCATATGATTATAAAAAAAAAGACAGTAATCCTAACGATAAGCAATGTCATTATGATCGTCATCTTCTCATTATTTTTACTCAAATGATCACTTAATAGCAGCAACCAGTACACGCAGGCTATCACCCTTATAGTCTCTCCTTATTTGGTACGAACTGTTACCTAAACTTCTCGAGAATTTCGTATGTTTCAATACTTCTGTCATAGCCATTTTGGGAAGCCAAGTCTTCCGGACTTTTAGCCAGTTGTCTTTGCTTTGTTGGGTGTTTCTGTTTTGAGCACTCTCCTTCAAACTTTGAATTTAAAAGTTGCTACTTGCTGCTAACCTGTCCGCCATTTGCGACATTCCTGTGAATCAATTTCATTTCCAATTTTTGCGCTTAATTTCAACTTTCTGCACTGTATGAGATAAACTGGTGTGTTCTCAACCAATTAGCAAGCTGAAATTGTTGCATATGAAGCCTGTAATCTTCCAATAACAGCCAACATAATTGCTAATATTCAATTGCATGCTTATAATTTCTTGACAAAATAGTCATTATTTGATGGCCAATCAGAATGCATACATTATGTTAGTTATCTTCAAATAATTACCTTACCACTCATGACTCGCTGATATAACAGTGTGTTAAATCATGGTTATTAAAATCACATATTGCATAATTATAGATTTTCACTTTTCTCATCACATCAGAAAACTGTATGAGAAGTGCAAGTGTATCTGACCTTTTATTAAAAAGTCATGACATTTTAAGAAGATAAAACAAAAAGTTTCTCTAACCATCTTCTTTTGTTCTATTAACAATAACAGAGCTGTTTACACCATCACCAGCAGAAGTAAAGGCCAACACTTGAAATTCATACTCTGTGTACTTATAAAGCCCATTGACATTTTTGTTTAAAGTTGATTCACTGTTGATAGGAAGAATGGTGCCTGAGCCTGACGAGTCTTTCCTTTTGTAAAACAATTTGAATCCTTTAATTATTCCATTCCTGGAGTTTGCTGGTGGCAGTTGCCATGATGCTGTTACACCAGTGGAGGAGGTTGGAATGACATTGAAGTTAGCTGGAGGTTGTGAAGGAGCTGCAATTGGGCAGTAGTGTTTTTAATTAGTTTTTGAAAACTTCTATCACGTCTTAACTTGCCACATGAATATAAATGCTCTTGTGTTTTGATAAATTAAAGTAATCAATTGATTCCAAACTATTCAATTGTTTAGCCTTCTTATTGTGTGATCGGTATCTAATTAACCCGCAATGAAGATGCAAATTCAAAAAATAAGGTTGACAGTCATTCCATTATCCCTGAATTGTCACATACCATCTTCCATTGTTCTTTTCACTTTCACAGAACTTTTCGGTCCATTACCACCAGAAGTGAAGGCCAAAACTTGAAATTCATATTCTGTGAACTTATCAAGCCCACTGACAGTTCTACTTAATGTTGCCCCATTGTTAATAGACAAGGTTGTTGCTGACCCACCAGAACCTTTCTTTTTGTAAAACAATTTAAACCCTGCAATGTTTCCATGTCTGGCAAAGACTGGTGGTAACTTCCAGAAAGCTGTGATGCTGGTAGAAGAGCTTGCAGTCAACTGGAAGGCAGTGGGAGGTTGTGATGGAACTGTATTAAAAACAAGAGATGTATGCTTAGATTGATAGATGATAATTGATGTGAAGTTTAAAAAGGAACATGTCATTAACGGCCATGGTAAACCTAATGGGCAGGCTATATTGATTAATAGCAGTGTGGATCATCTGAGGTGGTGACTTTGTTTATCCATTTACCATATTTTCCCCATAATGTTCTTTATGATTTAGGCATCACAACTTAGGCATTTCACAGCCATCTCCGACATTTACTTTTGATATTCGTCTATAAAAACGTGCTCGTAAATGTAAATTGCCCAATCCTGCATTAATTTCCCTAGTAATTACTTATTATGACTTCATTTTGCATCAGAGGGACAAAAGTGAGAAAAAATAAATACCTTTAGTAAAAAGTATTCCATAAGCCTCCACTCTCAAAGCCTTGAATCCATTATACTTTGTTGGCAGAAAGCGGATAAACTTTGCACTTGCAAATTCCTTTAAACTGTTTTTCACTGTGTCAGTTTTTCCTTTATTTCCTGGAAAGGCCTGTTATACAAAAAGTGACATTGATATATTTAAATATGACATAGTTAATGGTTTACTTTAATTTGTGAAATGAGATAAAACAAAAACCTGTAATTTGCAAAATGAAAATCTGAATATGTCACGTGCAGACTGGAAATCTACTATCTGTAGGTTATGAGCCCATCATCTGCATACATCCTAGGTCATTAAACTAAAGGGCTTGAGATAGTTCAGCAAGTCATTTGAAGAGGACCAGGGATTGTGCCTTGAGGAATGCCACAGGTTAGGTAATGACTATCAGAGAGGTCAGGACCATTTCATTCTCCATCTTTAAGTTTTATGGTAACCTTTTTTTAAAAAGTATGATTAAACAGTCAGAATTGGCCAGTGTTTGCTACATCTTTTACACTCAAACTCCTGTGAAAACTTATATTAAACTAATAGAATAAATACTTTTTGGTGTGTGCACTCTGTATTGATCTTTACATGTACATGTAATTGATTAGAAAATGTCACTATTAATTCTTGAAAGTAATGTCTATGTGGTTTGTAAGCAACATAAGTATATTGTGGGTAATGTTAGCATTGCTGAATATTGTTAATATTCTATGACATGTATAAGCAAATTTCTTATTCTTGTGACTAGCTATAGTTTTGTACCACAAGTATTAGGTTTGGCTGTTATGAATACTTGTATATGAGAGCATAACATACCAACCTTGTCAGTCTTATTTTCTTTATAAGTGAAAAAAGTGGTACCATTCAAAGAAAATCTTAGTTTGTACTCTGTGGTCCATTCTTGAGCTTTCGATTGAGTTGGTGGATTTCCTTGAGTAGCAACAGCACAGATAACATACTCATAGAGAAGGTCAATTTTGTAAGTACTCATCAGGATTATTAGTCTTAGATTCCCATGCCCCTGGTCCATTAAGACGACCATATTTAGCTTTATATTTTGGACTCCATATTGAACTGGCTGAGAAGCTGTCATCTGGAATTCTACCACCACTGGCCAAACCAATTGCCTGTGAATCACATCCTGGAATGTAACAATTTTAAAGTTAACCTTTGCACCCTACCATATTACATACATGTTTTTCAGTGTAATTAATTTAATGCACTTCTAAACAATCTGTAAGACATTATTACAAAAATTCAGAAAAATAGTCATGGAAAAATAGTCATGAAGCCAAACAGCTGAAGTTGTTGGCTGTGCTGCTAATATTGCCCAGAATCAATCTCTAACTATTCTGACTTTGAGGAAGTCTATGCACTCATGCAATATTATCAAGGAAAGTTTGTGGCAAATTGGAATTTTTCTTGCAATCCTTAGCTCATAACCCTACAGGCCCCAGAAATAAAACTATCTACCACCTTATATAAAGCAGAAATTGGTGCATCCTGTCACCTGGATACACATAGGAAGCTTATCACAATGGCTGGGTTGTTTTCCTTGAGCGCTCAAAGAGTGGTTTGGACCATTAAAGCTATTTAACAATAACAATTATTAACAAAATAACCAAATCACTAGGTTTGGACCCTTTGTTCATAGATTAGCAAATACAAGGATCATATCACACATTTAGCTTTCAAACATTACTTGGCTTCTGTTGCACCCCAAACACATCTGTTCTCATACACACCTCACCCTGGTGTGCTTGCGGTAGGAATCGCAAATATCTTGTTAACACTCCATATAGAACATGTTTGACATTGGAGTTTCTATCCTTGTTTCCCTCTAAAACCTTAGGAAAATAGTCAGAGCTCATCATAGAGTTCCATGTAGATTCTACAATGTAACTATAATTGTAACTCTCCATCCTGGTGAAAGTAATCATCGTTACTTTACCCCTTGTTTTATGACAGGAAATACTTTAATTTATTGTTATCAAAATGGTAAGCTAGGCAGCTTAATTAATCTTTATACAAACAGAAAAATATAGATGTAGGTGTAGGAATAAGGCCCAACATTTATGGAAGAGGTCCATATGGACAATGTTACAAGGCATACATGAATAAATCATAATTTGACCACTGAATTCTAAAAAATTGCACACTGACCCTCAAAAGTCTATCTAATTTTTACAATTGCAGTTTACCCATGAAAACAATTTTGTTACTTGTTGGACTAAGGGCAGCAATCTCTCAGTAATTAGAAATCATTGGTTCTGCACTACTTTGACAAGCTATTTCACACCATAAATATTTTGTGGAATAATGTAGCTCAAAACAATTTGTTAGATTAATTGTCCATTTCCCTCTAATACTCTTTCTGCAACCTTGATGGCAAATTCAGGCATGCGAAATATCATTTGCTAAATGAAACAATAGTTTCTCAAAATTCATGATATTTGCCAAGCATAAGGAGAGTACTTGTTGAATTTTTATTAAACAAATAATCCTCTGCATACCTATAACTCCTTTGGTAGCAAATTTGATATGAATGTATCAATATTATCAAAACTCAGAACAGTGATTGAGACAAAATATCATATAATTCTCAACCAACCCATGTGGCATACCTTAACCTTTCCACCTAATTCCTTATAGTCTGTCCAAACTTTCTCATCTGTGGATAATTGTAGAGTGTAGGTCTTCACCCACTGATCTGCTTGAGAATTCCCTTGGGTGGACACAGCACAGATGATATGAAGTGTCTGAAGATCAATCTGTAGATATGGGTTGGTGTCACTTGTTCTTGCACACCATGATGATCCGGATGCATAGTTCACTCGACCATTCTTGGCTGGTGTGTTGGCACTTTGTTCAGTAGAAGCAGTTAATTTATTGTCTGGAATTGCTCCATTTTCCATTCCAAGATAAAACTCAACACAACCTCCTACACATTGAAAAAATGCAAAAAACATAAAATCACAACCGCCCAATGTAATCATTCATGTACATGTGGAAGGGTTTAAGAGGGTAAAACTCTCAACAATGGTATTCAGGAATTTCTTCTGTGCAATGTTTTCATGATTAAGGTAATAAAATGACAATAATATCAAAGTTTGCATGTGCCCACAACTTGACCAGCTAGCACTCTCCTGATTAACCAAACTTGTAAACCTTTCCTAGAACATTGCAACCTTAATGTTAATTCATGCTTTTAGGTCATAGTAGACCAAACAGGTTGTTTTACAAATGACTGTAAATAAATGAAAATCATATATGTGAAATGTGGATTAAGAAATGAATATGGAAGCAATATTTGTGGTAATGAACACTACTAAAGCAGTGGAGGAAATACCCGGTAATTAAGGCCATGTAACCATCATGCTATCATACCAGTAATGACCAGCTCCCAGTTGGCTTCTTGGCTCAGTTGGTAGAGCACTGCACCAGTACAGACAGGCCTGAATTTTTTCCAGGCCTTAAATTCACTACTGCTTAAGTGGTGTTCATTACTGCAAAGATTACTTCCATATTCAGGATGTTTTACAGTTCTACATAACCAATTAATGTAAATGTTATGGAAACAAATCTTTCCACTTTGAGTAAGTTACATATGTAATCATGTATAGAGTTGTGCACATAAAAAAATTACACACGTTTGATTGCAAGAGGTAATTAATTCAACAAAAGCATGTTATTCATTTGTACTTGTTTTCCCTACTTCCAAACTTTTCCTTCAAATTAACTTCACAAAAATTCCAACCTAATAAAAATTTTATCAATGCCTATGACACTTCACATTACCAGAAGAAAAGAAACCCCTTTTTAATTTCATTTGGTTCAATATAATACTTAAAAGGACTAGAAAAATGAGTGTGACACGAGTTGACATATCAACAATGAAGAGTTCAACTTCAGAAGAAAGATGATCAATTACTTAGAAGACACGTTGTCCCACTTGTCTACTCATGGTAACTGTGTTTTGATCACTTTAATCATTTGTAAAAATTTCTAATGGCTGAAGTATCTCAATTCTCTACTTGCCACTTCAACATCATTGCTGTAAGTTTTCAAATTTTTGAGAAAATATACATTGATTCACACAAAAATAACTGCATGCTTATGCATTCTTTTGGTCACCAATTTACCAGCACACTCTTGATGAACATACTGTTTAACAAACTATAAATACAGCAATTAGATTATCATTGTTCCTAATCTGTCACATACCATCTTCCATTGTCCTTTCCACCTCAACAGAACTCTTTGGTCCATCACCATCAGAAGTAAAAGCCAGCACTTGAAATGCATATTCTGTGTACTCATTAAACCCTGTGACATTTCTACTGAATGTCGTTTCCCCACTTATAGTCAAGTTTGTCACTGACACACCAGAACCTTTCTCTGTGTAAAAAAGTTTAAACCCTTTAATAGTCGCATGTCTGGCATAGACTGGAGGTAACTGCCAGGAAGCTGCAATGCTGGTAGAAGATGTTGCAGTCAGCTTGAAGGCAGTAGGAGGCTGTGATGGAACTGAAATAAACATATCAAAGACATGTCATTCCTTTACAAAAATTGCAAAAATTTATGTTTTTGTGTAGCTGCCATCATTACTTAAATTTGCCTTTCCTTAATTTTATTTTAGAGAAGTCCTCACAGTCATAATCATGACACTAGATCCTCAGCTCTCCTTCAACCTACACTGTATCTGTAAAATGAACATTGAAAAGTTCACTATACTATACTATACCATGGACCAAAATTAAGGAATGTTTACCACCTTCAGTTACCTCTTCTCGCACTTCATCTTAATTCCTTCCAAAGGGAGTTTAATAATTGTCTCAATTTTTTATCAATACAAAAAACAACAACAAAATTAACAAATAAAACTCAAATCAACGATCCAATAAACAACAAGTCAAACTTTGTCATGCTCTTCAGTTCTGTAGGAGATGATTGTTCAATTGTCTAATGCTCAGCTCTAAAATCACATAGTGTATACTTTCATCATTCTCATTAAACCAAAAGACAATAAATAAGTATCAGCGAGTATTTAAATTTACCTCAGTTCTAAAAAATTGCCAATCTTGCCTTAATTTCTCCTAATAATTAGTTATTGTGACTTCATTTTGAATCAGAGGGACAAAAATGAGAACAAATAAATACCTTTTGAGAAAAGTATTCCATAAGCCTCCACTCTCAGAGCCTTGAACCTATTATACCTTGTTGGCAGAAAGCGTATAAACTTTGCACTTGCAAATTCCTTTAGACTGTTTTTCACTGTGTCAGTTTTTCCTGAATTTCCTGGAAAGGCCTGTTATATAAAATGTGATATTGATGTATTGAAACTTGGCATAGTTAATGATTTACTGTAATTTGTGAGATAAGATAAAATTAGAATCTTCAATTTGCAAAATAAAAATCTGTAATTTGTGAAAAAAAAACTCAAAATGAGAATCTGCAATGTGCAGAATGGAAATCTGCTATCTGTAGGTTAAGTGCATACATCCTAGGTTGAAAACAAAAGAGCTTGAGATACTTCAGCAAGTCATTAGAAGAGGACCAGGGATTGTGCCTTGAGGAATGCCACAAGTTAAATAACAACTGTCAGAGAGATAAGGACCATTTCATTTACCATCTTTAAATTTTATGGCATTTTTTGATATGGCTATAAACAGTTAGAATTGGTCAGTATTTGCTGCATCTTTTTACACTCATATCACTGAAAATGAACATTTAACTAATAGACTACATGCTTTTTTGTGTGTGTACTCCATATTGATCTTACATGTACATGGAATTGGTGAGAAAGTGTCACTATTTATTCTTGAAGGTGATGTTTGTAAGCAACATTAGTATATTGTTGGAAATGTTAGCATTGGTGAATATTGTTAATATTCTATGACATGTATGAGCAAATTTGTTGTTCTTGTGGGCAGCTTTAGTTTTGTACCACAAGTATTAATTTTGGCTGTTATGAATACTTGTATATGAGAGCATGACATACCAACCTTGTCAATTTTATTTTCTTTATAAGTGAAAAAAGTGGTACCATTCAAAGAAAATCTTAGTTTGTACTCTGTGGTCCATTCTTGAGCAGTTGGTGATTGGGTTGGTGGATTTCCTTGAGTAGCAACAGCACAGATAACATACTCATAGAGAAGGTCAATTTGTAGGTACTCATCAGGATCAGTAGTCGTCTTAGGTTCCCATGCCCTTCTTCCATTAAGACGACCATATTTAGCTGCATATATGGCTTTAAATATTGAACTGGCTGAGAAGCTGTCATCTGGAATTCTACCACTGCTGGCCAAACCAATTGCCTGTGAATCACATGCTGCAATGTAACAATTTTAAAGTTAACCTCCACATCTTACCATATTACATGCATGTTTTTCAGTGTAATTAATTGAATACACTTTGAAGAAATCTGAAGGATATTAAAAAAAATAGTCATGGAAAAATAGTCATGAAGCCAAACAGCTTGCATGAACTTATGGGCTTTGCTGCTTAAATTTCCTAGAATTGATCCCTAACTTTTCTAAAGTTGAAGAAATCCATGCACACATGCAATATTATCAAGGAAAGTTTGTGGCAAATTGGAATTTTTTTTCTTGTAATCCTTGGCTCATAACCCTACTGGCCTAGACAATAAAACTATCCATCACCATATATGAAGTAGAAATTGGTACATCCTGTCACCTGGATAAGCATAAGAAGCTTGTCACAATGGCTGGGTTGTTTTCCTCAGGTGCTCAAAGAGTGGTTTGTATCTTTACAGCTACTTATCCAAATAACAATTATAAACAAAGTAACAAAACCACTAGGCTTGGACCTTTTGTTCATAGATTAACAAATGCAAGGATCACATCACACAAAAATTTTTACACTTACCTGGCTTCTGTTGCACCCCAAACACCTCTGTTCTCATACACACCTCACCTTGGTGTGTTTGTGGCAGGAATCGTAAATATCTTGTTAACACTTGATATAGAACATGCTTGACACTTGAGTTTATATCCTTGTTTCCCTCTAAAACCTTAGAAAAATAATCAGAGCTCATCATAGTCAGTTCCACAAAGATAGTGCAAGGTAACTTTAATTGTAACTCTTCATCCTGGTGAAAGTAATCATCATTACTTTACCTCTTGTTTCATGACAGGAAATACTTTAATTTATTGTTGTCAAAAAATTTGGGCAAGGTGGCTAAATTAATCTTCATACAAACAGAAAAAGATATAATGTAGGTGTAGGAATAAGGCCCAACATTTTTGGAAGAGGTCAATATGGGCAGTGTTACTAAGCATATATAAATAGATCATAATTTGACTACTGGATTATAAAAAATAGCACACTGACCCTCAAAGGTGAACTCTATCTAATTTCTACATCATTTGTTCAGCACTCCTTTGACAAGCTATTTCACACCATAAATATTTGTTTGAATGACATAGTTCAAAACAATTTGTTAGATTCCCAGTATAATTCTACTTGGTACTCTTTCTGCAGCTTTGACCACCAATTTGGGCATGCAAAATATAATTTGATGAATGAAAAATATTTACTCAAAATTTATGATATTTGCTGAGCATGAGGAGAATACTTTTTGAACAAAAAATCAAATAAATGAATCAATAATCAACAAACAATAATCAACAAACAAATAATCATCTGCATACCTATAACTCCTTTAGTGGCCATGCAATTAATTATAAATTTGTCCATATCATCAAAACTCAGGGACACTGATTGAGAAAAGATATAATATAATTCTCAACCAGCCCATGTGGCATACCTTAGCCTGTCCACCTAATTCCTTATAGTCTGTCCAAGTTATCCCATCTGTGGATAATTGTAGGGTGTAGGCCTTCACCCACTGATCTGCTTGAGAATTCCCTTGGGTGGACACAGCACAGATGATATGAAGTGTCCTTAGATCAATCTGTAGGTATGGGTTAGTGTCATTTGTTCCTGCGCACCATGATGACCCTGATGTAAAGTTCAATCGACCATTCCTGGCTGGTGTGTTGGCACTCTGTTCAGAGGAGGCAGCTATCTCACTGTCTGAGATTGCTCCACTTCCCATTCCAAGATCTAAATCAACACAGGCCCCTACAGAAACAAAATTTACCTTTGCATCATGGCAAAGTCTTGGTAATTATTGTCATGAGCATAATGGTGGAATGTGAGAAGTACATGAATCCTTTGATCTATCTACTGAATACCTCTAATAAAAGGTCCATGTCACAGATAGTAACAGTTAGGACTGGCCTAATTACAAAAATATCAATCAAAACTATAACAACATTTTCACATGTGATTGGTTTTTACCAGCTGTATTTGAGCACTTATAGGACAGTGTACATGTCATGCTTGTAATTGGACTGTGTAATAGGACTGTTGACTAGTCATGCCTGTGGATCTGATCAAATTGCAGCATGGAAATACCTTGGATGTCATTTCTGAAGATGTCCATCTTAGAGAAAATAAGGAAAGATTTTAGTTTCTAGAGAAACTGTTGTGGTGCACTGAAGGGTAATTGAAGCAACTTTTTAAGAAAAGTAGATAAACTGTCATGTTAAACTTACGAGAAAATTGGGTTTTTATACTGTCCTTAGAGCAAAGAGAAGTACACTTTTGGTGTAGATGCACAGTTTCTGGTAGACAGGAACGTACAGGCAGATCGATCCAACTGCCCTAGCTGAGTTAACTGATTTATGCTGGAAATTGCCAATTATTGGCATAATCCACTATGATTCATCCATACTTCATTAAAAATACAGTTCTTTAGAGTTCTTTGATGAAAGAAACAATGTCAAAAACTATAGACTATCTCAGGAACTATCTTTGTTTACGAATAGTACCGCCGTTGATGGAAATTTCTCTAGCTTTGTTTTAGGATAGTACCGCCTGTTAAGGATATCGAACAAAAGAACAGCTTTTTTTTATTAGATCAATTGTCAATTACTTTAATTTGTGTGCCTAGTTACGATCGTAGTTACAATGTTTATCTTTTCCCTATTGGTTTGTAATCGGATCTTTTAGCGTCACCACGCGCATATAAAAGCTAAATTAGCGTCCCTATAAGCCAGAGTTTCGCAAGATTTCGCCTTGAACAGCAGCAACTTCGTTCTTTCGTTCCAAACCTTTGGCACAAGCGGGACCGATATGTAAGTGATTTTGTTAGTTTTATTTCAATATGTTTAAATTTAGTTTTTCACCTTGGGCGATAGCGCACATATGTACTGTGTTGTACAACAGTACAACTAATTATCTTGAAATCAAAGGAGTATTTTGAAATAACTAGACGCTCACACAGTAACGCCCACATTTTAGTCTTTGGGCTGTTAATCAGCCGCAAATGGTCATCGTGTAGCCGATCTTTGAATCTCGAGTAGTTTTAATTTAGCCTTTTATGATTTGTTTATGTTAATTCACGTTAATTGTTGTTATTTTAATCGCGTTATCGACATAGGCACGTAAAGCGTTTCTTTCATGCCTTTCGCACCAATTCAAGGAGATTCATGCTTTCGTTATAATATTATTGCAATTTCAGTTTACGATCGTGATCGTGACCGTGATCTAAATAAACACCGTTGATAGTCATCTTGGTTTTCGTGGTTTCATTACGACCGGTAAAATAGTCCCCACATCAGCGACACTTAGAAAACACGCATAGCGACACCCCTCGAAGTTTCCTCTTTCGTCGCAAGCGTCACACCGCCGTTGATGGAAATTTCTCCAGATTTGTTTTAGAATAGTACCGCCGTTGATGGAAGTCTCTCTAGCTTTGTTTTAGAATAAACGGAAATGTTTCCACTGAATTGTATATCAGAAATTAATTTCCAAAAAGTTATTTCACCTGAAATTGAAACAAATGTCACGACCCTGTAGTTTCGTTTAATCATGACAGATTCAGAACCGTCTTTCTATTTGCTGAATAATTTATGGTTTAATTTCACTTTTGTTTATTTCTCCATGCTTCCAAATTGAGCTTGATATAAAGTGGATAGATTAAAAATGTACCATTCGTTTAAAGATGATATTTAAAGAGTAAATAAATAAATAGGCGAATTCCGATAGATCCTATCTGCATTGACAATTAAGCCGCGACCGTGAGAGAAAGCCTGAGGCTACAGAACTCAAAACTGAAAGAAATCTGAATGTAAATTGTAAAAAAAAAATAAAAATAAACCTTTCTTATAGAACTGAAATGATATAGTGCTCACCTGAGGTCAACGGAAGAAATACAGCGAGAAAAGCTACCCGGAAACAAAGATAAAATTGCGCCATGTGTTTCGATTGAGTTTGTCACGGTATGCGTGTATCACGATCGTTTTGCTTGACCGGTCTTTTGTGACAGGAATCTTATCCGAAAAGAGATGTCTTTGTTTCCTCACTCTTTAAACTTGGCTTTGTTTGATTTGTGGCAATATCGTCCGCAGTTCAAGCAAAACAATCTGTCACTTCGTTGGCCGAGTATTTACGTTTGTTCATATTTCCCAGAATGCCGTAGTCTGTAGCTCATATTTCAGCATCTTTCAGTTCATAGCTCCAGCGATTTAAGAGATTGTTTTTATAACCAGCTCAAATTTTTTGGCCATCAATTATTCTGAATTCGTGTACTTCCGTGACAATACTTAGCAAGCAATACTAGTACTGCTTTGGTACAAGTAGTACTAAAACAACTGAAAAACTGGATCTAGCTTGGTATTCTATGACTAACTGGTGATTTTAAAGGCGGGAACGGGATGAACAGTCAGACTTAAGGACTAATGCAATATCTTGAAGTGTTACAAGCTAAAGGATAGTCCTATTAAAGTCATAATAAAGGGCGGATAACTCCATCTTAACAAATAAACCGCCATCCAGTGGATAAGTGATAACAAAACGTAATTCGCTATTTACCAAATAGAGACTTATCCACTGGATAATATTATCTACCTCTCGAACAATTGAGTCCTGCTCGATATTCTCCATATAAGGTAAAAAGTTCGGTTTAAAAAGTCATACGCGTGGTTTCCTACGGCGGTGCTGCTCGCATCAAACGCGCATGCAAAGTCCTATGTCTAAGATAATAAAGTACCCCGTCAAATGTAAAAAAGGAGAAAAAGTGTTGGTTTGCAAGTAAAACGTAAAGTCGAATCACTCTGCATAATGGACTCCTACAGATCTCGCTACACAGCACAGTTGATATATCCTGCATACCACTCAAAAACAAAAATAAACAAACAACAAAACAAGGTAATGAAACATGATACCGTAAAAGAATGAGAAAACAATCAAGGAAATAAATCATGATTACCCCAGGTACAGCTTCAAGGAAGGGCGGTTATTGGAAGAAAAGCGCTTAATCGAGGGGCTGTACAGAATCAGCCGTAATTGAAGTTTTAAAAGTTATCGGTAAAGTTGCAATAGAAACAGGTTTTTCTCGTATGCCTACCATTTAACTAAGAAAGAAAGGAAGGAGGGAGGGGGAGGGGGTGCCTATTCGAGGATGTCACGGAATGCTATCACGATTGTTTTGCTTGACTAGCCGTTTAGAACAGAGAGTTCATCGGAAGAAAGATGTCTTTGTTCACTCCATATCTTACTTCGTCTTAGCATAGCAGTGTCGTCCGTGGTGGCAGCGAAACAAGCATAGTCCCAGTTCAGGTATTATTGTTCCGTATTAAACAAGATGGCAGCGAATGACTGAGGAAGAATTAATTGATACTTCCCAGCAAGCTTGCGCTGTAATTCATATTTCCGCATAATTCAGCCGAGTTTCTGTTTAAAGCTCGAAGCAGTTTGTTTTCATAAGCAGCTTACGTTGATGTGGCTTCTTTGCCACTAAGAAGTGTGTTGAAGCGTCAGGAAACATGTTCTTATACACAGGGGAGAGCAGTTAAAATTTAACGAGGCTATCAAATTAAACTTTTGCGAGAAAACTCTTCCACGTCTCCATATGTGCAATTAATGATTTAAGTAAATGTTTTTATTTTAACGGTACAAACTTATATTTATAGAAGCAATGTTCTCTTCTTTTCGGTACAATAATTTTTTAATGTCTTACTAGCTCGCTGAATTAGTTATTAAGCAGCAAGAGAGTTCTTAACAAGAGACTTTTAAAAAGGTGCCTTTAAAAATTGAAATGCTACGAAGGGAAGGATGGCCATGGAGAACATTTTACCCCTCCCCGGTCTTGCGAAGTTCCATATCTAAGAAAATGAAGTCAATATCCTGCGTACTCAGCGCTGGACATTGTTAAAACATGATAAGTTGATGGACGGTGAATATTTATCAGGTGAAGCTGCGAAGCAAACAATACATTGAATGAATGCAGTTTTGTGGTTGATGTCAAGTTTTTGAAATCAAAGTGAAATGCTATTTCATGAAAAGTGAACAGAGAAAAAATAATATTGGAAAAAATTTTTAAAAAAAACTGAGACGGTGAGTCAGGGTCAAACACAACTTATCAAAAAATTTTATTCCACAATCTACAACTATTTTGTTCCTTATGTACATTTTCGTCACTTAGTTATAATTGTTATTCCTTATATGACCTTTAATTACTCAATTACAATCTTTCCCAAGCGTATTGTTCCATCCATACTCTAGTATCTGAAATATTTGATCGCTCGAAAATATTATTATCTCCTACTATGTTAATATGAAAAAAATCAGTTGTAGAATTGACTTATTTCCTCATAAACTTCTTCATTTTGTTTCTCATTGCTTTCTTCGTGAATTGTCACATTGTAATAGGCAGCGGTCCCCGCTTCCTTCTCAAAGGACTCGTACTCATTAGGTACATGACACTGTCCGTTCGGAGGCGTGGGTTTAGGTTCCGCATATGAACAAGGATCTGAAGCAAGTTGATCACGTTGCTGTTTATCACGTGAGCGGTCGAAGCCATCGACGCCAGCTTCCTCTTCAGGCTTTTTTCTTTTACTAGGAACAGCTCGTCTCCGATGCCATATCAGTCCACAAATTATAATGAGCAACACAACCACAATGCAAGACAATGCAATGGCACAAGCAAGGAAGATGCTATATGTACCTTACATAGAAAAACCAACATACTGTCAAACACTAAAACCAAAAGTTAATTCAAGATGCAAACTAAGATTTAAGTTTTAAGTTCAAAATGGAGTTTGAGCACTAACAATAGATTTAAACTCAGTGAAATCTCGTATCAACTATTCTAAGCGAATCAAGTTTCCCAGGTGAGTATAGACACAGAATTCAACATTGAGCCTAAGTATAAAAGGTTTTCATGAGTGGCTTGGTGTTTTTGATAAGTTCATGAACAGAGGTGTGTCTTATTTTAGCCACTTGAATCCAAGTTACAAGAATACGTCACCAAAATAACACAGCCAGCGGATTTAAAAAACTTGTTTCAAGATAAGCAGAGTACCTTAGACTGGCCTTCAATTTAAGGGGATGTCTGATAATATACATGCATCATTACGGATTACTTCCATACTCACTTGGTTTTTGTTTCGCTCCAAACACCTCTGTTCTCATACACACCCTGCCCTGGTGATTTTGTGGCAGGAAACGCAAATTTCTTGATAACACTCCATAAACAACATGCTTAACACTTGAGTTTCCATCATTATTTCCTTGTAAAACCTTTAAAAAGTAAGATAACCATTTCCGATTAGCACATTCCTTGTTGACAAGAAAATAGGAGACGAATAATCATGAAACTCTTCCTAGTATGTCGAATGTAAGTAAGCCATCTCACCCTTCTTTTTGAATGAAAGACAACTTTTAAACGTGCGGATGACCGGAGGCAAGGTAGGCTCATCATTCTTTCACAAAATAAAAAGAATTCAGCTTGCCATTTTATAAAAATGGTCCATATCAGCAGGGTAATAACATTGTAATACTCCCATCTGGATGACAGCAGTCTCTAAGTTGCTCAAGCTTCAGCTTGAATATTCACTATCGTTTGTTTCCAAACGATATAAAAATTTAGGAGTGGCCACTTTGAAAGATAAATTTTGGAAAGGAGTTCAGCTTCTGCAAACCATGTAAGCCATATAATACAATGACTTAAAACCCGCTTTCCAGCGGTGAAAAAGGATTGCGAATTTTTTTCGTATCTCAAGCAATTCAAGTGTATTGTCATCTGTTTGTACAATGAAGTGAATTCCTGCATGCTATGGAGATTTGATGCCATAATAAAACTCATTACATGTTAACTTACCGTTCTTACGGAAAACTTTCTGAATAAAGAACGCATCGTATACCTTAACTTTCCGCCTTCCTTATAGTCCGTCCAATTCTCACCATCTATTGATAATTGTAGTTTGTAGTTCTTCACCCAATGATCTCCTTGAGAATTCCCTTGAGTGGACACAGCGCAGATGATATAAAGTGTCTGTAGGTCAATTTGTAGATATGGGTTGGTGTCACTTGTTCCTGCACACCATGATGATCCTGATGAGTAGTTCAGTCGACCATTCTTGGCTGGTGTGTTGGCACTTTGCTCTGAAGAAGCAGTTATTTTATTGTCGGGAATTGTTCCATTTCCCACTCCAAGATCCAAATCAACCCATATTCCTATAGAAACAAAATTCATACTCTAATTTACGCGCATTATTACTATAATTATAACAAGGGCACAAGAGTGACTACCGAATATTCACTTTGGACGGCCAATTCACTTCAGGTCAGTCTGCTGCTGAAAGTCGTTTTTAATTTTCATTTAAGTCACATGGGGATCTCCTCGAGATGGGATCTTTTAGAAGCATCATGAATGATTATAATGAAAATGACATAGCTTCGCTTACCTGAGGCCAAGACAAAAATTAAAGCGAGCAAAGCGACGTGGAAATACAACTTATGCTCAAATCTGGACATGTTATTCAGTCGGCAAGTGAAATCAATCAAACTGTGTTCTGTTTATGTAAGTCCATTCGTTTTATAGAGGTGCTTAAAGCCGGGGGGATTCCCGGTTTAAGGGCGAATCACAAATCGTAGCTCACGGTCAATATGGACATCTGATTGGCCAGCTAATTACAGTGGCGTCAGTCGTTGATGCTTCATATGAACTTCATAAGACACCATAAATATTTAGAATCGTTCATCGAAAAATACAGCGATTACCAACAATGCAAGAAAAACCAAAACATAATCACATAAAGCAACATTAGTAGTTGATACCTTTTACTGAAAATACTTCAGTACTCAATGGTTCTTTTCGTCTATTTTATGGTATGTTTTCGATCTTGTACCCCAGTTATTTATTTAGGAGGTAAGAGTAATGAATTCATTTGTCCGCCATTGATATGAATAGTTAAGTGTCTCATATCTCTGTCTTTCAGGCATCGTTGCCATATTTTCCCCGTTGCTAAGTCAGCGCCAGAAAGTCTCTAAATTTGGTAAGGTTCCCGTAAAGCTTTCACGAAACAATTTTTCCTTTTATAGGAAGACTTGGTTTTATTATTCTTTCAAGCTAGAATCACGAATGCGACAGTTCATTGACCTTGTCTTGGTCGCTTGTGGGAGTTAGAGGGTTAAGGCTCATTTAGTCAGAATAACAAGTGCTACAAAAATGACCCAGCTAATAGGTTGAAGATTAATTTATTTATTATAATTAATGCATTTCAAACTCACTTGGCTTTTGAGTCACTCCAAACACCTCTGTTCTCATACACACCCCACCTGGTGAGTTTGAGGCAGAAATCGGAGATATCTTGTCAACACTCCATAAACAGCATGTTTAACCTCTGAGTTTCGGTCAAGATTTCCATCTAGAACCTTCAAAAGAAAAGGAAATAAATCCTTATACATCCTCAAAAATGTGATTTCTTGAAGTAAAAAGGTCACGAATAATCAACATACATTGCTGATATTCCTATTAAGTCTCTTCAACATTATTGCATATTCAGAAATACTCACAGCTCTAAGTGAGTGCAAGAAAATAATTATCTGAGAAATGATGTCTTGAAGTATGCACCGCATGTATGTCTCATACAGGTACCTTAATTTGTCTACCTTCCTTGTAGTCTGTCCAAGTTGTCCCATCTGTGGATAACTGTAGTTTGTAGGTCTTTACCCACTGATCTGCTTGAGAATTCCCTTGAGTGGACACAGCACAGATGATATGAAGTGTCTGTAGATCAATCTGTAGATATGGGTTGGTGTCACTTGTTCCTACACACCATGATGATCTTGATGTGTAGTTCAGTCGACCATTCTTTGCTGGTTTGCCAGCACTTTGTACTGAAGAAGCAGTTATTTTACTGTCTGTAATTTGTCCATCTGCCATTCCAAGATCTGAATCAATACAATCTCCTATGACAAGTTATACAGATGTTTTTTAAGATAAAACTTAGTTAAGCAACATTAAGATGACAAGCCAACATGTACATGCACAATATGTGGTCTGGAGAAGATTGATATGCACTTTTTCACCACCTACACTATAAATTTGTTTGTCATTGATTGATGTGTGATCACGTGTCTTTGCATGTATCAAATGTTGTCTACACCATATGTATTGCTAGAATGTACTCAAAGCCCACAAAAGCCCATGATAACAACAAGCCTGAAGCTGGGGGAGGGGGGGGAGGGGAATTGAGTCAGTTTTTGCACTGGATAAGTGGTGTTACCCTCTTAAAACCTCTCCCTCGTTAATAGTCTATTCTGTGGCGAATTATAGACCCTACCCTGGTCACTTTTGGGCAAATGTAACTTTAAATCCTATAGTAACTATTGAAAATGCAATCCTATTCCAGTCGATCCAGACGTGAAAATGCAATCCCGGCGGCAAATCACCAACAGCCTCTTATTAGGAAGTAAGAGGCACAGTAAATACACAGAGGACAACAATAAATACCTATGAGCCATTTAGTTACAACCACAGTGTTTTGAGATCACCTGAAGATTTCAATTCTTTCTCAGACTTCTAAAAGCAATGGATAAATTAAACTCTTACCAATCCCGGTTGGTAGTGTTTTTTTTTTTAGAGCTGCAGATCTTTCGGGAATATTCTGTCTGCTTGATCTTTTGGAAATATGTGAATAAAATCTCTGAGAGACGAAGCAAAAGCAGCGAAATTCGACGGCTACTATAGTGTCTACTTGATATGAACGTAAACACTTCGATGTCATTTTAACTTGCAAGTAATAAAATATCCCGCAAACACGCGAGAAATTCCCAAACTAATACCCAGTCTCTTTCTACCTTTGTTGATTTATAAATAGGCGAACAAAATTTTTATTTCATTTTATTTCTTTTTTTCTTTTCTTTCATTAAAATCTTCAAATGTAGTTTTACACATATCGTTGGACTTTCCGTTTTCTTATTCGTTCGTTTGAATAATTCGCGTATTTGATAGACCATCGTAGAAATATGAATTGTCTTTGCTAGTAGCTCTCATTTCTATCAAATGAAAAAATTTTGTATTTTTCTTCAAAGGAAAGAATTGCGTAGGCAATTAGCGAGAAAACTCTCTCTTAAATTGATCGAGGGAAAGCTTACTCCGTACCATTGGGGTAAGGAGTAAGTTTACCGGCACTTGTGATATATCATATCGTCTCTGTCTTCTTTCTTTTACATGTGCCTAAATGATCAGAAAACAGGTCGGTGCGGATAATTCTTTTTAAGACAACAGGATAAAAGGCAAAAACGATATTTTAAGGATATCGTGAGATGGTTAGGCGTGTGGATGCAATGAGAGGAACTCTATTCTTAGCTAAAGCCAGAGGAATTCCAAACAGCAAGGCAAGGAAAGCCAGCTTGAGGAGTAGCTCGAGATGAATCTCAGCCATAACTTGCTTCAGTCAGCAGAAGGCGTCCACGACTGTTTTCCCTCTATGGGTCGTACACTCAAACTTCTTTTTAGTGAGGTACGGCTTGAAACTTGCGAGTACCTCTTTACTTTGTATTATGATAGCACCGCTCCAAGTTTTTCAACGCAGGAAAGTTACTAATTTGCCACTTACAGTAGCTGGTGCAGAAAGTAATTTGTGGGCTACTGAGGAAATGGGGATATAGGTATCGTAAAGAACTTTATTCTTTGCGTGTTACAAACGTGTCTATACCAGTTTTAGCTTAAATTACCTTTACGTCATCTTTTAATACGGCTTATTCACATTTTTAACAGTTAATGACTGGTTTTGTTTAGGCAAGTTTTTCAGCTGTACGTTTAGAGACATTTTACCTGCACTGCAAAAATCCGAAGCTAATACTTTGTTTATCCAGCAAGAAAAGCCGCAATACGAGTCTAACCAAGAAACCTTGCTACCCGTGTTGTGCTTGTAACTACTAAAGCGATTTCTATACGATTATCTTTTTTTAAGTCGTGTTTAAACTAAGGATGATGTTTGTTTTAAATACGAGTTAGTGTTAGGGCTAGTGTGAAACTGAGAGTGCGTAAATGACAGATAAGTATAATATGACAATAATTTACAGTTCATTGAAACTTAACACACGTCCACGTATTTTATTACACTTTCTTTATCAGACAGTGCAAGTCATTTCTTAACTTACCCCTTACAGCCTGGTTTTATTTATGTCATTTATAGGGTAAATCGGCACGGATACGTAACAGAACAACAAGAAACAAAACTATTTACGGTAATGGTTTTGAAACTCCCTTCAACGGTTGGAATTTTGGTCGTCTTCCAATGTTGGGACCGTTCAACGCAACACATTGAGTACAAAGGAAACGATTGAGGGGGAAATGAATTCTTAACGAAAAGTAAAAGCAAGTCAACTGAACCCTCCATAGAAGAGATTTAGCTCTCGACTTGATTTTAAGCCATATTCTCTCAACTAAAAGGCAAAGTTGTCTAAATGTTAGAATTCATTTCTCTAACACTCGTTTGTGGTCTGGTTGATCCTTCTTTATTTGCTTCTCTTCTCAAGTTGTTACAATGGAGACTAGCTTCAATATATCAGGGAAAACTAGAGTCTCCGCCTATAAAGGTGTCACTGCAGATGACATTTCTAAGCCGTCAATCTTCTTGTGTCGTCATCGTACCATCTCAACTAGCGAATCACGCTTGACTACATATTATAGTTCCCACATACTGAGTAAGCACCTTAGGGTTGTCTACGCAGTTACAAAATCACTGGGAACACGAAGGTGTCGAACGCGACCTATTACCAGGGAGATTTACTCTTCCTGGACTAACAAATTGACTTATTCAATAACACGGCCTATCACGAGTTCCATGTCAACTTCACGATCACAACGAAGAAAACGTGATTAAACTCACTAGGTGAACGTGGCCAAACTCACAAGAAGAACGTGATTAAACTCAACCTTTAAGATAAGACCACCAACAAGGCGTACGAAGTAATCAACCTGCCCTTTTTATAATTTACATTAAATGACTTAGAATAATATAATATTTCCATTCCTTTTCTTTCTAACACCAATTCAGAAAACCCTTACAATATTGTAGATTAACTATAATTGTAATTTTATCATTTAACATACATTCATGAGGATTGTGACATTAGGAAATCTAGGCCTCTTTTCACGAAAGGAAATTTCAATCAAACAGCTCTGGTATCAGCGAAAGATATCGTACTGATGTTTCCACGAAAAAGGTCACAAGATTCCATGAAAAGCTGCTGAATTCCTTTAATGTTTGATCCATAGATAGGATTAGGAATATTTGTCAGCTCATTGAAGCTAAGTCTCTTAAATTTGCACAATTAAAGAGAGTGTTTTAAAGATGATTTTAAACAACGCTCTTACGGCGTTAAACTTCCTCCGGCGATATAAGTACCTACTGCTTGGGAAGCATGACGTTTGTGTATGAGGTTTGATCATCAGCCAATGTCTTGAATACATTGTCTGTCGTTGCTCCAACATTATGATGACAAAGACGATGCTATTTGCGAAACCAAAGCTTCCACACCGAGACCCCTAAATTAACAACTCGAGTTTGCTGAACGTCTCTATTAAACGAGCGAAAAAGGAGCACGCGAGTGAATCTAGTTTCGAGGCATTGATTGAACGACAACTCAACAAGATTGCTGATCGGAGGAACACACTGGAACTAGAACTGAGAGCCTTAGTGGGTTTCACAGGGCCTGTGACTTGACTGTGTCTCCTGCCTTCACCCTGATATATAGACCTAGAATGTAAGCGTCTTGGTCCAAGTTACTGTTGCGTCATATCAAGAGTCCAATTTCTTCGAAAAGCGGAAGTCTGAAAGCAAATAATCGATGTTTTGTGTCTTTATAAGTATATTTTGATGACCCTTGTGATAGAACGTGTTAATTGAATTTTTCATCTGCTTCACACATCTTAGACAAGTCGCTCATCTGGACTAGTAAAAAGTGCTAATGATGTTAATTTCAAATTTAGATAAAATTCATTATAATCACACATTGATTTGAATTCTAGTACTCTGATCAGCTTCCAACAAAGCGTGTCGGCTTCGTGCGTTGGAGCATTGTACCAGCATCGCCAGGTCACGAGGGCGAATCCTGTTCGGGCCTTAACAAATTTATATATTCGTCTTTATTTTATTTTTTTGTCTTCAAACCCTTACTTAAACAACTTTTTGGCTCGTGCACAAATTAGCAAATGTATTAACAGTCATAAGAAGCAATTTGAGAATAATCTCTTAAGCTATCATAACAGTAGACTTTATCCAACCCATTATCAATTGCTATCAGAGATAAACTAATGCAGAAGTCTCTGAAGTCTGTTTTACAAGTTTTCTTTGTCTTTGGAAACCAAAAAGACGAGTATATCATTTTTGGTTTCAAGGCTAACTGCAAGGAGAGACGCGATATATCGATCATGTTGGTGGAACAAGGGTACTGTCTTTATGCAAAACCAAATAAATTCGTATTAAAATGAGACTGTATTCTCTTGCCCAGTTATTCTTCCCAACTCCTTTGACATTTTTTCTTTACCGCTGAAAGAGGGTGTCTAAAAAGGTTCGTTCAGGGGGAAAGAATTTCGAGACTTTGACAACTAACCGCTTTCGGCTGTAGCTCAATCTAAAAATATCCTTCGAAGAAAAAGGAACTATATGACGGAGAGAAGGCACGCTTCGACTGACAAAAATTAACGCTAATGATCATGATTAAACATACCTTTTTACTGGGATACTTGTGGTAGCCCAGTCATAAAACGCCTTTGTTTTTTTGTCGTCTTTTTTTTTTCCTCCACCACAAAATGGAAAAATTGCGCAATAGTACCCAGTGGTCATTGGGCCCTCAACATCATGGCAATTAACTGTGATCCAATAAGGGTGAAGGTGTTCAAATGCTGATCACATGTGTTATTTTGATGATGATTGACGTTGTCATACACGGACAGGGCCGGGTCACATGATGAACCACGAGGTTTTTGCTTATAAAACTCTTTTGTCAGGCATTTTGTATTTTGGCGACGGAGGTTCAACGTTTTTGATTCACGATTACCCGGAGCTTTATGGTGCAAATGCGCAAAATACTTACAGACGCATACACAAGTCGTATTGTTCGCGGCAAATCTGCGCTAAAAGATGTTACTGAGCGGTATTTTTGGAACGAATTGAGTCGCGAACGCTTGAAAGCCATGAAAGCCATGTATGCCTTGAAAAGCCATCAAAGCCTTGTATGCCTTATATGCCAAGTACGCCAATGTCTTAGTTGAAAAACGTACACCTGTTGAAAAAAGCAAAATCTGAAACCAAACTGCATATACTCTATGCAGTCTATTCAACAACACTACTACCGTGAGACTGAAGAACAAAACTCTTATAGATGCAAACTGCATGCGAAGAAAGACGCCATGTTGGATTCACTTGATGCCAAGGAACGTACCTACGATAACACGATAACAGTACGAATGGTATTAATTTCACGATCAAAGGTGAATCTTACGTTTGCTTTCATTGTAATTGTATGGATATTCTTTATTAATAAATACATGATCCAAAATCCTGGGTTTTCAGTGTATAATGTTATGTTATCTATTGTTTACGCAATTGTCTTGTGGGCTAATTTATATGTGAAGTTGTTGATTTCTTCAGCAAAAGCTGCCGTGAATAGCTTCGATGAATGTAACGTATTTGAGAAAGCTGCTCAGTTATCTGTTATTGTACATGATTAGAAGCTTACAAATAGCAATGATGAAGCATTTTCAGTAAGTACAGTCTGTAACTGTAGATCTCGATACGACAAATTTGTTTATTTAAATCGCCTTCGTACGCATAGTATTCGTGTTCGTGATCGTGAGCCCAGCAGAATACTTAAGAAAAGAACTACACGTATTTTAAAGATATCGAGGAAAGTTAGACGTTTACTTCGAACCTACATCAGAAAAAGCACACCGAAGTCTTCCCGAATGCATCTTTTTACAAATAAAGCTCGTGAAAAAATACATGCACATGGAATCAAATGTGGGAATAAAGGAACAACGAAATATCCCTCTTCTGCAGTCAGGAGAAAATATCCAAAGTCTAACAAATACAGGATACTGAAAATGCAAAACGAATAGCCACATGTAATACAAAGTCCAAAGCCAAAGCAGTCAAATGCATAGAGGTCTAATTCAGTACCAAATGTTTACAAAAATCTGAATCACAGGGTAAATCATTTTATGTCCAATCTGTCTGAGGATATGGAAGCAATTATTAATTCCACTAAAACAATTCAAGCTTACAGTCGAGACAATGTGGCAATGTTTGGGTTAAATGCTGGTACACAGTATGTAGCCATGTCACTAGCTTTCCTCATATATTACAAGAGGAATGGTATTGTATCCTCAATGGACTTGGTTAATATCATGAATATTGGTATTGAATTGTATTCTGGTCTATCTAGTCTATCCCGGCAATCCTATTTACTGTTAACAGATGTACCTGAAATGATAATAGTGTTTAATACTAATTATCAGCTTCAATATAGTCCAAGCTATACTGATACTATACATGGTACTTATGAAGTACAAGATTTCAATTATTGTAAGTCATTTGCTTATGCTATGCAGGCTTTGCTAGGACAAAATTATAATTTCTTTCTTTAACAGTCCTTAGTACTACGGTAGGTTTTTACTGTAATGGTGATGGTAAGTTTAAGATATTTGATTCTCATGGTAGAGATTCATATGGATGCCCCATCCTCAAGGAACTTGTGTACTGTTAGAAGTTAACACTTTAAATGAGCAGATAAACTCTTTTCAAGGTCTTTCTCAAAATCCAAATGTTTTATTTGAACTCAAAGGTGTACATATTAATGAAAAAACAATGTGATATAACAGATATTTCTGATCAACAGTTGTCAGCTGTCCCCCTCAAAGCAAATCATTCAGATGCTGAAACTACAACCATTCATATTCACTTGTTATGATGTTGTGCCACATCTTTTAATAGCCTTTGTTTTCCCATTATCAAATATTGTGGGTATTAGAATTCAGAGACTCTGGATAGAATCACTGACCATGCAAACAAGTTTTACAAAGAAAAACTCAGTGGCAATAACCATCCACCGACTATCAACAATTTCCCAAAAACACTTCATATGAAGCAGATATCAATATTGCCTTTAATTTGGAGAAACAAGGAATACTATGATGTACATCTCTTGGTAGCAAATTATTGCTCCAGAAGTTAATCACAGATAATATTAAAGATAATACTGGGTTTTTAATGTGAATTTCAAATTATTGCTTCAGTTGTATTTTTCAGCACAATAATATGAAAACAAAAGCAAAAAGTGTTAAGTACTATATTATATGATTCAATCCTAATGGCACACTTGATATATTTGAAGAAATGAATGACATAGATTTTCTTATTCAGTCACTAGTGGGAAGGTTCACATTATATTTGCTCTGTTTATAAAAATACTATACAGAAAAACTGTTATCTAGTTAAAGCGTTAAATGTACAACACTCAGCAAGAACTATTTACTGAGTTGTATACCCAAGATCCCTTTCCGTCTTGGAATGACCTATCACCTATCACCTGATGACAACCTTTTTTGAGCTTACTATTTCAGTATACTATTCCGACACCCGGTAGTATCACTACACTTGATCCCGAGGATCCAGTACCATCAGGTATCCCAGTTACCCTGCTCACAGGGTCTAGTTAAAATTAAGTTTTCTCTGATCATTTACCACATAGATATGAAGAACATGATGATAGGTTCTTAAAATAGTCTCCTTGATTTAGAAGTGTTCTGCTAATTCTATGTAAGTACTACATGACTGTGATCTACAAAGATCGAACTGAATATTCAATTTAGGGCACAAGAGTAATATAAATTCTTTTACTGTATAGCAGAAGAACAGCCTCTTCAAATTTTATCTTTACTCATCTGAAGGCCACAACAGCGCTACTATATGTCACGATTTTCTATATGAGAATAGGCGGCTGTACCAAGTCTACTGTTCAATTGTGACTCTGCGATCATAGGCCAGAAATATCTATGTTCCGAGGGGATTCTATCTTCAATTGAAAAGAGCAGTGAGAAGAATAGAACCAAATCAACACACTCTATTTCCTGTGTCATTAACAATTTCTTCCCTGTCTTCTCCTTCTCTCTCTTCAGTTTCTTTCTCAAAGCTCACACTTTGGCTATCAAATGCTCTATTTTCAAACTTCAAACCTTGAAGTTCAAGATATGCAGGCGATTGGTCTTCGGAAGACATCGAGTGGAGTTGAAGACAAGGTCCTGGGGAAGACGCAAGTTGCTCATACGAAGAGTCGAGAGGACCCATGACATCATAGACGAGTCTGTTCAGATCGTTTGTTTTGTCATTTAGTTCGATTCTAGCTCTTCTATACTTCCACTTGTATACCAGTACGCCAATGACAGCCAACAACACACAAAAAACACAAAGCACAACGATAACAGCAACAGGGAAGTTGCTTCGTTTATCTAATTCAAAGAATAAAAAGGAAATTGTTATCAATTAACAGGTTCGAACAAACTACACTTGAAGTAAGCCGTATGATATGAACAGCATGCAACAAAACAAGTCTTTTTGTTTATCTCGAATTAAGGTGCACACAAGTAAATAACAAACGAGACATATAATGTTCCAAAAATTTAAATAAAGAAAAAAGAAGAGAGAAGGGGGGTGGTTACCATCTTGCCGTTTTACCTCACGCGAGCAACGGGTAACAGTGGGATGACTTGCGATGGACCACTAATTCAACAAGGAAAAAAACCAATATTTGAACAGCAAATTCATATAGCGCCACGTTGGCTATTTGATGTACCAAAGTACTTGATAGGTAAAGACTTCGCTACATGAGGAACAAAAAAAGTACTGATTTCCAACTTACAAGTCACGATCAAAGTTGTAGCTGAATGGCTCACTCCAAAACTGTTCGATGCTGTACATTCATAGACACCGCTATCACGAGGTATCACGTCTCTGATAACAAGTACCTTGCCATCATTGTTAAAGTTAGCCCGTGGTATACTGGTATCTCCATCTTTACTCCACGTAACAGAAGGTTGTGGATCTCCGCTGGCCTCACATATCAACTCTGCCTTTTCACCAACAATTATAGTTGTCTTTTCTGGTAGTTCCTTGACCACGGGCTTATCTGCCATGATTATATTACAAGACATTCCGTTTTCAATTCAAAACACCTAAAACAAGCTATACTCTGACAACTACTTAACTTATCATTGAAAATTCTGAGTCCCCATGAGGAATAGATTGCTCAAGGGGACTCAGAATATTTTCTTAGTCCCACGTTCGTGACAAGACGAAAAAACATCTTTCTCTATTCTTTACCGAGCTAAAAACACCATCTCTCTTATTCTATAAATCTATCATCATGCCTGATTTCCTTTACTTACAAAACTGTTAAACATCATGAATAGAGAAAGCCACAGAACCACTAAAATAAATGCAAAATCGTACGGTACCTTTAGTTTTCAGCGCTATGAAACTGCTTGAGGTATACAGCGTCTGCAAAGACAGCCCATAAAAACGTCATAAGCGAAATTCCTTGAGCAAAATGGATTCAAACAAGTACAAAAAAATTAAGGACAACTCTTTTTCTGAAGATAAACCCATCGTATGTTCTTTGTGACTAGTAAATTAATATGATGTATTAATGAAAGCAGCCCATGCACAATACGACATCATGTCGTACTTTGCTGTAGTACTTCCCCTCTATACAGTCTACATCAATGACCTGATATAAGCAATTTGAAGAGTAGAAAATAGTGCGGGATTGCCTTTTTTTTTCTTTTACATCGCTCTCTGAACGGTCCGGAAAACTCGCCCCACTCTCTCGACCAATCAGATGTAAAACTAAAAGCAATCAACTTGGCCGCTAATGTTTTCCCGAGCTGCAGGCAGGTTGGATTAACTTTGAATTCTCTTGACTTTCGAGCTTTTTTTCTCTCTTCTGATCGGCCGTTGTGATTGCTATGGATTTGGCTTTACGACATTCGATCGAAAAGCACTTTATTTTAAAAGATGTCTTCCATAATAACGAACCTAGTAGTTCACAATTTACAACCTAGGGAATTGGAAACTTGAAAACGTGGGTGGGGGGGGGGGTGGGGGTGGGGGTGGGGGGGGGGGGGGGGGGGGGGGGGCATGACAAAGACGTAATTTGGAGTGGAAGCAGCGAGAAGTAACGACTACATTCAAAATATATTGGGCCTTAAGGTAAAAAATACGCCGTTCATCTTTTGTATTATAATGTTGCATAATTTTAGGTGGAGACAAATCAGTTGATCAAAATACCTCTGTGACAAAAGCTCTGAGAAACGCTCTGTAGTTCTTATTTGGGTGCAATGGTCTGTTGTAATAATACTCTTCACCATTACTTCTCTTGCTCCTTATTTTACTGTTTGATTGGACTCCATCTCCTACGGTAAATTCTTGGTGATTGTTAAAATCATTTCCTCCAAACTGGAAAGTGACATAAGCTGCAGGTAATGGAGATTTGTGAGCTTCTTCATAAGTCATCAGCTCTTGTGTTGTAAAATCTGCTGGTGGGTTTACGACACCATTGTAGTCTGAGCGATATGTAATGACGATGATCTGGAAAAAACTGTAAGACCAAGATTCTTTTTTTAAGCTGTCGTATTAACAAGGTCTCAAAAATTGGTTTCACTGAAAACCCGAAATTACGCATACAATTGATGTAAAGAATATTCTAATTTTTAAAAACACGGAAAGAGACAAACACGAACTAAGAGGCTATTAACTGCGGAACATAATACAAAATCAGTTAGAGGTTATCAAGAAGATTATAAAGAGAGCATTCTCACAAGTCTTTAAAATTATGTGAACTACTGTAACTGCGGCATCCAAAAGTTATGATAACAGGGCTTATACTTAGTGTTCAAGAATTTTTTCTTCATGATTGGGGTTCATCGACTAACGCTATTGGAGATTAAACACAATTGAGAACCAGCCTTAAAAAGCTTTCCTGGTATTTAGAAAGTATCCTAGATTTCGTATATTTGTTGAAGGGGAGAACTATAACTTGCTCAACATACCTTGCATGTCCCATAAAATTTGGAAGTGTTATTTTTGCTGTGATTCCTCCGTCGCTAGAGAATTTTGCTGGGGAAGGCTTTTCACGAGACCAAACTTCACCTGTGAAGGGAAATGTATGGTCTATTGAAGAGGAAATTCATTTATGAAGAAATCTGGTACAAAGTAATCACTTTTTATGAAGTGACCCTTACTATACATGATATCTATCACGTGGGATTTAAAATGTGCTCAATAAGTTCAATAAACCAGAGCGACCAAGGAGATTTCTGAGAGGAAAAGATAGAATCAAGCAATTAAAATAGCGCTCTGTGGACACAGAAGTACGAAATTTAAGTTTCTCCTCGTTTCAACATTTAATTTGAATTTCAAGCATTTCTTCACTCTTTTCCTTTTTGATTTAGAGTCCATTATTTTCTGCCAAAAGACAGAAATTAGTTGATATTGCAACATGTACTGCGAAGCACACTCTGCAAGGGGAAAATAAGGTATAAACGAGACTGTGAAAAAAAAAGATGATAATGATGATGATGATAATAATAAAAAAAAAAAAAATAATAATAATCATAATAATAATAACAGTCTTTATACAGGGGGATCACGTCACTGGAAAGTGGTATTCCGTGAGGCCCTGTAAAATAAATAGATAACAAGTTAAAAACATAAAAACTAGGAAATACACTAAACATGTTCATAAAAGTTGCTTAATTATTCAATCGATAAAAGAGAGGAAATAACAGAACAAAACGAATTGTAGAGGCTAAAAGAAACTTGTCACTAACCGAACTAAATACATAGTTTTTCACTCTTCAATTAAAAACGAGGAAAGAGTCGATTTCTTTAAAAGAAGCGCCAAAACATTCCATATTTTTGCGCATAGGTATCAAAATCTTTGTTTACCATAATTTCTTTTAACAAGAGGAAGGCGGAAATCGTTCTTTCTTCTTATATTGTAACTGTGGATGTCAGAATTTCTTAAAATGTTTAAGCTATAATCCACAAGCAATTATAGCTTACTAGACTTTACTAGAAAAAACATCGTATTTAACGTCAAAATATTTTGCGTCTTTAACTAACCTAAAGTCTGAATCACTAAAGGCTCGCTGTAAGGTCCGGGTCCCGCCGCAGTGAAGGCTCTAACCGACACTTCATACCTTGAGCAGATTGAGAGACTGGACAACAGCATCTCAGTTTTAGTTGTGTTGAATGTCGAATTAAACGAAGCGTCAACCGAGAAGCAACTTTCCTTCAACAGAAGTCTCACTTGATATATTTTAATGAACCCATTTGCAACCTCTCTGGGCAAACCATTCCAGGATAACTGATATACTGTACGCTCAATTTCGATAGACAATACGTTTTCTGGTCCACGGCTGGGCTCTAGTAAAGAGAGAGAAAAAAGCCTCAATAAGCTTCCAAGTACAGATTGAATCCAGAATGGAAAATGAGCTAGTACTCCAGTATCGGTGAACAAACGGATCATTGTTTACTTTAGCGCGCATGAAAACGCTTCAAATCGTTCTTCAACCAATGTACAACCAATGTACAAGCCTACAAGCAAACCAATGTACAAGCTTAAAATGTTTTATCTTTCTCCCAATATTTCACACAGGGTCCTTCTGGCATTGCTAAAGCCAGAACAATTTGAACAGTCTCGGTAGTTTAATTTCATTTCACAAATCTTTCAATTTTCGACAGTCCAGATATTATGTTTAACTTCTTTCTATACAAGATTCCACCATGATGCTTGATCACTGACAAAATTCATGTATTGAGCATTAACAAAATCATTACTTTTCCCCTGACGCTGAACATACCGTACTCTTTGGTTTTCACCGAAAAAGTGGCATTCTGTCCCGGTTTGATAGTTACAGCTGTGATATAGAAATGATAAGTAACTCCGCCCAGGATATCTACCAAGTAACTGAACGCGTCTCCTCCAACACTTTGCTTTGTTTCACCATCTTTGTTTGCATAGAACAGAGTGTAACTCCTAATGATTCCATTAGCTTCTGCTGACTTGCTCCAAGTCAAGTTTAATCTTGGACCATGCATCTTATTCGGGGCAACTTCCTTATAGGCAAACAAAAGAGGAGCGCTCGGTGCTATTAAAAAAATAAGAAGTATGAGAGGTAAGAAGAATTCTATTTGCATGCATTATAACGCTCATTTTCCCTATCACCTTGCACTTCCTTCCACTATGACGTAAAAAGGGATATTTCAAATTTTTATATCAGTCATCAGGATGTCATTAATTGCATGAGCGATCATGTTCTGTGATTGGCCAATTTTTATATCTTTTCACCTTGATTTACCACATACCGTCTTCCTTGGTTCTCTCTACCTTGACCGGGGTCTTTGGGCCATCCCCATCTGATGTAAAAGCTAAGATGTGAAATTCATATTCTGTGTACTTATCAAGTCCCACAACATTTTGACTTAATGTTGATTCGCTGTTGATAAGCAAGGTGGTTTCTAACCCTGCTGAACTTTTTTCTTTATAGAACAATTTAAACCCTGTGATGTTTCTTCCATGTCTCGCAAGTACTGGTGGTAGCTGCCAGGAAGCTATGATGCTAGTAGAGGAGCTTGCAGTCAAATTGAAGTCTGCCGGAGGTTGTGATGGAACTGAAATAAACAAAATCAGTTGTGTGCTTTAATTTTTAGCTGATTACCGATTGATGTGTATGTAAATATACCTCCATAGAAAAAGCATTGGATGTTCTAGTCTGGAGGGTCATCTGCAGTAGGGACTGTGTATATGCATCAGATATACATTCTTTATAACCTGAGTGTGAAGATGCTCCACACGGCATGAGACGATTATTTTCCCATAGACACCTTGGGGGTTCCAGAATCTTCAATGCTTAGAATCCCAGCATATCATAAGGAGTATGATCAACATTAAATCTTAGCACAACTTTGTTTGGTGAAAGTAGACCCTGAAGGATCTCAGCAAAGTCAATGAGATATATAAAGATCGATAAAAATTAAATCTCCATCGGTCAGCTGTTAAACTGTTACAATCATTCTCACTCAGTCAAGGCTCAATTAATCTACATTGGAGAATACTCTTTACCCATTGTCTTTTGCTCTCTAGCTCCTTAAGCTTTCATAAATAATTAGTTATTGTGACTTAAATTCGTCGCAGCAAAGGCAAATAAATACCTTTAGTTAAAAGAATGCCATAAACTTCCACCATCAGAGCCTTCCAGCTATAATAGGCTGTCGGCTGAAAACGGATAAACTTTGCGCTTGCAAATTCCTGTAGATTGTTTTTTATGATGTCTCTTTGATTTGAGTTTCCTGGAAAGACCTGTATTTTTTTGTACAAAATGCAACATCATTATATGAAAATTTTATTAATTAATCTACTGCATCACTCATTATCAAAAGTATCAGCTCTTCTATGAACTTTGACTTCCGTGTAGGAAGTAGTGAAATGAATGAACAAAGACTTTCCGTATAAGTACATGTCTCTAATGCCTAATGCTCTTTTGTTGGAATACTACTACAAAAAGTGTATGTGACTGTTTATCTGAAGTTGAAATAGTATTTCTGCTGAGAAAATTTAGGGGAGAGGTTTATCTAACACACACTCAAGGAAAAGTTGGTGTTCATATCATGTCGTAACTGTAGGTAATATTCCACATCAAATGTTTTTAAATTTCTCCTCCATTTTTGAGAAAACAGATAAGTTACATTGTTAAATTAAGATGTAATGGATAATAACTCCAAATGACTCGGACTTCTTAACATCTATACAATCTTGAAAGTGAATTGTCTTTACATGTATGTACCATCCACACATTTTTGTTTTTACAGGAAAAAAACAATGCATGTTCAAGTATCCGTTTGAAAGCATTATTTGTCATGTGGTGGCGCAATTAAATTTGTCACACTGATAGTGTTGTGTGCACTTGTATATCAATAAAAAAAGAGTCCTGGAAACTGTTCATAGAAAGAGAATTGAATCTGAATGTTGACAAGTTGAACACCTTTCTCTCCTATGACTCAAAACAATTGATTGGGTGTGCCTGGTTGGCATTTTCAATATGTACAAAAATACGCAAACCTACCTTGTCAATATTGTTTTCTTTATAGGTGAAAAACGTGATGCCATCCGACGATAGGTGAATCTTGTAGTTTATTGTCCACTCATTGATACCATTCGCTCCTTGGGTAGCTACAGCACAGATAACGTACTCATACAGCAGGTCAACTTGTAAGAAGTCAGCAGGATTGGTCGTAGTCTTAGGTGCCCAACCTCGATTTTTCCCATTCAGTCGACCATAAGAAGCTTTATATCTATTATCGTAATATGATAAGGCTGTGAAGCTGCTGTCAGGAATTGCACCACCACTGGCTAGACCAATGGCCTCCGTTTTGCAAACTGCAAGATAATAATTTAAAACATGTAGCCTTCACATTTTGACACGAATTATGTAAATAATTAAAGTGAATTAAGAATTAAGTACCTTTTGTAGCATCTACGGAATAATTCACCTCAACTTAATTTAAGGTTATAGTTTTACGTCAATGGTTGCCTACTTCATGAGTAGAGGCTGCACACACACAAAACATTTTCCTTCTCCTTGAGACAAATTTACTTATGCTCAAGCTTATCAAGCCTCTTTTTCCTCTTTTTTAGTTAAAGAAGATAGTAAATAGTTGACAAACCTAAGAAAAGATTCATACTTATGAACACAGTTCGAAAGCTGGACAGAGATTTCCACGATTTGATTGGTTAAGTGATTCATAATTATAACGTTACATCTACTGCACTTTGCAGTCAGCGAAACCTTTACTTTCCCCTTCTTTCCCGTGCAAAACCAAAAGTCTGTTAGCTGTTAATTTCAAGGTTTCACCTTTTTTTTTAGTGGAATATTCTTATGAGGTGAGACTAAACAGTATTGCTGAAACAAATGAACATTTAAATATATTTGTGCAGGGCACAGCATGCACTCGGAAGCTAAGCATGGAACTTGAATCCTTATGCAATTTCATAGATGCCGAACGTGACCATACTTTTACCGGCAATAGGAAAACAAATGGGCAGCTCATTAAATTTCATCAAAAATTTCTTCGACTAAGTGAGCTTGCGTGTGTACAGGTAACACTGCAGCCCATGTCCTAAATTCCATGTTTTTACACTGTGATTTAGAAGCACATCGTTAGGTCATGTTGCCCATCAAGAAATGCAATGGTGATGCAAATTTCTGTGGGTGAATTGGAATATATTACGCATTTTGTTCAATTGCTTAACCTTAAGGGAACAGAATGCGCACAGGATCACATCATAAGAGCATTGCACCAAATGAAAGCATTGATCAACGAAGTCTCTGATTTTTAGTTCTATAATTATCGTGGATATGTGATATCTACGGTTCAACAGAGAGTATAGGGTGTTGATTATCAAACTCTCCAATGGTCAACTTTAAAATTATTTCAATACCATTCTCACTCAGCCAAGGCGCAAGCAATATTTGGGAACATTAAACTTGCCCTCGTAGCACTGTATAATTACCCAGTCTTTGCTTCCATAGATAATAAGTTATTGTGAACTCAATGTTGTCTCAGAGGGAGACAAAAATGAAAGCAAAAATTTACCTTTAGTTGGAACTATTCCGTAAACTTCCACTCTCAGAGCCTTCCAACTATTATATGCTGTCGGCTGAAAACGGATAAACTTTGCACTTGAAAATTCCTTTAGACTGTTTTTTGTGATGTTGTTTTGATCTACGTTTCCAAGAAAGACCTGCAGTTTATTGTAAAAATGCAACATTGTATCAAATTTCCGTAATTGATATACTGCATCATAAACTACAACAATTATTAGGTACTCCATGAACAACGACTTTGAATTGGCAATAGCTAAACGAATGAACCCCAGACCATGTTTTTCTGAACAAGTACGTCTCTGAAATTTAATGCGATTGAAAGACCGGTTTATAAGTCCAGAAGTCTTATCATTATTGGACTTATTAACAACTTAAAAATGGTTACAACGTATTTTATGTACTTATAGGTACCATCCATTATATTTTTATTTTTAAAAGACAAAACGATGCATGTTCTAAGTATCAGTTTGTAGTTCCCTTGAAAAAGAAGTGAACCTGAATGTTGACAAAATGAACACCTCTTTCTTGTCGCACATCTTGACTCAAAAATTTGATTGTGTCTTCCAAGTGATTATTCTAACTTTTTAAAAATATGTACAAACTTATGCATGATCTTTATGTAAACCTACCTTGACACTACTGTTTTCTTTATAGGTGAAAAACGTGGTACCATCCAATGATAACTGAATCTTATAGTCTGTTGTCCACTCATTGATACCATTAGCTCCTTGAGTAGCAACAGCACAAATAGCATACTTGTGCAGCAGGTCAATTTGTAAGAAGTCAGCAGGATTGGTTGTATTCCTGGGTGCCCAACCCCGATTATTTCCATTCAGTCGACCATAAGAAGGTTTATATCTATTATCATAATATGATGAGGCTGTGAAGCTGAAGTCAGGGATTATACCACTATTGGCCAGACCAATGGCCTCTGTTGTACAATCTGAAAGATAATTTTAAATCATCCTTCACACTTTTAAACACATCATTAAAACAACGTAAGCGTTAGCCCTTTGTCTGAGCGACTGACGAAGGGCTAACGCTCGACACGTCAGCTTTGAAACTCTTTACAGTGGCCAGTTTACGTTATCAACTCAGTTGATAATACTAAATTACAAGAAAGAAACAGTCTTCCGCAATTTGTGGTTGAGGCCGATATTTTTATAAAGTTAAGGAAGGACTTAAGCGTCTTTTTAACTTGGTAACTTTATTGTGAATATTTATTTCGCAAAATAAATAAATATATAATAAATAAATAAATATTTTAAATTCTAATCCTCTTCTTTTTAAGGTGCAACGTCATTGGGCCAACCCCTGTTTCTTTGTTTTCAAGATGAATTTTATTTATCTTTTTTATTATTATTGTATCTTGAATGAAACGTTATGCTGTGTTATGTTTTCCTTTCGGTAAAAATCTACCAAACAAATTCTCAAATGGTCAGCTCAAAACTATTTTGAAACCGTTCTCACTCAACCAAGGTTTAATCACTTTTGGAGAATATTAAACTTTCTCTTTACATGTAGCTTTTGCCTTTAGCCCCTTAGCTCCTTTGCCTTTCACAAATTATTAGTTATTGTGACTTCAATTTTGTCTCAGGATGAGAAAAAAAAATGAAAGCAAAAACTACCTTTAGTTGGAATTATTCCATAAACTTCCACCCTCAGAGCCTTCCAACCACTATAGGCTGTTGGCCAGAAGCGGATAAACTTTGCGCTTGCAAATTCCTGTAGATTGTTTTTTATGATGCCATTTTGGTTTGAGTTTCCAGTAAAAACCTGTAGTTTGTTGCATAAATGTAAAATAATTGTATCATTAGTTACCATATGTATCAGCTATTCTACAATCTTCTCCTTCGATATGGGTAGATAATGTTTACCACAATTAAAAGACTTATTGTTCCTTTCGGTAAAAATCTACCAAACAAATGTTTAAATGTTCGTATATTAGAAGTTGAAATAACATTTCTAGTGAAACAACTCAAGGGAGAGGTACATGTAGCTTGTAAGAGAATGCAACAAATGCTCTAAGAAAAAATGGCTATTCCTCTGTAATAAACCGTCTGTAATATTCCTAGTTGTCTAATGTTCTTAAATATCTCATGGATTTTTGAAAGAAGAAAGAGGCAAGTTGCATTGATGAACGAGGATGTAATGGTCAATGCGACTTGGTCAGGATGACTTGTACTTAATGACAACTACTTGATGCTGTTTGATATTCCTGGGAGGGGGGGGGATAACCGTGCCCCCTACCTTGGCAATATTGTTTTCTTTATAGGTGAAAAACGTGAATCCATCCAATGATAACTGGATCTTGTATTTTGTTGTCCACTCCTTGATACCATTAGCTCCTTGGGTAGCTACAGAACAGATAATGTACTCATACAGCAGGTCAACTTGTAAGAAGTCAGCAGGATTGGTCGTAGTCTTGGGCGCCCAACCGCGATTATTTTCATTCAGTCGACCATAAGAAGCTTTATATCTATTATCATAATAAGATGGGGCTGTGAAGCTGCTATCAGGAATTGCACCACCAGTGGCCAGACCAATGGCCTCCATTTCACAAACTGCAAGATAATAATTTAAAAACATGCAGCTTTCACATTTTGACAGAAACCATACAAGACAATTCAAGTGATCAATCATATGTAACCTTTGTGAATCAATTCACCTCAACTTAATTAAAGGTTATTGCTTTATGTTCATGGTTGCCTCTAAAGGGAGGCTGTGGTTTACCTCTAAATACCTTGCTTTTATTAATTGAATGACCTACATGTACACACACAAAAAGTTTTGTTAGTGTGTATGGGAAAATAGTCTATTAAGGGATTAATTATGGAACTATTATTTTGCGTCTTAAAAATGTCCTATAAGTCAACATAGGACATAAGAAAATCAACAGGGACAGTGGAATAGAAAAATCCTAGAAGCTGGGATGCCAACAATCAAGACACACAACAGCAAGAGAGCCATGACAGCCGACCACTGAGGGAATATTTCGACAAAATGCGCCAATCAAGGCGTGAGATTCTATCCAATTACACCTGAGCAGAAAGTTTCTAATGACCAGATACTCAGTCTACCTTATCATCTGAAGAAGACTGTATGCAGTTGAAAAATTACAATGCGCATCCAAAGTGACTACTTTGTGAAACAAATGATTGTATATTATTTTTTAAAGTAGTTTGTTTCTATTTTTAAACATAAAACTTGTGGCATTATTTGACAATTGCACTAATTACTTGTTTACTAGGCATTTGTTAAAGATGGAAACAGCTTAACTAAATCTATTTAGTTGTTCTTTATAACATAAAAATTACATGTTTTACACAAAAGTTTGTTTTTTCCAGTCCATTATTCTTGTTGCTTTGTAGAGGTTAAGATTCTAGAAGACGAGGCACCAGCAGCGAATGTGTATAAACTGCCAGCACATGACACAACTTCACTAAAGGTACCCAGCAGGCCCGATTTGCATTGAACATTGTTGCTCAAATATTTGAGCTTCAATGTTGTAAACAAACCAAAGTTTAGATCAATTAACATTCACAACTTGTCACTGCACTCCCCACTAGAATTTTGACCTGTATTACACTAACACCATTGTGTATTTTGCCTGTTCTATCGAACCAATTATTGTAAAATGGATTAACACGGCATCGATCTTGTCATCATTTATATATCAATTATTATTTAATAATTAATTAAGTAATTTTTTACGGACCTGTAGGATCTTACCCTAAATTAATTATTTCTCTAAGTTATAATATGAAAACAATCACTTATTCCTCCACTCACATATATGTTGTTCAATTTATAAATAACTTATAAAATAAAAAGAAGAGTTACATACTAAACAGAACCTTGAGCATTTTTAACCCTTTGCCTCTCTAAGAGAGACTAGCATTGCATTTCTCCTTATAGTATCACCCCTGAATCAAACATTAAAGTCATGAGAACAAAGGAAATGATCACCAACTAAAGAAGCTCTTGATTGTTAGACAAACTCTACATGTCAGCACCTCAGAAATGCATAGAGAACAGTATGGATAATGTGCATACTGATCTTGCAATGCAATGCAATGCACGAACAAAACATGCATTACAACACAGGACAATACTTAGCCATATATTAAGTTTTAAACTCACCTCGTTTTTGTTGCACTCCAAACACCTCTGTTCTCATGCACACCCCACCCTGCTGAGTTTGTGGCAGGAATCGAAGATATCTTGTTGACACTCCATAAATTACATGTTTAACAGTTGTGTCTCTGTCACTATTTCCCCTCAAAACCTGTGAGAGAAATATACAGTCATACCTCAACATAATAATAAACTTTTTCCAAAGATGAAAAAAGGCATGGGTACTAAAACCAAATAACCCCCTCACCAAACCCTTCTGGCACAAAAGAGTGACCAAAAGAGATAGATAATCTGCTTGGGCCCCTTAAATGAGAAAACAAGCTTTAGGAGCCTCTGAGTACTCAAGGAAAGCCCCCAGGGTGGGAGAGAGGGTAAAGAAACAACTTGAAGGAAGTGGTCATATGACAAATAAATGTCAGTCAAAAGCTAGCCAGGTTCAGCACGAAGGCCAGGGGCTAATTAAGTTATTCCCTCGGAATATGAACTTAATATATACCATACATAGATTGCTAAAATAATAATTTTAATTACCACCTTTTTTAAGGCTGGGACTTTTGATATCATCAAACCTATACAATATTGTTCATCTGCCCGTATAGTCTATTATATCATATTTTAAATAATTTCTTTGAGCTGCCAAGTCTTACAGTTTATGCCTATACCTTAACTTGTCCACCTTCCATGTAGTCTCTCCAACATGTCCCATCTGTGGATAACTGTAGTTTGTAGTCCTTCACCCACTGATCTGCTTTGGAATTCCCTTGAGTGGACACAGCACAGATAATATGAATTGTCTGAAGATCAATCTGTAGATATGGGTTAGTGTCACCTGTTCCTGCACACCATGATGATCCTGATGTGTAGTTCAGTCGACCATTCTTGGCTGGTGTGTTGGCGTTTTGTTCAGAAGAAGCAGTAACTTTATCATTTGGAATCTCTCCATCTTCCATTCCAAGGCCCAAATCTACACAATCTCCTATGGAAATTATTTACAATAAAGAATGAACAAACACGACGAGCACACAAACACATGTCCACTTAGATTCGAGAAGAGGGTCTTAAATAGGAGGTTATAATTTCCTTCCCGAGTCACCACAGTGGATCTTAACTAGGGGAACTCGACCACATATTCTCGAAAAAAAATGAATGTGCAAAAGTTAAAATTTGTCTTTACAATGTAAGTGTTATGAATGTTGTAAAATAAGTGGGGAAAGGTAAGAGAGCTCGAAGAGTTTCAGCTCAGGTCAAGTCTTTAAAGGGGAAAAAACAACAATTGTCTCGTCTTGATTTTGGCCAAAGATTGAATTTTCTGAAGAAAAATGCCACAGAAAAGCTTAAAAGAACATTTCCAAGCCTTTAGATTTCAAAATATTCTGAGGGGGCATGCCCCCATACCCCCTTAGTGGCTCGCGCCCTCGGCGCTCGAAACTTGCCTCGCCTTGTTCTGAAGTCTGGCTACGGCCCTGAGATGATAAAACTGTTCTTCAGAAATGAAGTAGAACTTAACAAGGAGAGCAGGAAAATACAGAGGAATTTAGCAAAAGGCAACAATTTATAAAAGGCACGTGGGTAAATTGCATGAAATTCAGTCCTTACCTAAAGCCAGAGGAATTCGCAACAGCAAGGAAAAGAAAGCTAGTTGGAAATACGGATGCATCTCAACCAAGCCTTGTTAGCACTGCCCCAGGTGGTTCAATGTCAGGAAATCTTTTTCCTACTCTCAGCAGACGATGTGAAAACCAGATTGATGGCTACTGAGGGAACGGAAATAAAGATATTAAGGGGATCTTTATACTTTGCACGTTACAAACCTGTCTCTATCAATTTTAGTATATTTTACCTTTGCACCGTGTGTTACTAAGGCTTAATCACATTTTTTACCGCTAATGATTAGCTTTGTTTAGACAAGATCTTCACCCGAATCTTCAGAAGCCGTTTGCTTGCATTTCAAAATCCAAAGTTAATACTCTGTAAGTTTAACCAAAAAAGAAAAAAAAAAGAGAAAAAAGATAAGAGACTGCCCAAAAGGTTTGCTTCCCGTGTTGTGTCCACTATTTTAAGAAAGCAGTTTTCATCCAGATATCTTGTTTCACGCCTCGTTAAGAATGGGGAGTATGTTTGGTTAAAGAATGAGACAGAAATTGGGCTGGTCCGAAACTTAGGGTGTACGCGACAAATACTTTTATCAAAATAATAATTTATATTTCACTGTTCCCAAACTTAAGTCCACGGATTTGATTACGCTTTCATCGTTAATTATAAACTAGCCTTTTAGCAACTAACTTTCGCGCCCTCAGTTGTGCTGATGTTATTCATGAGGTCAATTGGGAACAACGAACAAACAAAAGTAGATATTGTAACGATTTCAAAACATCGCAGACTTTTGCAATTTTGATCGCCATCTTTGCGTTGGGACTCTTCTTACAAACATAGGAAGAGCAAGAGTATGGAGGCCGGGATTACGGTAGAAGTAATTTTAAGGCAAAAACTAAAGCTAATTTAATTGACATCGCAGCAAAAGAGGTTTCGCTCTTGACTGGATCCTAGGCCATTGTTCTGTCATATGGCAAATTCACTTAGATCAATGAGGATTATCATATATGAAAGAAATTGAGCCTTTTTTAGGAATTTGCCTCCAATGTAAAAACACCCAGGTTCTTGATTTACGAAAGAGAAAGAAAGCCCGACTCGAATCGATCGTATCCATCGTGGATGAAGAAAAATTATCTACGATCGAATTTATCTGTTTTGTATCTGAAGAATTGTATCCATAACACGCTCATAAAGAGCTTACTACAGTGACCTACAATCCTTGAAACGTTGAGAATGGCTTCGTGATTTACACTTTAATATGGCAGAAAACGTATGAGTATTTGAACCTAGGCCTCTGATGAACTTTCGCGGTTCCACGCGTTGCGCGTAAAGTACGCGCGGAGCATTCGTAAATTAGAGGACTATCCAACTTCGCATTTAGGTTATAACAATGAATAAAGAAAACGCTTATATCTCTGAAAACACTCACTCATACTATTGTTTAAGAGTGAAAAGCAATGAAAGAACAGAACAAATCACAGTCAAGATGAATTTAACGTGAACCGGTTATGTTTATAAATCGGGTTGAAGGATCATAATCTCCTAACCGAAAAATCAACTCTATTACTTACGACTGTATCCTGTGTAAAAAAAACCGTGAGAGAAAGACAGCTGAGGGTGTTTTTTCTCGCATGACAAGTAATCGCAATATCGAGGAAGATCTGGGCCGAGTGATTCACCCCAGACCTCGTCTAAAGCCGGCGACACACCTAGCGATTTTCTACACCGACCGCGGCGAATTTGATCTCCAGATCGATCTCTCAGATCTTTGCGGTGGCGTTTAAAAATTGCGCGAACCAATGTAAACAAACAAAATGGCGACAGCAAAGCGAAAATAGTTGTTGGCTGCTGCCATAATTTTGCAATTAAAGCGCTCCAGGAAGCGATCTGAGTGGGACAATTTAACAAATAGAGAAGCCTCGACTGTGCTCTGTTCTGTCGTAAAGCATGTAGGAAGCGGCTAGAGCACGAAAGGAGTGTAGGGGGAAACACGAGACGTAGTCGTGTGTTTCCCCCTACACTTCTTTCGTGCTCTAGCCGCTTCCTAAGTGCTTTACAGCAGAACAGACCACAGTTAAGGCTTCTCTATTTGTTTTATTATAAAGAATCCGTTAAATTCCCCAATAATTACTTTCAATTTTCTAAACAAACTTTATTTCCAAAGCGAACAATAGTGTCGTCAGCATGCTCTATACTCTCATAGAGCACGCTACAATAAGCCACTCAGAATCCCTGTTAGAATGATTCAAATAATCTGATTGGCTTTACAAGACTAATGCTGTCAAAAATGTCAGATCATCAAAGTTCATATTTTGCAATAGTTTACAAACTAACATAGTTCGGCACGTCGCATTTAACACTTTTGCTTGAAGTTTTTTAGTTTCTAATACAGAATCTGAAAATGAAATGTTCAGTGAAATTCGGTCCAATCGTGGCTCACAAAAATACGCAAGTTATTTCACATGACAAGTAGAAAACAAACTGTTCAAGACGAGTGTTTTATGAATGAACAACAGCCGAATTCACCAGGACATGAAGATCGCTCGGAATGACAGCGTCGTAAAACTCGGCTACAGTGACTGATGTGGCTTTCCACTCAACGCATCGGAAAGGTTATCGGAGCTCTTGTTTTTCCACTCGAAGGGTAGTCGATTTAGTTCCTGAGGCTTGCTCCACTGCGATGACCGAAGATCACCATGATGAGCTAGCCGCGATAGACCTCAGCACGATCGTAGTCGCTCTGACACTGTCATGATTAGTATGAATTTTAACAGTTATGCCAGGTTATATTTTTCATCATTCCTGTTTTTCTTCTGTTTTGTTTTTGAACACGAAACTTTATATACTATACAAGAGTTAGCTGTGTTTGACTTTCATTACCGTACGTAAACTTGCAATCTAACTGAGCGTGAAAACCTTTAAAACTCGGACTGTCCATTTTGTTTCATCATTGAGGATTTTTGTCTCTGCTTACGTAACAGTAACGTAAATTACTGCCCCTGGCATTTTTGCAAAGCTTTGCTCGCTTGTTCCGAAATTTCACTTTCAATTAACAAAAGAAAAGCTAGAAAAAAGTCCCGAAAAAGGTCGGACATAGTACAATTTGGCAGATGGCATGGCAGCTTTAGCTCATTTCTATGCTCTATACTCTCATAGAGCACGCTCATTTAACCAATGACGGCACGCGTTATATCCGAACTTTATTATAAAGAAAAATATGGTCGAAGACATGGATTTATTAAAACGCAGAGTCCTTCTTGAGACGACTACTGTAGTCGCTCGACGTTACATCAAATAAGCATGGCTTTTCTGACCACAGTGTAATCAGATTGACTTTTTCTTCTTCGGTTCAGAAACGATTCGCCGTGGAAAGGAAAGGGCAGCGGGCAGACTTGGCGAATGCCGGCGAATTTAATCGCCGATATTTGACATGCCAGATCTCGGCGATTAAATCATGAGAAGAAAAAGCTACAATGAACAATAGTCATTCCGCTATCGAGGAACTAGTGGCAGAATTTACTAATCATACTGATGGCACTGCACGAAGAAAATTTTTATATTTTATAAGCTGATCGCGGCTATCGGTGAAAATCGCAATCGCCGCACTGGGCACAGCTGGCGATCTTCGCCGACCGCCGCGATCGGCGTATAAAATTGCTAGGTGTGTCACCGGCTTAATAATGGCGATCGCGTTCTCACGCGACTAAAACCGAAGAAATGAACACGTATCACCATCGAAAGCACATATAGCACAATTACCCTGAAACGACCCGTTTCATGACACGACCAGAAGGTTTGAAAATTATTACCGCTCGACTGTAGTTTTTTGCTTAGGCTGCCTACTGTACGCGATAGACTATCGATAAATTATTTTGGTTTTGCTTGACTCGAATAGTCGAGCTTTCTTTTTCCTTCAAGAAATAATTGCTTTGTGACACTGAGCGCTTTAATGAAACCATAACTTGTTGTGTTGCCTTAATTGAACACCCCCTCTTCAGTGGAAAAGAATTTACCGAGGGAGTTTGAACTACTTATGCCTTAGCCACCGCGCACCTCTTTTTAAACTACCTATTTTCGCATTTCTTACAAACTATGACGGTCGGGTGATGTGAAACAAAACATTTGTAAGAGATGGCCCGGTGAATAAGATCCCCCATCATTAGAAGAAAATTTTTGTATTTTATAAGCTGGTCGCAATCGCCGCACCGGGCACACCTGGTGATCTTCACCGATTACCGCGATCGGCGTATAAAATTGTTAGGTGTGTCACCGGCTTTAGAATGGCGATCATGTTCTCGCGCGACTAAAAACGAAGAAATGAACACGTATCACCATCTCCCGATATAGCAGAATTATC